AAAAACCTCCGTACATCTAGTATTTAGTTAGGGCAAAAAATATCACGCACATCAAACGTAACAAGAGAAGAATAAGAGCTGATTAGGAAGATGACTTACGGTTCGGCGACAAGCAAACCAGCCAAGGTTATTTTATTGTGCTTGGTCATAGCTGCAGTGGGAATTGCAGCTGTACCAACTATCTTCTTAGTATTTACAGTCTCATCAAAACAAATTGCTGCTCAAGATGGGAGCAGAGTTATACCAAATATAGCGGGTGCTACGACTGGTTTGAAATCATTTTCATCGACTTTAAAGAGCTGTAAAAGTGCATCAGCTGGTGACTGGGCTAATGCTATTGACTGTGGAATTCTGGTATCAGCCTCAACTATCGCCACAGGGGTATGTGTTTATAGATATCTTTCTACAGGTTCGGCCTTTTGAGATAATTAATGGGACTAAGTTTTAAAATTGAATTTAGGAGATGACCTAATGATAAAGAACTACTCTACTTATAGGCTAAATCTAAACCTTTTGCGGTAACAAAACATTTATATCTCTCTTTATATCTGAATAATAAATACTAACCTTTGTCATCTATTTTAATACATATGTTGTGAATCTAAACCAATAAAACTGTAAATATTCAATGATGTAACATCGGTGCAGTTAATAATCTAGAGTCTCTTGTTAGCTCTCTTATGATTACTAGTGGCGTATTATATATAGAACCATTCGACTTGTAAGGAAAAGAACTGATTCTGTAGAATATTTTGTTTTTAGTTAGGGCAGAACCTTCGTACATCTTGTATTTAGTTAATTATTCATAGTAAATTATTTAGACAATCTCATAAGATTTAGTAGATATCCTCTAAGCTGATCGAGTATTAGATTATTCGTATTAGATTATTCGCCTCTTAATAACAATCTACTCATACTTACCAATAATACTTCAGTTAGCGCAAGAAGACAGAACGCTTGTAACAGCCTCTACTGCATTACCGTCTGACCCAGCGTAGATCCAGTAACTACTACATCTGTTCAAGCTATACATGTACCGTTCCTGAGATCCCATCGAAGACTGTTCCACCGTGACAAGTAACTTTGGCAATATAGCCAGCTCCGGCGGTGACCTCAGAAGATAGGAATAATCCTGCTCCAAGAGAAAAATCTTAATAGAGCTATTCTCCATTGGACTCATGAGTTCAAGGTGTTCAGGTTCATAAGGAATCAATCCGTTTTCCAGTAAAACTTTGTCTATTCCGTAATGTTCTGTATCTGTAGTAACATAAACTGCTATTGCTATACATGTTAGCAAGGCAGCAAAAACGAGATAAAGTAAATGCCTTCCTTTACATTTATCTAGTGCTTTCATACATATTTATCTTATACTTGTGACTTTCGTCATTATAGGTATGATCATCAACTTCATTCATGATATTTGTCTAATATGATATATGAAAATATCTCCTCTCGTATACTGTCTTCTTTTAACCTATTACAAACAAAAGAGAAGAAGAGACATCTTGAACACTCGAGGCGGGATATTGCAATGGGACTTTAGTAAGTTAGAGAAGTCAATTCCCGTTTGCAATTTTGAGTAATGCATCAAAAAAATTCATAATCACTTTTAGAAAGACTGAAAAGAAACAAGTGTATAAATGATTTTATGCTTTTTTTGACATAATTTTGCGTTATTGTGAAATAATTTAAAACCCCATTTAACAGTTTTCGCAAATTATATAGCTATAGATTGACTCCCACAATAAAAGAAGTACTCTATAACCAGGCTCAAATTGGCTACAAATTGGCTATTAGGTAATTGAATGGTTTGATAAGTAGATCTCATAATCCGCGGAGGCTTCTTTGCCCATCGGACAAATAACCGTTTTTCTGCTGCCGTGCGAGAACATCTTTTGAGATAAGTAATTAATCTCGAGAACTGAAAATTCCATTTCCATCAAATAATCATCTTTTTTGGGTAATTTTAGTTACATTATCGACTCGGGAAATTTTGACACAACCGATAAGCATTTTTTGCATTGTTTCCAAGCTTTTTGTACAATGTCATCGCAAGGAATGAATTCATATAAATAGACAGCAAAATCATGAAGTTAGGCCAAAGGTTGTTTTTCTGATTCAGGCAAGAATGAAATTTTCAATTGTAGCAGTAATTACTGCTTTTTTAATGAGTTCAATTTTAGCTCATCCATTAGAAAAACGTACTACAAATGATACAAAGATTGCTTTAGAGGACGTTAGTGACAATTCCAATGATTTGAAAACGGCATTTGGTAAACCATATGCAATTTTCCAACCAAAAGTAGTTGTTGTTTCGATGTTTGAATTGGAAAGAGATCCATGGTTAAAAGAATTAGATTTTGTTCATAATGTCAGTGTTCCTGGATTGTCACCATTATATCCACAAGTTCATTTTACTACTAATTATACAATCATGCAAGCTACCACTGGAGAAGGCGAAATTAATGCAGCTTCATCAATTACTGCATTATTATTGAATCCATTATTTGATTTTTCAAAGAGTTATTTTTTAATTGCTGGTATTGCTGGTGGTGAAAGTAGTTTAACTACCATTGGTAGTGTTACTTTTGCCAAATACGCTGTTCAAGTTGGTTTACAATATCAAGTTGATTATAGAGAATACATTCATACTAATCCAAATTGGACTTCGGGCTACTTTGGATACGGGGTTGATAATCCATGGACATATCCAGCCAACGTTTATGGTACTGAAGTATTTGAATTGAATGAAAACTTACGGGACCGTGCGGTTAAATTAGCTAAAACTGCCGAATTAAATAATGGTACTGAAGCAAATGCTAAATTTAGAGCTTTATATAATGAAACTGCTGCAAGATCCTTACCAAAAGTTGTTGCTTGTGACTCTTATACTAGTGATAACTATTACTTTGGTAATGTTTTATCCGATTATTTCAAAGCTTATGGAGAAATGATGACTAATAGTACTGGTTCAGATAAATTTAGATACTGCTCCACTGCTCAAGAAGATAATGCTTCTTTAGAAGCCTTTTTAAGAATGGATTTACATGGTTTGGTTGATTTTTCAAGAGTTGTTGTTATGAGAACCATTTCTGATTTCGCCAGACCCCCTCCTTCTTATGCTAATGATACCGTTGGATTCTTCAATGATGCTAACCAGGGTGGTATTTCTGCCTCAATTGCTAATTTGGTGATTGCTGGTAAACCATTTGTCCATGATGTTTTAACTCACTGGGATGACATCTATGCTGCCGGTGTCAAGCCAGATAACTACATTGGTGATATTTTACAATCCATAGGAGGTGTTGCCGATTACGGTAAAGACTCTTTCGAAGTTGCCTAAACCTGTGGTGTACCGACGCAAACCCAACATCATCAAAATCCTGCATGAAGCAAATAATAGCTGTCAAACCTCAATCTGTATACATGGCCCAGTCTTAGCCTTAGCCTTGGTCTTAGTCTTAGCCTTAGCCTTATTATTAGCCCACATACCCATATACCTACATATCTGCTTTCTTATGCTTATACTTTCGTATGCTTATACTTATACTTTTTATACGTATGCTTATACTTATACTTATGTTTATACTTATGCCAAAACTCACACCCGTACCCCCACCCTTTTAAATCCACAGTTAAACTTTAATTAAAATGCCTTGTATGCTCAACATTATTTGTGTATTGAACCCCCACGATTTCTCAATTCCTACTAACAAAATGTAAATTCTGCTAGCAAAACAAAAAAAAAAAAAAGAAAGAAGGGAAAAAAAACACTATTTAATTTTCTTAGCTAGAATTTGGAAGCAATTTTTTTAGACCAACTGATTTAAAAGGGCTGCGATCTGCTATTAAAACATTTACAAGTTACAAGACTAACCATTGCGATTGATGAATCTCATATAACAAATAGAAAATCTTCTCACCGGGAATTAAGTGGAAGTTTCAAGTCAAAGAAAAACTAATAAATACATGATGATGTCTGCCTTCACTACAGACCAGAGTAAATTCCAGGCAGTTTTGGACAGAGATCCAGCATCAGAAGGCCATTTTGTATATGGGGTGATAAGTACCATGATTTGTTGTCGGCCAACATGCTCATCCAGACCCCCATTGAAGAAGAATGTTATATTCTTTGATACTATTGAAGATGCAGTATCAAAGGGATTTATATCTTGTAAAAGATGCAAACCCGAAAAAACAACTGGTTGGAATCGTACTCGAGACATAGTGGCCCAGGCTTGTGTGATTATTATGGATATGGCTAAACTGAAGCGTAAACCAAATATTGATAAAATTGCTGCAAAATTGAAAGTTTCTAAATGGCATCTTTGTAGAACTTTCAAAAACTATACTGGTATCACTCCAAGGCAATTTTATTTAAAATCTTTAGAAGGTTTGGATCCTTTGAAATCAAAGCCTTTACCGCTTATCCAGACTAAGAAAAATCTTTTAAAATTGAAGAAATTGGCGGAAGCTTCTAAAAATGATAATTCAAAAGATGATGTACCTCAAAATTCTAATGATTCCCCCATTAATGATTCAGATAAAAGTCCTGATTCTTTATATGCACTGGAGACTCCTGCTTCAAATTTGATGAGTGAAAGCCCTGCCCTGTCTGCTTCTTCTCAATCTAATCCCGATCAATTAATACCTCCTGAATGTGGAATTGACGATTTCTTAAACGAAACCTCCGGTTTCAATTCAAGAGAAGCGTATCCTTTTGTATTTGACCTGAATGATTTATTTAGTCAGGGTTTTATGTTTAATGACGAAAATAATGATAACGATCTTTTCTTGGGCAGTCTTCATGGCAATTAAAAGAGGTTTTTTTTTTATATATAATTTTTTTGCTTCATCTTTTGTAATTTATACGATCACTTCATTTCTGGGTATTTAGGTTTTAATAAATAATTAATATTACGCTCTTGTATTCTTAAATGTATTTTTATTACTATTAAATTATAATTTCATATATATAAAGCTTTATCCAAATCACCAACCCAGTGGTGTAGTCATTGATCCAGTCAAATGTGGACATCCATTAGCATCACAACCACTCTTTGATACAGTAGTACCCCACCAAGTAAAATTATCACTAGCACCAGTATAGAAAATTGAAAAGTAAATCAAAATAACCGCAATGGCTAATCCAGTATCTAATCCAACAGCTAAAACAAGATTATATTTCTTCCACCAGGCATGACGTGTACGATGAACCCAAAAATTCATTATAGCTGCACATACAGCCCATGTAGAAACATTATAACCAGTGACTGAAGGAATATTAGCAGCACCTGCAAATAATAAAGTTGGATTAACTCTTTTCCAGAAACTATTTGGTTTCCACATTTGAATTAATCCAATGGCTAATGAAACAACAGCACCAACTAAAAAGAACCATAAAACCCAAGAGTATCTACCACCTGGAGTGAAAATATGATCTCCGAAAAGCCCCCATACTAATTGAGAATTGAATTGAGTCTTTTGTTTACGACAAACCAAATGATTGGTTGCATCAGCACTACAAACACCTTCAAAATGGTATAAAATATAACCAGTAACTGCTGGATTAAGAACACCACCCCAAATAGCAGCAAAAAGTAAACATGTCATGGTAACTTTTGGAGGTACTTTATTATAATGAGCTAATTTAGCAGACATTGAAGTATGCATACCATGTTGAAGAACACTAAATCCAAAAGTATAAAACCAAAATAATTTTAATGGATTTTTAAACCAAAAAGCACCAATAATTTCAAAAAATGGTTGAAGACTAACTTCAATACTACTTCTAGATTCAATGAAAATCAATGGCATATATAAAGCAACTGCAATTATAATAGATACAATAAATGCACCAGCATCGATATTAGTACTATAAGCACCACTAAAACCAAACCCAATAGCAAGCCCAATAATAAACCAGGCAACGTAATAACTCCAGTGGAAATTTTTATACTTACTAAGAGCAACATTATGAACATCAGTTTTTTTCAGTCTTAAAGGATCAATAACATCAGGTTTAATTCTTAAGAAGAAAGTGACCATCATGGCAGTGAATGAAGCCAAACCTAAAGCAACATTCATTAAAAATGCAATTGGTAACATAACTGGAGAATAATCATTAAATTTAGAAGTTACTAAATCCCAATCTTGATTAACAACTTTACTTGCATTATAAGGTTTACCTTTAACATCAAAAACGGAAGAAGTCATAATTGGGAGATGAGCAGTTTGCCAATGATTTTGATAGTAAAGACCAGGCATTACAATCCAAATCCAAAAAACAAAAGAACCAAAAACACAACAAACAGCCCAGAATGGGGTAGTTAATGGATTACTAAGAGAAGTAACTTGGGACCAATCAAAAGTTAAAGGAAACAAACCTAAACCAGTTTGAACCCCGAAAACTTGAGAAAGGGCAGCACTTGAAGGTTTACACCAACTAATCCAGGCACCAATAGTACTTAAGAATGGAGCAATAAAATCTGGGAACCAGTACCAAACGAAGGCAACTGTGAACACAATGGCTAAAAATTTAAATCTAGAAATTGTCCAACCACCAGCAGGTTTATTTTCTCTAGAATGGAAAGTTTGTAATAAAGCACAATTACCCAAGATACCTGGCCAAACACAATCAGGAGGAGTAACTAAAATATCATAAGTTAAACCGGAGAGAGCATAAGAAAGAATGAAACAAGATACATGAGCCATAATCATTTTACCAATACCAATATCTCTATCGAAAAATTTAAATTGTTCAACAACAGCATTATTAACTAAACCAGCACTAACCACAACGTTAACCACCACGAAGACCAAAGCATGTTCTTTTTGATTAAAAGGACCTGGGTTTAAATTGAAACCACAACCAAAGGGTAAAGGAACATTCCAAGAAGGGACAATCCAATACCATAATTCCCCTAAGGGGAAGGCAACAACTTGAGCAACAAGAGCAGCAATATGGATGGTTGGAAATCTCATATTAAAGAAAGCATCAACCCCACCAATAACGGTACTTAAAACAATAACAAGAACCCACATTCTCAAAGTGGAAGCAGGAGCATCAAAGTCTTCAGTGGGGACAATGGCATCAACGTCATCTCTAGTAAAATCAGCAAGGGCAGGAGTGGATCCATTAGAATCACTATAATCCCCTGATTCATAGAAATCTTGTTTTTCATCTTTATAGAAATCAGTAGTCTCTTCATTACCTCTTCCAACATGAACCAACTCGGGGTTCTTATTATCAAGAGAATTTGACAGTGACATCTCTTGACTATATTTTATTTACCTTTCTATTAAAGGAACTGAAATAATCTAGATAATCAGATATATATATATCTATTTAATCAAAAGTCTAATGCCGGAAGTTTGGAAACAATATTAGCTTTCCTAATCCAGGAACAATATAATTGGTCCTTTATCGAATTTCGAAATAATTCATAGCTCCGAGTAGCCAATCAGTTGAATTAACTCCAAATTAACTTAATTAATTAGCTCTACTAACGTCGGTCATGGGTAGCAAAACCGTACCGAAATACCAGAGTAGTAGCCGTACAGAGAAAAGCCTTTTAAAGTTTTTGCATACCATATTGATTATTACAGCTTTTTCTGTGCCAGTTCTTTTTGCATACATTTGAAATATGCTGCAACAAAAACGTCAAATTTTAGCCCACAATGCAGCTGTCAAACTAAACCGCGCTCAAAGTAAAATTCCCAATTGTTAGATATTCCTAGAAAATTCTTGTCCTTCGAGTCCATCGAGCTAAGTTTAGTACCCTTAATGTCCAAGTCCCTTATCTATTTTACGGGGTTATGGGAATGGTTGGATAGCGATTCAATGGGTTTGCTTGGTCTACGAGTAAAGAAAAGTCGATAAACGTAGTGTGAGAGGTGTTCCGCTCTTCCAGGCAGATGCCTCTTTCTTTATTTTTGCTCTTTCTGTTGTCTATTTTTAACCTAGTTGCTTACGAACTTTACATAAGAGTCTCTTTAACAAAGCAGAAATGTGTGTGAAGACCAAAGGAATCGAAATAGCCAAACACAAATGCTCTTTAATTATAAATCCTTTATATTCTTGCATTTGTTACGGATATCACGGTTTAGCGGAGCACGGTCTTAGCCTTGGATGACGGGCCTGGTTACTTGGCTCTAATAAGATTGCAATACAACCGTACTATTAAGGGCAAACGTTGTAAAGCCAAGGTAGAAGAACGGAATCTCTTTGCGATACCCGAAAAGATGCAGGCAAATTCAAAAAAAAAAGGACTCACGTTAGGTAATGTTGCATTACCATCGGTCTTCCACTTGGAACCGATGGGTTTATTTTTGGCATGAGTGTGCATGTAAATGGTATTGACGTACTGCTTCTCGTATCTGAAGCACTACTTCTAGCCAATTAAGAGCTAGAAATTATATAAGTAATTCAGAACATCCCTTGAATTTTTAATCAATTGCAATCAAGCCTGGGGAAACTGTTATTGGTCAAGTAGTAACAAGTCTGGATTTGCAACAAAAGAAGAGTAAAAGTTGAGTCCGAAGGGCCAGAAAAAGACAGAAAAAAGAAAAAAAAAAAAAAAGTCCTTGAAAAAGAAAAACCTAACGATTAATGAACTTTTCTTAACAACAATCTTCTTGTTTATTTGCAAAAATGTCTATTGTATCAAGTGTACGTTTTGTATGTGAGGAGATTGGGTTAACCACCTTAGTAAACTCTTCTAGAGATGTTTTCCTAATCATCATCTTGAGGATGATTAGATTATTGGGGTTTGGTGCAACATCTTTAATTCTTGTCCTTTTTTTAAAGGAGTTGGGTATTCATGAAGAGTATATTGGGATATTTATGACTTTAACTTTTATAGGTGACTTGGTATCGAGTTTTTTATTTAGTTTAGCTGCTGATAAACTAGGTAGAAAGTTTACATTAAGTTTGAGTAGTATAATTATGTTAATTACCGGAATTAGTTTTTCAGTTTTTAATAATTATTACCTTTTAGCATTAATATCAATTCTTGGGATTTTGACCCCTGGAGGTGGTGAAGTTGGTCCTTTTAGATCAATCGAACAAAGTTCTATTGCAACCTTATGTTCTCATAATGAAAGATCCGATATTTACGCTTGGTATACTTTCTCTGGTACTTTCTGTGCTGCTTTGGGTTCAATATTTGGCGGGTTCTTAATTCAATTCACCTCAAATAAATTGAATTATTCTATTCTTGCAAGTTACAAAGCTGTGTTTTTAGGTTATGCATTCATTTCATTACTTAGTTTCATTATCTGTTTATTCTTAACTGATCGAATTGAATTAAGTAATGAAGATAAAACAACAACCGATGAATCATCAAATGATACCTCCAATGAAACAACACCATTGAATCAAAATGAAAACTCTCCTTTAATTGATCAGCCAAAGAAGAAATCTAGATTCTTGCCCGAATTAAATCATTCAGTTTATTCAATAGTGTTCAAATTATCAATCTTATTTGCAATCGATTCGTTTGCTTCTTCCTTAGTATCGATGTCCTGGCAAACTTACTACGTTAAGCAAAAATTCAAAGTGTCTCCTTCGTATCTTGGTAGTATCTTCTTCGTTACTGGTATCGTGAGTAGTATAATGTCATTACTTGGTACTAGTTTAACCAAAAGACTAGGTGCAGTGGTTACTATGGTTGTAACTCACTTACCGGCTTCAATCTTACTTGCTTTAGTTCCAATCCCAAATTCTCTCAAGATAACTTTGATCATTTTGATTATCAGAGCTTCTACTCAGTCCATGGATGTTGCTCCAAAACATGTATTTTTAGCTACCTTAGTCCCTTCAAAAGATAGAACGGCAGTGTTCGCTTGGACTAACGTCGTTAAAACTCTTGCTCAAGTAGCTGGTCCAACGATGGTAGGTTATTTAACTAACACCGGTTTACAATGGTTAACTTTCATACTCGCCGGTTCCTTAAAAGCGTTATACGATATCGGAATTCTAGCTACATTCCTTACATTTAATAGACACAATCAGCACTAATAAAATAACTCATTTTTATTCTACTAATTTGCAGCTCATAAAACCTGGAAATGCCGAAAATTGTATTATTAAAAATAACTCCTGTAACAATTCTATTATACAAACAGGTGATTCGCTCTATTAAGGTTATTCTTCTTATTATAACAATGTAGTGGAGTATTGTGTTGGGAGTCTTCTTTTTTTTTGCCAATAATATCCTGGTGTACGGGTGTTATGATTCGTTCGGAGTCTTTAATACATACCCCATGGGGGTTGTTGATTAGAAAGAAAAAGAGGAGTCATAAATCCATCAGCAGTCACTTTCCCAAGGCATATAAGTACTTCTTACATCTAGTGGTGTACCGCGTTAACCCTTGACTAGTTAAGAAATCACTGTTTTCTAGTAAGATGAATACTTTTGCAGATCACGTTCAGTTGCACTCCGACCATACTCAGAGGAGGTCCATTCGAACCAAGTACTCTAACCCGTGTGATCTTTGTGCACTTCGAAAAGTACGATGTGATCGACTCGAGAAGATACAAATGGCCAAGAGAGATCCTACAGTATCTGAAAGTTGTTCCAGATGTTTGAAAAATGGCGTTAATTGTACTAATATAAGATTAAAGAAGAAAAGTGGACCTAAATTGAAAGCTAGATCGACAAAAGCCGATGAAGTTCAGAAGGAAAAGCCTTGCAAGCGATCACCAAAAGTGGAGCTATCACCTCCTTTACACGGTGAAATCTTGTCGATAGATAAACTACTTCCTTATCTCCATGTTTATCAAACATGGTATTATGGAGTATGGCCAGTTATAAGTGTTGCTCATTTGGTATCAAAAATTGTTCAAGACTGTACAAATAATGAATTAAATGAAAAAAGTGCTACTTCATATTCACTTTGTTGTGCTATTTGTGCAGCTATATCTAAACAAATTACTTTTCTAAGTTCTAGTTCTCAAATAATTAATATTCCAAATGATAATGATGCTTCACTTTACGTTTCTGAGTCACTCAAGGCCAGATCAATAGTGGATTATAAATTAAATCCCAGTTATGAATCTTTATTGACATCATTTTTCCTTTATGTTTATTATATTAATAATAAAGGCGGTACTAATGCTTCCATTCTTTACCTCAGAGAAGCAATCTCAATGGCCCAAATTTTGAAATTACATGATAAAGCAACTTTATTGTCAAAACCATCAGCTGAAGCTCATAGATTGAAGAAAATTTACTATTTATTATTAGTAACTGAAAGATTTATGTGCATTGAAGATAAAATCCCGGTGATTTTAGATGCTTCAATACCTTTACCATCTTTAGAAGACGAGGAATATCCTGGTTTACTAACTGGATTCACTGAATTAATTAAAATTTTTGCAATACCTGATCGATCATTTTTTGATAATATATCTAATTTATCAGACAGTGAATTGTCATGTTTTAAAATATTAAACGATTTTTTAAATAATGATGATAAAGATTCATCATTATATTCAATGAATTGGATTATCAATGTACAAAAAAAATTAATGAATATTAAGATTATTAATCCAACTTCGGATATTCAAAAAGCTAATATTTTACTATCAAAACACTGGATGAGATCATTAACTTGGCATATATCGTATCAAAAGGGAATATTAAGAAAAATTACTAATGATTCTAATAATTGTTTGAGTTTTAATTATCCAGTTAGTATTGCTTATGACTTTTTATCAAACACAAATGACTTACCAATATATGCATTTGAATCGAATGGTCCAGGAGTATGTATTAAACTTTTGGAAATTGCCAATGGTTTGGCTGACTCAATTAACAATTTTTCCTTACATTCAAATTATAATGAATTTTCAAGTTATAATGCCTTAAATTCAATTTTTGGATTAATCGGTAAATTCAAAACTGAAATAACTTTACCAATTAAGCTTTATCAAAAAATTGAAACAATAGTTAATAATAGACCAATACCAAAGATGCCTGAGCCATCAGGTTATATTACTGAAGTTAATGAAAATGAATCACAAAACTCTCCATTCACTGAAATGGCGAACATTTTTGCAACAGCTACATCGTCCTATGAAGCCATGAATGGCAGAGCACAACACTATAACCAGACTTCTTTAAATGAATTTTCAAACCGACCAATATTAGAGTCTTCTACAATTGCATATTCCAGAAATGAGGTTGATTTCGCCCCAATTGACCAACATTCTGGAAACTCCCTGCTGCAGAACTTGGTCAAGCTAGGATCCTTGACCAATTTGAATCACGAATCCTCCTATAATGACTTCAGTTGATATTTCCTGATAAACAATGTATATAGGTATAGGTATATAATTCACCCGTACATCAGATATTTGGGAAAAGTCCAAATTTAGTCAAATTGTAAACAAATTCTCATCAAAAAGACTTTCTTGATCCAAAAGATTCATACGTTAGGATATTGAATGAATAAGCCTATTCCATTGAAGTTCGACTTCAATGATATGATGTAAGTTCGTTCAGCTGTGGCCGAGAAGGTATAAGGTGAACTTTAGAAGGTGAAAGCTCTGTAAGTTATTGTAGAGAGTGAATCCAAACAAATTCCGTATCAGGTATTTTGTTTTTTTCCTCAATTGATATTTTGATAGCTTTAAATTTCAACTTTTATTTATACCAAATCTTTTCGTTTTTCATTGATTATTCAAGTTTACACTTAAAGTACCCCATTAGCAAAAGGGTTTTTCTTTAATTGTTTTCTATTTCCGATTTTGAACTTGTTTGGAAGGCCTTTGTTGTTGAAGCTTTTTTTTTTTTTTTTTGTTCTTCTCTTCTTCCACAAGTTTGCTTATTCATTCATTTTTACTCAAACCCATCAGTTATCGTATATATTGGTTTGACAAAGTAAATCACATCTGTTTTGTTTCTTAATACACTTATCATAGTTTTGTCATTTATTATTTATTTTCGTTTCCAATCTTTTTCAAACTTGCATTATTAGTCCTTTTAGTTTGCCTTATTAATAGCATCTACACTTAAATGTCACAATTAGCTCATCTCTACGATGCTCTCGAAGTCATTGGGAAAGGATCTTTTGGGACTGTTAGGAAAGTTAGGCAAAAATCAGATGGTAAAATCTTGGTACGTAAGGAAATTGAATATACCTCGATGAATTCCCATGAAAGAGTTCAGTTAATTGACGAATTAAGGATTTTGAAAGATTTGAAACATCCAAATATAGTTGAATATCATTGTTTTGATCATTTATCTGAAAAGAGAACACTCCATATCTATATGGAATATTGTACTGGAGGTGACTTGGCACAATCAATTGCTAGCTTTAAAAAAGATCAAACTTCAGTTCCTGAAGGTCTAATATGGCAAGTCATGCTTCACATGTTGTATGCATTACATAAATGTCATTACAATTTCAATGCTGGTAAAGTTAACCTTTTCGGTGTTGATGTAAATGAACCTCCAATTAATCAAAAACAAGTTGTCATTCATCGTGATATTAAACCTGATAATATTTTCCTAATAAATTCTGGTTCTGAAACAATTTTCAAATTAGGTGATTTTGGTTTAGCTAAATTATTAAAGAATGAAAATGATTTTGCTAAAACTTACGTGGGTACTCCTTATTATATGTCTCCAGAAGTTCTAATGGATAATCCTTATTCACCAGTTTGTGATATTTGGTCTCTTGGTTGTGTTCTATTTGAATTGTGCACCTTGAAACCACCATTTCAAGCTAAAACACATTTACAATTACAAGCTAAAATTAAAAAGGGAGTTATTCCAGAAATCCCTGACACTTATTCTGCTCCTTTAAGATCAATTATTCATGATTGTATAACTGTTGATCCAAATTTACGACCTTCTTGTTTTGATTTATTAGAAAATTTATCCGTGAAATTCTTAAGAAAAGAATCTGAGTTAATTGAAAAATCAAATAATTTAAATGAATACCAAAAACAACTTTCAATTAAAAATGATGAATTAAACAAAAAAGAAGTATTTTTAAATAATTTGGAAAGAAAAGTTGAAACTCAACGTAGCGATCTTGAAGATAACTTAAAAGCAATGCAGAAAAAATTTAACTTACAAAAGAAACAATTAGAAGATGAATTATTTGAACAGATTGATCTGACTAAAAAGCAAATGGATTTAGAAGCAAAAGAACTTAGATTAAGTTATCAAAGGGAATTTAGACATGTGGTGGATAATGAAGTTCAAATTCGTTTAAAAGAATTAATATCAAAGCAATCTCCTGTGAATAATAATGGTTTGATTAGAAAACATTCTGATCCATCCTCACCAGCATCTCAAAAGGCACATCCCGGCGGTCCAAGGAAATTACCATCTGATCCTCTACAAATACCCCAACTGTCACCGATAAGTCCTCAATATCAACAAGCAATTCAAACATCACCTCAAACCAAAAGAATCCCTCTTAAAACAAGAAATGACCCTGATTTTGAAACTCCAAATAATTTTTTTGTTGGTGGTACTAATCCCCTTAATAAAAATACGGTTTTGGCTACAAGAGTTCATAACAATAACTATAATCTCGCTAAAAAACGTATGGAATTAGATCGTATGACTGGAAAAAGGCATATTCCAGATTACGAAGAAATGTATCTTCGTAACAGGCATTAGAGATTTTATGTGTCCTTAACGTATTACTTCATATTCTAATTCTTTTATTTAAATTCCAACTAGTTGGAGCTAAATTTTATTTTCTTTTTTGTGATTTGGGTGTCAAATTGTTTTCAATTCAATTCAAAGATTGGTTTTATTAATATAATTTTCAGAGGAATTTTCATTCCTCTTCATCGGCCGATTTTCATCTACATATTTTTATTAAAAGTTCTATATGTTTAATAATGAATTAGCATTTTTTTAGATTCAATGTAGCAGCGAAACTTATTTGTGTTTTTTTGCGAACATTTTTAGGATTTTTGCAAATATGATTGCAAAATTTTAATGGTCTCATATCAATGTGAAAGACTTTGCTTTAACAAATGAAAATATTAATCTATGCTATCTATGCTATATTAATGCCTATAACTTTAGCTATTCCGTTCCCAACTATGATACAATACAGGGGAAAAACATTGTCGTTGAAGTTGATTACATACAATATTGGACCACACGAGGAGTCAACTTTATGTTATTATAACATTAATAGTGGAAAACAGGTTATTTCCCTAAAACCATTTAAAAATTTCAAAAAAATTACCGAGTTTGAATGTGCAGAGCAATTAGAATTATTTGAAATAAAGAAAGTGATTGAACATGAAACCAAAATGAAATTGTTAATGCCCGGAGAGATCAACGATTTAGAAAGTACTTGCACCGTGGAACCCGATCAAATACTGAAGTTGATTTTCGAGGCCGAAATAATAATCGCTACAGTTGAAAATGAGGAAAAGGGAAGCCGGTTTGCAGTTATTTTCCCAGTAAAAGGGTTCAAATTTTCATGTTTAGATGGTAAAAACATTTGTGATTTAAACTCTGAACCATTCAGTACAAGCCTTGGTTAAATTGAATCGTCTATTTCTATTGAGCTGTCAATATATAAAGCTAACAGATATCATTAATATACAGAATGAATTAGTTAATTTCTTATTCCAATTAGTCAGACCACTTGTTACCAGTTAAAGCTTCATAAGCTTCGATATACTTTTCTTTAGATCTAACGATAATGTCCTTATCCATAGAAACGCCGTCTTTACCATTCAAGCCGTTAGAAGTTAACCAATCTCTTAAGAATTGTTTATCGTAAGAATCTTGAGATTGACCAATTTTGTAATTGGCAAGATTCCAAAATCTGGAAGAGTCCGGAGTTAAAACTTCATCAACCAAAACAAGGTCATTATTTTCATCAAGACCAAATTCAAATTTAGTATCGGCTATAATAATACCTTTAGTCTTAGCATATTCTTTAGCTTTAGAATATAATTGAACAGCTTTTTCTGCTAATTTATCACACAATTCCTTACCAACAATCTCAGCTGCTTTTTCTGGAGAGATATTTTCGTCATGCTCACCTTGTTCGGCTTTGGTAGAAGGAGTAAATATAGGTTTAGTAAATTCTTGAGATTCTTGTAAATCTTGTTGTTCAATGGATAAACCATGGACAGTTTGATGGTTTTTATATTCTTTCCAAGCAGAACCAGTGATGTAACCTCTAACAATGACCTCTAACGGAATCAACTTCAATTTTCTAACCAATAAAGATCTACCAGATAACTGTTTTTTGTATTTAGCTTCACTTAATTTTTCTGGTAATTTTGCAAATAAGTGTTCATCATCATTATTTGGTAAGATCAAATGATTTTGAATATCAGAAGATAAGAAGTCAAACCAAAACTCAGACAATTTAGTCAAAATCTTACCTTTGGAAGAAATACCATTCTCCATAATAACATCATAAGCAGATATTCTATCGGTTGCAACGAAAAGAAGAGTATTAGCATCAACTTCGTAGATATCTCTCACTTTACCTCTGGCAACAAGCGGCAAGATGTTATCTAACTCAGTAGTGTGTAATGATTCTAAAGACATGGCGATACAATTGATATGATCTAGAGAAGAGAAGAATAAGAAAGATCAATTAAAATGCTCTTCTTGAAATTTTGAGTCTCATATCTGACTTCTCCTTTTGTCTGCTTTGACTCCGGCTCTCAATGGGGGATTTGTCGGGGCACGAATTTATCAACACCCGTACACCCATATATATGTACGGAGGTTTGTGATGTGCGGGTGTCTTTCTTCTTTTTGGGAATGCAACCTCGTCAAACTTTGGCCTCTGGCCAAATGGAGTTGGCAAGATGTTCAGGGGAAAGGATATGGCACCGAATCTCAGGCAGTGCTACAGCACTATTAAAAGACGTGGGTCCTCGGGCAGTGCTTAATTTAGCGTGTGAATGGACAAGCAGGATAGAAATTTCTCATGGCTAAAAATAATCTAAGGACGTGGCTGTCAAGGTAGAATTTCTAATTCGAAAACACATTCACCGTGACACATATTGTTCAAGGGAGCGGAAAAGGAAAACAGAAGTCTGTCAACAAAACCCAGCTGAAGCTCGTTTCAGTGGAGATTAACATACAAAGATGGCAGGTAATTTAAATGACCAATTCACCAAAAGAGCTTGATTTCTTGTTTTCAAACTCGGCTTAAACCTTGTTAGCCTGAGGAATCACTCCCACTGGGGCACTTAGTTGTAAGTTCAACATTCAATGGTACTATTGATCTGAAAAACTGAAAAAAAAAAATGATTTTTTGATCTCGTAGCAAATTGTGAAATTTGATTTCGTAAAGAACTACCGAAGAATATTGGATCCATCGTCAACTATTCGTTTCATTCATTTCTATCTCGTAGGCCCCATGTGTAATTACCGCACTAGTTATCTGGTCTTGTATGTTTAGAGATTTATTATTTTACAGCTTAGAACCACAAAGGCTTGTAACTCACTTGACGATTCAAGGCTTTGGCCCAATGATTCTAATGAACCGAACAGAGGAGACGTCATACATTCCTACCCCTTTTTAATTTTTTTTTTATTTGTTTCTTTGGTTTGACAATTCCATACCATATCAATGAAAGCTCAAGCATATAAATAGTTAAGAATGTACCTGAAAATTTAATCTTGGTATTTGTTTTTATAATCTATCAATCTATTCTTTAATTCAATATGTTCGGTTTCGGTGATCACGAAGAATCTCACAATCAAGTCTACGGTCAAGAAGAACACGAGGGCCACTTATCCCACGAAGTTATTGCCGGTGCTGCTTCCTTCGCTGCTGCTAGATCTTATGAAAAAAAGCAAAGAGAAGAAGGTAAACCTGTCTCTCATGCTTTCGCCAAAGAAGCTCTTGCTGGTATTGCCGGTGCTGAAGTTGATAAATTGGTCGAAACTAAAGGTTTAGACTACATTGACAGAGAAAAAGCCAAACACCAAGCTAAAGAATACGCTCAACAAGGTTACGACAGCCACTACGGGGACAAAGAAGAATGGCACCCAGACCATGAAGCTCCATTTGACTATAACAATGAAAGATATAACTACTAAGTAATTTCGTTGATCTAGATGATTAAATTTATGATTATTTCAATATAAAAAACTTGTAGAACTTTTGTTTGTATTAATTTTGCAATCGATTAACCAAATGGTGTACGAATTGATACACGCTGAAGAAAAAAAAAAACGAAAAAAAAATACAAGAACGCGTCTTTTTGATTTGGCTATCTTTTTTGACCTACTCCATAAAACTCTTTTCATCCCATATTTTCTTACTAAACAAATATCTTAGGGTCAACGTCATCATGTCCAGTACCAGACCCGATCTTAAGTTCTCTGACAACGTCGATGAGAGGCTGTACTACCGAAAGTATGCCAATCTTGCTCCAAAAGATTCATCAACTATCCGTATAATTGACCATAATAATAAAGACTACTTCACTGTGTTAGATGAAGATGCTGATTTGATTGCTGATAACATCTATAGAAGTCAGTCGGTTATTAAATACAACCAATCCCAAAAAAACAAATACGTTACTATTTCTCCTCAAGTATTCCTTAATAATGTGTTAAAGTTTTGTCTTATAGATAAGAATCTAAAAGTTGAAATTTATAATAACAAAACATTTGATTTGATAACTGTTGCTACTCCAGGGAACTTGGAAAGCTTATCCAATGAATATGGTACCAACCTCGAAACGATGTTCAAAGATGGCTCATCTCCAGTTATTGCCAGTATCAAGTTTATTACTTCAGCCAATGTTAAAAAAATTGGTGTCTGTCTCATTGACTTACTGAATCAAACAATAAAATTGAGTGAATTTGAAGATAATGATCTTTTCTCCAATTTAGAAAGTTTATGTTTGCAATTAGGGGTGAAAGAAGCAATTTTACCTTCTAATTATGATCCTTCAGGTGAATCGGATGGGGATGTAATCAAATTATACCAAGTTTTGAATAAAATCGGTAATATCGTTATTGGTTCAGTGAAAAGTTCTTTATTCACTCATAAAGAAATTGAACAAGATTTAGAAAAAATTGTCGTTTCTGATAGTCCAGATAAACAAGACGATCTTAATAATAGCATTGAATTAATCTTAGCCTCCAAAGGTATAAGCTCCACAGACTTTACCCTTTCATTATCCTGCTGCAATGCTTTGATCAGCTATTTAGATATATTAAACAATGAAAACTCCTTTACAATAGAAAAATACAACTTATCAGCTTTTATGAAATTAGATTCGTCTACTATGAGAGCTTTGAATATTTTCCCCAATGCTTCGAATCCTGGCTCCACCGTTTCTTCTGCATCTTCTGCAGCCCCCCAATTAGCAGCCTCAACTTCCATATCGTCCATCTACGAATTACTTAATAAGTGTAAAACAGCAAATGGCTCAAGATTATTGTCTCAATGGTTGAAGCAACCCCTTACAAACATGTCTTTGATAGAAGAAAGACATGCTTTAGTTGGCCAATTAGTCGAAGATACAAATTTGAGAATATACATATCCCAAGATTGGCTCAGTAAAGTACCTGATGTGAAAAGACTTCTTAAAAAAATGGCCAATGGAGTTAAAAGAGTCAGTGGAAATGAAAATAAAAAATTGGAGGATGTTGTAAGATTATACCAATTGGTCTTAATCTTACCAGATTTAATCAATATGCTTACAATGGCTAACGAAGACTTGAGAGAAACTCACGTTGCTGAATTGATTGATAAATATTGGTTAAGTCCAATTAAAAAATCATATGATTCATTGGTAAAATATCAAGAATTAGTTGAAACTACTATTGATTTGACTCCTTTAGAATCGGCTTCTGCCCACGACTTATTGAATAAAGATTTTAATATAAAACCAGAGTTTGACGAGTCTTTGATCGATATCAATAATCAGTTGCAATCCACTCTTGAAGAAATCAAAGATACTCATGTTAATGTTGGGGAAGATTTAGGCATGGATACAGAAAAGAAACTCAAGTTAGAGAAACATCAACAGCATGGATGGTGCTTCAGAGTTACCAGAAACGATTCTTCAGTTTTGAGAAACACAGGTAATCGTTATATTGAATTACAAACAGTCAAAGCTGGGGTATTTTTCACGACTAAAGATTTAAGAGGTTTATCTAATGATTACCAAAACTTATCTAATGACTATAACTCAAAACAAAAGGATTTAATAAAAGAAATTTTGTCTATTACTTTGACATACCAATCAGTTTTCCTTCAATTATCTCAAACCCTTTCACATATGGATGTTTTATCAAGCTTTGCTAATGTTGCAATTTTTGCCCCAATTCCATTTGTAAAAGCTAAGCTTCACCCATTAAGTCAGTCACCAGATGATGAATCCTTTATAAACCGTAAAGTTCAATTAGCCTCTTCCAGACATCCAGTATTGGAGGTTCAAGACGATGTTAATTTCATTCCAAATGATGTCTATTTGTCTAACAAGGATGAATATAAAGGTAAATCATTTGCTATTATTACAGGTCCAAATATGGGAGGGAAGTCAACTTACATCAGACAAACAGGGGTAATAGCTTTAATGAACCAAATTGGTTCTTTTATTCCAGTTTCTGATGAAGAAGAACAAGCAGAGTTACCTATTTTCGATGCTATTTTATCGAGGGTTGGTGCAGGTGACTCTCAGTTGAAAGGTTTATCTACTTTTATGATTGAAATGTTGGAGACTTCTTCAATTTTGGCTACAGCAACTCATAATTCACTCATCATTATTGATGAATTAGGTAGAGGGACCAGCACTTATGATGGATTCGGACTTGCATGGTCAATACTGGAACATTTAATAGATAAAAAACAATGTTTTGCACTTTTTGCAACCCATTTCCATGAACTAACAAAGTTATCGGAAAAATATGGGAATAAGGTTGACAACTTACATGTTGTTGCTCATATTGAAAAAAATGAAGAGGAGATTAAAGAGGAAGAAATAAATAAACTGGATGACATAACCTTGATGTATAAAGTAGAACCGGGAATTTCTGATAAGTCTTTTGGTATCCATGTTGCAGAGCTAGTTAAGTTCCCTAGTAAAATCGTTAATATGGCTAAGAGAAAAGCCTCTGAATTACAAAATTATACTGAGGGTCAAAGTGAAGAAGATCCTTATGTCCAAAGTAAAAGAACCAAATGTTCTAACGAAGAAATTGATAAAGGGATTGATCAATTAAAAGATATTTTGAAAAAATGGAAATCGAAGTGCTACGACGAAAATACCAAGAATTGTAAAGTTGATTCAAACGAGGCTGCAAAAATTTTGAATGAATTAGTGAAAAATGAGTATTCGGATACAATTAAAAACGATAAATTTATCAGTGAAATACTTCAAATGCTTTGAGATGATCAAAATCTTACTCTATATACAGTAACTTCACAAATAATTTTCTTATGTCAATTGATAATAAATAAATATAATCTAAAGAGTAAAAATTTTGAAAGGCAAAAAATCGAGTAACTATGGCAAAAACAAAAAGTATATAAACCCTAAGCTAAATGTTCTTTTTAGATTCTTCTTCATCTAAATTTTTTAAGGTAATAACAGATCTATATCTTTCTAACCCTGGTTTATCAATCAAATAAACCACAGGTAAACCCCAAACCCATTTGAAAGTGTAAAACTCTTGGGTACCACTCAAGAAGCATCTCAAGTATTCAATATAAACCAAATAGAAATAAACACCAGTACCGGTAAAAATGTGCCACCAACCATGACCTTCTAAAACAAAACCATAAGGGATCCCCCATTCTCTTCTTTTACTTCTTATATGGGAACATAAGTGGATATCAAGATTCCATAAGAAATAACCCAAAATGAAAATCAAAACCCCAAAGACCATAGTTTTACTTAATTGAGTCCTAGCCTTTGAATCCTTCACATGGTCATTAGCCAAAGTATAACATTTCAAAATGATACCAGCATTAAGAAGACCATAAGCTGCTTGATGAATGGTTGGGTCTTTAAAGTAAAGGTAAATTGCAGTTAAAATATTCGCAGCAGTAAAGATTCCAATGGCTACAGTCAATGAGCCTTTGCGATCTTTAAATTCACTAAACACTGACCAAAACGGAATACAAGTGGCATAGATCATTGGAAGTTCATCCAATAATTGAAATTGATACTTTAAAGTCATATGGAATAACCACGAGCCAACACCAACCAACAAAAAGCCCAAAGCAGTAAAGATAAACCTTGGTTCCAAATGATTATGATAAGCATGATAAATTGCAAACAGGGCCAAAAGAATGAAAATAGAATTAGTAATGGTATTTAAAGCTTCAGCTATATAACCGGATACAACATAATTCTCTTCACACCAATCAATTGTAGATGTAGGAATCCCCCAGAATCCATTTTCTTGTTCTGGAGGATAAGGAATTGCAAATGGAAGCATTACTGAAATAAAATAAACTAACTCTTATGAAAATCAAAAGAATAAAGGTCAACTATTCAAATTCAATGGCTCCCGAATCAATTTATAAAAAGCAATGCAAAAGAACAGATAATTGAGTACTCACCGAACAGTGCGTCACACTTAATTATAGACAAATCTTTATTTAGTAAGAGATCAAACTATGATAAGAAGAAGCCAACCAATTTGAAGTATCAATTAAATCATCATTTCAGCAAAAGGGCTCACTGATTGTTGCATTTAGGCAATTATATTTTTTTTTTTTGGTTTTGTATGGGGAGACATTATCTTCGGAGAGCACGGGCTACTCGTCCTTTTCTTTTTATAAATTTTATCCGTTTTATCAGATTTTTTGGAGCATTTAACTTCAGGGTTCAATGGCCAAAGCCTTTTTATATTAACTTATATCTTATGTATATTAGGGTATCTTATATTCACAAGAGTCTTTACAATATTTAGAGCACTTCGAGAATTTGAAATATGTAGAGTTATTTAGTTTTCGTACCATTGTAACCAGCACTCGTCGTTATACGGTCTGGTAGTATAAGTATCAACCATGGCCATTTTTTCTTCGTCGGACTCATTGGCACCAATTGCACTATCTCCCATTTTGATTGGGTTAGCAATTTTAGACGAATCGTCGTATTGAGTGAGTTTGCACCAATCTTGGTCGATTTTTGAATTGAAGTGCCAGTAAAGATTGGCAACTGCTAATTTCATTTCAATTAATGCTAATTGCATCCCCAAGCACATGCGAACACCTTTACCAAATGGCATCATATATTTTTGCTGATATGAGATTCTCTTTTCATAATCAGCGTCGTTCTCGTATTCATAAGGCAACCATCTTTCAGGCTTGAAGGTTTCACTTTCGGGGAACACTGACTCAACTCTATGCATTAAGTAAGGCAGGGTTGATATGATAATGCCTGGAGGCAATACTACTTTCCCACCAGATTTTAATGTAACCGCATATGGACGATTAGTTACTCTTGGTTCAGCTCCTGGAATTGAGGGATGTACCCTAGAGTTTTCCTGGAATATAGCTTCTAAAATTGGTAGTTTATCGACTATTTCCAAATCTTTAATTAAATCATTTTTATCCCTTGGCTTACCAAATGTTCTGAATAACTCTTCTTGTAAAAGTTTTTGAAGATAATGGTGTTTCGGTCTTGATAATTCATAGGTCATATAAGTTAATTGAATTGCGGTAGTTTCATGCCCGGCAAAAATATTATCCGTTAAAAATGAATAAGCGTATTCACCTTTCAATCCATTCTTCTTAAATGTCTCAAGAGTTGTTAAATTTCTCCCTGCTTCGAACTTTGGTACATTTTCTTCTGCCCTTTGATAAAGTTTCAAATGCCATTTTTCAATTGTCTCCGAAGCTTTAAGTATGGCTGGAGTGGCGGCCCATACCCAAAATCTAGGCATTAATGTTGTCCAGAATGACATACTTGCTTGTAAGCGATGACTTATAATAATATCTCTCTTTTCTGGAAATAATAGTAAATCTGTACCATTTTCTGGACCTAATTCGAAACTAGATACCACATCCATTGCTAAAGATCCAAATAATGGATATACATCAATACCTAAGTTTGCTATCCTACCACTTTTATTAAACCATTTTCCATTATCAGTATGTCCTTTACCATGCTGATTAAATTCTGATTTGGCATTGATGTAATCTGGTCTCTTTCCAGTGACTGATGATTCGTAAACGTTATCTCTTAAGTAGCCGACTTTTTCAACTATAGTATCCCTAGTAGGATTTTTGTTTGAAAAAATTGATGATTTACTATAAAGCGACAGGACAAGTTTCTTATATTTCAAATGGCGATCATTTTCTAAAGAGGCAAACATATTATCCTTACCACCGTGATTTGTGAAATTTGCATAAAAAGTTGATTTAGGGAAATTCTTCACATAAATATCGTTTATAAACTGATGATCACCACTTACACTGACTTCAGAAGGTGATAAAATTACTATAGGTCCATACTTGTCATGTAAGTTTCGAACTTTTTCGTTCCACTTTAAAGTTCTTTGACCGTTTAAAGCAGGAAATGAAGTTATTCTATGGATATAAGGCCCGGGGACCTTTCTTAATGGTGAGATAAACAAGGGATACAAGAAAAGCTTGTAAACAAGTACTAACGTAATAAATACGCTTGTGCAGTAACCCCGATTAGATTCGATTAAGTAAAACCAGTTTTTGAAAAAATCAAAAAGCATATCCACACTTTATATATTCTTAAGCACAAGCAAGACAGCATCGAGGAATAACGACTCATATATATATGTATCTATATATATATGAAATAGTTTCAGAGTTCTGGATCAAAAAAAAAAAAAATTCCGCACTAAACATAGGAACCTGTCTAAAATTCCGCACTTCACAAGTAAATTGTTACTGCTTGTTCAAGGGATCAACAACTGAGTTGGAGGAAGAACAGGATGTTTAGAGAGGAAGAACGGAACTTGTGTAAATATTGAGGCAACGGAATACACCAATCTAAGGAATACGGAACTGAAAAGTTGAACTACATAAGAGTTTCCGCTCCAGACTAACCTACAATTTGAATAGACAAACATAAACGAATAATGTATTCAGATTAAACGGAATAAATAAGGAAAAGGAAATATTTAGAATAAATAAGGAAAAGGAAATATTTAGAATAAATAGAATTAAATAAATGGAGGCGAGGGCATTTCAGTTATATGAAACGTCACTGTAGCAAAACAAGTTGATATGAATTAAACAGAAACTTTAGCTTCGACTTTTGTTTCTGTTGCAATTGATACATGGTCGTTAGCTTCATTTTGTTGTTTTAAGTAATGAGCAAACTTACTGGTTTCATGAATACCACATTCAGTTTTAGCTTGACCTTTCCATCTACCGCTTCTCTCATCTTCACCTTCAGCAACAGGAACAGTGGAATGCCAATCACCAATAGATTTGTAACCCAAGTCCAATAAAGCATTATAGGGAACTTTATTTTCATCAATGTAATTTTTAACTTGTTTGAAATCCCAATTACACAAAGGATTGATTTTGATCGTCCCACTAGTTTCTTCAACTTCAACAACCGGTAAGGAACCACGGGCACCACCTTGTGATTTTCTTCTACCGGTTAAAACTGCCAACACTCCTAGTTGCTTATAGGCTCTTTGGGATGGTTCGACCTTAACTAAGAAATCATAGTATGAATCATCAGTTTCCCATAATTGTTCACCATATTTTTTGGAAAATCCAATGTCATCTTGCACATTTAAAGGTTTAAATTCATGAATTTTAGAATTATATTTTTCTTTAACTGCTTGAACTAAATCATAGGTTTGAGGAAAATGATGCAAAGTATCAATAAATATAAGATCAATAGGATGTTCACTAGATTCGGGAAACATTTTGGAAATCATATCTATGGTGACCAATCCTGTAAGACCAAAAGCTGTGGTTTGGTATAAATGGGGGAAAGTAATAAAGGCCCATTTTAAGATCTCTTCTGGTGATAAATACTTCAATTTATCATTTATGTGATCCAATTGTTGCTTGGATATTTGTATTGGGCTTGCTGCACTAGTCATGGTCTATCTCTATTATGGGGGATGTGATTAAAATGGGGGATGTGATTAAAATGGGGGATGTGATTAAAATGGGGGTTGTGATTAAAATGAATAAGAAGAAAAGTCTAAAGAAATTAACATCAAACTCATCAAACTTTTCGAATGCTTTGTAATCTTTGAAAAATCGGTATCTTTAGATATGCTAAAAAACAAAAAAAAAATATTAGAATTGGTGCTAAAAGTCTTCACTCGCTAATAATAAAAGTGCTGCATATCTGTGCACGTGACATCACGTAAGACGTAACCTCCATACACCACAGTGTAAAGGCTGCAAAAACTAAGTTTGGCACTACGGTTCTGTAAACCCTAATTATATATTTATGAGCTATAGTGAGTTCTCACGCTAACAATATTTGGTTCGTGTTTTAGGTTTTCGCCGGACTCGATCGATTCCTCGAGGTCCAGGTCTTTCATTACTTCATTGGTGGCTGCGTCGACAAGAGGGGCTCGTTTTTCATCCCGTACTTGTAAGTACCTGATTAATCCACAGACAAAACCACTAGCAATAGCCGTTGCTAACATGGCATAATTTCCCTTTTTGAATTCAGGGACAGTGTCAGCAGCATAAAACAAAATCAGCCACCAGGCGTTAACTGCATTACTGAACATGTTCATCGAAGCTAGAACAACAGCCCTTTCTTCAAGATCATCAAAACACACATTATTGGCCCAAGCGAAGAACACGGTTTGGCCACCGTATGCCACTCCACCTAGATATTGCGCAGCGAAAACATAGCTTGCAGTATAAGGTTTTGCCAACATTAGAATAGATGCGATTACCATTACTATTGCAATAACAATCCCAGTTCTCCAATGATATTTTGCACCGGTATAGTCAATATAAAAAGCAAAAAACACGTTAACAAAAGCCCCAATACCATAAATCCCCATAGGATAATGGTTTCTCTGCGGAATCGTATAGTTGTAATATTGAAGCCAAAGAGAAAATAAGGAATTGGTTGCAAAAGATTCATTTTCACCACCTAAAACCCAAAGAAATGAAAATAACCACCAATGCCATCTACCAACAACCCTTTTGAATACAGTCCAATCGAATTTTGTTTCGGGGCTTTGAGGCAACCTAGATTTGGCCAATTCAAGTTCCTCCTTTGTGAAAAGATACGGATGACAGATTTCAGGGTAATCAATGAAAAAAATTAATAAATATGCAACAACAAATAAAGTAATTAAAAAATCAATGATGAATAACCATCTCCAACCAGCAAGCCCACGATAATTATCCATATTAGTGTAAATAGCGCTTTGTAAAGTTGAACTGAAGAGGTTACCGAGCTGTCCAGAGATTACGAAGAAACTTGTTCTTAAAGCCAATTCTTCCTTTTTATACCATCTCAGAAGAATTAAGTGAATACCTGAAAATACGCATGATTCAAATCCAGCTAAGAAAAACCTTATAATACAAATTTGTTTATAGTTGGTTACTTTATACATGCTGAAAGTTAATAACCCCCAAGAGAAAGTACAGAATGACAACCAGTATTTGGGTCTTACTTTCAATAGTATTAAATTATGAGGAATTAAAAATACAGTATAACCAACCGTAAAACAAGTATTGATAATATTATATTCATTCCCTTTCATATTTAAGTCATCAGACATCGAAGAAACGTAAGCTGAAGCAAATGCCATTCGATCTAAGTAGTTTATCCAGTAAATCAAACAAGCACAAGATAAAATTAACCAATCGATTTTCACCAACAACTTAGCCTCCTTGGGGTTCTCTGGGGTTTTTCCCCAAACAACACTTTTCGTTTTGGTCCAAAAATTTGTCATTTGCCCAAGTTCTTTCTAATTCTTTATCGTTTTTGGCTCAAACGGTTTGACATGCAAAGCGACTAGAGTCGGTGATGTCTAATTGATTAAAGGATTTGTGATTTCGTTCGGGTGGTGTTTTCTCTAGAAATGCTATTTAGAAAAAACCTCTATATATGGCTATATATACATTATTATAAGAAACAGTAACTTGAACTAGGAACAGACTGGGTTAGAAACTTAAATACATCTTGATATCGCTTATCTCTCATCAGAAAATTTTCGGTCTGAGGAATTTAGCAAGAAAACCTCCGAACACCAGGTGTTTTTATCTATTGTTTTATACATTTAAGGATAGATAAGACTCCTTAAAGATGGCAACAGCACGAGAATGGGCAGGCAATACTGCATCTTCAGATACTTCAACAAAGAGGGTTATGATAAACACGGTTAACGTAGTCCGGAACCTTGATCTGTAACTTCGTAACTTTATCTTCATTTGATATATATTGGTATGTTATACCCAATTGATATATATTGGTATGTTATACCCAATTGATATATATTAATATACATATTAATATTGATTTGTTAATTTATACTCAAATCATTTGCATTTCAATCACATGTGTACTTGATTTTATCTGTATTTCTGTATTTATTTGTATTCGTCTCTATTTGTAGTCAATTGACTTTTTTGGTTAGCTATTGAGGTGGAATTACATGAACAATAACCTCTCGCAAAATATTAACAGATTCCTACCCGAATCAAGCATTCTCCTACCTAGATGAATCCATTGGCTGATTTAATTTGTGGGCATATTCAAACAGCCGTTGGAGGTTTTTCGCAGTAACAGTTTTGGATAACGAAAAATGCTCATTGAATGTTCCATTGCACTTATTTAATTAACTTTTAATTAGCTTTTAATTGGCATTTTTAATTGGAACTTCAAAATGCCGGGATTATAAAAAGTCGACTTTTTCACTGAATTTAATTAATATCATCATCACCGTAATATGACTTCAGAAATTTTGGCTCCGGCCTATGAAAAAATGTCCATGGGTGGCATGTCCAGCTCCCATTCTGCTTCTGCTTCCCCTGCTTGCAAGATATCCATGTTATGGAATTGGTATACAATTGACACTTGCTTCATTGCCAGATCCTGGCATGTCAAATCAAGGGGCATGTTTGCCGGATCCTGTATTGGTGTTTTTTTCCTTGTTTTTGCATCCCAATGGCTCCATAGATTTTGTCGTGAGTATGATTTTGCAATCATTAGGCGCAAACAGGTTAACGATACCATTTTAGAATCATCCAGTGATTCGCTTCCCATGTCCATGGCCCCTACTGAGCATCCAATGGTATATGCCATCACTCATAAATGGCTTTTGAAAACTCCAGAACCCTCCCAAGTTACTTCTTCGATTCCTGAGCACTTTATACGCTCCGTCTTGTTCACTATTGAATGGGGGTTAAGCTACATCATCATGTTGCTCTTCATGTACTACAATGGCTATATCATCATCTCATGTATATTGGGAGCTCTCTTTGGTAAACTTGTCTTTACTTATAATGAACCTCTTAACCATTCCGGTTCTGCTGCTGATAGCGAAGAGCTGGATCGTAAATGCTGTAAATAGACCCAAACACCCCGGGCCTTTAAAGGCAAAAAAAAAAGAATATATACATATATATACTGTTTAATTTGTAGATAGTATCGGAAAATGACAGTTGACGAAGGAGATATTAACGACTCCTTTCGAGGGCTTATGCAAAGTCTTAACCTCGATGAGAATCAATTCAAAAATTACGATATCGAGTTTGAAACCCTTAGCTTCCCACAATTGTCGGCAGTTAAAAGTGAAATGGAGTCACAATTGGGTATATTATTTGATATATTGAAAAACAAGTATGGTGCAGATATGGACACTGCCTTGTTGAGTGGTGACGGGTACCCGAGAAACGATATCGACGTGGTCAGTATAAGGTTGATTCGAGTGAAAGTGATTAGATTAAGAAATGACTACAAGAAAGTACTTGAGCTTCTTGAAAAGAAGCTTGTTGAACAATTGGGCAGATCCAGTACAGCACAAGTAGAGAATGAGATCCGTGTTCCGGAAACACCCCCTTTAATTCCATTTGCACTTGTTAAAGAAGTTGCATTTGAAAGCCCTGCTTTCAACTCTGGATTGGAAGAAGGTGACAAGATAATCCTTTTCGATAACGATATTCACGTTCGAAACCACGATAAGTTGGCAAGTATCTCCCGCAGGGTATCAAACAGAATAGATCAACCGATAAAAGTTGAAATATTAAGAAATGAACAACAACAATCGTTAGAGCTAACCCCCACCAATAACTGGAATGGTAGAGGAGTCCTTGGATGTCGTATTATCCCGTTATAGTACACTAGCATGTATTATTTATTTAACCTATATATGTCATGTCTAATATACAATTTCTTAACCTCCATGTAAAGTACTGGTGAAGGTGAAAACGTCCCCACTTTCAATCACATAGTCCTCGCCACCTTCTAATTCCCAATCGGTATCATTGATAAGCACCAATATCCCTGGGCGAACGGTGTCATCTTCAATGAAAACAGGAATGTCTTTTGGATCGGTGATGATGGTGTTGGTGATATAGTCAACCAAATCTTTCAATGTGGCCTCACCTTCTTCCAACGGAACACTGAGCTTGTGTTCTCTCACACCGCTGGATATAACATCCAACCCGCCTAAGAACTCAACCTTCACCTTGATAGCCATTTTTGATGTTTAATTGGTATCATTGATGGAGTCTTCACTGATTTTTTTTTTCAATACAAATCCGTTGTTACTGCACACAGAAAAGTGAAAAAAAAAAAGAGAGAGAGAAATTTGATGGAAATCCAAACACGTAACAAAAATACTGGGGCGAACTTTTTCAAGGACCTACTTCAAACTATTCTCTTCAAGACCTTCGGTGTATAATTAAATGATGCAATTGAGTAAATGGAGTAGACCACAATCGTGGGGCTTCCTTTTTTTGGTGTTTTGTCTTGGTTTGTTGGTCAATGTCGGTGCTAGTTCTGAACCATCCTTTGAAGAAAACAACGTTTTAATTGTTCATGATCCATCAGTATACGATTTATCAGACCCTTCGAGTGTACCACCACAAATCAGTTCGTTCCTCTCCGAATTGTCTGGTTATGAAAACTTTAAATTGACGTTCAAGACCTATAGTGAAGAAAGTTTAAACTTATTCATAGCCAATGAACCAATTTATAACCATTTAATTTTGTTACCAAGCTCTAAAAAAACCATCACCGACAAAGTCAATTTCAATCAACATCAATTGATTGACTTCATCAACCAAAAGGGTAATGTTTTGGTTGTGGGTGGATCTGACGCAGCTTTACCAAATGATATTAGAAGTTTCCTTAATCAATTGGGTATTTATCCTTCTCCCCAACATTTTAAATTGGTTGATCACTTTAATACCGAAGATGGGAAAGTGAAATTGAATAACGATAACATTGTCAATAAGAAAGTTTTTGCTGAATTCCCAGATAATTCCTTTTTATATGAAGGTAGTACTGCTTTACTTTCTAATAACGAACTTTTATTCCCAATTGTTAAAGGATCTAAAACTAGTTTTACCACTGATAATTTAGAAGAACCAATTTCTCAAGATAAAACTTGGACTTTCGGTGATCAAGGTTTTGTTGCTGCTGGTTTCCAAGCTTTAAATAACGCCAGATTATCTTGGATTGGTGACGATTCGTTACTTAATTCCGATTTGATTAATTGGACTTTCCAAAAAAGAAATCTTTTGAAATTACAATTTGTTCAACATTATAATAATGAATCTCCTGAAAAAATTAATGAAACTTTATACCGTATTAAAGATAATGTTATTTATACTGTGGGGATTTCTGAATTGAAAGACAATAAATGGGTTCCTTTTGAAATTAATGACGACGAAGATAGACTTCAATTATCTTTCAAGATGTTGGATCCTTACCAAAGATTAAATTTAGAACCTTTAGGACCAGTGGCTTCTAATGACGGTGAATTAGACGCAACTGCTTTCTTTGTTAACTTCACCATCCCAGACCAACACGGTATGTTCACTTTTGAATTGGATTATAAAAGACATGGTTTATCTTACATTGAAGATAAAAAAGTCGTTGCAGTCAGACACTTGGCAAACGATGAATATAAGAGATCATGGGATATTCCAAACTCTTGGGTCTATTTCACCAGTGCCTTATGTGTTGCTGTGCTGTGGGGCTTCTTTGTACTTAACTTTTTATTCATTGGTAATACCGATAATGTCAAGAAAAATGTCTAATATAATAGTGTTTATTAGATGAAATATATATAATTCATAGATATGTTCATGTAAAATTCTAAGTTAGGACCCGCTAATGGAAGTCTAACTCGCTCATTACAATTGCCTTTTTATTCACTTTTTCATCATAGTCAGCCCCTAAAGGGTTATCCCAATCTAACTCTCCTAGCTTATGCCCTTCACAAAATAATGGCACAACGTCACTGGTAGCGCATTCAACTTGATATGATTTTCCTTGTAATAATGCATGAATTTTATCATGTTGTTTGAATTCATCATCAGTTAAAAATTTTTGCACCGATCTTTTGAATTTAACTCTTCTACTTCTTGGAGTAACCGACACATATGTGGGTCTAATGAGGACTTGACCAATGACACCTTTGGGAATAGAACAGGTAGTTGAGCCACCAACACTAAGGGTGGATTCTAGTTCAAGGCCCGCATTTAACCCAATTGTAAAAAGCCCAAGTGCAATCGAAGTACCTATCGAAGCAGAATTAGTCACACTGAATCCTGCCGTCCAACCAAAAGTAATCGCTCCAGTATCGCCGTATTCTTGAGATTGGCAGGAACTCACTGGAACAAACCCTGGATACTTGGCTTGGGTTTGATCCCCATAACCAACTTCAATATACTCAACATCGTCATTTTGCTTGGATGCTTTCCTTTCAGACGGAACCTTTTTTGGTTTCTTCTTGTCTTTGAAAAAGGGGAATCCTTGATTCTCTAGATTCAATTCATCATTCGAGCTTGTTCCAACCTGATCGATATTCTCGAATGTATCTTGCTTGGATCTATCAGATGTGGCCCTTATCAAATACGTATTAGAGTTTTTCAAAACAAACACAAGGTTCTTCTCCTTTTCATGTAGGAGATTAGAATAATTTTCTTCAACATCTTGCAAATCGCTAACGTATATTGTTTGGAAAGGGCCATTGTGTTCATCTGATGACGGTATACTAGGCCCTTTGCTTTCAATGATAGGACTCACATCAGAAGCATTATTCACCGGAGACGTAAGTACATCAATAGAGCCATGTTCATAGTTAACGACACCTTGGGGGACCAAACCACCTAACACATAATGGAAAAAGAAAAATCCAATAATTAGCTTCATTCTAATAACTTAATATTGAAGAAACAGAGAAACACATCATCATAAGCGGCCTAATTCTTTTAAAGCAAATATTTTAGGTACGCAGAATATCAATAAATTACAAATTTTGCAACTCAAAACTATGAAGCATTTTTGCGGGCATGCAAAAAAAAAAGGTGTAGGAGAAAAAAATAAAAAATTTTGAAAAATTCAACGAGAAAAAGTATACAGCATTAAAGATTGATCTGCCGGATAACATATCAATTAAGAGAATCCAGTGTACAAGATGTCGAGTCCAGAAGATGCGCAAAAGCAGCAAGCTCAAGATCAAAAGGCCCAATTGTTACAAGTGCAATATAACAAATACCAAGAACAAGTCAGTGGTATGCAAAGTCAATTAGGAGATTTGACATCACAATTGCAAGAACATATTATTGTTGAAAAATCATTAACCAGTATCCCTCCAAACAAGAGAGAAGGCCGTAAATGTTTCAAGATGATCGGGGGAGTGCTTGTGAATAAACTGGTTGATGAAGTTATAAAAATATTGAACGATGATATGAAAGTATTAGAAAAAACCAAAACTACATTAGAACAAACTTTAGTTGATACGAGAAAAGAAATGGAAAAATGGATGAAGAATAATAACGTTAAAGTTATCAAAGGACAGCAATAGGTCATGAGTTGTATATACCCTTACATTGTAACATAGAAAAATTTCATCAAGTCATATAATCAATAACAATAATCAAGAATTGTATGTAGAGAAATAAATAGAATAAATAAGGTTGGGAGAACATTATACAGCAACGGTTTTGACATAGTTCTCGCGAGCACTGCTTAATCTACCAGTATCTCTATTAATGGCTTCCCATTTTGGTTCATCTTTAAATAATCTAACTGCTTTTACATCTCTTTTGGCACTTGTTAAAGTAAAGCGGTGATATATACCAGCAGGTAAAATAAGTAAGTCATTAGCAACTAATTTAGTTCTAATCCATTTATCTCCTTGGTCTCTAACATCAAAGTAACCTTCACCACTAACAATATATCTAATTTCTTCATCTTCGTGATAATGTTCTTTATAAAATTGGGCCATTTTATTATTAAAAGCTTCAATATCATCATTAAATGATCCCAAGTTAAGACTCACCTGATCTCTATTCTTATAATCTCTTTCCTTGGCTAATTCATTCAATTTGTCTTCGCTATCAATATAACGGTAGATAACTCCAATTTTGGATAATTCTTCCAAAGAAACCGATTCTCCAGAATTGTGTGCATCAGTGAAGTTTTCTGGGGTATCTTTATTATCATGTAAGTAAACCTCAACCATCTTCACCTATTGTATTATAAGTCTTCTACTATAAGTATAAGTTGTAATGAAGAACGTGGATGATCTTTTGAAAATCGTGAGTGAGAACACTCTTGTTTGCTCACTAAACAGATTTTTTTGTTGCAATTACTGAAGCCACACTAATAATTCATGAACAAGGCCTACATCACCTGGATCACCAGACTATAACAGTATATATTTGGTTGATAAATAAATGGGCATTAGGTCAGCCGCTGTCTTCCAAAAGCCAATTAGTCTTGGTGTACGGATGCATGCTTTATCACGACATTTGCTTGTATGCTTTTGGATACGCGACATTCAACGAGAGTACATCGCGACATTTTTATTTCGATGATATTTGATTTTTTTTAGTTTATTGACTTTAGTAGCTGACATTGGGAAAATTCCAAAGAGAGAATGTATAACAACGGAGGATCTAATAGACAGGGCCAGAATGGACAAGGGGGCCGATATAATGGGGGTACATCTAGCTTCAATAATAGTTTAGAACATCAATTAGCGTCACAAGATAAAAAGGCAGCATATAGAAGAACCGTTGATCATGGTAATAACATGGGAAGATGGTATGTGAATAGGGCTTTGGGTAAGCCAGCTCAGCAGATTGGGGAAATAAGACCTGAGTCATCATATTTAATTGATTTATTACCGTCACCAGCATACGCAAACACTAGTAATCAAAATAAGAATAATATGGCCATTATGGATATACAGGCCAAATTTGTTCATTTATCATCGAATAAAGCCAAACATTCAATCAACACTGTTAAATGGACCCCTGAAGGTAGAAGATTGTTGGTAGCATCCCATAGTGGAGAATTCACTATTTGGAATGGTATGACTTTTAATTTCGAAACTATTATGCAAGCACACGATCTGGCAGTTTTATCATTGAAATATAGTCACAATGATGATTGGTTATTAAGTGGAGATCAAACAGGGTTGATAAAATATTGGCAACCAAATTTCAATAATGTTAATATAATACAAGGACACACTGATGGAATAAGAGATATTGCATTTTCACCAAATGATTCTAAATTTTTAACTTGTTCGGATGATTCATCCTTGAAAATATGGAATTTTAATAATGGACAAGAAGAAAGAAGTTTAGTTGGGCATCATTGGGATGTTAAACTGGCTGATTGGCATGAAAATTTAGGATTAATTGTGTCGGGTTCAAAAGATAATTTAATTAAATTATGGGACCCAAGAGTATCTGAATGTATTTCTACAATACATGGATTCAAGCATACAATTACAAAGACCAGGTTTCAACCAACTGGTACTAAAAGATTATTAGCATCAGTGTCAAGAGATCGATCATGTAGAATATTTGATTTAAGAACAATGAAAGATTTATGTGTTATAAGAGATCATGAAACTGATCTATCATGTGTTGCATGGCATCCGCATCATAGCTCATTATTAACCACTGCAGCTTTTGATGGATCAATGCATCATTATTTATTGGATAATCATATTAGTGATGGAATTAATTTAAAATCAAATCAATCAACCAATAATTCATCAACAACTCTCAATGGGAATTTTGAACAAGTTCATAAAATACCGTATGCCCATGAAAAGGCTATTCATGCATTAGAATACCATCCATTAGGTCATCTTTTATGTTCCGCCGGTGCTGATAGATCAGCAAGATTTTGGTCTCGTGCAAGACCACAAGATCCAATGGCATTAAATGATCCATTATATACTAATGAAAAAGTTGGAGCTTGGTATTTTGGAGTTAATAATAATATTAATGCAATTTTCAATCATCCGGGTGGTGGTAGCATAAATACCGGTCAAGAAACTACATCAGCACCAACATCAACTAATAATAAACCAATGAATTTACCAGGATTAAACAATATTAATGAAGATGTTGAAATGAAACCAACCAGTGAAGCACCAAAGTATTCAGGAATCCCTGGTTTAGGTGGGTTTATGTAATGTATAGAGTTATTGTACGATAGTTAATGAAATCATAGTACTTTTAGTGTAATGACGTCAGATGATGACAAACAATTGATCGCAAAAATTTAAAGCTACAAAAATTACATCAGATAAAGTTTTTAATCTAGTAAAATTTTAATCTATAAAATTGAATAACCCAAGCCGATAACCTATAACCAAAGAAGAAAAGTAGAAAGAATACAAAGAAGTAAAATTATTTTTCGTAAAAAGCGTTGACCGCTTCAAAATAACGATCACCATGAAGTAAAGAATAATTTGAAACAAAAGAACCAATTAATGTAGTTATATCATTTGAAAAATGATTGATTTCCAAACCTTTTGTATTTGGATAAACAATTTGATGCGATTTACCACCATTAACCAATTTAAAGTAACAACAAATCAGAGAATATTTAGATAATTCACTTGAAGAAATTGGTTCATAAACCTTAAAATAATGTTTAGTACGTTGTTTAAAATCATTTATAGAAGAAGAATAATCTTTACCCACGTAATCAGGATTGAAAGCTTTACCGCTAATATTAAAATTAATTAAACGATCATCATTACATTGAATATCGAAAACGATGATATTAGCCGAAATACCTGATTCTTTAATAAGATTAATCATTCTTGATCTTCTTTCAATAGTAGTATTGGTTGCATCTAAAAATCCAACATTAATTTTATTCTCTTGTAAATCATTTAACAAATTATTCATTGTTATAGTAGCAAAATTTTCTCGTTCATTTTTAGCTTCTTCATTATTTGGATTGAAAAAATCAGAATTAGTAAAATTATTATGCTTTTGATTACGACGGATATTACCAGCGTTATAAATTTTTGAGTTGTAATTATTTGATTGTAAGTAATTGGCCAACTGTTTTGATATAGTTGATTTACCACATGCCGGTAACCCAACTAATAAAACAATCGTTTTATTATTCAACTTATGATTTATTAATTCATTAACCCGGTATAAATCATCTGGTTGAAAATGCTGATTAAGAGAAACCGCTGATATTATTGGCGTAGTTAATGTAGTGGTATTACTAGTATTAGTATTAACCGTGATATTGGGTCTATCAAAAAGGGAAGATATCGAAGTAGACGAATTGACCGTCTTCATCTTAGTATTAGTAGTAGTATCAGTATTAGTAGTAGTATCAGTATTAGTAGTAGTATCAGTATTAGTAGTAGTATCAGTATTAGTAGTATCAGTATTAGTAGTCATAGTATTGGTAGTTATTATTTCGTCATCATAAAAATCAAAGTAAGCAGTCATAATCAGTTATCTAGAAAACATAGTATATAGCAGTAAAGATCCCTACAATCACAGCTACATGATCTGGACATATATATATATTTAGATAGATGAAGTTTATGTGCCCATTAAGGCAAATTGCAAAAGTGACTCAAAAAAAGGAAAAATCAGAAAAAAAAAAATTCTATGCAAAAAAAAAAAAAAAAAAAAAAAACACGGATAAATTTACAAAGGGAAAAAGGAACTTTAAAAAAACAAAAGGAACTCAAAAAACAACAGAAAAAAACCCAAAGAGCAGCTCAAGAGGGGAAGAAGTGGAGCTACGGAGCACTAAGGCCATCAGTTTCACTACTTTTCAGGATGGACAATCCAGGCGTTCTCGTCTTACAATAACCTCATGATATACAATAACAAGATGCTACAGAATCACGAAAGACTAAATTGGCTAACCTTTCTGGAACCGGTCTCTTGGACATATCGTGATGGCATGCGTGGTGTGCTGCTACCGAAAGATAAAGTGATGTTGTAAGAAAAAAGAAATCCAATCGGACAACCGCAAATTGGGCATTGTTCCGGCGGACTACTGGCTCCGAGGTGTTTGGGTTTAGTCATGCACGCCAGTACATCTCGGGTGATCGGCTCTTTGCCTTTTTTTTTTGTGTGTATATGGAGTAATGACCCGTACATCTGCTTCCGTTGGACCAGTGAATCGTCTTGCTTCCGTTAGTCCAACACTGATTTCATATGAGTCAGAGATGTAAGGGTACAAGTAATTGAAACCAAGGTTAATTTGACTAAGCAGTTGTTGACTTTAGCAGTATCATTTCACAAGCGAAGGTATCTCAGGGTATCCTGTGACCATGAGTGTGGTTGTTGAAGAAACCAGTTTTCGCAGCTTTTCTTACTCGATTTTACAAAATTTGCAACCTGCCATTGTATACTAGTAATCAATCACCCTTGTTAGTTTCACATGGTGCTTTGTATTGGGTAGCGGTATTACACTTGTAGCTACAGGTCTAAATAAGCAAAACATATATTGAACTAGTCTCTGGCAAACATAAATTGATTTATATTGAAGTGGTTTTTGGCAAACATATATTGATTTAGTCCAAGTAATTAGCAACCAGGATTGCATCGTCGTGATTGGCAGTCAAATCAACTGCAATACTCATATAGCCAATTAATCCATCACTAATATTAGTGCCCAAGTACTCAATCTCAATGATGGCATCATAACCACTGGAGTTTTGCTGAGGGAAAAACATATCCTCCTCATTGGTGGTTCTAGGGTTAGTGTCTTTTGTATATGGATACAATTCACTGATTTCATCAACTAAACTATCTTCGAAATAAATTTGCCCAATATGATCGGTGCCTCCGATGTTCAATGTATTATTATTAGTCTGCACAGTTGCATTAACATGAGAAAATATATGAATATGGGTGGATCTTCCTTCATACCACCCAGGGAAAATGGTCTTGAATTGAACAATACCTTCTTCATCAGTTGGATACACTCCTCTTAAGTAATTTAACCCAATAGTGTCTTCAGCTTCCACTCCGGAATAAACCCCAGTTGCATTACAATGCCAAACATCAAGATAATTGTTGGCGATTGGCTCACAGGTCTTACTATTAATGATTTGAACATCCAATAATAATTCAACCCCTTCTTGTCCATCAACAATATCATCCCTGATATATTCTCCACCAACATAATATGGTCCAATAATATTTTCTGGAGTTAAAATACAGAAATTTTCAGCATCGATAATAGTGGTCCCGTTATCCCTTTTACTTTTCAAATTTACCAATGTTTCCTGATTAGCATAATCAATCGATCTTTCCTTCAATTTCTCTTCATAATGTCTTTTCTTGAACTGTTCACTTTTAGCTGAGCGACGAGCTAATGCACCAGACTCTTTCAACTTTGCATGACACCCTTCTAATGATCTTTTAGTATGTTTATAAAAAACTTGAGGATCAACTACCGGAACTGATTTCCCGGGTCTATGGGCACTAATTGGTCCAATTATAGCGGCTAAACTAAGAATTCTAATAATACTAACCATTTTCTTGATAATTAAAAATAAATTGTTTTTCAATATCATCAAAATTTAATACCTATTTATACACTTTTTCCTTTCTTCAATTTCTCCTCTTATTCATATGGCTCAGAAGTTGAAAACTCTACTCCTCCTTATTAACCAACTTTTCGTTATACGGTTCGAAAGCTGCAAATCAGCATAGCCAATGGAATGCTTTGAATTTCAAATGTACCCAATTTACTAGCTAGTCTGACTGTTCTATTTCAGGAAATATTTTTGCGTTCGAGCAACATGCATATTCAATTGCAGCCATTTCAAAAATTTCAATATTTCCCTGTTATCCGTTCCCCAAGTTCCTAGGTTATCGCCTATTCTTGATTTCTCCACACTCATCCTCCTTGCCATGTCTTACTCTATTTTAAGAACCATTCAAAGACTTCATTGTAAGACCTCGTACTCTTGACAAGTCAAACTTCATAAGCCTTATATTTTCTTGGTCCCCTTCCACTCTGTGAAATTTCATTCATGTATCTCCCAAATCAAGTCCAGAACAATCCCGCCTATGCGTCAAGCGGCACAGTGTTCTGGCATTCATACAAGATATCATCTCCTTTGTATTTGCAAGTTTGCACTTTTATCTCGGTGCTCGGGTTATTACCCTAATTAGGTGTTCCCGCTGTCAAATTTCTATTTTTCCGCCGTTGTGGTCCTGTCAAGGAGTCAATTACGAAGATCAATAACATAATCTTAGTAATAACTGCCAAGAAGTAATACTACAAGTAGCACTACAAGTGATGGCACAATTGATACTACCATCTACAAGGAGTGAGCTTGAGCCTTGAAAATGTACTTGCTACTTTTAAATATATTGTGATCGTTTATATCTACCTTGTTTTAAGTAAGTTTGCTCTTACAAGTAAAACATAGTAAGGCTTTAGTAATGATTTGACATAATACTATTGTTACTCTACATATTCGATGAACACCTTAGGAATATTTTATTGTCTATTTACAGTCTATAATGCATTAATTTTTCGGTTCGTACAATACTGGATTATTATCCTTGTTCTCCCATGCTTTCATTCTAATTTTCCCAACTGCAGAATAAACCCTCATGGGGTTCTTTTGGTCTGATTCATCAATTTCAATAACTCTTTCATCATGTGCATCTGGTTTCTCAACATCTTTTTGTTCTTCCTTCATATCATCCGGCTGTTTATTACCGTTTGGTCTACCTGCTAATAATTGGGTAGCCCTTTGTAAGAATTTCAAATACGGGCCGGGATCTTCTGAAGCCTTGCTAATGGTGTACTTATTAACCCACTTCTGTTCCTTACTATACGGATATGGATGAGGTGTGGGGACGGGCCTATAATGGCCATCAAAATGTACTTCGTTTTTCACAACATAATTTAGAACACCAACTTTGGACTCTTTAACAGTCGATTTATTGAATTTGTCTAATTCTTCTTTATGTTGACGTAAATTTTCATTTCTTTCTTCATGAGGAATATCTTTAATGAAACTTGTCTCAAATTTTTGCAGGAATCCCTGTAATTGATTAGCTTTTTCTTCCGTTAATGGAACAGCCATTACCAATAATTGAGATGTATGAATATCATCGGACCCTTCTTTTGGAATAGTAACTGATTTAGACTTCAAAACCAACCTGAAAGTTGTATCTTTCAACCCTTGTGCTTCTAGATCTTTTATTATACGATCTAGTATTCTTTCCCAAATTTCTAGTGATAATTTAAATTGAGTTTCTGCAACATATGATGGTAATGAGTCTCTAACATCATCAATTGTTTTAATCTTCTTAGGGTGTACTTCATGAGTTGTTGAGTATAATATTCTATCAATGTCAGATAATGGTAAATATTGGAATCCAAAAAATGAATTAATATTATGATATGCTACAAAAATACCATCCATTTGACCTATCCTTGCTTGAAATGCATACTTTAATAGAGCCCCAGTTTTGATCAAATCATCAAATTCCCTTTGAAATGATTCATATCTACCATCTAGTTTCCAAATTTGATAAGTATTATTTGCTAGTTCAGGATGGCCTTGGTCATACCTAATAGCACATACTGCTCTTGATTTTAAATCAAACGTCCCATTACCTGGAAGTCTATCATCGTAGCAATCTAGTTGTGATCTCATTAGAAAATTTCCATAACTTGCGTAATTATATGTATTTTCATTTTGTTGCATCTTGGTTTCAATTATTTTCTTCTCCCTCTCTCCACTTCCAGAATCACCTCCTCCATATTTATAATTGACATTGAATTTTTCAAACTCTTCTTCTTCATTCGTAAGTAATGCTTCAAGACAATGTCCCATAGCGCTAAGTAAAATTTCCTGATCTGCCGACTTATCTGATTCAATAGCATATACTGATTCACCAGTGACATTGTTTTTACCTTTCGGCCTTATTAAAACACTGCTAGGAACTTCTTGAACGTTACGAGAAAATTCTGGAAAACTAAATCTTGACTTCAGGTCAGGCTTATAATTATTTAGCATTAGATAGAATTGAGTCAAACTTGAAGTCATTGATGAAGTAGATGAATAAAACTTTTTCAGTTGCTCAATAGCTTTATTGAATAGCACTTTGTCTTTTGAAACTGTCACAAATTTTTCAACCAAATCGAAATTAAAGTCCTCTAGTTTAATGATTTTTTTCAAATACGGGGTGAAATTATATATTCTTGTACGAGGATCTTGTAAGAAGTGAACTCCTGGTGAAAATAAAGCTCTATCTAGTTTATGAGCCAATCTTGGGATTTTTTCAGCCTCTAGTTTTCCTATGGAGTTGAATTCTTTCTCATTCAAGTCTATAAAATGGATTTCTGGAGGAACGGTACTATCTAATTGCATTGTATAACCTATTAACCCAGTTCCCTTCTCTACCTTTGTATCCTTATCCACTTGATTCTTTGTCAAGACCTTCTTGTTCCTCTTTAGTTGCAGAGCACGGTTTAAAACCCTTGATGCTTCGGTCTCATTCAAATTGGTTAGTATCTTAGACTTTCTTCGTAGTTGTGGTTTGTTAGACCTTTCACTAGATTTATGCGGACTAAAATTCTTCGCTGTCTTTCCATTAAGTTTCAGTCTTACTTTGAAGCTTCTCATTACGTGACTAGCCATTTTATCCTCCATTTCCTCTTCTTCGATCAGTTTTTGAACTTCATCATTCAGACTTGGTTTAACACTAAACTGACTTGATTCATTATTGTTTTGATAACTTGAGCTTAATTTTCTTGTCAAAAGACCAGGTATTGAGCTTTTGGGAAGCCCTCTGATAGAACCGAGCTTCCTCAAATGTAGCAATCTGATCATGTTCACCGACTGCAATGCTCTGTAGTAAGATTATCTAATTTTCACTTATTTGGTATAGTGCAATTTTCAAAGTACTTTGAGATGGGGAGCAAATAGAACCCTACACGACCGTAATTCGAAAAAAAAATAACTGGATGGTAACACTATATACATCACTGAGTGAATGAAATGTCAAAGTTTTATTATATTATACAACATAGAGATATACAAACTTTCATCGTAGGGAGTTCTAATGTAGTTTTTTTTTTTTGATTTAGTTTTTTTTTGATTTGCTCGAAGGTTTTTTGATGAAGGAATAAAAGACGTAAGAAGCGTAAGAGTATTAGCAACACTTAATGCTGCAAAAAGATTAAAAAATGCCAGACACCATTTGACATTGAAGAAATAAAGGAAGATACAAGATTCAATAAATTCCGAAATTAGAATTGAAGATTTAGAACAAATCATTACCATTGCAAAAACCAACTAGAAGAAGGAAACAAGAATAATAAAAACAAGCAAAAACATGTAGTCATAAAAAGATTAATACAAGATTAAAATACATTCAAAAGACGCCATCAGTTATACAATCTTCTGTCAAGTTCTCTCAAGACATTTGCGACAGACTGTACTTCAACTTGCATACCTCTAGTGGTAAGTTTACCGACTAAAGTACTGAAATCAACTGAATTAAATTTTTTGTGTCTCGATAAAGTTTTATAAGCATCAGCACAAGGGATGAACATACCAGAAGAAGTGACCGTACCTCCTGGGGTAGTTGCAATAGGAGTTGAAGGATTCGTTAATGAAGTCATTGCTAAAGAAGGGATATTAGTTTTAGAACCACTTCTTGAGATAGCGGGAGGAGTTGAGTTAGATTTTGCATTAAAATTGAAAAAGTCTCTTGCCGGAGAGGCAGCAGACAATGAAGCAGGAGAGTCAGCGGCTTCTGCTTGATCATTTGAATCTGGATTATCTTCACTTTCCTTAACTTTATTTGCAACTGTTGCACAGAATAAGGTGGACATTGGATCAGTTTGACATTGCAAACAAGCTCCAGGATTACCGGTACAGCCAGTGGTTTCTTTTTCTTTATCATTATTTTCTTCATCTTCAGGGATGGTGGTACCATCGGTGTTTCTTCTGACAACTGTTGGAACGGCGCCAGGAGTTAAATTAGTAATTTCTCTAATTTCAACCGAGGGACCAGGATGCATAACTGGTAAAGACGTTTTGCGAAAGCTATTATTGTTTAATTGGATTGGAGGTAAAGAGGTTTCTTCGTCTTCATCTTGGTGTTGTTCATGCTGATGATGGGACTGATTTTGAGAATCAGTATTTAAAGATTCATTTAATCTTGCAGCTTCTTTAGCAGCTTCACGACAGACACAGGGAGTATCATCTGAACAGAATCCGCAATTTTCCACTGGAGATGATTCATTAAATTCTTCGTTTTCTTTTTTAACTGGAATTGATTGTAATAAGCTATTATTTTTATCATTATCTGTTGCCCTTTTCAATTTTTTCAAATTAGGCATTGGTTTTTGAACGGCAAATTCTTTAGTAAAATCAATTTCTTGATCGATATTTTCATTTGATTTTCTTTTTTTAGAAGAAGATTTTAGAGAAACTGCCGGCATTGGTTTAAAAGAGTTAATTGTTTCTTCTAAAGATTTACCAACCAAATTGGCATTTGTAGTATCTTTAAGACCAACGCTAGCACAAAGGCATTCATCTTTTAAGCAAATACCACAATCAAAGTCATTTTCGTCATGATGGGTTTTGTTTTGTCCAATTGGTTTATCGGGAGTAGTATTATTTGAAGATGGAGTAAGGGTGCTAGTGGAAAGATTATTTCTGGTATGGATATGATGATGGTGATGATGAGGATCATTTTGATTATTTTGATTGAAAATGGGAGGAGAATCGGCAGAAGGAGCAGGGGAAATTTGTTGAACCGAGTAAGAGCTATTCGAGGAAGCTGCCGGAGAATTAGTTGGAGGATAGTGTATTGGAGAAACTTTTTGAATTTGAGAATTGACGGGGCTTCTTGAGTGATCATTGGTATTATTACCAGGAATAACATTTGAAGAATTTTTTAGGGAAAGAATATCATTACGCATTTGATCCATACTCTTCATTAAAAATTGGTTTTCAACTTTCAATTTATTGATGGTATTATGCAAGTTCAACTCTCTTAATTCTTTATCTTTTTCAACCTCCATTAGTTTTTCTTCAAGCTCTTGGACTCTAGTAGCTCTACGTTCTCTGAAAGCACGCTGGGCAGCTCTATTTTGCGCTTTGCGTTTGGAAGCAGGGGTATCAACACTAGGTTTCCTACCAGGTTTAGGTCTTGGAGGTAACACCCATTCTTTGGAAGTTATAATTTGAGGGAAGCCACTAGCGTTAGGACTTGGTGCAAGGCTTGTTGACGAAGTAGCAGAAGAAGTTTTGGCAGGAGATGGTGCGCTGGATATTGAAGGTCTCTTAGTCATGATTGGTTTTGAACTAACCGGAGGAGAATTGGCTGGAGGAGAAGCAGCCAGGGCCTGAGACCTTGGAGCAATACTTGGACCTTTAGTACTCATATTCAAACGTAGACAGTCCTCTACTTGTCACCACGGATAAAGATGGAGCAAGAGAAAAAATAGAAGGTGAATAAATTCGTTGGAAAAAACCCAATCAACAAGTAGAAAACAGTGAGACTGAGGAAGCTTCTATCACGACAAAGACTATGAAGTAGAGAATAGAAAACAAATGGGAGTAGAATAAATGGAAGAAGATTAAACGTCAGCAGTAAAAGTAAGAATTAGAGAAACCAAGGAATAAAAAAGGAATAAAAAAGGAATAAAAAAGGAATAAAAAAGGAATAAAATTAATAAAGGTGAAAAATGGAAAAAAAAAAGTAAGTAATAAAGAGGAGATGAAAAAGCCCTTCACAAAACAAAAAACAGAATAAGAAAAACACCGAAACACAAGACTTGTCTTAAGGAGATAGGTCCAACAACACAGTGAAGATGACTCAGACAATAGCAGTATCCAGGGAACTTCAACAGAGAAATATCGCAGGTGTAACCGGTGAAAAAGAACCGTAAGAGAATAAAAAGAACAAATCAAATAGGATTAATCCAATGGAAGTAAAAAGTATGCAAAGGTCACTGATTGGATGAACTGATGGCATCAGATAAAAACCCAGAGTTTAATCTAATTCATCAGGGCCGGTGGCCCCACGACCGCCTTTCCGGTGGCAGCTTTGCGCAGCGGCGGGTTCCAGCCAATGAAGGGCCGGGATTCGGTGACGCCAATTCCGAGTTTACTAATACCAAAGGCACGGGTGTCGAGATTGAATAGTTGCAAAAACAGGATACATGTATGAATTATACATCTATATATAATTTATATATATCTATATATAATTTATATATATATCTATATATAATTTATATGTATGACAGCAGGTTGAAAGTTAATGTATACAATGGGATTTCAGAGTTTTGATAGACCAAGTATGGATGAATGATAAACCAGTAGCGAGATTTTGCCGGGGAATACATTGATTTATGATTTCTGCTAGGGCTAATATAATAGATTAAGTCATTGGTCAAAGTATGGATTAAGTAATTGATCAAAGCATGGATTAAGTAATTGATCAAAGTATGGGTTATGACTTCTATCGTACAAGTAAACTACATTTAGTTAAATACAAATGACTAAATTTTATATACAGAGTGATTAGTTTTGTTCCTTTTTCATTGCTTCTTGAGCTTTAGCAATATCTTCAGGAGATGGTTGAGCTTTACCTTCAAGAACTTGATTTAAAGAAACTTTACCAAAATGTTCCTTCAATTTTTGTTCTTCTTCTAAAAGTTGCTTGGAATTGGCTTTAACCCAATTTTGCATGTTTTCATAACCTCTTTGACCGTGTTCTCTCATGATATCTAATGGCATTTTTGGACCAGTATTACCGGTAGCACTAATTGATTCGACACCCATTAAAGTAGAGAAAACTTTACCAATTAAATTAGACCCTTGCATTTTATGTTTATTTTCTTCATACCATTTTTCTCTTAAAAGTTTTTCTCTTTTATCAAATTCTTCAATAATATTTGATTTATCAAAAGTACTCATAATTGGTCTAATATCTTTCAGAGGTTGATTAGCAAGATATTCCAAAAATGGTATTAATCTTACTAAATCATCATCTGCTTTACCATCCCATGGTTTCAATATAAGAGAATTTTCTGGTTGTGCTGAACAATGTTCTTCATTAACATCAATCATAAGTACTTTACCTAAATCACGATTTAATAAACTCAAATCTTTAATCAATTTACCATCCTTATAACGACATGCTTCTCTAAATAAAGCATATTGAATCGATAAATGTAATGGATCCAATTTTTGAACTGCCTTTTCACTAAACATTGAGGAATTTGATCCAAATATAACAATTTCATAATATTGTGATAAATATCCTAAGAAATAATCCAATCCGGGTCTTTTAGCAGTTCTCCAGCCATGTTTGGTATCCCATTCAGAATGAATCAATAAATCATCAAGAGTTAAAACTAACGTTAATGGTCTACGATATAATTCTGGTGGTGGAGGTGGTAATAACTGTTCAAAAGCTGGCTCAGAGAAAAATGTAAATAACGATCCTAATCTCTTATTCATTCTTCCATACATGTCTTTTGGATTAAATCCATTTGGAATATCTTTGGCTTCAAGTCTTTTTTGTTCTTCTTCTGAATCCCATTCACGAGACATGTATCCTAATCCTAACACACCAAAACCAAAACTTGAAATATAAAACCAATTGGCATATTTCTCACGTTGTAAATCTTTCTTGGTTTGGGTATTTCTCTTTCTTCTACGCCTGGTTTTCCCTTCTCCTTCTCCTTCATTTTCTGGTTCATTTTCTGGTTCTTGTCCTTGTTCGGATTCACTGTTTCTCTTGCTTTCCTTTTGCTTTTCTTTTTCTAATGGCTCGTCAAATCCAGCTTTTGCTAAAATGTCATCAGTTAAAATTGATTGGGATTTTTCATCTTTTTTAGATGAATAGAATCTGTTTGCTATATTAGGGAGACTGCGATTCATCAACCATCCTTGTCTTGCACCAGCAACACGAACACTAGTGGCAAGAGTCCTAGATGCAATCCTGGCGTTTCTCAACATGATTGTATGAATGAACTGTGGGGGGCAAAGAATAATATCTGTTTAAAGCTTTAGAATGAAGTCGAAAAATTTTTCTTTCTCAAATTTTCAAAGTAATCGGGAATTTTTTTTTTTTTGTTCAGTTTTCTATGAGGTAAAATAATCACAAACGACCCCATCACCAGACCCTGGGGCCATAAACTACAAAGGAAAACAAGTCATTGTTCATGGTAAAAGATGTTTGTTAGTGTTGTGAAAAGACGTGGGTACGGTTTACCGCTGGTTTTAAGAAACGTTCAACCGATAAGATACGAGAGTACTAAAGCTGCAAATAATTCACCAGTATCAAAAAATGAAATGAATGAAAGTAAGGAAAACGAGATACTGCGTCCTGTGTTTCCGAAAAAGGGCAACTTGTTGCTCAATGCATTGAACTACGTTAAAGAGGTTGATAACTATCAGAAACAATTAAGTCAATCGGGGACCAGTCAAGACCGGGCTACTGAATTAATAACAAGAATAAAAGATAAAAAGCAATTACTTTACTTATTATCGATATTTCATTATGAATTATCTAAGATTGGAATCACCAATAAGGACCCGGATGAGTTTCGCAATTCAATACTATGGAGGTATAGATTGAATTGGTTGTTCAAGTATAATAAGATTCATAATATTTTTTGGGAATCATGCCAATTAGAAAATGTTAGTGAAAATAATCATTCGTTAGGGTTTAATCCAATCAGCATTGGTATTTTAGATCCACGCAACTTCTCCACAGATACTTATAAGCAATTACAAAGTGGTAAGTTGGGATCAGTTGACTTTAGTGATGTTCAAGGAATTACATTTTCCAGACCCCCATATCAAAGGTAATAAGAATATATAAGAATTTTATAGAGAAGGAAACAAAACGGTAAGAAAATGAATCATAAATAAAACTAAATACCTATAAGATTTTTTTTTTTTTAAGGTTTTGGAATATGTAAAGATTTTGAAATTTCTGCACAACCTTGTAAGAAGAAGCCAATACAGACAAGATGAAATTCAGCAAAAGTATCTTCGAAGAAAACACCACCGGGTAAATTGTCTAAGATCAAATCTTTATAGACCAAGGTAGCCATTGTGGCAACCCAAAATAAATTCGAAGGAACTGGTAAACCTTCAAAATATTGAGATTTACCGGTTTTATCTTTTGGAATTTTATTAGTACTAATGTTAAATCTAGCTAATCTTGTTAAACCACACAAGACCCAAAAGGATAAGATTAAAACATCAAAAGTAGTTCTGAAACCAATTGCAAAAGCAATTATTGCCGGACTAACACTAAAACTAATTAAATCAGCTAAAGAATCTAATTCTTGACCCATAAGAGAAGATTTATTTCTTAATCTTGCCACTCTACCATCGAAAAAATCAAAGAATAAACCTAAACAGATGAAAAAATGAGCTCTTTGAACATAATGAGTTTGACCAGTTAATGCAAATCTTAAACATGATATAATTGAATAAAATCCACTAAATCCATTTAATAAAGTAATAAAATCAGCCATATGTAAATTACGAATTAAACTAAAATGTCTTGAGTCATCCAAAAACCTTTGATACTCTTTTTCATCTGGTTTTGGTAATGGTTCTTGATTCGATGATAATGAAAAAAGTGATGATGATCTTCTAATGGGAGGATTTGGTATTTGACTGACCTCAATATCACTAGAATCTATATCGGAAGCAATTGCCGACTCATGTTTATCAACACCACTAGAAAAACCTTTACCTGACATCTTATTTCTTTAATTGATATGAAAATATGTTATAAAAAGTAGTAGTTATTTTGAAAAATTAATCTTCTAAACAACCATCACTCAAAAAAGTAAAATTTAGAAAAGTGAGAGCAAAGCACAAAAAACCCCCAGTAGATTCGTCACGTTTAAGCAATGGTGTTTATCAATTACGCCTTCAAGAAAAACTACAATTGTTTATTAGACTACATTTATAACGGTTTGATCAATTGTTGGGTACTAAAGACCAATCTCAAAGTATGCCTGTCCCCATGCGTGCTTGATGAGATGACGAGATGACCGCCATTTCACATGCCAGTGTGGTTACTACTGTGGATGTACGGGTTGTTGTGTAATGTACTCTAACGTTTAAATATACTTTAAATAAATATGGCATAGTCTATATATATATATATTTAATTAAGAATCAGGGCTCACTGTAACTTTAGGCACTTCACCGTAGGATTGCGATCTCGAAGAGTTATTGGAGTCACTATCCTGGACTTGGTTATCGGTATTGTGAAGACCAGTATCACTATCGTTATTCAACAGGAAAGTAGCACCGCTTGGACCAGAACGAATATTATCGTTATTTATTAGGCCCTGGTTATTATTAATGATTTTTTGCATATTTGAAGAAGATTGATGGATCATTGAGCTGATTGAGTCATTGGAGGAGGCTCTTGAAGAGTTGCTGAGAGCAAGATCAGAATTATTACTTGCTTTCCGATGATGATGGTGATGGTGATGATGATTTTGTTTAAGTAGTTGTTTAATTGAAGGGGGAGAAGTGGTGAAACGATCTTCATTTTTGAATTGAGGAGATTGTTTACCGGATTCAACTTGATTGATCTTTAGATTAAGAATATCTTGTTGTTGTTTTAAAGCTTCTTGTTGCATTTTCAAATAATTTTCATGTTCAACTTGATGAGGTAATTCAACTGCTCCTGAAGTACCAGCAGGAGAGGTTGCAATTAAGGCTGGAGGATTTGGAAGATTTGGGTTATTAGTTTGGATTGATAAAGAGGGTTGACTTCCAGTTAAATTTGGCGACATTTGAGGAGAAGAAGTATTTGAAGGTAATTGGTAACTAAAAGTATTTTCAAAAGGATTACCTTCTTCTGAGCCACTTCCATTTGGAGTATGAATTCTTGGAGTGAATATACCCGATAAACTTTCTTCACCATTTGAAGCTTGTTGAGATTGAATTGGTTGTTTCCTTGGTAACAAATTATTCAAGTTGATACGTAATTCATGAGATTTGTCCGAAAGTCTTGGAGAAGAAGGTCTTGAAATTTGAGTTGGTTGATTGGTAACTGAATTGTTTGATTGGAATTTTGTATTTGGAGTTTGAACTTGTTGTAATTTTTGTTGTTTTTTCAATTCTTTTCTCTTGGCCATTTCGTCTTCTCGTTGGCTCACTTTACTTTGAACCAATTCAAATCTTTCTAAATGATTTGAGCCAAATTTTAATAATTCAAATAAATCACCGTACCAATTATTATAATCAATTTCATTATTACACTTAAAAGTAAATTTATTTGAATTTTTGGTCAAAATGAATTTAAAGTTTTTACCATCTTTAATTTTAATTTGGTATTCGTTTAAATTATAAGATTTAATTGGAATATCATCATGACCAATAAACCCACCAATTTTATCTTTACGATTTTTCTTCAGGCTAGTGGCATTATTTTCGGGAGTGTTTGGAGTGTTAGCAGGCGATTCCCGATCAAATTTGAATTCATGAAGATAATTGCAACTTAAAACATAGTAATAGGAATTATAATTCTTCAAGATTTTCAGTTTTTTATACATTATACCAAATCTAAGGCATTTATTATGAATTGAATTTGCATAAGGTAATGTTAATGAACCGAAATTTCTAATTTCCTTCTTAGAGGAAGAATCTGTTGGTTTGAAAGTATTCAAAAGATGAGGATTATTTGAAATGAAGAACTCCCAATCATTATTTGGATTAGCGCCATGAGGAACGGTTTTTTTCAAAATGTTATATAAATTAATAGCCATAACATCTGAAGAGGAGCTATTTGAATAGATTGATTCTTGATTAATCAATTTACCCAAACGATCAATCACAATATTCAATTCTTTTAAAACATAAGATAATAATTCTTTAGAAATATTTTGTAAATTAACATAAGAAGCAAACATATAATTTTCATGAATCAATTGATTTTTCAATTGATAATCCACTTGTAATTTCAATAAAAAAGGATCATCAAGAACCCCTTCATCTTCATCGTATATTTCATCAGTATTTTTCAAAACAGGTTTATTTGAAGAATAAGTTTCTACTGATTCCATATACGCATGTAAGATTTTCCCCGATTTACTAATTTCTTTAATTAAGTGAGTGTTGGCAAAAGAATCATTCTTCAAAGTTGATTTAATTTCTTTAATTTTATTACTTAAATTCTTAAGTAAAGATTCTAAACGAGGTAACAACTTGGTAGCCAATTCTCGATGGAATTTGATCTGTGCTTGATATATTTGGTAATGGTGATTAATCAAAGAAGGGGCCAAGTTGTTAAATAACGAAAATTCAGAGAAAAAATTATTGGGCACAAATACATCATCCAAATGATTACCGGATTCAGAATTACTGGGACTATGCTTAGCCAAAGACGTAATTGAAACGTTTCTCTTATGAGAATTTGAAGACTGTTCTTGATCATTTTTTTTCAAAAACGATTGATTTGATTTTGTTTTGAAAAGCACTGGTCTTTTAACATCACTCAATTCATTTAAACTAGTATTCGACAATGTTTTTTTCAATTCATTCTTGGGAGTGTTACTACCACTATTATTGGGAGATGAACTATTATTATTCAAGAAGGAATGATATTGTTTTTGTTGGTCTTCAATCAATTGAACGTATTTGGAAGGTAAATTTTTAAAACCAGGAAACTGAACCGAATTAATTAATTGAAAATTGATATTGGCATCAAATTCTTTAATCATTCCCAATTCTTTACAGTAGTAAATAAAAGATTTAATGAAAATCTTCCAGAACTTGAAATAACTAACCAATTGATCTATTGGTTTAGAATCATGATTTGGAATGTTAATATAAAAGGGTGAACGATTATCTGACGCAGGAAGTATGGGTTCTTTGGCAAAAGTCATAATACCACTAAATATTAATGAAAAGGTCAAAAGATCAAAAATATCAAGATCAAATAAATATATAAATATATAAATATATAAATAAATCAAGGATCAAGTAACTAATTAATGATGATTCGCGTACAAAATCAACAGGTCTAGTCCCAAACAACTGAGAATGAAGATGACCTGGTGCTACTCACAAAATAGCAATTACTATCAACAAGGCAAATGCTAAGAATTACAGAGGCACCTCCGTACCTTATCCACTACACTATATCTATACACTTTCCACTACACAATTTACCATACAATATGCTATACAATACCCACTCCTCACCCACCGCCTCTTCCAGTACTTCCAGAGGATCCATTTGCGGCCATTTCTGCACTGGGAGCAGATCGCCTGGCTCGGTCTTTAGTTGCCGGGTCCACATGTCGCGTGTCGCGTGTCGTCTCCTGCCGTCACTGTTCAGTTGTTCAGTTGTTCAGTTGTTCAGTTGTTCAGATGTTCAGATGTTCTTGTTCAGTTGTTCAGATGTTCAGATGTTCTTGTTCAGTTGTTTAGTTGTTCAGTTGTTTAGTTGTTCAGATGTTTAGTTGTTCAGTTGTTGGATAGTTTGGTTCCTTCGAGTGCTTAGCTGAGCAGGAGGCCATTGTAGACGTTCAGTCTGTATGGTTATTAGCAGAATAGCGGCTCGGCTGATTGCAACTCACTGGCTGGAGCAGCTCCTCAGTGGGTAGACCGGGTATTCTTAGAACAATGCCCTAATTTCAGCAATTCTTGTACGTAAGCGTTGTTTGCGTAGAAGTTGTATTTACGTATGTAAGCGTATTTACGTATGCGTAGAGTGGGTCTGTATTCACATGTCACATCCGTTCCGCTTATATCTAGGGGAATAGAGGTAGTTTTTTGTAGATGTATTTGCAACCATTATGTGCGAAGTCAGGTTTATGGCCACAGATATAAAGTATCAACTCCTACTTATAGACCAATGCTATGGATGATATCTACCAGAAATACACCATTCTAAATACCTCTAATGAATACTTGCTCTTTTTCACTAACAATTTCAATGATATAACTTGCCAAAAAAGCGATATAAATTACAATAATATAAACCCATCAAAAGAAAATTCAGTTAATTCGATGATTTTCAATAGGAAAATTGAAAAACTCTTACCTACGACCCACCGATCAATATTAAAGAATAAAGTCAATGAAAATTTGGATTGGGAATTGTCTGGGTCGAAAAATTTGGACTCGGTTGAGTTTGAGGACTTCTACTCGAATTTTAAAAATAACGAACTATTGAAATTGAATCAAGAACCTCTACTAAATAATCTAAGACTGATTCAATTGGAAAATTATTATAATTGTGTCATTTGACCCATATATATATATATATATGTAAGCATGATTTTTGCAATTTTTTGTAGAAGTGTTCTGCTATTATGATTACTGCAAAAAAAAATTATGCTTTCAAAATGTATAAAGCGGTTGCACTAACTCTCATTCATGGGGTTCAAACCAACAATGAATTGGGAGTTTGATTTTGATCTTCTTGATCATCATGCCTATGATTATCAGGATATATTCGATGACCTATTTGTTTATGATTTGAATGAAATTTCCCAAATATCATCATATTCAACCAGTTCAAATACTTCGAAAGAATCTTCAGTAAAACCTCAAGATAATACAATTAAATTACAATTGAATTCAAAAGTCTATTCTAATCCAAAAGAGATATCCCAACAAATATTGAAAACCGTCGATGATGAATTCAATCTTGAAGCAAAATATAACTCAGTTTATAAGAATTCAAACTTACAATTAAATTTTAAAAAAATTAAAAAAAGAAGAGACCCATTAAAAGATGAAAATATTTGGCAACCAGAATCAATTTATAAAGCTTATACTAATAAAAAACCTCATTATTTCGATAAATCAGACTATCCTGATAATATTCCTAACTCTTCTTGTTTTGGTAGAATAAATATGAGAATAAAAGGTGCTTGGACTAGAAATAAATATGCAAATGTTTATTAAGAAAAGTTTAAATTAGGTTAGTTTTTTATATATTCTATAAATAAATGATTTTGTTGCAAGATATTCTCGTTCCTCTGCTTCTTCTTGTTGAAGTAAATCAACATCAACTTCGAGTCTACCAGTGTCTAAATCAATATCTTTTGATCTTATAAATAATCTCCAATCCTTTTTAAGAACCATATAAATAAACCAATTGAATAATAAAACTGGCATACCTAAATATGAAAGGAAAAAATCATAAGCATTTGGTTTACCTCCAATTGGGAATAATGCAATCCAAAATTGTGCAACCAAAACTAATGCATTAATTATAAATCCGTAATATGACCCCCATATTCCTGATTGTGCTTTAAATGATAATTCTGAAAGTGATCTATTTTGTACTTTCATTGCTTTTCTAAATCTAATATGACTTGCGTTAATTGACATCCAAGTGAAAATTGATGATAATCCTGATAATGCCATTAACCAATTGAAAACATCAGTTTGTTTATCTGATGTTGCTATAAATGCTAATAATGCAAATGTGTTTGTTAATAAAATTGCAAAAAGTGGTCTTCCCTTTCTGTCAACGTATCCTCCCCATTTCCAAAACATTCCTTGTTCTGCTAATGATGCTAAACTTCTACTAGTAGCATAAACTGATGCATTACCAACCGATAAAACGGCAATTAAAATAACTGCATTAATCACACTTGGTAACCCTTTAACTCCCCCATTAACAATGGCAACAACAAAAGGTGATGCCGTTGCATCAACACTTGAAGATCCAAGTAATCTTTTATCATTATATGGAATTAAACATGCAATAATTGTTAAAGTACCAACATAAAAAATTGTAATTCTCCAAAAAACTTGTTTAATGGCTTTACCAATTGATTTACTGGGATTAGTTGCTTCTGCAGCACCCAAGGCTAACATTTCGGTACCACCAAAGGAAAAAGCTGCAGTAACAAATACTGAACAAACCCCTTTAAACCCATTGGCAAAGGGACCAGGATTTCTCCAATATTTCCCACCAATAAATTCATGATTTGGACCACCACCACAAACTAAAACAATTCCCAAGATAATAAATCCAATAACGGTAATCACTTTAATTAAACAAAAAATAAATTCTGCTTCACCATACCATCTAACTCCTAATAATGTTATTATTAAAACAGTTACCCAAAATATAGCAACAAAAATATCAGGATTTAAACTACTATTCCAATATTTAATAGTTAATGAAGCAGCAACAAGTTCAACAACTTCTAAAACTAAAAATTGTAAAAAATAATTATATCCAATGGCACATCCTATACTTGGAGCCAAAAAACGACTAGCATAAATATTAAAAGAACCACTGATTGGGAATGCAATTGCTAATTCTCCAACTCCTTGCATGGTGGCATATATGGCAGTTGCTATTATCACCCAGGCAATAACGATCCCTCCTGGACCTCCAGTGCTTAAAGATTCACCCAGACCAACAAATAACCCGGTACCAATAGAAGAACCTAATGCAATCATATTTAAATGACGTCCTTTTAAATCTCTTTTCAATTGAGAATTCGATGCATTAACGGCTGCTCTTTGAACATCATCCATTTCTTCATATTCCTTTTCGCTAACATGGGCACTAGTTAAAGTTTCTTCCCGAAGAGCTGGTTTAAAAGAATCTCTAAATGAATGCCATATATTGGAACTACCTGCTTGGGTAGATCCACTTCTTATCTGATCCATTTCAGAAAAGCTTTCTGCTTTTTCTTTAGGTATACTGGACATTATAATTTAAATATAGATAAAGAATAGATAAAAGATAAAGAGAAAAGGGAATAAAACTTTACATATATAAAGAATTTTTTCATCTTCCTACTAAAACTACTAGCGAGTCATATTCAGAATATATTAAAAAGAGAAAAGAAAAGATTCAAACAGCAGGTGAATCTTATATATAATCTCAAGGCAACTTTGCAAATGATGAGTCACATTTGCTTCTTTCTTATAGAGCTCTACCACTATACCAGAGCTTTTGGAAGCTAACACCGGAGTTCTGACAGAAAGCCGTTGTGGTTGCAAGTCGTGTGTTTGGGGACAAGTCCCTTTTCAGTAGGTTTTCTTTCTTTTTGCGCTTATTTCGCCGATTTATTTTGCCTTGTGCGATGAGATGCCTTGGAAATGGCAACTGATGCAACCACCAGTTGTTTTATACGGACACCTGATGTGTTTGTGCTGATTTATTCCTTTTGCCTACGGTTGTATTGATCGTAGTCAGTCACCTGAGGGAAAGAGGTGTCTTGAGGGATTGTCTACTTAGTGGTGTACTAAGTGATAGTCTAGTGTTAGTACTATTGTACGGTGTTTGCTTAATGTACTTTGTGAAATTGATGTGTCTCAAATTATAAGATCTATGATTAGATCTAACTAAGCATAACCTTTTAAACTGTTATTAAGTTGATCTTGTTTTTGCTTTAAGGAAATAATATGGTATGGGTATCCAGAGATGGTATAAAGACGTAACATTCGTCTATGGTATATTATGAAAATCTTATATAATATTACTATACAATGCCATTGAATATTGCGATAGTTTTATATAATGTAATGTAATGATGCTATGTAGTAATGCTATGTAGTAATGCTATGTAATAATGTAATGTAATAATGTAATGTAATGATGCTATGTAATAATGTTATGTTATAGTTGCAACTATTTGTGGAAGTGCATTTACCATTACCAAAACACCCACCCACCAGCTAATTATTCCACAGAAGAATTTACTCAAGGTTAATTCGACCCCAGTGAATAATCAAGGATAACCCTGAAAATGTCAGACGAAGATGCATACCTGTCTGAAGAATCTTATGAATTCGAATTTGAAGATGACGAAGATGAAGTTCAAGAAGAAAATTTGGAGGAAGATCAATTAGAAAATAAGTACTATAATGCAAAAAGTTTAAAAGATGATTCTCCATTGAAAGCAATAGAAGAATTGCAATCAATTGCAATTCTTAAGGATTCAAATTATGATGAAGATAATATAGAATGGATCTTTAAATCCCTAAAACAAATCATCAAGATCAATTATAATATTAATAATTATTCTAATGCCCTTGAGAATTTAGAAAAATTAATTGAGTTTATTCCAAAAGTAAGTAAGAATTATGCTGAAGAATCAATAAGTAGAATCTTAAACAATTATTCTAATTGCAATAATTCTACTTTTGTAAATCAGTTATATGATATCATATTAAATTTTTTAAATGATTCAGCTCTTGGTGGTAATAATGATCGTCTTTGGTTAAAAATTAATATGAATAGATTATCAAATTACTTAGAGTTAAAAGATTTCAATCATGGATTAAATCTTTTGAATTCAATCAATTCAAGGTTAGAACAATCTTCTGAAACAACTAAAAATTCTTTTGCTTTAGAACTTATCGCTGCTGAAATTGAGCTCTATTCAAATCAACCTCAAATAAATTTGAAAAAACTCAATCAATTATATTCTAAGAGCTTGAATATTACTAGTGCGGTAACCCATCCTCGAATCATGGGTATAATTAGAGAGTGTGGTGCTAAAGTTCATTTTTATAGAGGCAATTTTGAAAAGGCAAGAATCGATTTTTATGAATGTTTTAAAAATTATGATGAAGCTGGTTCTCCATCGAAAAAATTAATTTTAAAATATTTAAGTCTATGTTCAGTATTAACTGAAAACGAAGTTAATCCATTTGAATCTCAAGAAACTCAAACTTATTCTCAATTACCAGAATATTCTAATCTAATTCGATTACTTAAAGCTTATGATGATCTGAATCTAGCTAAATTCAATCAAATTCATGATATAATGATCAAAGATCGTGACGAACTTGTGGACGATGAAATCTTCATCCATGCCTCTAAAAAAATTCTGCAAAATTTAATTTCAAAGATAATTTTAAATTATTTCAAATCTTACAGTTCTATAAGTTTCCAGTTTTTAATGGTCAAATTAAATCTATCTGAAGATGAATTGGAAAATAAAATTATCCTTTTGGCAAACTTAGGTAAACTTCCAAATGTTCAAATCAATTATATTGACAAGGTTATTGATATTAAACAATCGTCTCCAAAATCAATTATCCCCAAGTCGCTTGATTCAAATCAAGTTTACGAAAATATAATATCTTTAGATAAATTGAATTTTAGTAAACATAAAGATTTGGCTGCTGAAAAACAAGATGTTTATATGGATATTGATTCTGATGAGAGCCCTCATTTGAAATCAACCATCTTTGGTCAGAATGACCAGAATATTTCCAATAATAACGTTGGGGTTCCCATAATACAAAAATTCTTGAATAGAAATGGGGCAGTTAATCAATCTCAAACTATAACTAATATCGATCATTGGTTAATGTGTTTAAATAGAGCCATACCGGTCAAAGCTAACAAGGAATTAAGTCAAAAAGATCAAATCTTTTCTGAACAAAGGGCTGAAAGCAATGGCTTAAAACAATCTTCAAATGATTTGACTATAGATAATCAATTATCAGATCAGAATACTAATGCCGGTATTTTAGGCTCAGCATTTACTATTCCAACCGAACTCGAGAATGATGATGATGACAATAATGAGGAGCTTAAAAGTATTGATAAGGCTGACCTATTGAAAATCTGGTGTAAAGAAATAAGGGTCCATCGTCAAAGACTGGCACTGGATCACTAAGGAGTAATTCAAAGAACGACTGTAAATCATATACTGGATGCTTTTTTTTTTTGTTTTTTTGTTTTTTTGGCTACGCGCAGAGTATAAATTTGATATCTTCAGCTTAAAAAAAAAATTGTATTACCTTCAGTCTTCTTTAACTAAAATAGTTTAAGTGTATGTATTAGCTACTTGAATTCTAGTTGATGCAATTCTCAAATGATTAGAATTAATATGCGTTATCGTCATGATTGTTCCACTTTTACAATGTCTTCGGGGCAATTTGAAATAAACTAACACCTACATGAAGAGATGCATCAATGCTTTGAATTTTTATTTACTAGATCATAATACTAACTGAATTTAAGATAGAAATGGTATTCTAACTTATTGGAAAACTTATACTCTCCCAAGATGAGATTTCAAACCCCATTCTTGTAACGTTATATCTCTGTAGAAGTACTTCCTGTAGCTGGACATTCCCAAGCGTCGAAGTGGACTGCGAGTTCTGTGCGAGCCTGGAAAGGGTTGTAATCGAATTTTAATGTACATGTGTGGTGTTTGGTAACACGTTTCACTCGAACAGATTCTCCAAAACTAGTTCCAAGACTGATATAACTGAAGCATCTAATCGTTACGGTTACCTGCTCTATTTTCGCTGGCGATTTTGAAAAAAAAAGGCTAAGTTGCAAAAAGAAATGATTTTGCCCAGGATCGAACTGGGGACGTTCTGCGTGTTAAGCAGATGCCATAACCAACTAGACCACAAAACCTATTTCTTGCTTAATATAAACTTACTGGGTTTAGTAACCAAGAAATACGTCTTCATAATTAAACTTTTGTGTGCATACTTAAAATCTGAAGTAATTGATTTTCAAAGTATTTAAATATCTATTGTATTAATTTTCGCCATTTTCGTTTTGTTTATTGCTTTAAAACTTTGTATGTATGCTTTTATGGCCCATAAAACAGATCTTAATTTTTTGATATATTTTCACCTTGTTTGGAAAAGTCCGCAGCGAATAAAGGCACCCCCAATTTAGCGTTTGCACAAGCTCGTATGGCGCAGTGGTAGCGCAGTAGATTGCAAATCTATTGGTCCTTAGTTCGAACCTGAGTGCGAGCTTTGCTTTTTTTTTATTCTGCTTCGAAGTACATTTTGCATGGCATTAAAGGCCTGTAAGACGTTCTACAATTTGATGAAATTATTTTCAAATGTATTTAATTATTGTCTTTTTATTTTCAGAAATAGAAGTGGATGGAGGTCTAAAGAGAAGTTATTTTAGAAGAAAAGAATATAGGGAAAAGACGGACAAGAATTGAAAAAGCTGATGAGTCAACCAATTAAAAAAAACCACACAAGTATGTTCTGGATACTAATATTCAGGATATACTAAATGATTTCAGAATCATATAAGACGAAAGGTTCGTAATCAGTATCAACCAAAGAAGCATATTCATGAAGATTACTTTTATTAGAGAATCCATCTCCACCTAAGTAACCAAATTTTTCAATTAATTCTTTTTTAGTTTTATCGAAATTTTTCAAACCCGAATCAGTGAATTTAATTAAAAAGGCATCGAACTGAGGAGGTAAACCATATCTTAAAACTGATTCGACATATATTCTAATTGATTTTATATGAAACCAAGCGGTATAAATTTCTGAATATGCAGTTTTTGCTAAACGAAGTAAATCATTTCTTGATTTTGATTCAGTAGCTTTAGTTAAATCAAATTCTTTTCTCAAATTATTGAGAGTTTCTTCAGAATAAGTAAAATCAGTACGAGGATGCCATTTATGTTCTCTTGAAGCAGTTATAAAATCTTGCTGATATTTTTTAAATAAAGTAACTGTAAATAAAGAAAATTCTGAATCTTTTGCAATTTCATTTGCAGATCTTGGAATAATAAATTCAGTTAATGTTTCATAAGAATTTTTAAAATCTCCAATTAAATTTTTAGGAACAGCAATTAAAATTGTAGTTAAATGTTCTGAATCTAATACAAAATGTTCTGGCTTAACAATCTCATGCAATGATTTAATTGATAAATCTCCATTTTTCTTTCTATCTGCTGCTAAAAAATTTGATTTTGCATTTTGATACTGTTGATAACTAGCACGAACATCATTATCCAAAGTAAGCGCTTCATCAGAAATAACCTTCAGTAATTCACTTATTGGCTTGTCTAATCTATATTTTGATGAATTCCATTGAAATGATTCAGTATAATTTATAACCGGTTTATTATTAACCAATCTATACGATGATGAACTATTCTCATTAACTGAATCTAATACATCAACTACTTTAGACACTGAGGTGCCTAATTGTTGATCTAACTTAGCCAATTCTTCACTCTGTTGAACTAATGAATCTAACGTTCCAATTTGAAAATCTGGTAATTTAAATTGGGATATTGGACATTTCCCCCCATTTAAGGATCTTTCTAACCATGTTTTTGCATCAGTCGATTGTGGCAACGACACAACAAGATATTTAGCCAATGGATCCATCTCGCCTACTCGTATTTCAATTGGTTCTTAATTGATTATAACCTTATCGTTCAATCTTACTTCGCTGGTTCCCTTCCACTTTTTTCCTCTGGAAGAAAACGACGCTATTTCCCGGTGCTTGCTTATGTAATCGCACCCTACAAACACCTAATAAGTGATTCCCACGCCAATACTCCTTCAAATCAAGCGGTAAAAACCAAAATTCCACTCCCCAAGCCCAAAATGCCTGGAGTAAGCAGTCAATAGGACTCTTCCGGCCATAACGCCATAGAATAACTGAATTTTCAGTCAATTTTGTTAAGCAGGCTTCGATATCCTGTGTATAGGTGCGATGTGAAGGGAAAAAAAAAAAAAAAAAAAAAAAGAAAAAGAGAAGAAGAGCAGATGAAGAGAATAAACTGATCTCTAGCTTCTTTAAGATTGATACAGGTGAACTTCTATAGACTGGTACTCGAAGAAATAGCAAAGAAATGAGTAATTCGCTAGAAGTATGTATTGAAAGCAAAGAAGAACCCGTGAGGGAGGATCATTACTAACCAGGCAATTAGGAACGTCTTAAGTCCCATTCCAGTGCATTTGATGGATTATTATCTTTGATTCCAGCCAAGTATTACTATGACGAAGCCACACAGGACCAATGGCAGCAGAAGAAGAAGCTGAAGAAAGAGTTGCAGCAGAATAAAAGGGCAAAGTTGAATCCAGATTCCAAAGACGACGCCGATGATTATGTGAATTCGCATGCCAGTGCCAAAGATGTGATGAATAATAAAGCAAAGAATGCCAAGGAGGTGACCATTCCTTCGATGAAGAAGTTTCCCCAGGCAATCATAGAGAAGGCAGGAAGTGAAGAAGATGACAATGAAAAAGAGGAAGATGAAAAAGATGAAAAAGATGAAAAAGATGAAGAACAAAAGTTTGATGAAAAAGATGAAGAACAAAAGTTTGATGAAAAAGATGAAGAACAAAAGTTTGATGAAAAAGATGAAGAACAAAAGTTTGATGACTCGTTGATAAAAGAACAATCGCTTGTGTTCGACGACGAAGGAAATGAAATAACATCTCATAAAAAGGACGGAGATTTCGCTAAACAAAAAAAGAATAAGAAGGAATTGTCACCTGAAGAAAAACAAGCTAAGAATGAAAAACTACTCAAGTTAAGGGAAAAATTATCGTCCAAAATAAACACCTTAAGAGAGAAAAGAAAGGCTCCCGGAACTAAGAACGGAGGAGCCGTAAAGTCAAGAGATCAAATATTAGAAGAACGTAAGCGAAAGGAAGAAATTAGAAAACAGGAAAAATTGAAAAGAAAACATGAAGAGGTTGAAGCTGATTCTGAATCTGAATCTGAGGATGAAGATGAAGTTAATAACGAAGGTAATAAAAAACCAGAAAATGAGGATTCAGTGTTATTTGGAAATATAGTATTTCAAGACGGTAGTAGAGTTACCTCTGATTTGAATAGACTTCGTGATTCTGCAGATAAAAAGAAAATGAAAGGACCGGCTAATAGAGATTTAAAAGCACATCTAACTAAATTAGAACAAAAGAAACGTAAATTTGCCCAATTATCTCCCGAAGAACAATTAAAACAAAAGGAAAAAGATCAATGGCAAAGAGTTATGTCTCAAGCTGAAGGTGTAAAATTAAAAGATGACGAAAAATTATTAAGAAAGGCAATTAAAAGAAAAGAAAAACAAAAATTAAGAAGTGAAATCGAATGGAAAGATAGAAAACAGGTGGTTAAAGATACTGTTGCCGCTAGAGCTAAGAGAAGAGAAGAAAATTTGAAATCTAGAAAAGATAATAAAGGTAAAAGAGGTAAGAAAAACCAAACTCCAAAATTAAGAAAATTCAGCGGTACTATTAATAAAAAGGCTGCAAAGAATACTAAAAATAATAAAAAGAGAGCTGGTTTTGAAGGAAGTGCTAAATCAAAGGGTAAAGGAAGTAAATAGTTCTAATTTCAATTCGTTTATACCATTTCATTTCTCTACATCTTATATTTCTTCCCCTATATTTCTTTCTATACATTTAATTATTATTTGCATATCTGGGAAGTTTCCAGAAATATACATTTCTACCCTACTTAACATCATAAACTAATTCGTGTAGGTTGCGTTGGTTACAATAGTCAATTGTCACTGCAAAAAACAAAAAATCTCTCCTACCAATCTTTACCCAGCTCGTTGCCAACTTGGACCGCCACCCTGAATTGCTTCCCTTTAACTACATCACCCATTACCAGCAGCCATTGCTATCAGCTTCATATCACTGCAAAATCACTGTAAAATCACTGTAAAATCACTAAAATCACTTAATCTTCTGGTGTCGGCACATCGCCTCACTGATTAAGAAAGCAACAAGCAAAAAAAAAAGACTAACAAAACAAAAAAAAAAAAAAAATAATGAACTCGAGAGAATGCGCTGTTCGGTGGAATTTCAAAGGAAGGGAAGGAAAGTCGAAAAAAGGATATAAACCGACTACTAGTTCCTTTTTCAAACCACTCAATTGAAGAAGATATTGATTAGTTTGTTATTTTCATTTTGCCAGATCAATTCGTCATGTCTGCTTATCAAGCTCAACTCAAATCATTTTTGTCCAACATTGATTCTGTATGTATAAGGTCAATTGATGCAATTGGTTAATTGAAAAAAAAAAATATAAAAAATGTACTAACAATTGAAGAAAACAGCTGGTGCTCCAGGTTTAGGTCATTTTGAAACTCAAACCGGTTTACCAAGATCGTATGCTATCTTGGGGGCCACTGGGTTTTATTTTGTTCTTATCTTTTTGAATATTGGTGGTGTTGGTCAATTATTATCTAATATTGCTGGGTTTGTTATTCCAGGTTACTATTCTTTAATTGCTTTAGAAACCACTACTTCAAAAGATGATACCCAATTGTTGACTTATTGGGTTGTTTTTGCCTTCTTAAACGTTATTGAATTCTGGTCAAAAGCTTTATTATACTGGGTTCCTTTCTACTTTTTGTTCAAAACCATCTTTTTACTTTACATTGGTATTCCATCCTTCGGTGGGGCTACTACCATCTACGTTAATGTTATCAAACCATTTTCTCAAAAATATATTGTCAACAATAAGTCAATCTCATCTAAAGTTGATGATGTTGCCGAAGGTATTTCCACCGGTGCTGAATTGTAAGTTGATTGATCATCAACTAGAAATTTCAGTATGTGCTGTCACTGTTTTTTGGCTTCTCTCTTATTTCTCTACCATCTAATTCTTTAGATACTATGTTTTATTTTGATATTTATTGATTCTTCTATAAACAATATTATATTTTGTTTTATTCAAGTACATTGTAATTTTGCAACCGAGCTTTCAATTGCACTCATAATTTGGAAACAAATTCTCCGAAATCAAACATATCTTCCACGACTTTGCCACTCACATTATATTGAATCTTGACTCTCAATTTAATCTTTGCTCCTTGTTTACCAGTGATCTTCAAAACTTGTTTAATTGTGGCTCCATCTCCGGTCAAGGAATCTCCTCCTGAGGTTGAAGAAATGGATAATTTTTGGCTTTTTGGAACAGCAAATAATAATTGAAATTGGCTTATCGACTGGCTGTTGTTCTTGGACGAAACAATTGCTTCAATAATAGCTTGGCCATTTTGTGGGAACGATTTTGGAATAAATGATATATTGATATCTTCATTATTGAATGCATCGATTTTTTCATTACCATCATTTTTAATTGGCTCTGGTTGTGGCGTTGCAGTACCAGAAGCTGGAGCTGAAACATTCGAGTTAAATAGACTTAATATATCATTATTTCTATTGGAGGTATCATTATTCGAAGGTGTTGGTCCCGATGAAAATATGTCGGATAATAAATCAACACCATTATTATTAGATGATGCTGGTTGGGCTTGGCTAGTTTGATTAGAAGAGTCATCAATTAAATCTAATAAATCATTGGTGGTTGTAGATCCAGAACTAGATATATTGATTCCTTTAACCTTGGATTTATTATTACGACCTCCTTGTAAACTTAAAGATTCTCTTTCTTTCACTGGTGGGGCTGGCATTTTTGATAATAACCCACTTTTCAATTTATAATCTTGAGCAAAAATCTCTTGATATTCAACAGCTCTTATTTGAATTTCTAAATTAGTGTCATAAGTTTTAGAATTTAATATTAATCTTAATGATTCAATAGAGTTTGAATCCTTAAACTTAACTGATAATTTTATAATGGCAGTTAAGATATAAGTAACCAACTGAATCGTTTCTTGTTCAGAATAAGTTGAATTATCAATTAATTCTTTTAATATTTTGATGATTGAAGATTCGGTCACAGTTTGTGATTTACCGTTAACTTCGATTGAATCGTTCATTATTAAATCAGCGTATTCACCAAGACACCATATGGTTATTAAAGATAAACCATATTGAGTCGAATCTTCAAGACATGATTGGTATAACTTGGACACAATATGCTTCTTCAATTCTTGATTGTTACATTGTAAGATTAAAGCTAAAATACTCGAAAGAATATCAGAAGTAATAAAATTTCCTGACACATTGAGCATCCTTATCAAAGTATCAAAATGCCATTTATCATTTGGCGCATACTTGTTTGCAGCAATAGTCAATTGAGATGTAATGAATGGTTTCAATTCGTTATCAGTACAATTTTCTAAGAAAAGTAAAATTTCACGAACCAAAACTCTGATATTCTGTTCATTTAATATAGCAAATGAGAGTTCTAAAGCTCTTCTTCTAATAGAGATATCACCATCCGCTAAACAGTTAACAATGGTGGATCTATGTCTTTGGACCGCCAACGGTTCAATATCAATAACAGTCAATAAAGTATCAAGAGCAACATAACGAGTATTATTATCTTTTGTTGACAAAAATTTACCTAATATATTAACTCCTAAAATTTTCAAGGACTGATCTGATTGAATTGCAAAAATTGTTTTAACACATTCATATAGAATGGCATGAGCAGCATTCTTACCACTATCCAAGTTAGACGAAACTTGAGTTAAAGTATCATTGATTTCTTCCAAATAGTCAGAGGGGCAATTTTCATCTACTGCTAATGTTCTTAAAGTCGTCAATAAGTAAACTTGGGCAAATGGATCAGTAATACCCATAACATCGTAATCGGGCATATAACCGCTGGTAGTGATTCTCTTCAATTGAGCAATTATTTTTGGTATAGTCTTAATCAAGGTGGGACGGCATTCAGGTACAGTATATAATGCTTGGATTAATCTGGAAGTACTTAAAATCATATTTGGATGTTTATCGCTAACCAATTGATTGATTTTTGGTAAAAATATTTCAGCCAAATCAGGGTCTTTCTCGACTAATTTTGCTGCCACTATAACTGCTTTTTTCTTTAAATAAGTATTAGAAGAATTCATCAATTTATCAACATTAGTATATAAATCTCTTGCTAATTCAGGTGATGCTATATTACCTAAACAACATAATGCTAAACCGACAACAAATGCATTTGGATGTTGCATGTCATTATCTAACGAATTGGTCAATAAAGTTAAAACCTCTTGGTTCTCATCTAATAATAACATTGTTGCTAAATAACCTAATCTCTTATCAGCAAATCTTGGAGAAGCTAATAATTTTAAACATTCTACTTGACCAAAATGAGTTTTTTCTCCCATAATGTATAAATACAATAACTTAGATATATTGATTCTTCTTGTGGTTTGGTCTAATGATGCATCTCTAAAAGATGTTCTTATGGCTGCTGATTCTTTCATCACTGCCGACCTTTCGTCAGCAATTGTCTTAGCCTTTCTGACTGACTTGATAAACGACTTCAATGATGCCATATTTCAAGTGTTCTAACTATTCTTTTCTGTCCTATGACACAGCAAATTGTTCGAAGTGTACCAATTATCAGGAACTTGTAGCTACCGACTTCCTTCAATCTGAACTTTTCACTACGTGTTTTGAATCAAACAAAACATACATTTTTGATCTTTTTCGAATTTGTGTGTGCTTTTGCACGACCCAAGCTCTTTGCAATATCAGACTCAACCATCATATATTTATGTATGATTATATACATCCTACGTCTTACTTAGGATAATTGAGGGATGTCTATACGAGCACCGCCTACTACGGCCAAAGTGATATTTCATACCTCGAAGGGGGAAATACACATGGAAATATGGGCTAAAGAAACTCCAGCGACAAGCAGAGCTTTCATTGAAAATTGTATTAATAAAAGATATGTTGGATTAAGTTTCAATAAGATTATAAAAGATTATATGATCCAGTCTGATTCATTGGATAAACCTAAAACTGCTTTTAAAAGCGAGTTTCATTCAAGGTTGAGATTTAATCAGCGTGGATATATAGGTGCATCCAAGTTGGAAGGAAATAAATCAAGCGTTGATTCGTTCTTCATTACATTGAAGGAGCTACCTCAGTTTAATAATGAATATGTTTTGTTTGGGAAGGTCATTGGTAACTCGGTATATAATGTGGTTGACATAAGTCAGAGTGAATTGGTGAACGATGACACCCCTAGATACCCTACCAAAATCCAAGATATCAGTGTGTCTATTAAATACTTTGAGGATGTGAGAGTAGAAGAGATGGATGAAGAAGAAGTTCAACAGCCTCCGAAAAAGAAACAAGCCAAATCCAGAGTGAAACTAGACTATGAGGATGAAGAGGAAGAGGAAACAGTTGATTTCCGAATCAAATCTTCACGAGGGGCTCCTAAGCCAAAAGACTCCCCGAAGGAAGTACCTGAACTTGAAAATATATCCAAGGAAAATCTACCTGATATCGATGGACCGGAGAAAAGTGTTGAGCAGAAGGAAAGTATTGAACCGAAGACAGGCGTTGACCCCAAAGCAAAGGCAAATGATGTACCCCGAGATCCCAAAGACCTAGAAGCGAAAAGCGATGTAGCTGAAATAGCCAAAGATGAAGAAAAATATGAAAAATGCAACAAGAGGAATGATAAAAACATAAATAAGAAAAGGGATCCTGTCATTGATTTCGAGTATGATTCTAATTTGGACCTCAAGGACACTGACAATATTGAAATCAGTATTCTAAGTAATCATGAATTTAGGCCCCGACATTAAATAATAATACAATATATCTAACAAACTATATTGAAGCACTTTTTAAAGAAATGAAATAAAAATACATAAAGAATACATAAAGAGAAGATCGATTTTAAACGATAATGCAAGCAATTTCAGGAAACAAAACAAAACAACTTCGTAGCGATAGAAAATATTAATGAATGAATAAATACTTTTAGTAGAATTGAAAAAAAAAAAAAAAGACTGACTAATCGTCCATATCCCAAGTAGAAGTATAACCCGGTATATCATCATGAATATTAGGTAAATGTTTCAAAATGTCTTCATTATAAGTTGGATTGGTATCAAACCAAGGATGAGCTAGTAATGATTTACAATCATATCTCTCATCTAGATTAAATCTCAAACATTTTAAGATTAAATCAGTGATTAATTTAATATTGATATCATTTGGATCAAATTTATATTTATCAATGAAAACATCATATAATTTCCAAAATTTCAAAGTCTTGATATTTTTCAATGAGATTTCATTTTTTTTAGAATTGATATTAAAATATTTTGAAGATAATTTACAATCTTTCAAGTAATTGATACTTGGAAATTCACCTAATAATTCAATTATTTGAGCCAAATGATCTTCATCTTTATCAAAATTTATACCATCATGAGGATCAAAAAGATAATCACCGGTAATTAATTCAAAAAGGAGGCAACCAATTGACCATAAATCGGTGGAAGCCCCCCAAGATTTATATTTCAATAAGATTTCTGGAGATCTATATTGACGAGTTTGAATTTGATTAGTGAAATGTAAATTTGAATAAGTAGCATTACCTAAATCAGCAATTTTAATAGTAGTTGAATCATCTAATTTTGAATTGAGAGGGATCAGGGGTAATAAAAAATTTGTAGATTTAAATGAAGATTTATTATTAATTAATCCTTTATACTGGATCAAAATGTTTTCAGGTTTTAAATCCGTATGGATGATACCTCTATGATGCATATAGTTAATTGATAACAAGATTTGTTTGGTGATATCTTTTATAATATTGATTGGAATCAAAGACGGATTAGAAATGATGGAATTAGTTGAAAAAGATAATTGATTTAATTTTTCCTTTTTATATTTATAAATAACGCTTAAAATATTTTCACCCAAGATTTCGAAAACAATTGCGATATGATTCCCATTTGATCCACTGATGATGAAATGATCCAATAGTTTCATAACACCATTTTTACCTAAATTATAAATTGAATCGTTAATATGATGATCATCATTTGAATCATGATTTAGAATAGACAATATTTTGATTTCATCTTCAGCGGCTTCGAAATAATTATGGGAAGATTTAACAATTTTAATTGCAACAAATTGGTTTGTTTTCAAGTTTTTAGCTAACCAAACGGTAGCAAAATGGCCCCAACCTAATTTTTGAATAATTTTATAAGCAGTCAAGTTGGAAGTGTAAATATCGTTAAGATGTACCGGGTGATAACCACCTGGTTGATATTCGCTGATTGATTCTTCTAAATTCATATCAAATGAATGAACATCATCGATATTATTCGTTGATGAAGTAGTAGGTCTATATAATGAAGTATTCTCGTCATCTTCCTCTTCGATGTGTGAAGTCATTTCACTATTTTGCAATGAGATACATTCGGTAGTAAATGAAGTATATATTTCTTCAACTCTAGGAATCATTGAATTATCATTGGTTGAAGTTGAAGTATTTGAGGATGATTGATAATTTGGATACGAAAATTCAATTGGCAGATTATTGGTTAAGTCACTAGTTGATGAATTATATGAATTAAACTCGGAATTACTACTGTATTGGTAATTATGAGGTGGATTAGTAGTATAAGTTGGAGATTTCTCTTTATTCTCGTTTAATGAAATCTTGTTAGCATCAGTAGTGATGGAATCAATAGATGGTCTTTTTGAATTGATCTTCTTTTTAAATAATCCTCCTAGATTGAACTTGGTTATTGATTTTCTTGGTTGTTCATGCTGATTGACTTCTACTCCGTTCGAGTCATTGGAGTTACTCGAAGATTGAAGCACCGAGAGTATCGAGTTGGTAGACACTATAGAAGAGTTCTTTCTCTTGTGCTTTGGCTGCTGCTGCTGCTGCTGCTGCTGCTGCTGCTGTTGTTGTTGTTGTTGTTGTTGTTGTTGTTGTTGTTGTTGTTGTTGTTCATCACCATGTCCTTGTCTAAGCAGCTGTGGTACTGGCGGAGCCCGTGGGTGCTGTGGCAGCCGGTAGCTCTGATTATCTTGTTTGATGGCTCTATTGATCAACATCATATTGACAAACTACCCTGGATCATGAGTTAATAGCTTATAAAGTAAAGAATAAAGTTATGAATAAAATATAGGAAAGAATAAGAGTAGATACTAACGATAATCGATCCTATTTAATCGGCAAATCCGATTAAATCATGGCTATCATAGGTAATTTATTGTATGCGCATGATTACCATCCAAAGCCAGTACAATTAAATTAGTAACTCATTGATTCTATACGGCATTTAACCTGTACTTAAAAAAATGTGGATTGCTAATTAAATACAACAAAACAGCCCTCCCCACAGTAGGATCTGGTATTATTGTATAAGCATACACCACTAGAGGATCTTTAGGCTATTTAATCGATTAATCTATTAGACGGTGTACGATTAGTTGGGTTTATGGCAGATTTTTTAGTATGGCGTTAACCGTTTTACCGGCGAAAAACCGACTTTTGCGAACCTCCTTAATTAATTTGTAATTAACTTCAATTCACGGTTATCTGTTTAATTTTCTGGTGTATTTTCCGGAGTATTTTCTGAAGTATTTTCTGGTGGGTGTTGTGACAGGTTTGTTGGTTCCAGCAATACCGCATGGTGTGCGTGATGGTGTTTCCGGGTGGGTTACATGGGGGGTACATGCAATATTGAAATTCACCAGAAGGTTAAAAAGGAAAACAAAAAAATGCAACCGGGTAGCAAAAAAGAAGAACCCACGGCGGGAGTCGAACCCGCAATCTTTTGATTAGAAGTCAAACGCGTTAACCATTACGCTACGCAGGCGCTTTCATGTCAAAATATCGTGCTGGTTTCATCTCCAGGTACTTTCTTCAGTAAACAAAATATTCTAGATTTACTTCGCCTTCAAAGATGCTCTTTTCAATCCCTCAGTAGGAATAGCTAATCCTGGTAGCTTTTTATTAGTATAAATTTTTGTTTCGAGAAAATCGTGACTAAAAAACGTGCTTTGTTCGCTCATCAAATTCACTGCATTATAAACAATATCGGTAAAAAAAAAAGCAACAAGGATGGGTATTTGTTTATTAAATATACGGAGTAGCTTTTATTTGTTGAAAAAATGTATAATGAAAACACATGATAGCTTTTTTAGACCAAAGCGATAGTAAAAACGATAATGTTTTGAAATCCATTTGTGGAATCTACTAGAAGTAAACGTTAGCCAGTACGCAGGCAGTATGACCAATCAAAATAAATGGTTTTTGGAAGCAATGTTAATATTTCATTTCCAAAGAGATATATAAACAGTTTTGTTTCTTATGTCGTGAGGAATTTCAGGAAGAGTTGTCCAAATTGTTGTTGTTGTTTTTTTTTTTGGCTCTTTTCAAATCATGGAAGCAGAGGAAGAAAGGTAGGGTAGTTCATTATTAATGTATTTGAAAATGGGGCGGATGGTCAAGGGGATAGTATCAGCAACAATTTTCTAGAAAATTAATTATAAGAAGCTACTATGAGATACAACACCAACATTAACCTAACTAATGTAAAAATTCATGGTCAAATACAATCTGGTGCAAATACAAAAGTATTTTCCTGGTATTGATCTTTGTTCTATCCTGTCTAAGCTTGCTTCAAGAAAATTTTAAACTGCTGGCGAACATGAAGTTTTTTTTTGCAGCAAAAATTGTGAATAATAATTTTCCAAAAAAAATGGAATCTATCTAGTCCTACTTGTAGCAGTTGATAAAAGAGTGGAAGGGCTCTGGCGACGTTAAGTGTTATCCAGTGTTTGGATAAAATTCTTAAGAATAAGCATAGACTTCAAATAATAGTTTGTAATTTTGCTGCGAAAAGCAAAATAATTCAAAAATAATACGCTTAACAGATAAAAAGGATTATTATCGATTAATATTTAAAACTGTTATTTTATAGAGTTAATATCGGTTCACTCCTCCTGGTCTTGGGCTAAGCCAGGGGTCTTTAATCCGATGGTAAAAACTCATTATTGAGTTCATTCAGGGTTTTATCTCCAAATTATTCAAATCTTTTGAAATATTAGCAAAGTGGTAACATGGTGCTCGGGTCCACTTTATCCCCAAGAGATATACATAATTGAAGTCTTGAACTGCATGGAAATCGTCGGTATCTCTTCAAACGCCATTAAAAAAACTTAATTGCGTACACTATTATGCATAACATTTAACTAACAAACTTCAAAAAAGCCAACAACGACAACAACAACAACCAGTTGCCGAACTTATATCAACGAATTTACTGGTTTCTACATTGATAAACAACACAATGTTATGCGATAAGTAATATTGTTTACAGATTTGGGTGAATCATCGAGTCTTCGAGAGCACATTGCATCTTAGGGTGTGTTCCACAAGACATGCCCTTTTGAATGTCACGATACCCTTAAGCTTTTGCTGTAGCGCTGAGTGGCACTAGCTTATGGACCATTAGAATTGTATATAAAATGTGCATATTGCATTTACACCATCTTCTGTGAAATAAAAATTTTGTCTACGATTTCTGGAAAAAACTCAATTACTAGAGCTTTTATGAATAATTTATGTGGAAACTTACTAAATTGGCCACATAAACATATAGAAAATGAACACAGCAGCTTAAGCAATAAGAAAAGTCCCTACTAGTTTCATGAAGTTGAAGCAAGATAGTCCATTGTATTCAGTTTCATAATTTTTACAATTAATTACTTTCTGATGGTATTGAGCAACGAAAACCTACAACGGCAGTCCATCCATATGTTCATTAGTAAACTGGTAAACCCAGAAATACGGCGAGTTTTTCGTGATGGTAGTTAAATATTTAGTTCGATGTGCTTTTCTGAATTCAACAGCTAAACCACGCTCGATGTTTCGCAGATGTAGAGTATAGAATCTCCAACAACGATTAATGTTGGTATAAAACTAATCAGAACTTATTCACAAGATTAAATAACCGTTTAGAGAGCATAAGAAACTTTATTCTTTCGTTAAATTATTTCACCTTTTCCCAAGAAACATTGAGTGTAAGCGTTTTATATTCCATTTAGGCAAAGAAAATGAGCCTTCTTACAAGGTCCTTACCTCCACTTGTCTAAAAAACTGCTCAAACAAAGCCTGAAGTTTATTTTGAGAAATTTACTGCAAAAATATTAATATTAGTATAATAGACCAGCCAAAATTTTAGTTCATGAAAGCGCCTGCGTAGCGTAATGGTTAACGCGTTTGACTTCTAATCAAAAGATTGCGGGTTCGACTCCCGCCGTGGGTTCTTCTTTGCGGTTTTAGCTCAGTTGGGAGAGCGTCAGACTGAAGAAAACTTCAGTCCAGTTAATCTGAAGGTCCTGTGTTCGATCCACAGAAATCGCATTCTTTTTTTTTGCCAGTTGTATCGTCTAGGTTAAAGTTATCCGTTTAAACGGTCAGTTCACTGGGGTTACTAGTAAATGGTAGTCTCGCAAGGAACACTTTTCTTTTTACCGCGAAAACTTTTTTGCGAGGCATCTTGTGATAAAGGTAATTATCCGAAATGAGAATACTTTACAAGTCAAGTTAATTATAATATTTTAAATAGTCTATGGTCATTTCCAGAGAAATTGTAGAGAATGAATTCAATGAATGATTAAAAAGATTTTTTACAAAACTTATATAAATCTAAAAGATCCTTTTTCAAAAAATTATTCAATATGGATTCACCAACGACAACTCTAAAATTACAAAGATAAAGAAAACCAACTTCTATTTTGAATAGTTCTTTTGGAGAAACCCCACCGACTGTAGCAAAAGATTTTTGTTTTTGGTAAACGTCTTCTAATGTTTTAGCCAGGCAACGAATCAGGGCTAAAAGTAGCCTATAAACATTAAAGGACGATAATGGTACCACAGCTAAAATGATTGAAAGTTTATAAATCATAAAAGCTGCATGAATATAAGACAGAACAGATATCGAAGAAGAATATGTTTTGATTCTAATTAAAAAGTCTTCTATTGAGATATTCGGTATTTTAACTAGATTGAAAGTTTTTATTAGATGAATAGTTTGTTCATTGATCTGAGGTTTTTCAAAATAATTTAATTCATTTTGAAGTCTGTTTGCATCGAGTCCAGTGATTGGGTTTTTCACCGTCTCCAATGATAAATCAGCCACCAAGTCTTCAATTGGTATTATAGTAGCCTGATTATCGTCTGCTTCGGAATCACGGTCTGTTTCATCTTGTTCATTATTATTTGATAATGAATCAGGCGTAGTTTCTTTTATTATTTCTTGGTCTAAATCAAGACTAATTTTTGCACATTTTAAAGGTGGTAATATTGGTGAAGTATTCGTCGTTTGGGATGGAGTCGGAACTATATTACTAACTGGACTATCGTTATCTTGACTTGGTGTTCGAAGATTATACTTATTTAGTTGATCTTTTCGGAATCCTTCCAACAATTCTTGATTATTGTATAATTTTATGATACTTTCTAATGTAAAATTAACTATAGCTATAGCATGGTATACATGTAGCTTATTGATATCTTTAATGCCATGTTCTAAATCAAATATAAGCTCCTCTAAATGAACATCTTCTAGAGATGATGGTTCATCAACAAAAGTTTCTTGTGATGGCTTAAGCGGTATATCACTGATATCCTTCAGATACGACATTGAGAATATAAATCTTAAACTGGAACACTATTACAAACCTTACTTTAATCTAAGTTCAATTATAAAATTAGAAATCAAATCAGTATATATTTGTTTTCTACTAAATTCATAAATTTTTTCTTTCTTCTCAACCTATTGTTAAGTCACTAAAAACACCTTTTCAAAGTGAGAAATTCCCCATTTTTCGTCTTTCATATTGCTGCAAAGGGGAATCATGTCGCATTTCCGGCTTGCGTCGTATTTTAATGTCAAAAAGTTAATTAATGCAAATATATACATATGAATAAGTATAAACTAATAATGATAATATACAAAAGAGCTTGAACTCAAACACGTCTTTTCTTACTGGCTTCACCATTTTTCTTGCCTTCTTTCATAAAATAATTTCTTTTACGTTCTCTTTCCTTTTCTTTTCTGATTTCTTCTTTCTTAGCAATTTCTTTCAACTTATCTTTAAATTTATCTTCCTTCTTAGACTTTCTCTTTGCCTCTTTATCTCTCTTGATTGCAGTGATCTTGCTCATCAAATCTCTGGATTTTTTCTCGTCCTCAGATAATACAACGGCTCTCTTGGCCATGTAAGTCTTTTTACTTTGAGGTTTCATTTGATGAATTTGAGATTTGAACGGTAATTCAGATCTAACTGATTTTGGAACCTTCAATGGATTGAATCTTCTTTCAACTCTTTCGATCTTCTTATATGCACTGTCTTGATTCATTGGGGTTGGGATGTTTTGCTCGGCTCTAACTTGACCGGTCAATCTCATACCTTTCCATTCATTATGAGATCCTAAAAGTAACGATGTAACAGGGTTATAGAAATGCTTAATCTTAACCGGGTACCATGTCTTCAAGAATACAGTATCTGACATCAAAATCTTATCTTCAAAAGTTGCCCTGAAATAACCATCTGGTTTAGACAAGGCTCTTTTGATTTCACCTCTTATACCTGAGACAGTTCTGATTTGTGCACCTTCAAATTTGGCAACTTCTAGAGCATTTGAAAACATATCTTTAATAAATGCAGTATTACGGAAGATTTTATATGGATGACCAACCAATTTTAATTTTTTAACAATTTCAACTGATGAATTCAAATCTTCAACAATACCAGTGGCAGCTACTCTAAATGATCCAGTAGTTGAACTTTTATCAATAATATTGAACCCAACAAAAGTAGTATTTGGTGCAACTAAAGGACCATAAAACGATGCAAAACAGTAGGCATGTTCAGGAGTATATTTCAACATTCTATTACGAGTTCTAGAATCAGTGGTTGTATATATAGGTAATGTTTGAAATCTCCTCCATCCTAAAGACAAAATCAATGGATCTTGAGATTTTAAAATCTTTTTATGCCAACGATGTCTTCTGATTCTAACATTCATTATACCAAATCTTGATTCAGTTGGCAATAAACCACCCAAGACAATTGGATATTCAGGTTGTAAATTTTCAATGAATTCACATGGAAGATTATTGAAAACAATTTTGACATATGACCCAGCTTTTAAACCTTCAATTCTAACTCTTGTTTGTTGGTCCATTTCTTCATATTCAGACTTATTGATTTCTAATTGTTTGGCCATTTTATTCTTTTGAAACTCATACCAAGTATCGGCTTCCGTACGTCCTTCTGGGTCATCAGCTCCAAATTCCCTATCTTCTTCCTCTTCGAATTGTAACTTTAATTGGGCTTTCTTAGCAGCGTTAAGTTCTCTTCTTTGTTCTATGGTTAAATTCTTCTCATCTTCTTTTGATCCTTTATCATCTTCATCAGGTCCCATTTCATCCTTTTCTTCTTCAGCATCAAAATCTGCGAAATCATCGCCTTCAGACTCGTTATCATCATCATCATCATCATCATCACCACCGTTATCAGCTTTAACATTAGAGCTTTCATCACCCTCTAAATCTTCGAAATCACCATAAACTTCTTCATCATCCCCCTCTTCATTTTCTTCACCCTTTTCTTCAGTGTCATTCAATTTAGGTGCGGCTAAAAATCTGCTTTTAAGTTTTTGAAATCCACTCTCATATTCTTCATCACTGTTATCATCAGCTGGGTTAAACTTGTTTTTCAATTCTTCAATAGAAGGATATTCGGGTGCAAATTGATCCAAGTCTTTTGAGGTATCTTTAACATCTCTTTTCTTGAAAAAATCGCCGTCGTCTTCTTCTTCCTCAATATCAGATTCGTCATCACTTTCTTCTACTATTTGAGCTCTCCATCTTTTGACAACTTCTTCCGGTTCAACATTATCTAAATACAATAATTTGTTTATATCCCATTTTCTTTGAACTGAACCTTTCAATCTACGAGCAGCAGACTTGAATCCTGCTTCATCTTCATCCGATGATAAGGAAGAGTCTTCAACGTATTCTAATTCATCTTTATTGTATTGATTTTTCTTGTGGTCGAAATCAACTTCGACTAATTTTGGCTCGCCACTTTCGGAGTCATAGTCTTCATTTTCGTCATCATCAGATGCCAAGTCATCAAACTCCTCATCCGCTTTTTCGAATTTACCATGCAATTTTGGTCTTCTCATTTCAGCTCTACCAGTGTTTTCTGACTCTTGCTGATCATCCTCATCAGATTCCATATCAGATAAAAGACCGTGCTCTTCCTCCTCATTATCCTCGTGATCATCATGAGAAATAGCTTTAGATGAAGAGAATAATTGCAATCCCGGGCCTTCTTCGAATCTTTCTTTCATAGTCTTTTCAACATCTTGCAAGCCAGTAACTAATTTTTCACCTTCACCAGCTTCTTTACCTTTAACAAAATGCTCCTTATCACCAACATCGATGTATACTGCATCTCTATCAACAAGAACCCCACCAACATCAGACATTGGTGCATATATGATTTTTTGTTTGTCTTCCAATCTCTTACGTCTTCTGGTAGTTTTAGCAATTGGTTCACCAGCTTCAGCTGCAGCCTTAGCTCTTTCTCTTTCGAGATCATCCAACTTTTGCTCAAAGTAAGGAGTTGGACATGGATCTGGTAATTTTTCAACCGAATGAACAAATTGGTCACCAACACCTGCAATGTGGATTTGTGCACCGGTGTAGGGCAAAGGAGTACCATGCAAGTAACCATAGATGGCGACTTTTCTATCACATTTTGGATTCTCTTGTATAGTTTGAGGGTGGGTTAAATCAGTAACACGATCTGCTAATAAATATGGATGTTCATTTCTCCATTTTAAAGGTCTAAATTTCATAACCGAGATGAATCTACTTAAATTTAAAATTTCTCGATCTGGATAACGGCCATTGATAACACCCGATAAATAAAATAACTTAGCACCTTGATAAACTTCTGTCCACAAACGATGCTTCAATCTCTTTTTGGAAGTTCTTAAAGTTGATTGAGATTTGAATAAATCCAAATGGGTGGCTATACCCAAGACTCTAGGCATACCATGATGTTGAGCTATATTTAAAAATTCCATGGTTTCCATTTCTAAACCAAAATTACCATCAATCAAAAGTAAAACTAAATCGGCAATTTTGGCGGCATCAATCATTGAATTCAAATCATTATTAACTTCTATAAATGTCAACCTTCTTCTTTTACCACTAACAATAGTAATTGGACCTTTCACTTCAGTCAATGAAGTCTTGGCCAATCGTCTTACTAATGATTTAATTAAAGTTGTTTTACCAGTACCGGGAGGACCAACAACTGCTACTATAACTGGTGGAGGATCATCATCAGGAGTTCTATCGACCATTGGAACATGCAATTTCCTCTCGTTTACTTCAGAAGACCTCTTGGCCATTCTTTCCAACTTCTTTGGTGCACTCACCGCAAAAGCTTTAGCATTATAACCATTTTGATGTAATTTCTTCTTACTAGTATTCTTCTTCGTGGAACCTCCACGATGAGCCTTATTTGACTGTTGATTACTATCCATCTGTGATTCCTATTCTCTGATACTTTTTCTTTCGTAATATGAATGGAACAAAGAGGACACGGTATTTAATACAACAATTATAACTTAATATAAGCTCGCGAAGAAAGTATATTGATTAGTATTAAATCAAACCAAATTTTTAATTTTTTTTTTTTCATATCTCATCTCTTCACATACAAAACAAAAAAAAAAAAGGAAGAGTCGATGCACCCTCGTAATTCAATACACACGTGACATATACCTCGTAACTTATTTATGGACGCAAAAATTACAAAAAGACTGCAAAAGCTTGAATCTTCCATCAAAAGAGTCAAAGCTTCACACAGAAGGGTATCTACTGGGAGATTCAATGCATGTGAGGATAATAGCTTTTTTGTTCAAAACTGTCATTTATATATCAGGCTTCATTCAAAATATTGAGGCCAGTTGGTTTTTCAAAGAGTACAAAGTTTGTAATCCTTCTAATCGGGATGGTCTTACAACTTTTACTGGATTCAAAATAACCAGAAAGTACAAGATCGAAGCTGTCATGCCTACCTCGATGCTATTTATGTCAATAGCTCATTGCAATCATGGAAAAGTTGACTACGAGAAAACGACGAGGATGTCTTCAAATCATGATATCAATTGGGACCAGCCCTTTTGTATGATCAAACCAGACTTAGGAACAAAATTAAGAGATTTACCCGAAGATATACCACAGAATTTAGATACCCGAGAGTTGGAGTTGCAAGGTAGCTTGAATCTAACTCTGGGTAGTATGGTGGCAAACAACCCCAAGGAGGCCAAAGGACGGACGGAGATTATCGGTGGAAATGCAACAGCTCAGACGAGAACTAAAATTAAAGATAATTTTATTCCTATAAAAAACTTTATAAATACTCTTGCTGATAAAACAGTCCAGCTTTTTATTGGAGGAAACCGAAAGCATATAAATTATTCGGGATTGAAGGAATCTAGTCATTTAAACGACTTACAACTGTCGAGTATCCAGTCTTCTTTGGAGTGGGAATCTAGGAACTTGGTTTGTTATAAAATAGCCCGTCGTAGGAAGTATGCTAAAAGAGATATTTTATACTATATGCCTCATACGTTTGTGGGTGCCCTTTTTGAATGCCAGCTCTCTACCGAAGACAAGAGGTATTTATTCCAGAATTTGTCAACTATTGATCTTTTCCAATTTCATAATTTCGATATTAGGTGTGACCGCTCCTTGTCCCGAGCTTTGAAACCGTTGGTGGCTGAAGATAGTACTAAGCAATGGTTCGAAAGAAAGGAAACTTCTTTCATCCAAACAATCCCATACTTGACGACGGCTACTCCTTATAACTTGAGGTTCAAATTAAGTGATACGAATGACATGTTTCAACATACATGGGCATCTGATATAGATGTAAATGAGGAATACAATTATAATGAGTTTGAGGTAAACTTAATTTCTCAAGCGATAGCCAAAAGTGCAAATCATGTCAATAAGTTGTTGATGACAAGACCTTTGTTTAAATTGTCCAAAACGAATTCTCTCCACTCATATGATAACGATTATGAAGATGAAGATGGAAATGAAAGCCAGGAATTTGTAAATAGTAGATATAATAGGATGAGAGATAAATTCGATAAGTTTGATATCGACCAAAAAGTTAGTTTGATTATTTCAAGTATATTGGGAAAAAAGGATATTTTCAATCTTTTTCAAAACTTACAGGCACCTTGGGACGTAATATCAGATAAGTAGTACATGTTTTTGAATACCTTTAATTAATTTGATTATATATTCAAGATAGAAGAAAATAAATGTGCAAACTTGTATTTGTTTCAACAAATTCAAAGTTCACAAAAAACGAAAGACTCAAGAGAGAATTTAAAATAAACGAGAAAAGAATAAGCTAATAATATACATGAACAGTATTTAAACTGTCCCTAAGGATATTTCGAAAAATTGTTTTCGAAAAAGAGAGAAAAAATTTTTTTGAAAGGCTAATTTTACAAGATTCCATTAATCAAACAATCCTGGTTGCGTCAGTTGGGTTATTATTCATGGATTGTTGAGCTGACATTTCGGAGTAGTTTCTTTGATGGGTTTTAGGAGATTCATTTAAGATTGGGGTATTGAGTGAGTTTACTTCTTCCTTTGGACTCAAGGTATCACTTATTCTAGTAATATGACTTGATTTTGGGGTATTGGAAGTTTTGTTTGCATTTGGAGGGGAATTATTGTTCTTCTTTGTTGAAAGATTTCTAGTTAAATTTTTCAATTTTGCACCTAAACCAGCGTTATTGTTTGGTTTATTATCATCACTATCTGATCCTTCACCTAAAGTTCTTTCTTTTTCATTCGCAATCCATTTGTCGCTTTGATTCAAAGAAGGAGTTAAGATATCATGACTTTTATGATTTTCTGAAGATGAAGATTTGTCTTCGTCATCCTCATCATCGGCGCCGTTACTCAAATTGTGAAGTCTATACATTTCCAGTTCCCAATTGTTAGAATGGTCTTGAGCTGCCAAACCAAGAGCAAATAATTCATTATGAACGTTATCTTTCTCTTTAGAGGCCAGGTTATCGCCCTTGTCAGTGTAAGACTTACGTTTAACAGAGGATTTTCTTTGGAATGAGGCACGGTCATCTTTAGCAGGAGCGAAACGAGCATCAGGATTCTTGGAAGTGATAGCAAGACAAATCAAGACGATGATCATGAGTAAGAGAATCAAGGAGAAAGCGGCATTCAAGATAAAGAAAATCCAACCCATAATTGAACTTACTTGAGCCGGTTGACCAAATAAGTCAGAGAAAAACAAGAACAAGAATGAATTAATAGTGATAACAATTGACATACAATAATTCAAAACATTGGTTGATTTGTCCAAGTAAGGAGCTTGAATAAATAAATGGATAGTATAAGCCAAATCAAGAATGAATAAGATTAAAGAACTTGCTTTACCACTATATTGACATAACCCAATAAAAATACCTTTAATCAAAGAATAACCGGTAAGAACAATACCAAACCAATATTTGTTGGCATTAAACATGGTATAGCAAAAACCATATTTATTTAAAATTCTTGAATCACCATAAAGTAAAGCAGCAGGATTATTATATTGAATGATTGATTTTTTACCGAATTGTAAAGTTTTCCAAAAGGAAAAGCCAATAACTCCCAAGGAAAGAATAAGGAAGATAATTGCTAGAATGATAACGGCTGGAGAATCATTTTGAGTGAATTCCCATAAGGAAAGGATGATCAATTGGGTGAAACCAATATAGATGTAACGTTGTAAAGCACCTTTCATAATTGATGCAAAAGAAGTTCTAAAGTGGTTTAAACGGTTTGGGTTAATTTTTTTGAAGCGAATCAATAATTCAACTGTTTGTTTTATTAAAACTAAAATAACTGCCAAAAGGAAACCACACAAAATGAAAAAGGTGAAACCGGTAACAACAATGGCAGTGGTTTCAATATGGGAGCCAAAACCAATTCTTTCAATACCTCTTAAGATAATAGTGTTTGTATTTGAACTCAAACTAAAATCCAAAGATCTTTTATTATATTCTTCAACACTTTGATTAGAGAAAAATCCAGTAACATCATTTCTTACAGCAAACTTATGCATACCATCCAAATAATCCATAGCTCTTTGAACCAAGATTTGTTTAGTAGTACCCAAGAAATAAGTAGTTGGATGTCCACCAGTGGATTGGATATACCATCTAAAGATATCCTGCATGAAGGTGACTCTAATTAACCCCATTGACCAAGCCAAGTTTTCAGCCCAAGAAGAAGCAATTGGAGGAACTCTTTCAACATGTTGCATCGAAACCACAACTACTGATTGGAAATAAAGGAAAAGAGAAACAGCATTAGCAGAAATATGAGAAGCAGCATTTGAATTACCAAAAGTAGATAAAACAGCAGCAATCAATAAACCTAAACCAGCTATAATTGCAGTAGCCCATTTAGCACCGGTTTGACTAACGGTTTTACCATTAGTGAAACCCGATTGAATACAAGATAATTCTTCTCCTGAATCACGATCTTTAACAATGACTTTAACCACTGCGTCAATGTCTGGAACGTTATAAGCAATACCAGGAATCATCTTAACGTAATCCTTACTAATATATTCTATTGATTCAACTTGCATTGAACCAGGGAAAATTGGACAAAATTGTTTCCAACCTAAAGTACACATATCAATATTTTTTTCAATAATTAAGAAACCATATGCATAAACTTGAACATGAGCAATGACATAAGAGCTAATTTCAGTTGATAAATCAAGGGAATATCTTAATGAACGATCATCAGGATTAAAAGTAACGTTAAAATATGATGGTGAGATTTGCGAATTCTCCATACATGTAACTAAGGAAGTCGCCAGAAGTGATCTTTTAGCCAAAATGGGATTAATGAATAAAGAAACCCATGTTAGAAATAAAAGTATCGATCTATGTAATAAAACCATCGTGGTAATCAGTAAACTTGTTAACTGGAAATCAGGGGATCAAATCAAAGGTTATTCTGATCTTCTCAAATAAAGCGAACGGTAGGAAAAGCAATATGAATAGCTTCCACAGATAATTAAACGATGGGAATGTGACTAAAGACCAGTCAAAGCTGCTTATAGATCAAGATGTGAAAAGAACTACTAGTTAGTAAGACGGTAGCTAACAGGCTTTTCCATATTATTTTTTTCTTACTCCTTAGAAGGTGTTGTTATTTTTAAAACGCTAACAAAATAAAAAAAAAAAAAGGCCAAAAAAAAAAAAATTTCACGTTTAAATCTTCAATAAGAACTGCGGTTTGTGAGCCCATACATCCCTATTTTACTTCGAAAATTCCAAACAAATAAGGCTGCAAGCTGGGAGCTAAGTAGACCAATAACAACAACAACTACAGTTACAAAGATCAAAACGATCTTCTCCACGCACCAAGACTACCACCAAGACCAAGCTTTATTGTAGAGTTAGTCGTTCTCTACTTCTCTTGGTCTCTGGCATCGTGGTGTACGTTTCCGTTCTTTGATGATAGTAGCATTGGGGTTCCCTGCGTTGAAAACCCCATTATATATTCATTTTTTACATCTTACGATGTCTTTGTTCATATGAACATCATTAATTTTCTGTTTTTGTACTTGAAATACTCGTGTAGTTAATCAACACTAAGCCTGAAATCTCATCCCTTCGTGAAAGGCACAATAAATGTAAGGGACCGTTTAACCATGAACAGTTCAAAAAAAGTATTTTTAGACTACTTCTACATACTTTGATTGCAAAAACATGTTATACTTTGATTGCAAAAACGTACTTGACTATTTATATACGTTGATTGCAACAACGTACTTGACTATTTATATACTTTGGTTGTGAGACTTTTATACCAAAATCATAAATGGTATTCAGTCATTTTACGTTGGTCGACTTTAACCAATAATAAGTCTCCCCAGACACCTTTAATTACGTCCCAGAAATCTTTAGCGTAGACAACTTCAATGCCATACTTGTTCATGACGTACTCTTCGACTTCACTTAATCTTCCGTCTTTATAATCGTCCTTTAACAACTCATTCAATTTCTCCGGTTGATTAATACTCTTAATATACTCTTTAATAATATCTTTACGGTTTTCTCTTGGTACAATCATCTTTTTAATTCCGCTTAAACTTGCTCCCAACATCTTCTCTTTCAATCCTCCAATTGGTAATACCAACCCTCTTAATGTGATTTCTCCAGTCATTGCAAAATTAGACTCTACTGGTTTTTCTAATATTAATGACAAAAACAGCAATGCCATGGTGATTCCGGCACTTGGCCCATCTTTTTCAATACTACCACTAGGAACATGCATATGAATATCTAAACTTTGCATCCGGTTAATTATATCTTCTAATTCATGTTCATCATTGGTTAAATTTAACAAATTCTTATAAATGATCAGTTTAATAAAAGTTAATCCAATTTTCCCACTCTCCATTAAAACTTCTCCTAACCTACCAGTCATATTCAACCATGGACCTTCGGTATTATTCTTATTAATTCCAATACTTTCAAATAAAAGAACTGATCCTGATCCATCACTGTTGTATGATAATCCATTAACAACTCCGTATTTATAAGTTCCAACCGGTGCTTCATAAATTTCACTCATTTTAGGGTATGGAATACCCAAATACTTACTCAAATCATATTCATCGATGAGCCCATTATATTCATGGTCGTTAGTTAAACTTTCTGCGTATTCGACGGCTTTATGGCGACAAATGGTTCCAAGGTTTCTTTCAAAATTACGAACCCCAGCCTCTCGAGTGTACTCTAATATAATTTGTTTCATAACTTTATTAGGTATTTCAATCCGTGAAGCTTCATTAATTAATCCATTTCTCTTCATTTGTCTAGGTAACAAATACCTCGATCCAATCATTAACTTCTCACTGTAATCATAAGCTCCAAGCTCAATCATTTCTAATCTATCAAGCAATGGTCTACTCAAATTATGTGGTTCATTGGCAGTACAAATAAACATCACTTGTGATAAATCAACTGGGAATCCTAAATAATGATCGGTAAAATTACCATTTTGTTCTGGATCCAAAACTTCTAATAAGGCTGCTGCTGGATCACCATTAACTTTACTTCCTCCAGCTCCAGGTCCCCCTCCAACTACTTTATCAATCTCATCGAGTAAAATAACGGGATTCATACTTCTGGATTTTCTTAAACTTTGAACAATTACCCCAGGCATTGCCCCAACATACGTACGGCGATGTCCTCTAATTTCCAGCTCATCCTTAATACCACCCAAGGAAACTCTTTGAAATTGGCGTCCTAAAACATTTGCAATCGATTTGGCTAATGAAGTCTTACCAACTCCCGGTGGACCAGCCAACATTATTATTGGACTACGGTTCAGCTTCGAAATTATTTGTCTTTTCATGTTTTCTTGCTTTTCTTGTTTTCTTTTAATAACTTCATTAGTCAAGTCCTTCAGACGTTTGTTCTCATTATTAGCTTGACGATGAGCAACCGAAGTTTCATCATTATTTGGAATAATTATTGATTCATTCGAATACTTTTCATTCATAAACTTTTTACGTTCGATTTCTTCTTTTTCTAATTGTTGTTTTTTATCATTTGAACTCTTGATACTCTTTTGCTGATTTTCATATTCAATATCGGCATTAATTCCCAATAATTTCAAGACAACCAAATATTGAATCAATCTTGATTTGACATGCTCTAAGCCATAATGATCTTTATCCAATTGTTCTTTAGCAAACTTAATATCAATATCTTTATTGCTATCAAATTTCCCTATAAACTTATCCCAAGGTAAATCAGATACGATTTCCAAATAATTTCTTAATACATGGAAATCACTATTACCTGGTGGACTATTTTTTACCCTTTTATAATCTTTAATAATTAATCTTTTGCTATCCTCATCTAGGGTTGCAATATGAGGCAATTTGTGCTTAATGAAATTGGTGATTAATTTCAATTCATCATCCCCTGATTCATCATCATCATCGAAATTGTCATTATTATCGTCTTCATTGTTTGCATCTTTAGCAGAAGCATTATTGTTTTTACGACGAATTAATTTCTTGTTATTATTGTTACTACTGTTGTTATTAAAACTAGTTGAATTCGTCTTTGATTGGTTAGTGATACCTTCCAAAACCAATCTAATAGATTTCAACTGGTTAGCAACAACATTAGCTCTTTGAATATTTGTAGCCTCATTGTAAAACCAATGATTAATAACGTCTGTATTATCTTTCAAACTGTCGAATACAGCTACTAATTTACCCATCATGGTATTGACATGATTGACCCGATCATTAATTTCAGTTTGATTCAAAACTTTTAGTTTCTCATGATTAGGAAAAGGGATTATAGCACTAATCAAATCAATAATTCTTGCAAAATTTTTATTATCAAGACTAATATCATTTTTTGCCCCAATACTGAAATTGCCAATCAATTTTTGCAAGCTAATATAAGCCTTTGTGAAGTCTTTCGAGCCAGCCAATTGTAGATATAAAGCATTTGCCAAAGGGTTCAAAGTGAGTAAATCTTTTTCTTTAGCTTTTGGGTTTTTAGCATTATTATTGGATGCTATATTCAAGGCCTTCCTATAATCCACAATGAATGAATCAATAGACTTGAAAAGCTGCTTGATATTATTGGTCAATTCGGTATACTTTGTACTGATATTTTCAATGGTTCCATTCCAATCGATATCAAGACTAACTTCATTAGGCTTAATCTTCTGACTGGTCTTGGTAATTTTACGACCCCTAGTTAAAGCTTGGAGCGTAATTTTAATATTTGTTGTATCGTCAACAATGCCGACAATTCGAACAACAGTAACGATATCGTTATATTCTTCAGACAAATCGAAGCCATTTGGGTCTTTTATTTTATTCAAATTAGGAGAAATTGCCAAAACCAACCAATCAAACTCACTTTGGGGTTCATCATTCAGCTTCCTAGGAGATTGATTAGACTTGTAAGATTGCTCGTACTCATAAAACTGTTTAATACCCTTTATCGATTCATCTGATAAAACTCCTGGCAACTCATCTGATAAGGAAGATTCACTACTGCTTTCTTCACCAGCAAAATCATATTCATTTAACAAATTTTCAATTAAAGGCACATGACCAACTTGCTTCTTAAATCTTGATAATAAAGCGGCAGTTTTAAATCGACTGAAAGTCACATTATAGATGATCCCCGGTAATAAAACCAAATTTGAATCTAATCTATAATTAGGCAAGGCGATTTGCTGCTTATAAGAACTAGGAGAGTTTTTAAACTTACCCATCTCAACTAATAACTATACTCGAGAAAAGATAGGGAAAAGAAAAAGTAGTATAAAGATAGTATTGATTGCCACTAAAAGAATCAACTTCGAATTATTCAAAGTATTAAGTGGAAATCACCATATGATAATGCGACAGAATTATTTCTATATGTGGGGAGATAACCGAGGAATTGAGGATGGGCCCGTGCACCACAGTACTATACTAATAAATATACATTTAAAAGAACCCGACTTATATAATATATACATGACGCTAGCCTATAAGATGTCTTTCAAATTAACTTGAGCAGAACCTCTTTCTAATGGTTGAGGTTGGGTGTCTGACTTCTTCCAGCCGATCATGAATATGACATTGAAAGTAGCTGGTAGACTAATGACACCATTTTCGTCTGTTTCACCGTGTAAGGTTTTATAGATTTCATTTGCAGCCAATAAAACATCTCTTGGTAAGAAATTTGATCTGGATAAGACGGCATTCTGTTCACCCATCATTTGTAAATCTTCACACACGGAAACCACATCGGGGAATCCACCCACGACTATATCTTCAGCATCGATTGTTAACATGCTGAAACCAGCCCTATTAAGTAAGGACCCAACATCATTTAAGTGAACCAAAGGTGATACACGAGGAGACATACCTCCTTTCCTTTCGAGTTCTGCTAGTTGCAAAGAAGTTCTCAATTCATATAAGGTATCACCTCCAAATAATGTCCCCATGAATAAACCATCTGGTTTTAAAACTCGATTAATATTGGCTAAGGCATTTGGTAAATCATTGATCCAATGCATTGATAAATTAGAAATGACTGCATCAAATTGATCGCTTTCTTTTAAGCATTCATGATCAAAAGTTTCTTCATCAGCTACATTACGAATTATTTTACCCTCGAACACTTCATTAAATGTTTCATTGGAATCTCTTTCTAGCATCTCTTTTGATGAATCAACCATTATATATTCCTTAATCTTGGACCTTATCGTCTTTTTATCTTTATTCAACTGTTCGGTGATTTTTACATCTGCTTCATCACCTCCTGGTGGAACTGGTGAATCCTCACATAAATTTTTCAATAAATTACCCAGATGTGCTCCAAAATCTAATACTTTATTGAAATCTCGGGTAATAAATGCTAACCTTTCGATGGTTCTAATGGCTACCTCGTCTCTTAGATATTCAACTTTTCTAGACTTTTCTAAGTCGAGTTTTGGTGATTTCGATCTTTGTTTCAATTTTGCACTTCTATCAAAAACATTGAATTGTTGTTGTTTGGCTACATCAGCTGCTGAAGTAGCAAACCACCTTCTGATCACTGGAACCCTTTTAATCATCATCTTGTCCTATGATATTCAGAGCAACTGTCTAAACTGGTGTGAAGAAGATCCACTCTTTTTTTTTTTTCTTCTTCTCTAATAGTTTTTTTTTTTTTTTGTATCTTTCAAAGAAACTAACGGCATTCGTCCATTACACTCTAGCATGCTTCAGACTATACGGCTCCGAGCCTCTCGTAGTCTTAAAGCTCGAATACAGTATAAAAAATATAATTCCTTTCATTCTTTGTCATACCGGTACAACTCCGAAATACCAAATCTGAATACTCTCACAGCTACAGTTGCAAGTTCCCCTTTGAACCATGATATTCCACCCCAAGAACTACGAAAATTGTTAATTGAAGGAAGCAAAAAAGTGAATTTGGATCCCATGTTTGAGCTATTGGTGAAATCTTCTTCGCTGAATTTGATACCAAATTTGAAAATAGTAATGGATTTCGAGGAATCAGTACTTTCTACTCGTACGAATATTATGCTTTTGAAAGCACTTCGTACTCATGCTCATGACGATTGTTCTTCCTTATCAATCAAGATTTTCTATTCACTTATGGACGACCATGCAGAAGGTAAGATCTCCCTTAGCCAAAATGAAATTGAACAGGTGTGTCAAACGTTCCTCCAATGCATTTCCAGAAGTAACAATATCACAAATCTTCTTACTTTGAAGAACTCATACCACAACTACATATCGGTTTTCAGTCATAACACTTTACTTGAAATTAGTTATTTATCTGCATTCATTCATATATCCTTCAATGCTTCAAATTTTCAAGGAGGAATTGAAATATTTGAATCTTCTTTCTTAAGCGTCACAAATCTCGAAATCGAAGGCACCCATGATCCTAGCACTGCTTTGACATACTTGCCAACAAAAAGGTTTTTGGATTTACTATGTTCGCATCAAGACTGGAACAGATTACTGACATGGTTGGAGAAAATTGACAATATTAGTGGAGATTTCATCACTCCAAAAGACTGGCTTAAATTTTTGAGCTTTGGACTTAATATTGCCAACTACAATTTGGTTAAAACAGTGTATGATCATTTCATTATGAAAGGGTTTGATAAAGGTATTACTCGTCATGATATACTTTTCGATCCTTCTATAACGAATAGTGTTACAAAGGAAAACAGAATTATAAAACTCATCAATGACGAAATAATTTTTCAAATTTTGCATATATTTGCATTAGAAGGAGATGTTGGACTGACATTGCGTTTGATTGAATCACATTATGTCCATAAGACTTTAAAGGGTGAAAGAGCATTGACTCTTGAACTTTGTATACAAATTATTGCTGCATATTGTTATTATCGATCGGCCTCCTTGCATCAGTCTGGTGAAGACGAAGACATGATTCGAGTATTGAAGGTATTGAATGGATTTGTTGTTAAATTAAAAACCAAAAACAACGCTCAAGAGCTCATCTCATATCGTGATATCACCGCTCATATGTCTCATAGGTTTTTGGAATACAAGGTCAAAGATATAAATGTTGAAAGGGCAAGTCAAAAGATAAAGAGAATTGAACAATCTATTAAAGACCTGGAAGAGAATCTAATCAATCCGGATGTTATTTTACCGAGGAAGATTAAGAATGACAACGTATATGTGCATTCTCTGGGGAACATTCTTGCAAATTTAACTATTTTAGAATCATTCATAAACAAGCATATAAATCTAATGATTGATGAAAAGTTCGACGTTGATACCGTCAAACTTTTCATTAATTGCATATTAAACCATATTAACTTACGCCAAAACTCATCCGGAATGATAAAAGCATTACTTACTTTAAAAACATTAAATTATAAGGTTGCTTCTGAGTGGCTTAACAAGGATCTGTTTGAAATCATACTTTATTCTATATCAAATTCAACTGCATCCAAATTAACTTCACTAGGATTATATCAATTTTTCAAAAGCCAGAGCTGGAGTTTGAGCCATCATCAATACATTGCATTAATCACCGCCTCATTAAGAGGAGACAAATTCAATGATTTACTTGAATATTACGTATATGAATACCTTCGAGATTATGATGGGGTTTTTGATGGTTATCTTTTAAGTATATTAAATGACATGGGAGTCCAATCACCAAGGTTTGAATCATTGAAGGAGTTTCTTCAAAAAGTCCATGAAGAAAATTTGAATCCCAGTTCGATAGACGCAGGGAACAAAAAGTTCCCAAATGAATATACATTTAATACAAAAGAACCGATTGAGATAATAGATGATGGTTCTTCGCTTGCGAAAAGGGAGTATAATCATAAACATGATATCATTGATGCTTATAATTTGAAATACGTTTTATCCATTTAGACTTGTACATTATTTTTAAATAGCTTAATATATACCAGATAGATTAATTACCAAATGACCCACAAATACCAAAACCCAGACAACACCTGAAACCAAAGAAAATATAAACAGGAAAAGACAAAACCACATAAAATCATAAAAAGAGATGAATCTAAAATCATCAAATATCATTCACAGCATTTTTCAAGTCATCATCATTAATATCGATTTTGGTAGCTTTCAGTTTTACCAATAAGTTGTTATTCCATTTCTTTTTAATTGTTTCTAAAACGCTTTTATCAGCATCGTCATTGGCAGTGTTATCAGCTAATATGTCTGGGTACTTCTTACGATGACCTAAAATAGAATCATCACCTACATTAGAAAAAGTAGACGAAAAACTACCGTTATAGGACGAGCCCAACATTGTAGAGTCTACTGCCATTCTCATGATAGTATCAACATGACAAGCAAGGTTATCTTCATGCTCGACATTATTTTCTTTATCATTTTGGTCTTCATCCTTCGTTAGTTTCATAAACTTTTGTTTATTTAAGCCACCACGGGGTTTCTTGTTACTCAGTGAATGATCATTTAAGACTGATTTTGGTGTTGATTGCAATACATTGGATGAAGACAGATTTTTTTTGGCTGATACTGAAGGAGAGAAAAAAATAGTTTTATTGGGAATAGGAGTTTTATTATTAGATGGAGTACTGCTTGGGTATTGGGAAGCCTCTTGACGGTTGGGGAATTCATCTTCATTGTTATTTCTAGTCCTCTTAATACCTTTTGTTGCAGATTCCTGAAGTTTGGATGATTTTTTAACCGGAGTCCTTTTAACGGAGGATGAGTTTGAAGATTTTTTGGTTTTTGAATATGGTAAATCGATAACGTATTCTTCTATTTTATTCTGGGATTGGCTTACTATCTCACTCATGGGGTTCTTGCCTTTGCTAAGCAGCGGACCATGGCTGAATGTCTTCAGTATTGGAATATTAGAACTAATAGGTTTTGTTTGAGCTGGACAATCTTCTAATTTGAGGTTTTTAGCCAAGAGCGCATCTCTGGGTATAACACTTGGAGAAGCAGTGGGCAAGTTCAATGAGCTAGGGTAATCGTAGCCCAAGTTAACGTCTCTATGGACCTTTGATGATTGTGGCATGGTTATCAATTCAGCAGTCAATTATCAAGGGTTTAAGAAAAAGCTGCCAAAAGAAAAACTGAAGCAAAAAAAGACTAAAAACTAAACAAAAAAAGACTTAAGCATAAAAGACGGTTAAATTTAGGGGACCTTGATTCCAATATATATGATCCGACCAAGATACGATGAGAATTGATGATTTATTGTGTATGTATTGCCCTATTCTAATTAGTTTATGATGTTTATTTATTGATGGTCTGAAAAAGGCAACCAGAGATCGAGTTCTGTTCTTTAGTGTTTTTTCGCACCAATTAGTTTTGGTATTGTTGCATTTCCATTAACGTAGAATTGGAGTCAAACAATTGAGCAACGAACAAGGCGTAGACCCCATCGTATGTATTCCATATGAAAATGAAGGGTCTGTTGCGTGCTGTTGTATTTCAATGCCATTGGCTGTTTTAGTATTGGTTCTGGCGGAGAACACTTTAATCAACCTCATTAGTAGAGGAATTGCTGATGGGAGTTATTCATACTTCGCTTGCTTTGTACTATTTTGAACACAATTGACAAGGGTTAAATGTGCTCAGTCACAATGGCCATAGCTAGGGTTCAAAGTGAAATCCGTATTAATGCACTGAATTATTTTGACGAATTATAAGCACACTTTTGTCGAAATAATGAGAAAAATTAGCCAAATATCTTTAACATCTTACACCAAGACCACATCAATACTACAAGATTGTGCTTGGACTATTCATACTGTACAAACCCTAGTTTATAGCCCATCGATTTTCTAAAAGGGAGTATTTGCAGCTATGGGGTCGTGTCCAGTCCGTCTTTTACCCGGGGTTTGCAAAATAAACAATTTAATTGGATGAGGTTTTTTTTTCTCATCGAGCATTACAAGTTAATAAAGCCAACGATATTACTGGATAAGAGTATCATGGTATATTAGATTGAATAGCGTAAATATGAATATATGATTAGTATACACCAGTAAGACGGACCTTACTGAAAACAATATTTTCACTTTTTTATTTGTCTGGAAAGGCCAACGGCATAAAAAAAAAGTGAAAACGGCATTAGGACATATGTACATGAAAAATGAAAGTTTTTCCTTTCATAAATATGTGATGAATGGATAGACCATAGTAAAGTAATGGATAAACGATATAGCAAGGTTGCCTGAGTAGAAATGAATAATTTGATCCCAAAGTAAAATTTATAATGAATAAAAAAGCAGTAGAATATGTATTTTGAAATAATGCAAATAAAATCAGCTTTGACTATCAGCCTGTTGTTGTTTCAACTGCTGAGCTTTTAGTAATCTTTCATTTGGCACTGAGTCATTACTATGAACAGCATCCATTGGACACGGTAAAAGTGAATTGGCACCAACCAATGCAAAACATAAAGCAAAAGTGGAGCTGAATATAGAGCTGGTTAACTTATTTCTTTGAGTGGACCTTAAAGCATGGAACATTATGGATATAGAAAGAAGAACCCTTTAAAAAGATCTTATAAAGATAAAGAAGATAAATAGGTGATTTTTTTTTTTAGTATCAACTCATTGTAAGGTTATTTTTCAACTTGGTAGGAGTACACGACCCACCGGAAAACCACCAAATCCAATCAGCCTTCAGATATTGTTAAAGCTACCTGTTTGGATAGAGGATGTGATACACTTGAATTACCAAGCCTACGTCTACTTCACGATAAATAAGAAGTTAATTTTTGAAAGGTATATTAATGCATGAACTAAAGTACAAAATATTTACAGGAATCGTTGAATTGAATTATTCATAAGAGGATTTTAAAAAGCTGCCTTTTTCGATTTGAAAGCCTGGTTTGAATTTTCTCTCTTGGTTGATCTGAGTGGCAGTTTTATATTCATTAACCAAATCTATCTTGACAAGTTCCTTCACTTTGGCTAAGGTATGTGCTATGCTTGGAGATACTTTATGATATATGACCTGGTTTCTTTTTCTCAATCCTAATGCCTGGATGTTCTTGCGCACCTGAGGTGGCATCCCAATGGTTGATCTAAGTTGGGTGATTCTGTAAAACTGTGACATGGTCCCTTTATGTATTGGAAGAGTAGTTATCACCGCCAGGAATCGTACTGAAAATTTTTTTGGGGTGAGGAAAGAAAAATGTCGCCGACGAACCGGAAAAGAAAAAAAAATTTTGGAAATCACCAACCGCGACATCGTGCGAGGGCACGGGCGCGCGCGACATTTATAAAACCCATCCACCAGCTGCCCCACCCGTGCACCAGGACCTGATTCCACGGTGACGTAAAAAGCTGCCAATTCGCAGTCAGGTCTTCTCCCGCAGTTTACCACCTCATGCTCGATCCCAGGTGATACAATTTCTGAAACAATTGCTAACACAATTGATGACCACCAACCTTATGCCAGGCCGAATAATGTTTTCCAAAATAGGTTTAACCCTCTGCGGACAGCTATCTCCTATATTTGCTGGTGGTCAAGTCAACTACTCGAAGTAAGGTTAGAGTTTATGTGATGTACGGGTGTTGTATGCTTTTGACAGAAGCAACGCGAAATTCCAAAACACCATTACATTGATAACCAAAACAAAAACAATGCATCAGTGGAAAGGCTCCTTTGCCAAAAGACAGGGCTTACTGACGTTACAATAAGTCGAAGAATAAAACACGGTGACCCAAGGGCCCAGTGCCCCAAGCTAAGCACCGGGACTTTGCGTAGCAAACATCCATGTTCTAGTGTTAATAAGTTGAGGTGCCTCGAGGAATGTTTGTTTGTATTTGACAAGAATGAGTTGCAAAAAAAACAAAAAAAAAAAGTAAGATAAACACCCCCTGATTTATGCTTAAGAATTGATGCACTCTAACGTTTTTAGTTATGATTCTCGAGGAATGATACTAAATCAGATACTAAGTGAATGATTTGTATGGATTTGAAACCGGGAATTGTTTTGAATTTTCCAAATTTTCAGTTATTCAACTTGAGTTTCTATTTAAAAACACAATTTCAATTTTTATTAAAATCCCGCTAGGCTTATAATTTCTTTTAAATAGGTTGAGCTTTCCTTAAGTTGATTCTTTTCTCTGATTACATATTTTTGGTTTTTTTCTTTCGTTAAATATCTTTTGATCTTTTATATCGTTCTTTTTAAAACAGTGTTAAAGGTACTTTTCTGCGTTTACTAATCGCGTCCATTCATTTATTATAACATCTCTACCACTGTTAATTTTTGATAAAAATTTCAAAGAAGTCCTTCGTTATGCGTTATTCCAAATTATTATTGATGGCTGTTTCAGTCATGGCCGTTCCTTTTAAAAGATTTGATAATTCTTCAGTTGATGCTTTAGAATCTTCTCAAAGTTCTGGATACTCAGCTCAAGTTTATGCTGCTTCTTCTGATCCAGCTGATTCTTATCAAGTTTCCACTTCTTCTGGCCCAGATGGTACTTCCACCATTACTCAACAAAAATTCATCACCGTTACTTTAGCTTCAACTACTTTAACCGTTCCAGCTGCTTCTTCAAGTGCGGTTGCTAACGCTAAAGTCGCTGCTGCTTCTTCTGATGATACTACTTCTACCATTACTGAATACCAAACCCTTACTTTAAGTGATGGTTCAACTTCTTTAAAACCAACAAATACTAAAACTACCAAGGCTGCCCTTGCTTCTCAAACTGCAGCTTCTTCTGAAATTGATACTACTTCAACTTCAACCATTACTAAATACGTTACTATTTCTGAAGCTAACGGTTCTCAATCGGTTGAAGCTGTCACCACCACCGAAACTGGTAGCTCTGAAACTGGTGATTCTGATAGCCAAGGTAAAGCTGAATGTTCTCCAGTTACCGTCACCGTTACTGCTTCTCAAGATCCAGTCACCGTCACCGTTACTGCTACTCCTTCAGCCACTGCTGCAAGTGCTTCTGCTAATTTAGCTGAAAAATTTGTTGCCTCTTCTTCCGCCATTGCCGCTTCTTCAAGTGCTGCTCCTTCTTCTGGCTTTAACTCTACTACCAATGGTACTTTCTACTCATCTGGTAACACCCTCGCTAGAGCCAGAAGAGGTCTTCTTTTTAACTTTTAAATAAGTTAATTCTGACTCCTTCTACGATTATGTTTGTTCGTTGATTCTTTTTTTTACTGTATTCTAGTTTCTGATTCTCTTTTTAACGACATTCCAGTTCTCTTCTCTATCTTGTTTTCATACCCTTTTTTTTCATCTCTATTTATATACACGAAGCTTGTCTTACTCTTTTCTCTATTTAACGTCCTTGTATCTCATACTACTGAAATACATTTTTACATATACGTCTGTCTAATTGTCTAATGTTTTCGTAATAGTATGAGAAGAAGTCGACTTCTCTACTTTCATCCTCTACTTTCATCCTCTACTTTCATCCTCTACTTTCATACTCTACTTTCATACCCTTTCTTTTATGGTGTCCTTTTGATTTTCTTGTTCAAATTTATTCAATTTTTCTACTGTTTACTTGTAGCTTCGATCGCATGTACCATTTTGCAATCAAAACAATCTTTTGAAGGGGCCCTTATTTTGAATTCGTTTAAGCAACACGATCAAGCGTGTTTAATCTTCGTACGCGTTGCAATATAAATAAATATCTAAAGACAAAGAAAGAAAGCAGAATAAAAGCAGCATCGCGCACTACCTGACTCGAATCAAATCGAAAGCTTAGAAAAACAACAACAACAACGACAGCAATAACAACACCACTAACACCAGGTCCAGTATCGAAAACCGGAGCAGAAGCACAACAAATACTTTGGGTAAGTTTCTTGTTCCAGCGAAGACCAGCATACCCCATAACTTCGTTCTATACTCTCTCGATTACCTACTAGTGGTTATTCTAGCCGCCCATGAGTTCACCACTTAAATACGATACCTCCCATATAGAGGATAAGCTATCACCCATTAAACTATCCCAATTGAACCCTTATGAGAAGAAGTCAACCCCTCCATTGAATTCCAAACCTACTCCTCCTTCAAAACTTCGTAATCAAATTATTGAAGATGATGATAATAACACTAGTCCAATCAAATTGAATAAACATCCTCATGGATTGACATCAAAACAAGAGAATCGTCGTAATACAATCCATCATATGCCTGCAATTACTCCAGTCAATCAGAAAAGTTCGAATATAAACCATGCTAATACCGTAAATCATATTAACTATTTATCCCCTCGTTTAAGCAAGATTCAACAATTAATTGATTCTCAAAGGAAAAGAGCTGCTTTAACCTTAAATTCAACTGGTCGTACTCTAAATTCTGTTAATTTGGATCCGATAAATCAATCTTTTGATGATTATTCAAGCCCTACGCGTCCACCTCAAAAAAGGAAATTTAAACAACATCAACTACATCAGCAACTTGATAATAGTGATAAAGAAAATGAAAAGTTGAACTCATCTCCCAATAGAGACCAAGACACTGATGAACATATAAATAAAATCTCTAAACTATCAACCAATGCAAATACAACCTCTGATAATAAGAGAAATTCAAATGATACATTTTTTGCCAAACATGATTTAGTTGGACAATTAAGTTCAAATCGTTCCAAAAGTAATATTCAAGATGAAAGTGACGATGACTTAGACTACGCTGAACGTAGCGACGATATATCACAAACAATGATGCCTTCTAAGAAACAAGAAATCACTGAAAATGTTAAGGAATCTGAAGAAGATCACATTACTCCTCAACGTTACACGGAGCCATTTGCACAAAGTCCGCAAACTAACCAACAAATAAGAATTAACGAAGTTTATACAAATGATGAAAACAAGCAATACAAAACTAATAAAGAAATTAATTTAGTTGAAGAAGTATCAAGCCCTTTAAAAGATCATGAACGAGAAACTTCCAAATTACCTGGTGATGAATCAGATGATGATATCGAGAATGAACCAACAGTTAATTTTTTGACGTCACCAAATTCCAAACCATATTTTTCAATTTCATATATTAATAAACTTCAAGCTGATCATGAACAAGAGGTGGAAGAATTAAGTAATTCCATTCGTGAAAAAGATGAACAATTGATGAGTTTATCAACTGATTTATTCTCAACAAATAGTCAATTTTTAAAATTTGACAGAGAAATCAAAGAATTGAAACAAAAGAATAAAAAATCTATTGCAAATGAAGAATCGTTAACCATTCAATTAAGACAAAATGAGCATGAGTTGGCATCATTAATTAAAAAGATCAAAGTGAAGGAAAACTCAATAATTAAATTAGAAACTTTAATTAAAAATGATCAATTAAAGATTGAAGAATTGAATAAATCAATTGAAGAAAAAAATCAATCGTATGAAAATTTGACAAGTGAAAATCGTACATTACAGAATCGAATTGATGAATTTGAATTTAATAATAAAGGTCATGAATTCAAATTGAAAAGTCAACAGGAAGAAATATTAGCGAAAGATAAAGAAATAAATATTTTAACCGAAGCCAATTTAGACTATAACACTAAAGTTGAAAAATTATTGAAAGAAAAGGAACAATTGTTAACCGAGAATGGAAAATTTAATACTGAATTATTAAATTCCAAAAATTTAATTCAAGATTTAGAGCAAGAAAAAGATGAAATCAATGAAAAATTGTTAACTGCTAATAATAACTTAAAATTTCAACAGGATCAAATTAATAATTTAAATAATGAAAATTTGAATAATAAAACAAAATATGATGATTTAGTGAAAGAAGTTGAAATTTATCAAAATGATTTAAATAAGTTAGAAAATGAATACGGATCAACTAATGATGAATTAGTTAACTTGAATAACTTACAAAAACAAAATGAAGATAAAATCAAACAATTAACTAATGCCCTCAATGATTCTAATGAACGTAATGGTGAATTAAATGAACAACTTAATAGTAAAATGGTGGAAAAGGGAGATTTAGTTACTCAATTAACTGATTCTCAATCAAAAATATCCAAACTAATCAAAACAATTGAAGAAAAAGATGATTTAATCATTGCAGATACTAAAAAAATTGATGAATTAGTACAACAATTAAACGAGTTATCTAATAGATCACCATCTATAAGTCCATCAAAAGAATCTCTTTCGAAAGAGGAGTACTTATCATTAATTGAAAAAATTAAATTAGAACATCAACAAAATTTAAGTGATGAAATGCAAAAGGCAAGTGATAATTTATACAGATTATACGCTAAAAAACATGAAACTAAGGTTAACGAAATTCACGACAGACATAAAAAATCAATGAAAACCTTAAACGAAGAGATTTGGAAGAAAAAATCTGAAAATGAAAGCTTACTAAAGAAATTTGAAAATTCTGAATTCGAAAAAGAACAATTACTTAAAATAATTGAAGAACAAAACGAAAAATTGGAAATGGCTTCTTTACCAAATGGTGTATCTAATTCTACCACCCCCGCTAGTTCGAGAACTCAGCAAAGGCCAATCTCAAGGAGACATCTAACTCCAAAGAAGACCAGTGGTGGTCCAACTAGAAAAAAGTTTGTATAAATAATGTATAGATGAATGTATAGATCGGCACCAAGTGACTCGGTATCTGACTCCTGCTTTGACTCCTCCCGCCTCCCGCTTCCCGGACCCGGGGCTGTCTCTGACTCGGCGCACAAAACTCCCGTACCCACGCACTTACCCTGGGTCTCATCCCGGAAAAAAACTAACCACACTCTAACACGGCAAATCTTATTACGGTTTTCTCACACTAATGGCCTTTTACTGTCCGACTTTAAAGGAGAAAAGAAGTTTTTAAAAAAAATCAAACGATGCTTAATACTTTTCTTTCATTATAGATTTATTTTTTATAGGTTGTACCATTAGATCGTGATTAAACAGTTACTTATCTTTTTATAGAATATTATGATTTCATTAAAGACCATACTGCCCAGAAGCATTCAATACCTAAAGCCCATTCAAACCCAATTGCAACGTACTTTAGCTACAGCAGATCCTTTTAATGATGGAAAGGGATCAGGAAAGGTTGAAGCAAAACCAAAAACTAAAAGACGTACCAAAACCGTCTTCTCTGATTCATTAAATAAAGGACCATCTTTCGATGACTTTATCAGTGGGAAGGCACAAGATATGGTTATCGATCCATTAGAAGCTGCCAGAGAAGGAGAACAAAGATTACCTAAATGGTTAAAAGTGCCAATTCCCAAAGGTAAATCATTTCATAGTTTGAAAAAAGATGTTCGAGAATTAAAATTAGCCACTGTTTGTGAAGAAGCCAAATGCCCTAATATTGGTGAATGTTGGGGTGGTGAAAAATCGGAAGCCACTGCCACTATTATGTTGATGGGTGATACCTGTACCAGAGGTTGTCGTTTCTGTAGTGTTAAAACAAATAGAAAACCTGCAGCTCTTGATCCAAATGAACCGGAAAATACTGCTGAAGCTATTAGCAGATGGGGGTTAGGTTATGTTGTTTTGACCACTGTTGATAGAGATGATTTGGTTGACGGTGGTGCTAATCACTTGGCTGAAACTGTCAGAAAGATTAAAGAAAAGGCCCCTCAAATTTTAGTTGAAGTTTTGGGAGGTGATTTCAGAGGTGATTTAGAAATGGCTGAAATCTTAGCTAAATCAGGTTTAGATGTTTATGCTCACAATATGGAAACTGTCGAAGCTTTGACTCCTCACGTTAGAGATCGTCGTGCTACTTATAGACAATCTCTTTCGATTTTGGAACGTGCCAAACAAGTTAGACCCTCTTTGGTTACTAAAACTTCAATGATGTTGGGATTGGGTGAAACAGATGAACAAATCATGCAAACTTTAACAGACTTAAGATCCATTGGCTGTGACGTGGTTACTTTTGGTCAATATATGAGACCAACCAAAAGACATATGAAGGTTGTTGACTATGTTAAACCGGAAAAATTCGATTACTGGAGAGATACCGCATTATCCATGGGATTCTTATACGTTGCTAGTGGTCCCTTGGTCAGATCTTCATACAAGGCTGGTGAGGCCTTCATTGAAAACGTTATTAGAAAAAGAAAGCATAACGTTGGGGAAACCCCAAGATTGAAATCTGATATCGATCCTAAACTATTATCAAAATCGCAACCCGAAGTTTAAGCCTCTACCTACTCTTAATCTAACTGCATCAATGCAATTGTATTTATTTATTATGTTTAACGAATATAATCCTTTTTTTTTTTTTTTTTTTTTTTCCCAAAATCTTTTAGTCCAATGAAATACTCGATATTAACATTACAAGACTCATTGACTCTGAATTTTTCAAAACGTTGGTCGTGAAATGATCTCTTTTTTTTTTTTTTTTTTTTTTTTTTTTTAAGAATCAATTTTCCCTTTTCTTCACTTCGTCAATCCGTATATTTGTTCCATTTTATATTATCTAATGCATCTTTCTTTGAATTGGGGTACAATACTATTGTAAGTCAGTAAAATATTCGTTGCACCCTCGATAAGCATCGCAACTAGCAACCTATAAACGAGAAGTTCGATGTTTTTAGCAGTCGCTCAACCTCCTTCAGCTATTTATATGCCTATACGTCCCAGTTGTTCATTTGCTCCTGCCTACTTCTTTAAAGTCTATATCGTCTTCAAAGGCACGCTAGTTAATGGGTTAAACCAGCGTGACCGCGTTGTAATTTTTGTTGCAAAACAAAAACAACTGCAATTCTGTTAGCACAGAAAAGTACTGAGATTTCATTTGTTTAGTTGAGTGCCAAATCGAGCAACCCATACATTTGACATGATCATCATTTTGTTTCGAAATATTTGACAAATTCACTGAAACATAACTTTATCTAACATTCAAAAGGTCAAAGGGTATAGTTTGTCAAAGTGTATCGTTTCCTTTGTGGTTCTACTGCTGTATTTCTTCTTGTTGGTTACTTCTGCAAAAAATCGTTTATAAATTCGGGTAGGTGATTCGAAATTTTTCATCCGGGGAAGTCTTTTTAATTTAGTCAATTTGGACAGTAAAACTACAGAGTATCCTTATAATTCTAAATGTCTAACTTAAAGGAGACTCTTTCCAAAGATAACGACAGTGAGGAATCGCTTATTTCTCAGTTTGAAACTACTTTGAGCATAAAACCATCATCTAATGAAGTTGCTGAGAATCATGACTTATCACTAGACCATACGGTTTTGGTTGGGAACAACTCAGTCATAAACTATACTAGGGACCAATCTATAGTTGACATTGCTGAATTAGAAGAAGAAGAACAACTTCTGGAACAGATACCTAAATTTAAAACCAAAAATAGGTATAAACTTGAACCCAAGCTAGCAGTTAAAAAGGAAGTTGAAAATACTAGAAATCCTTCCAACTCCAAATCACGTTCTCCAAGTCCATTCGTTGACTCTCAATACGAGAAAATATTATCTCCTTCTCCATTAATTGACCATTCATTAACCAGATTCACCAAATCGTTTGCTGAATTTTTAAATTCTAATCCCCATATTCAAAGAGAATCTCCCCGATTTATACATGAATCTTTAAAGACATTAGTTATATTATCTCCATATTCCGCCGAGCATGCTTTTGGACGTAAATGGGTTACCAAATCTTACTTATCCACCATTTTTGAAAGGCCGCAAAGATTATTGGCTTCATGTATTGGAGTATCCGCCGCTATAACCATGTTCCCATTCTATTATAAATTGATAAATTCAACTAAAAAAGGATCCATTTTTTCAAGTCATGTTCGTAAAATTCATGGTAAGAATTGGCCCAAAAAATTATTTGAACTTTGTATTGATTCTCATGAAAAGTTACAAAATGATGATCTAGAAGTACCAAATGATTGGAATGTTGGTGACATCTATTTGACCCCAAAGACGTTGAACGCAATTGAAGGTGTTATAGGAACAGTTGAAACGGCTGTTGACTCGCTATATGGTCAAGAAGTTGAATCAGATAACCACAACCTAGCATTTGTAGTAATTAGACCACCGGGCCATCATTCTCATGCCTGTTTACCTAGTGGATTTTGTCTTTTAAATAATGTACAAATTGGTATCGAATATGCATTTGAAAACTATCATATTTCACATTGTGCCATACTTGATATCGATTTGCATCATGGTGATGGATCTCAAGACATTTGTTGGGAAAGAGCCGGTTTCACGGGTGATTATGGTAAAGAAGATTCTGATGAAAGTGATGAAGTTAAACAAAAAAATCCCCGTGATGATTACGGTAAAAGATTCGCTACTTATCCAAAAGTTGGATATTTCTCGTTACATGATATTAAATCGTATCCAACGGAATTGGGATATGCAACTAAAGAAAATATCAAGAATGCATCTACATGTATAATGGATCATGATTTAAATATTTGGAATGTCCATTTACAAGGTTGGAAAACTGAAGATGAATTTTATAAACATTACAAAACTAAATATGTTTCAATTTTGAATCGTGCCAATCAATTTTTAAATAATGCTAAAAAGGAATACGATTTGGAATACCATGGATATTTAAACGACTTGGCAAAATACAATAAATATTTATTGAAACCTCATTTATACAACCAACCAGTTAAAAAGCCACAACCACCTCTTCCTTTCAAGCCCTTAATTGTGGTCAGTGCTGGGTTTGATGCATCAGAGTATGAAAATCCTCAAATGCAGAGGCACGGAATCAATGTTCCAACATCATTCTACGCAACGTTCTCTAAAGATGTTGTCAAATTAGCAAATATTCACACCAGTGGGAAAGTGATATCCTTTTTGGAGGGAGGTTACTCCGATGGAGCATTAACTAGTGGGATATTTTCCCATTTGATTGGATTAACCTCGACTGCAAATTCTTTAACTTCTCCTTCCAGGAATTCTTATGGCAGTGATGACTCTCACGATGAGGGTGTCGATGATGTGTTATGGAATCCTACTTGGGGCCACGAACAAGTAATGAAAGAATTAGTCAAAGGTTGCAAAAGAACTTGGACTCCTTACAAAAACCCTAGAAGTGACGTGACAGTTTGGGCTAATGAAGTAATTAAACTAGGTAGATCCATGATGCCTAATGCTATCTTACCAGCCAATTACATCTATCATTACCAAGAACCCGAGCCAACGACCTTGCTGAAAAAGACAAGATCAGTATCACCCGAACTAATCGACGGCAATATAGTGAGCCATAAAATCATTAAAGAAATCATGGATAGTGAAGGTAATATCGTGGAATACTCTCATAGTCCTTTGAAAAAGGACCCTGATGATAATAGAAGAATCATGCGTCATACCAGGTCTTATTATAAGAAATTGAACAACAATGATGAAGCCCCAACAGATAATTCCAAATCACAATTGACAAGCAATTCTACATCGTCGAATCGCAAGCAGGCCTTGAGGGAGGCCATACTGCAGCCAATTCCCGATGTCAAGTATAAATAAAACTACCCTGTATCTTTTCTAATTAGTGGCTGTTGTCCGTGTTGATGAAAATCATATTTTGCAACTCTTTTTGTAAATAGAATATATTGCATCCAATTGCCATGTTCTAAGACGTAGACCAGCCCTAAAGATCTAGCGCTGTTTCACACTCCGATACGCTCCCCTTAATCGCACAATAAGCTTTCTATTTCTAAGCTACCTCTAGATATATAACAATCCTGTTTGTTTGTCTCACCAGGTATTGTCTCCGGTTGTGTTGAGATCAGAGAATTACTGACGACTCGCTAACTACAGTTACATCACCACACACGGCCTGCGCTTTGCCATGCAATTGCTCTAAGCATGGGCCTGTTCTGCCCCTGTTCTTCAAGCTCGGTGTTTGAGTTTCTTCACATCTTCACCGATCTGACCAGCCAGTCCAAACAAGCTTAGATTTATGCTGAACGCGTTTTTGTTGGTGTACAAAAATTGGCAAAAGCCTGGAAAAAAAGAAAAAAACAACCAAAACTCATACAGAATACCAGACAAAATTAACATCTGGTTTCAACTCTTCTTTTCATCGGCTAGTGTATTAGACACAATACGAACAATCAAAATCAAAACACATTGATCCATTGATCAGCTTTTGACGTTTCCTTTATAATAGGCTCTGTATAAAAAGCATTTGTTGGCCAACTCACCCTATACGGACCAAGTTTTTTTTTTCTTACTTCAACCCTCTATTCTTTTCACAGGCGAAATTACGACCAAGTTGGCCTTTCAGAAAGATTATAAGTGTAATCAGATCTCACTAGTTTTTCCAAGGTGAAGCTAATAGAAGGTTTAGAATAATACTAAATAAGGACTTACCTCGTCTATCACCGTGTCAATACTCTCAGAGGAACTTATTATTATTTTTATTATTATTCCCAAACAGACCATAAATATATCAGTAAGGTTTTAGTTTGTCATCAAAAGAGTAAAAGAGCAAAGCATTATGAATGGGGAAGTTCACAAACCTAATCATAATCCCCTTAATCTTGAAATCAACACTGGGGTCAAACATCGGAGAAAAGTATCGTCATTAGCTCCGTCAGATTCAAAGTTTGATCGTTCAAATATATCTAATGATGAGTATATCGAGCTATTATTGTTTGAGAATAAAGAGATTCAAAGCAGCTTGAAGAAAAAGGATCAGTATATTGAAACCTTGCAAGAACTATTGAAAAAACATCAAATTTCAATTCCTAAAAGATCTGATTCTTCGAGTACAGAACCTCCAAGTTCGGCTGCTTCAAAAGATTCGTATACCCATCCATTGGACTCTTTAATCCCGCCATCTGCTTCAACAAGTTCAAACTTCAGTATCTCTTCATCGAAAGACTTGAGTATTCCAATTAGAACTCCATTAGATACCGCAGCTTTTGCATCTAGCCCAGTTGATTCAGATATCCCTCAAAGATCTGCACGTAGAAGACCAACTTCTCATATGAAAAATGATTCAATTATCCTGCAAGAGAGAAAAAGTTCAATTTCTTCGGTCAGCTCTGAAATTCCAAAATCTACTTCTAATTTGAGTAACTTATCTACATCTACTTCATTTAGTCAAACTCCTAATGATGCTAATAGCACAAATCCAGTACAAGAATCAAATAAAGAGAGCCCTAAAAACTTTAAAGATTTGGAAGATTCTACACCAAAACAAAGCCCAGCTCCTCCTATAAAATCAGATAAAATTCCCAATGATTCTACAAAACCTAATGACTCTTATAATGAAACAACAATATCGTCTGACTTGGCAGATACTACTCCTAAAACAAACGTTACTCAACATAAGAATACCAGTACAAGTAGTTTCAGTTCTTATAAATCCAGAATTAAATTACCTCCAACTTTACAACATCAACAACAACAACGTGAGTCGATGAATAATAAAGAATTATCGATAGATACAAAAGAAGCTTCTAGTCTCACTCCAAAGTCAATTCCAAAATCAACTACAATGGCATCATTAAAATCTCCAGAAACTATTGATAACACTCCACAACAAATCAATAACGATCAAACCTCCGGATCCATTCCTTCCACAGTCACAAAAAATGATAGTCCAATCACCCAAGTAACATCTCAATTTAGTGGTAATGGTAGTGATTATGCCAAAATGCCAGGTACTCCTATTGGGTTTGGTAATAGTAAATTCCCCACCCGTTCAAATGATGGAAATACACAATCATCACAAGATGACTATAATAATTTCATAACGTCTCCTAACCAAGAAACTGGATTTCTTTCTCCCAAAAATTTTACTAATGAATACGATAATTCATTACTTCGTACTCCCAATACTAATAATTTCATGAGTACTGATTCTTTAAGACCTACACCTCAAACTCCGGGATCAAGTTTTAATGTGATTCATAATCCAAAACCCGATGAGGAAGATGTTAATTTATTCATTAAGCCCGAAGAATTCAATACCATTTCAATTAAAGTTGTTAGTACAATAAGTATTCATCCTAAAAAATCTGATGATCCAAACGTTACCTTTTCGATTAATGATCGTGAATCTCGGAAAGAAATGTGGAGAATTCGTAAGACTTTTTCTCAATTATCAGCTTTTGACAATGAAATAAGACCAATCGTTGATTGTTTTGGTTTACCTCCTTTACCAGATCGAAGTCTTTTCAATTCAACTACCCCAAGTAAAATTGAAAGTCGTAAAGAGTCTTTACAAAATTACTTTAATACTATATTTACAATGCCACATATTCCTCACATGGTTCTATATCGAATGTGTCGTTATCTTTCGCTTGATTTTGTTAATCCATTAGATGATTTTAGAAGTGGTGCAAGAAAAGAAGGATTCTTAATTCGGAGATATAAAGGATTAGGAACCACTTGGAAGATCAGGTGGTGTCAAGTTGATGGACCAACTCTAGAAATATATGAAACACCAGGTGGGGTTTTACAAGAACAAATTAGATTGAAAGGTACCCAAATAGGTAGACAAACTGATGATTCTGTTGCCGAAGAAAAAGGTTATAGGCATGCATTTTTAATCTTGGAAACAACAAGAGCAACCAAATTATCATCATATCCGAAACATTTCTTTTGTACTGAATCAGATGCAGATCGTGATGACTGGATCAATGCACTTATTGAATTTAATGATAGTGGAGATACTTCATTTAGTTCTAACAATGAAGTAAGCGTGGATCAATATTTGGAAACTCCATCATCTAAGTTTGATTATCAAGATGAATTAGAACAAAATAGTAAACCATATAGCAGTTTCAGCAACAACAGCTCCACTCCAGGTCTGGGGAATAACATCAGTAGCAATAATGATATAGATCCTACTGCTACAATTCAGTCGCAAGAAGAACCAAAGGATAAAAAAGTCAAGAAGAGAAGTATCTTCCCGTTCCGATATAAGGCCTCTCATCCAGAAGAGGATAGCGCAACTCCGCCAGCAACACCATCACTTGGAGCAATATTTGGTGACACCCCTTCATCCCAACTCCAAAACACTAATAATAATACCCCGATGGAAGAACCAAGTATTCAACAGTATTTGGATCAAATGAATTTGGATGAAGATGTAACTAAATCAATATTTGGTAGAGAAATCAGTGAGGCCTATAAATTATCAAATCATGAAATTTTGGGTAAATCAATTCCAAGTATTGTGTTTAGATGTCTTGATTTCTTAATGAAAACGGGAGGAGTTTATGAAGAAGGGATTTTCCGATTAAGTGGTAGTGCATCCACTATAAGACAATTTAAAGATTTATTCAACAAGGAATTTGATCTTGATATATTTGAATCTAATTTGAAACCAGATATGCATACAATAGCGGGCCTATTGAAAACTTATTTGAGAGAATTACCGAGTCCAATATTAGGATTGGAAACTTATAATCATTTACAAAAATTAGTGATGAATACTAAATCCAAAGAAGTGTTGGCCAAACAGTTCTGCGAATATATGAATAATTCTTCAAATATGGATTCAGTTCATTACGATATTTGCTATGTTATGTTCAAATTCCTAAGACAGATTATCGCCAATAGCTCAAGTAATAGAATGAACTTACGCAACGTTTGCATTGTTTTCGTTCCAACTTTGAATATTTCATTAGATATCTTGGTGACTTTAATAGTGGATTTTGACTGTATCTTCGAAGGAGGCCAACCAGTGTTGGATGAAAATAGAGAAGTTGTCGATTTGCAAATTCCAAACTTCTAATTTCCACTTTACAAAGACTCTTTTATATAATTACTTTTTTAAAAGACTCTTTTATATAATTACTTTTTTAAAAGACTTTTTTTTTTTTTTGTTCTTAAGCCATACTTTAATCTAATAGTGTATTGTGTTGACTTCATTCATACTTCGATCTAAAAGAATGTACTTTAATAAGCACTTTGTGCTATACAACTGCAAGAATTGGGGGTTATGCTTGATCTATAGGTACGGGCGTAGTCTACTCGTGTCGACAAGGTGAAATTTAATAGAGAGTGGTACAAATTGTTATACAGCTAATGACAACGCCAAAGCTAAGAAATTGAGCTAGCCGGCGAGACGAAGTGGGCCGGTCCATAGATATGAAGCGGACAGCCAAAGAAAAGGTGAATCTCTAGAAAACGGCAAGATCGAATTAAGGAGCATTTGCAGCCCATTGATCTGATCCGATCAGGAATCGAACTAAATCAGCAGAATTCACTTCAGGTTATGAAATTTCGAACCAGTCTTTGTTTTTACGAATTGAACGACATTAGACTACGTGATGGTTTCCCGAAGGGTTTTGTGAAGAAGCCAAAGAACAATCATCCAGTCACTATTTCATCGCGAGAAACAGGGCTTTGGGGCAATGATGTTTAGTGATTTGAGTGCGCAGCATTCGCTAAACAGCCATTACAAGAATAGAAGTCTTCCTTTATGACCGGTCATGACTCAATGCTGGGCTTAGAGTACACCAGACAAAAACAGCTAGATGATCTAATGGCATAGACCCAATGACTGAAAAGCTAAACCGACGGTGTCTTTATAGTGTATATACAATACTGCATAATGTAGTTGCAACTTACACAAACCAACTCTCCTTAAAAATGTTGAAACGGTATAAATTCTCCACGGTATCCATTTTTTAGTTCTTATTTTTCTTTTTTTCATTTCAATTGGATTATTGAATTGATTAATATACTTTCATAATGTCTGCTAACGATTTCTATAACTCTGGTAATAACAATTCTGGTCACTACAATCAAAACCAACAAGAATCTGGTGAAACCGGTGACAGAGGTATCTTAGGTGGTATTGGTGGTGCTGCTGCTGGTGCTTATGGTGCTGGTAAACTTGGTAACGGTGGTACTTTCACCAAGATTGCTGGTGCATTAGCTGGTGGTGTTCTTGGATCTAAAGCTGAAGATGCTGCTAAAGATTCTTATCACAACCACCAAGAACATAAACATCATGAACAATACGGTGGCCCTCAAGGGGGTTACGGTGGCCCTCAAGGTGGCTACGGTGGCCAACAACAAGGTGGTTACGGTGGTGGCTACCAACAACAAGGTGGTTACAGAGGTGAAGGTGAATCCAGAGGCTTTGGTGGTCCAGGCGGTCCAGGTGGATACGAAGGTGGATACGGTGGCCCACAAGGGGGTTATGGTGGTCCTCAAGGTGGATACGGTGGCCCACAAGGTGGTTATGAAGGTGGTTATGGCGGTCAACAAGGTGGTCGTTGGTAATCAATGTCGTTGAGCGATGTGAATAACCTGATTTTATGACTTTTTGTTGTCTCTTACTTTCCACTATGTATAGTTTAAAATTAATTTCTTTTCATTAACATAAATTTGTTCTTGTAGAAGCTTCACCATTTGCAAATCAGCCTTGTACAAAGATACAAATATCACTTCGAATTCGGGGAATCAGATCAAATAAATCACTCCGCGCACCGCTTAAGTTAATATTCAGGGGCCCAAACTTTATCTACATTCAATTAACGAATTATATTTTTGTTTCATTAGGATGTCTTATACATAAACAGGTTGAGTGGAAATTATACAATTGGATAAGCTTTGCGTTTTTGTAAGTTATTCTTGTTTGTTATACTTATTTTTTTTTCATTTTTTTTGGCATTTTTTTTTCTGTGTTTGACCAAGTGCCAATCTATATAATACATTTCTAATCACCATTCACTTTCGCCGGTAGCTTTTTGAAAGACATAGTCTTTACCATCGATGTTTGCAATACCTTCTTTCAAGTTTGATTTCCATTTGTTTTTAACTCTTTGAACTTTATCGTAAAGACATAACATGATTTGTCCTTCTTGTTCTCCTTGTTCTTCGTCAGATTTTTCAGACTCCAAATCATCGTCCAAGTCAGAATTGATATCATCAGAATCATTGAATATATCATCGTCATCGTCATCGTCTTCATCATCCACCCCATCAACTTGTCCTACTGTTTTCTTTTGTTTACGTTCAATTATTTGCTGTTTACGTTTCAATCTTTCCATAAATTCATCGCCGTTATCGGTATACACTGTGAATTCAAAATCCCCATCGGCTTGATTGACTTTAGGTAATATTAATCCATTATTTTCATCATAATCAGTAGTAGACTCTAGTTTAACTTGTGTTTCATTATCTTCTCTAACATCCGGCAATTCTATTCCATTAGACCCAAGTGATTCTTGTTTAATATTTATTTGACCACTACCATTATTATAATCTTGATTAATTGCATTTTGAGCATCTTGAACTGCTTGAGAAACAATTGATTCATTATTATTTAATTCAGACCCCGGTACCAGTATTGGTCCTGGTCCTGGTACAGATACAGGTTCTGCTTCTTCATCATCCCACGAAAACTTCGCTACTCCAGTCTGGCTCAATTTCTCACACCATATTTTCTTTAAATCTTGCAATGTAGATTCATCAATCCCGCTATTTTCGAAATCTTGTCTCGAATCAGATATAACTTCTTCGATAACGGCTTCGTATAATTTGCTGGCTTCTGCGTTGGACATACTCAATCAGAATAAAAAGTTATTATTTGGATAATGATTTCTCAAAGTATATTAATGATCAAAGCTATGGACAATCGTGCGCTGAATAGACTTATCAAGGGGAAGAAAACACAATTAAAACAAAACAAAAACAGCTGGGAAATGTCAATTAATGAAAATAGTACCTTCTGGATATCTTAATGGTTGCGTTGGACGTTGTTTATGATGAGCAATGGTTAGCAGGAAAGGTATTGATGTTAATGAAACTGTTAGCTCTCAATTTTCCTTTGGCTTTTCCTGTCTTTTTTTTTTTTTTCTTTTGTTTTTTGGTTTTTTCGAGTTACCGAAGATTGTGCTTTGCACGTCCTCACTATGATTCAAATCCTACAGGCAAAGTATTCTACAAGGTTATGTTGTAGTAGAGCTATCTTTGTTTTAGATCATCAACTAATAGCCGAGCTTGAAGCAAGGCTGGACGATTCAACCACATTAATCCCAAGACTCCAGCAACCACCATTGAAAGAGAAATAATTTTAAAGACATCATCATACAGAGAAGTAGCCAAAACACCATTAGTTTTATGATGATTAACCGAACGATTCAAGCCTCTTTTCCTTTTACCATGAGTTGGGTTTAAAGTCTGAGTGGGTAGCATCAAGGGAGGTTTATACTGTAACCACATGGGTTGTTTTTTTGTACCATCCCATTCATATAAGGTTAGTTTTAATTCACCGTAGTAATGATCTAACTCGATAATAAAATTCAGAATTGTTTCAACTTGGTTGTATCGCATATAGGTTGAGACGCCTCTGTCATTACAAGGAGAACTCATAAGCTGTCTACCATCAACACCAATTGGGGTTAAGGTTAATTTAGTTTCACCAGTCTTGTCATCAGGTTGGTGTACAGTGTAAGTACCATGTTGCCATAGCAAAACCGCAGTTGCACAGGAATGATTGACGGGATTGGAAGTGACTTGGTAAATGGCTTGCTCCCAGTTACCCTTGCCGTCAAACGAATATGATATTCCTGGAAGCGATGGTTCAATCAATAATTCATCAACCGGGTCGAAAAAAGAGGGCCCGGTAAGCACTGTTTTGGACCGGGATGTCCATGTGCCTTCTAGCGAATAGGATAAGGCTAGAGAGACGAGCGTGAGTGCTGGAACGAGTCTCATTATAGGTCTGGCAGTAGTAAGGATGGTTTGGCTAAAGGGAACAAAACAAAGTTGCAACCATCTGGCATTCAAGGCTTATTTGTACAAAACGATGAATGCACAAGTCGGTGGAAACGTAAGCATAATCCCGCAAAAGCAAAAGACCATCCCATACTAAGAATGTAAGTCTTAAGAGTGGTTGTGGTAATAATTGATAGAGGGCTTCACTTACAGTTTTTTGTAATGCTTATGTATGTATGCGCAACCGAACAAATGGAAAAGGGAAAAAAAAGGGTCTTTAACCCTCAGCGAATTTGTTCAACTTTGAATTATTCTTGATCATGAAGCGAACCATCGAAGTAGATGAGTCTTGTAAAAGATTCAAAACCGGGAATGAGGGTTCTGCTCCATCTACTCAGGAAGCCGGTCAAATGCCCCGGTTGAAGTCAGAGGGCCCATCCAGTGCTTCATTTAAAATGCTTCAACTGAGTTGGAGATTTGGAAAGGAAGAAAAAAATTACAAGTGAATAATTTGAAAGGACAGAAATCTTTTGACCAGATATACATAGATATATATATATAGGGAAGAGGTAGAACGAAAGAAAGGGTATTCGAAAGAAGGATCTAAAGGGGTGATATAAAGAAAGGAGAAGATTAGAAGTTGCAACCAATTGAGTATTTTAATTTACTGTTGGCATCCCAGACCCCCCAGTGTTTTTCGACGTCAGAGGTACCGGAGCTATCTGGTTTCCAAGCTTCATCAAAGGCTTCAAAAACGGCCACGTTAACACCCCAAGCTCTGATGGCACAAATTGCGTCTTGCCAGAATTCTTTAGCATTATCGACTGAAGGGTCAGAAGATTCGAAACTGGTACCTTCGGAAGGCCAACCAGTTTCCCCAACCCAGAAATCGATATCGGTTGAACCTTTGGCGGATTGAATTTTTTGTAAAGCTTGCATAATGTCATCAAAGAAGGAGTAAGAGGCATTTTGTTTAGTTTGACCTTGCCAATAAGAAAAGGCATTGGCAAAAGTGAAATCAGCAGCTTTGATTGCCGGTTGAGAACCATCGTCAACCAAGACATTCCAAGAATCAACAAAACCAACTTGAACCGAGGAGTACGATTTACCATTTTTATCCTTGATGTCTTTTAATAAATCTTTGACTTCGGAGATTTTGGAGGCCAAAGCAGAAGCAGATAAATCATCTCTGTATAAGGCTTCGGAACCAACACTAATGACCTTGACGGTATCGACAGAAATGTTTGGCAAGTAATCTTTCAAAGCTTGTTTTTCGGCTTCGAAATGAGAGTCATCGGTTGGCCAAACACCAAACATGACTTGGAAACCGGCATCTTCTGCGGCAGGACCCAAGATTTCTAAAGTGTTACAGTCAGAAACGGCATAAGTTTTGACGATTTTGGAATAACTGGATAAGGTTGAAAAGTCTGCTTTATATTCTTCAGCGGTTTTACAGTTACCTTGGTTATCTTTAACACCTAAGTTGAAAGCAAGCTAGAAGAGTTAGTATCAACATGACAAAAAGACAAAGACAAAGAACATGACAAAAAGACAAAGACAAAGAACATGAACATGACAAAATACATACATCACCAATGGCAGAAACAGATGTGATTGCGGTAGCGATCGCAGCAAGATACTTGAATTGCATATTGACTAAAACGAATGAATAGAACGAACGTCGGAGGCTGGAAAATGAAGGCCAGAGGAAAAAAGTAGCTGAAGATAAAATATTTATACTCTAAGTATAAAAATAGGTGTCCATTTACAAAAGAAAGAAAAATGTATTCCCGTTAGCACAGAGGTTCTGTTACACATACAAATAAGGGAAAGCCTGCAAAAAACGAGCCTAACAAGGTGCAAACAAAGTGACTGCGCAGAAAACATAACGAGCACCAACAAAATCTCCAGACTTTCCCTCGTTAAATGGGCGGTTGCGCGCACGACCCGCTCCCAGGGCCAGATCATTTTTCCCCATTAGTTGAAAAATCAATATTCCCAAATCGGCGTACACCGCCCTATTGGGATCTGACCTCCGTACATGCCGGTCTCCCTGGGGTATTGCTAGACTATTTATGTATTGATTATGTATTGGTGGTATGTATTGATTATGTATTGGTGGTATGTATTGGTGGTATGTATTGGTGGTATGTATTGGTATGTATTGGTGATATGTATTGGTATGTACTGGTGATATGTATTGGTATGTACTGGTGATATGTATTGGTGGTATGTATTGGTGATATATTGTGTTGATGGTGCTGTCTCGGTCTGACAAGAACCAAGGGTACGGGTGCAGACGAATCTAGAATTGTTTGCCTCTTTTTTTTTTTCGCTTTTTTCAGTTCTCGGTTTATCCCGTTAGCAGAGGGCCCTATTTTTAGCGCTCTTTTAGCCCTCGGGGGAAACACCCACACACCAGGAGGGAAATAGCTGCAAACTCTGACGCTGTCTAGTCTTGGACCGAGTTGAAGTACCAGTGGGCAGTCTTTTGTCTGAAGGATTTGCCCCAGAACACCATGATGAGCACACTGGCGTTGATGAAGAAACACAAGAGACCCAACATTGCAACCAACCAAATGACTCCCAAGCCTTCCAACCAGTATTGGAACACCCAGGTGAAGATGGCCGACATGATGTTTCTGACAAATAACACTGCAACCATGGTTTTTGAGGTTTGTTTAGGATACGATTCCATCACGTAGGTTAAGGAGATTGTGGTTAATGAAAAAATTCCAATGTTGATTAACCCAATACCAATGGCCCCGACTACCCAATGATAACCGTATTTTGGACCGTATCCGTATAAAAATAGTCCTAGGACGTTGAGAATCATCGGAACGTACCATAAGTCAAGTTTGTGTTCGGGTTCGGCAATCCCATTGTTTTTCTTTGCCCTGTAGACTTGGTACCAGTCACTGATTTGTAAATAGGCAGCACCAATGATTGTACCAACTATCCCGGCCCAGTTCATATTTCCAATTGCTTCACTGGTGAAATTATAAGGAGGGGCCGAGTAGAATTGCGAAAGAGTCACTCCAAATAATTGAAGCCAGCAGATTTGGATCCCGTAGATTAACGAGGTGAAGATTACTGCTGGATACCTAAAGGTTTTAATTGGCGCAATGGTCAATTCAAATATGTTGGATTTGTTTGCTTTATCAAGCGATAAGAAGGTTATTCTTTGCCAAAACGGTTTTCTGGGAATTGGACTCAAGTTATCAACTTCGACCGTTTCTTTGATTTCTTCCTTTTCGTTTGATTCTTGACTATGAGATTCAACAATTGCTATTTTATCCTTTGTGTCTCTATGGTAGAGAGATTCTTCCAAAAAGAAGATGGCAAAAATTAGTACACATACGTCTAGTATGATTAATACGTATAAACACCATTCCCACTTTTTGGTGGTTTCCACTATGTACCCACTAATGACAATACCAAAGTTTGAACCGAATCCCAAGGCTATCACGTACGCAGCCATGTATCCATGCTGGTGTAAAAAAAAGACATCATGTACCGATGGCCCCACTAAACTATCCATGGGACCTACACCCAATCCAATCAATACCCCGTAAACCATGTATCCAGCATAACTGCGGGCTCCGGCAAAGGCAATAAAGGCCACTAAACATATTATCGTGGAGCAAATATACGTTGGTCGACGACCAAACTTATTGGCAAACGGCTGGGAAAATATACAACTAAAGGCTAAAACCAAATTTTGCGCCCCGGTTACTTGGTTAAGATTGGAATAACTAGTATTGAAATCCTTGGTGAAGAGCGTATACACGGTGGTTGTCCAGTGAGCAGCACAGGCATTAATCAAGGTATAGAAGAATAATATGGTTATATGGAGTTTTTTCCATTTAGGAGACCACAATAACGGATCATTCTGATCAGTATCACTGGGCTGCGGTATAAGAATAATGTCAGTTTCTGACTGATGATTCAATTTGACTCCCCCCATATAATTTTGCACTTGACCATCTTTATCGACCAAAATGGTTGTTCCTGGAACTTCACCAACCTGCTCGATATTTTCGTTCATTTTGGAATTGTTGCAAAGAACAAATTACAAAAAAATTATTTGAAGACACGGCCAATAATTTATATTCCGACCCCCCCATGGTCCTAAGTTCACCTTAGGTAGCAGCCCTTCAGTAATTGTCTTAGTCAAATGTCCTCAAACCTATTGTGTCAGGACAACTACATACACTGGTGCTACAAAAAAGAATTGGGAAGGAAAAGAAAATTAAAAGAAGAAAAAAAAAATTTTTAAAACTTCAAGACAATCGAGAAGAAACTTACTTGTGTAATCACTGTAGTGGAGGTTGTTAACTTGAAGTTAAGGTTTAGCTCAGCGCATTTAGTGATTTTTTGCTCGCTACTTTTAAATCACCGTTATTAACGGTAGCGTTGATGAGCGAGTATCATTGCCTGGACCCAATTTTGACAAAACAACGAATAAGTTTTTTTTTTGCAAAGGTTTAAGCCTTCCATGAACGCATATGTAAGGCATGAGTAGTAGTCCCGTCAACATGATCTAAATTAGTTTAAACCTTAAGATCCCCTGGATGCCTTACAATTGTAGTTGATTTGTGTCTTGCAGTCCCACGCATTCGTAATTCTAATAAGATAACCTTTACCAAATAAAGTACTAAATGTTTAAGGCAATTCCGTTGATTTGAATTTGTGCAGGTTTTGAGACCCGTTAGATCTTACCGTCTATAATAAGTTCACCTTTAATTGTTGGTAAGGGTGGGAAATGACTGAGTTTTTTACAAGTAAAACAAAAAGAAACTATGTGTATTAAGTCTAAATATTAATTAAGTTTTGTTAATGCAATTAATGCACCATCTTCTACTCTAACACCATTTGGTAAATCTAATTTACCATCGAACATTTGATGAGCACCTTCAATACCCGATAAATTTGATTGATCTTTTGTAAAACTATAGTTGATATCGTCTAATGACCCAACAACAATTAATACTTGACCGCCTTTGACATTGATTTTTGATAATTCAACTGATTCTGGTACTTCAAGGGGGGATCTATTGAAATAGTCACCTGCGTTGGCGTAAACTGATGCAGTGTATCCATCAGGGAAACTACTTTCGGTAAATAAACTTGAAAATGTTTTGGCTAATCTTACAAAATAACCAAAAGATGACCGGTTCCCAATGGTACCATAAGCAGTTAATGGGCTAACGATTTTCTTGTTTTTAACATCAACCGTGACTCGAACATTCACTGGAACGTCTTGCGATAACTCTAAAAGTTTATCTTCACCAATGTTAACGTATTTCGTAACACTAAGTTTTTTAATTTGAGATGTCTTCTTCTTTGTTTTTTTATTAGTGATTTTGGGAGTATGTTTAGCAACAGTTAACCCTTCTTTGAAATCAGATCCAACTCCATTATTTTGCATGAATGGTAACGTGGATAGTTTGGGTAGTTTATGTGCGTATTTGAATTTAGATTTATATTTATTATTGGCAAATGTCGAATTGATTAAATATGGAGGGGTTATGAAATATTGTAATAAAGATGCAAAAAGAATCGAGTTATTTTCATTTTTAATATCGCCACCAGTGGGCTCTAAGGCCTCGTCTACTTCTTTAGGTTTCTCCTTTGCATCTTCCTTTTTGACTTCATCATCATTGAAATTGAATTTGATTCTTTTCCCTCCTTTATCACTGCCTAATTCAACCACTTTGGTCAATTCTTTTTCTTTCTGCTCGTGCTTTTCTGTCGACGTGGGGATGTCTAGTATGACAATTTCGGCAACATCATAAATGGTGGCTGTTTTGGCTATTTGATAAGCAATATTGGTTATTTGTTCTAAATTATATGCATTTGAGTTAGATATAATCGATGATGGAATACAGAGCGAGTATCTGGTCGGCTTGAGCGACTTGCTGGGCTTCTTGGTTGGTTTATCGGGAACGCTCTCTGATTTTCTTTTAGCCATTATTGGAGGGTGACGGGAATTGGAGACGTGAAGAGTATCGTCTTGATGAAAAAAAAGAGTAAAATAAAATAAAATTAAAAGAAAAAAGTTTGGCTTTGATGAGCTCCTGCACATGCTCCGCAGTGGCCGCAAACACCCATTCCTACAGAATACTTCTAAAGATGGTATATTTATAGATAAAACGATGTATGTATGAGTAAGCTACAAGGAAAACAAGAATTAGTTTTCATCATCTTGGTCATCATTTTCTTCATCTTCTTTTTCTAATTGGGCAATTTTAGCTTTAGCCTTTTCGATATTAGTTTTAGTTTGTTCATCTTGTTTATCTTCCAAAGATTTCAAAGTTTCTTTTAAGACAGTGATAGTAGTAGGAACGTCTTCAGCTTTGGTTGGTAAAGGAATAGATAAGTCGGTTAAAGTAACAATCACATCAGGATCAACGGTGAAAGCTTTTGATTTACTAGAATGAGATTTTTTACCCTTCTTTTTACCTTTACCTTCAAAGAAAGAAGGTTGTTCCTTTTTAATAATAACTGCATCAGAAGGCATTTCAACTTTTCTGATATTGTTGTTGTTGGTGGACGAAGCGTTTGCCACTGGTAAACCATTAGTTTTTTTAGGAGCTGGTTTAACGTAAGAAGGATCGAAATAAGATAATAAAAGATGAATTTGGTTAATTTCTTCAGTGAAAGCAGGAATAGAAGCGTCAGCCAATTGTTTACTGGCTAATTCTTTTCTCTTTTGTTGTTTTTCTAAAATTCTTTGTTGTTTAGTTTCCTCTTCTCTCTTTTTCTTTTCTTCAGCTAATTTAGTTTTGAAAACTTCAAATTCAGCATCAAATTCGGATCTTAATTTTCTAATAGCATCGTATTTAGCATCTTTTTCCTTTTTGATTGAATTTCTTTTAGAAAATAATTCATCTCTTTTAGAAGTGATTGAAGAATTAGATTGGTTTAACTCATCTAATTCTTTTGAAACTTGTTCAAATCTAGATTGAATTTCTTTATTTTGAATAGAATTCAATTTAGTTTTCAATTCAGCAATCTTAGCTTTATCCTTATCAATGGATTCTTGTTGTTTTTCAATTGATCCGAAATCTTTCTTCAATTTTCTCAATTGAGACATTTCTTTAATGAATCTTCTTTCATCAGCTAATTTTAAATCACCTTGGTCAACTAATTTATCCAATGAATTGATTCTAGCGTCAATTTCTCCAACTGATTTGAAATTGTTTTTAGCAGTTTGTTGATTAAGCTCAGTGATTTTACGTTTTAAAACATTATCAACTTGTTTAATTTGTTCTTGAATACCTAAACGTTCTTGTTTAATATTTCCTTGTTTACCGACTAACTCTTTCAATTCAGCTTGTAATTGTTTTCTACGGGCTAACAACTTTGGGTCAGAAGTGGTTTTGTTGATTTTTTCATGAATTTGTTGATAAGAAATATCTAATTCCTTAATTCCCTTCTTTAAAGTTTCAATTTGTTCTTTGAAAGCCTTATCGTCGGGACGTTTGACAAAACGTCTAGGAGCACCAGCACCAGAAGCAGCAGAAGCAGTAGCAGCAGACATGTTGGAAAGTATTTCAACGGAGTATCCGAGTATTCAACTGTGTAAATCAACCGAGTAATGAACGTCGTTGAAAAATTTGAGAGTCTCATAAATTAATCAAGCAGTGTCCATTAAATTTTTTCTTTTTTCCTTTGTTTTCTTTGTCTGCCCGTTGATCGGGTCGTGTAAAACAAGACTAAACGAAAGAAAAACTTATACGATGAATTTTTCTAATGTTTTCTACTTGAACAGCTTTAATTGGCATCTTTATTTGACATCCATTCATGGCACCATCAGCACACCAGGAACAGCTGTATAACCAGCTTGTGGCCAGTCTTTCCAGCGAGGAGATTTTGACCAAGTGGAGTGAGGTCACTCCGTTGAAGTCGATCAGTGGAGTCCCTACTTCTAGTTCGTCCTCAAACGATGAAACTCAAGGGTTGTTTGAAGGACATGATCAAGAACAAATCAAGTTGATGGAAGAGTTGTGTATTGTGCTTGACTACAACGACACTCCTATAGGGGCCGGGACCAAGAAGTTATGTCATATAATGGATAATATCAATCAAGGATTATTACATCGAGCATTTTCGGTGTTTTTGTTTAATGAAAAGAATGAATTGTTATTACAGCAAAGGGCAGATGAAAAAATCACCTTCCCAGCAATGTGGACCAACACCTGTTGCTCGCATCCGTTGTGTATTAAGAGTGAAATGGGGATATCGAAGGAAAATGAAAATGCTAGTGCATTAGAACAAGCCATTGATGGGGCTAAGATTGCCGCCCAAAGAAAATTGGACCACGAGTTGGGGATTCCTTTAAGAGACTGCGAGTACGCCAATTTCCAGTATTTAACTAGAATCCATTATAAAAGTGCTAGTGGTGATGAGTCCAGTAAATGGGGGGAGCATGAAATTGATTATATTTTAATTTTGAAATCGGAAAACCCTTCGGTCAATGCCAATCCAAATGAGGTTAAGGATTATAAGTATGTTAACCAAGAACAGTTGAAGCAAATGTTCAAGGATGAGTCTTTGGTTTTCACTCCTTGGTTTAAGTTGATTTGTGAAACTTTCTTATTCAACTGGTGGAATAATTTAGATAATTTGAATTCCTTTCAAGATGACAAAATTCATAGAATGTTATAATGTACTTTTTCTGCTTTAATATATAATAGATTGTATAATAATTTGTATTGGTTTTTCGCAATTTGCACCAAATTCAACCGAATTTGCAGCAATATGAACCCACCCACCAGCATATCTGTATGCTAACACCTGCCACCTACATCACTACATCCACTCACAGACCTACCGTTTACCCACTCAACATCTACACACACACATATGTATATATGTATATAAATACATATAAATATAAATACATATAAATATAAAAAAATATAAATAAATATAGATAAATCTAAATAAATCTAAATAAATCTAAATAAATATAATCCACCTAAAACAACTACCCAGCACACCACGCACAATACCCACCATACTCACACTAAGAACACTAAGAATAGATGGCTTAACCAAAGCCATCCTGTCATAGTAACGGCTTAACAGGACACCCAGACACCAACTTGTTTACGTGTTCAAACTCGCGGGAGGAAAAAAGGTACGGAGGTTGGATCTGGAAGTTCTTTGCTGGGGCTTTTTTTCAAAGTGCCAGTGCTAAGTTTATTTGCAAAAAAGAATACTAGTGAATCAAAGGGTGCTGATACACATAACACCATAGGAACAGAATGTCATACCGTGGACCTCATCATAACCAATTCAATAATCAGTTTCCTCAGGGAATTCCAAGTGGAATGGCAGGATCAACCGGACCAGGACCGGTTTCAAGTAGTAAGTCGATTTTTGAACAGTTTGAATCGATTTCTAAAAAAACTGAAGATTTGATCGATGAATATTCCAGACCAATTAAACCATATGTTCCATCAATAGGCCGTGCTTTTATTGTGGCTACTTTTTATGAGGATTCATTAAGAATCTTCACTCAATGGTCAGAACAAGTTTATTATTTATATAATTATCGTAAATATTGGAAATGGGTTACGGTATTATTTTTAATCTTGAATATCGTGGTAATGTTAAGTGCTTCCACTTTATTAGTTTTAAGAAAAAAACCAGAATTTTCAACCCTGGCCCTAGTTGGTGTTGTTATTATTCAAGGTATCTTTTATGGTTTAGTCACTGATCTGCAATTTATCTTAAGAAATTTATCAGTTGTTGGTGGATTAATCTTAGCATTCAGTGATAGTTTGGTTAGAGATAAAAGATCTTTATCAATGCCGGGTTTACCAATGTTACAAAATAAAGATCATAAAAAATATTATTTATTAGCTGGTCGTTTATTATTGGTGTTCTTATTCTTAGGTTTCGTCTTTAGTGCTTCATTTTCATTTTCTCGTTTGGCAATCATCTTGGTTGGTTTCGTTGCTTGTGGTTCAATCATTGTTGGCTATAAAACTAAATTCGCTGCTTTCATCTTAACCATTCTTTTATTCAGTCATAATATCATTGTTAACCAATTCTGGAAATACAACTCCCATGACTCTACCAGAGATTTCCTCAAATATGAATTCTTTCAAACTTTATCCATCGTAGGTGGGTTATTAATCATTGTTAATGCTGGTGCTGGTGAATTATCTTTGGATGAAAAGAAAAAAATTTACTGAGTCTTCCCAAGTTAAAAGCCCCGGCATTCTAAATGACTGCTTCAAACAATTTTATGTAGTATATAATCAATTACCATGGGTTATACTCAAAATAAATAGTTAAAATAAATCATCTCTATCCTCGGAAAAACCTCCGTACATTCAAACAAATCAAATCTTCCTTTTTTTTTCTTTAACCTCATTACTAAATTTCAATCCTCTATGGCTAGATTATTGTGACCTACTTTCTTAGTCAAACTGATTGATGTCCCAAGATAAAAGCAACTGCCCTATAGATCATAGTGGCTCGAAAAATTCGCCCGGCCCAAGTTCGGGCTCATGGTTGAAGAGCCTTTTCTGGAAAACCCCCGAATCCATTGATTCTAATTCAATCTCAAAATGTCCCGTTGATCATGTTAATACTCCTAAAGTGATCGAGGATCCAGTAGAACAACCTAAATGTCCCGTTGATCATGATACTAGAGCGGCATGGGTTTCAAAAGTATCCTTGAGTACAATGAACGCACCAGAAGCCATTGAAGTTTCAAAAGATGATGGATGTACCTCTGATAAGTTAAACGATGTATACAAACCAAGTTCAGATATAAGTTTACCAACTGATCGTGAAATAAGCTCGATTCCAAGAACTTCGTCAAATGCTAATTGGATATACCCTCTGCAGAAACAATTTTTTGAAGCAATGAAAAGAAAACATTGGGAACCCGAAGCTCAAGATATGTCCACTGTGGTTCCTATTCATAATTCAGTCAATGAAAGAGCCTGGATTCATATTCTAGAATGGGAAAAGAATAATCGTGAAGAAGCCGAAAAAAAATGTGGTGGAATTACCTTGACTAGTTTTAAAGGTGATCTGAAAAAATTAACCCCAAGAGCTTGGTTCAAGTCAACCATTTTGGGACTTGAAAAACCTTTTGATAGACATGATTGGATCATTGATCGTTGCGGTACTCAGGTGCCTTATGTGATTGATTTTTATGCTCCAACTACTAATTCTAATAATCCTGCTTTATTTCTTGACGTTAGACCAAATCTTAATAGTTGGGAAGGGATAAAATTAAGACTTTCAAAAGCTTTAGGCATATAGAAGCATCATCTATTCCTCCTTGTAAATAACTCCTGCATTTTCTTTTAACTTTTCTTTTAATTTTCCTTTCGTCAATTATTTATTCCATGTCAATTACATACTTATCCAAATTAATATATATCGTGTATTCTATATCAAATCAATACATAAAAAGAAGGTTATTTACAAAGAGGTTGAGTTGAAATTGTGAATATGTTTTTGTTTTCTTTTGGGTCATTCGTCTATTAAATGGTTTGAAGTAATCATTATCAATCAATCAATTATCAATGAGTTTATTTTCTACCCATAAATTGACCAGATTGTCCTAATTTTTGCATATCTTCACCGACTTTAACATTAGTTTCGAAATATTTAGAAACACATCTGTCCAAACATAAAGCTTCAGCTTTGTTAACGTCACCTTCGTAGTAATCCTTGTTAATACATTTAGAATGACATTGTTCAACCAATTGGTTGAACATACCGGTAACCATATCTAATTCGGCTTCGGCAGCAGATAATTTTTGTTGACTTGATGGTTGTGGGGCACCTCCTAATCCGAACATTATGTATCTTTATGTTTTAAGTTATAATAGTGTTTAATACTAATGAAGAAAACGTTCAGTGATTTGCCTCGATATTTCAATTGGACTCCAATTTTTTTTTTCTCGATGTTGAAGTTGCGATTTTATTTTGATTCTTTCACACGCAAATTAGGTAAGCGAATATTGTGGTGTACAGGGGTTCTCATATCGTTGCAAGGTTGCAAAGATAAAGGTATAATATTTATTGAAAAAAAGTTTGAATGAAAAAGTTCAACTGTTACCCATAAAGTGAAGTCATTAGAAGATATGAATGAATAAAAAGCTCCCGAGGAAGTTAAAATCTCATGATAAAATAAAAAATAGCAAAGAACAAAAAACAAGGACAAAAAGACAAAAACAGAGAAATCAGAAGCATCTATAAACTAGGGAAGGTAAAATGAACATGAGCACCCCACATAATTGGACCATAAGAGAATTCCTGCTGGAGACGATCATAGTCTTCTCTTTTTTCAGGTACAACCTTGACTAAACCATGGCAAAGGGTGACCATTTTACCATTTAAAGAAATAGCACCACCATAGTTACTAATTCTTGCGTTAATCCAACTTGGATTATTATGAACTTTGTATAACTCTTTTTCTTTGAAAAAATGTTTCATATCACAGAAATATTTCATAAATCTCCAAGTTTGAGTTTTCAAATTCAATATAGCAATTCTTGATAATGTAGGATTGTTAGTTTGAAATTGTAATTTTGATAATCTAGAAACATCATATTTATCACTAGTGTAAGGTTCTTTATCAAAGAATCTAAGGTAATCATTATAAAAACCTCCTAAGAAGATTAAGTAATCGTTTTCTTCATTTTGGTAAAATAATGAACTATGATGGCAAGCACGCAATTCAGCTTCAACTAATTTTGGGTCAGCAACTTCCCTGTCACAAGAAAATGAGGTTCCATCATCATCTTCATATGGCTGAATATGGTTATCAAAATAGTTGAACATATAAGTTTGAAATGAATACCATTTACCATTGTCAAAGGAAAATACGTTGAAATCACTTTTTGGAATTCCTTTATCATCAACACCACCTTGAACAAACAATGCTTTGCCATCAAAAAAGTTACCGTGAGTTCTTGGTCTTGTGATTGATCCACTCAGGCCAATACCTGAAACGAAAGAACTTTTAGAGTTAGATTGATCACTTGTTGAAAAATTATCACTAAAAGAACCAGATTCAGCTCTCAACGTAGAATTTTCAGTAGAATCATGGTGACCTGAACCATTATCAAATGCATTCAATTCATTTAGCTTACCATTAAATAATTGACAATTACGTTCAAGATTTGAGTTGAAATCAATAATTGCCGATGCAAAATAGCCCCTCAGACTGGGCCAAAAGAATTCATTCTCAGTTTTAGAAGCACCATTTTGAACAAGTAATTCTCTAGATTTGCATGTCTCTTCATTACCAATTAAATAAACTATAGCATCTTCGAAAAACAAAGAGTTAATTGAATCTTCTTGAATTATCAACTCTATTTTCAACAAATCACTCGATGCTTTGAAAACTTTAGCATGGGGGTCCTTAGGATCTAAATGGCAAGTAAATCCACCAAAAACAAAAACACTAATACATTGAATACCGTTTCTTTGAATTGATTCACCAAACAATGGATTTCTGAGATTACTTTCATTTGACTCAGCGAATGATGATTGTTCATTAGGTATTTCGTGATTTGCAGTATCATTTAAATGTATTGAAGTTGGATCACCAACTGCTGAAACACTTGCATTTAACGCAGTTGGGCTATTAACAACACTAGTATTTGCACTATGGCTACCACCACTATTCAAATGATTGGTTCTTAATGCAGTTGGAGCGTATTGCTGGTTAGCATAAAAAGGTTTTGGACCAAGCAGCGGTTTGAAATCCAAGGTTTCATTTGGTAAGTTATCATTTTTAGAATAATTATCACTAAGAGGACTGTCACCAGATAATCTTGACTTATGATAAGTATTCGACGAATTAGGAACAGCAGGAGGAGCAGGAGGAGGAGGTGGTGGGTTATTACGAGTAGATGAGCCAGATCTACTGATTGGAGCTTCATTTGCGATAGCGGATGTTGGCTGTTGCATATGATGACTTGAATTAGAATTAGATCTTCTTTGTTTCATATCTTTGGAATATGTGTTTTTCAATGGATGTGGAGTGACATTATTGGTTTCTTTATTAGCATCGTTAGTTTTATTTTGTCCTCTATTGTTACTGCTTGGTTGACGTTGATGATTTCTATGGAAAATACGACTGGATTTTGAAAGGACATTACTCATTTTCGAACCGGGTCCACTACTAGGTGAAGAAGAAGCGGAGGACGAAGAGCTATTACTTGGGCTATTTTTCAAATTTGCAAGAACTGGAGGTACCCTAGAGTTACTAGTTGCATTTGTTGAAGCTGAATTATTTGATAAATTAGTACCTGATCTTACAACTTTATTAGTACCTTTTATTAAAAAGGAAGATGCTGAGCTTGCAAGTGAACTTGGATTCATATTTGAATTATTACTTTCCGAGTTATTGGAAGCATTTGACGAATGGTCAACTCTAGTAGCCATTGATGAGATTGATTTTTGTTTGGCTGGGGAAGAGGGTAATTTTAGACCATCAGCTCTAACACTTTTGGAAGGAATTGGAGCATTAAGTTGAGTTTGAGAGGATGACTTAGCATTCAAATTAGTTTGTTTAATAGTCAGTGGACTACCAGGGGTTTGAGGAGAGTGATATGCATGATTAGAATGTTTTGGTTTAAGATCAACACCTTCGGAAAAAATTGGAGGAGAAGGAATTCTATCAGGTAGATCAGCATTTGATTCTTCTCTATGATAAATATTTGAAGTTACAGAAGCCCCTATTCTACCTAAATCAATTTTAGGTTGACCTTCTTTAGGTTTCAAAGAGATTTTAGTAAATCTAAAAGTTGAAACATCTAAGATATAACCATCTTCATTCATATTTATAGTTTTTTTAACAATCCATCTATTAATTGTGGGATCATAATAAGTACTAAGAGTATCAATACTGAAACCACCATAAAAGAAAATGTGTCTATAAGAAATTTGAGAACTCATCATTGCATTAATACTAGTTGGAGTTTCACCAAAGTTAAAAGTAGGTTCTAAGAAACTAATTGTACTTCTAATTGAATTCAATAAATATAAAGAATTATTTTGAATTAAATAAGGGGAAGCAATCATTTCACGATCAACATGAGGAGGTAATTCACAATTGAATTCAATTGAGATACGATCAGGATCAACATCTTTTGGTAAACCTAATAATTTGAAATTGATTAATTGATTTGTAAATAACCCACCAAAAGTGAAAGTCCAATCATTAATATCATGATGATTTTGGTAGCAGATATGACCCAAATCAGGACTAGCATTCAAATTGATTGTAGCTCTGACACTAGGGGGAAAATTAATGGCATTACTTGGTAAAGAGTAATAACCAGAGAAAGAACTAGTAGTTGATTCGTTATTGAAAACGCTTGAAGTAACATCATCATGATCGGCTTGATCCATAGAACCAGAGGAGTCACTAGTCAGACCGGTTTGAATTGAACCATTACTAGCCTCTTCAAAACTTGCCTTGGGAACAAACATACGTTCGTCACGACTTTTATCTTGGATAAAACTATCTTTACCAACTTTATTTGATTCATACTTGAAAACAACATGAGGGGTATGAAGACCATGAATCCATCCCTTTTGATTTTCTTCTAAGAACTCATGTTCTTTTGAACTATCTGGATCAAGCTTAAAAATATGGTGAGATTGTGCTTTTTTAATCCCATTAGTATATCCAGCTTTCAACTGATCTTTTGCATTATCCTTGGGGTCTTTGCTCTCCTCATTTGGATTGGCTCGGAAAAATTGGCTGTTTCTACGCAGTTTATTATAGCCTGCTTTAGCACCTTCTTTTGAAGCAGCATCTAATGATCCCATAGAATCTGATGGCACTGCAGAGTTATCTCCAGCAAAATACTCCTCATCAGGAATCAAATCAGCCATAATCAATCAATTGAACTTCTGCTGTGATGAAGGATTAAGCAAATAGATAGAAAACACTTGCCAATGAAGCTCAGAATGAAAATTGGGCACCACTTATCGATGTTCGTGAGTTGAATTCAAAGAACAGCGGTTATTTAAAAAACAAAAAAAAAAACGTGAGAAAAGAGACGACGGAAAACAACTCAACTGATCAGATGGTCTGAAGGACTAAGCTATTGTTAAATGTGTATGGAATGCTGACTTCCTGCAATGATAGCTAGTAGCTCACCAGTAGGAATTGGTAAGAAGAAATATAACTATTAATATTTACTTAAGAGAAAAAAAAAAAAACCTTTTTTTTTTCTTTTTTTTTTTTGATTATAATGAAAAAATCAAATCGTTTATTTTTCTAATGAAAAATAAAGAATCTCGCTTTAAAACGCTTTTTTTTTTTTTTTTCTTTTAGTCCTTTTTTTCAGTGTTGTTTTCTCTGTGCAAAAACTAAATATTTGGCACAAACATTAAGCATTACAAGACAATAGACTAGGTTTAGTCAGTAGGAAGCACAAGAAGGAAAGAACAGAGTATTCAAGAGAGATTGTTTTGCAAATCATTCCATTCGATTGCTTACCAAAGCGAAAGGTTGTGATTTAGGTCGAGTTGCGTTGTTTGGGGGATATGTTAAAGATGGTGGGAAATGAAAAGAAAAAGCAAAACAAAGGATGAGTTTTGTAAGATCTTTAGCTTATACAACGTGTGAAGAATTATTTGTAGAAAATATAAGAGTAGTGAACCACTACGACGAATGGTGTCAGCAATTGAGGATTGCCGGAAGTCGAATAGAGAGCTAGTAGGCAACAAGAAATGAACCAAAACAACAAATAGGGCCGAAAAATGTTGATAAATCTTGAGAGGTGAATAAGCCTATTGGGGTTTTGTAGGGTGGAAGTGAGAAGCATTGGATTGACAACAAGATGGCTCATAACAATTGTGATTTTTAAAAACTTAGTAAGAACTTATAATATCGTTACTACAAAATAAGTTTAATCAAACTTTATATTCATGATTTGCTATTTCTATTTTGTAAACCGGTTAATCCTACTTGCAATTAGGGACAAAATATTCGTGTATTAAGTTTGGTGATATGTAGTTAACTCCAGTATAAATCCGGTAATTTTGCCAGAATTTGCAGAACTGATGTATATAATACCGGTATTGATTAATCGGCCGTTACTTCTGAGAGATGATAAAACATGGCAATGCAGACTCTTCAATGTAGGTAGGGATATCCATCATAGCGTTGCTAAATACCAAAATAAGGTTGTGGTACCTGGTTAGACGGTGAGACATGATAATTCAACAATAGTGATATACATATCAAGGACGGTTTCTTCACAAATTCAAAAATTTAAATCTGATTTAGCCCTTTTTAGTCCATGATTTACGATTTTACACTTATACGTTGGGACTAAGCATATCAGCCTTGACAAGCGCATGTATCTAAAGTTATGTTAGTAAATTGAATTCTTTTTAAGTTTTTGTTTTCTTTTCTTCACACAAAAAGTATACGTACGTCTTGAATTGATGCATGGATGAATTGTCTAACTTCAAGGGCTAACCAAACTTTCATCATATTTAATGAATTTTCATTCTTAAATATTTCACGTCCTTCTTTCAGGACTCCCAACTTTCTCAATACAGGTAATGAACTAAATTGTTCTGGTTAGTATTAACGTTTATTTTTAATTTTTTTGGAAATTGTTAATCAAACAAAAAACACTCCAATGTCATTTTCTGTAGGAAATCCAAATAAAAATGCATATACAAACCTTGCAAATAAATCCAAATCTGGATCTAACTGTCTACCGATTCCTTCTAATAACAAAATCGCCACAATAACCGTTATGAAATCACCTTCCATTCTTACATGATGCCCCCTAACCATTCCTAAAACTTGATCTAATAAATCCCCAATACTTATGTTTCCTAAAGTAAACGTTCTTTGTTTCATACGATCCACTAATTTTTCAACTTTTAAGGCAAATATTTCTTTATTAATAACGGTTTCTGGAGTTCTTGATCTCTCAACCATTAATTCTCCTGCTTTATAACCATCAAATTCTGATAATGCTCTAAATAAGTCAATAAAATTAAAACGGTCAACATGATTCAATTCAGTGATTAATCCAACATCAAGAAAACATATTTCTGCATGATAGCCTTCTTGATACAATTGAGATAATTTATTATACCAAGATTCATGGTCATCTTTATCAAGTGATAGTAATTCGCTAGTGATTCTATTTGTTTCTTCTTCATTACTAGATTTGACAATCTTGTATTCTTTTTCATGTTTGAACATTTCGTTTTTATAGAACCTTACCATCATATTTCCCGGATGTAAATCAGCATGGATAAAATTATCCAAAATAAGCATTTTTAAAAATGAATCTAATATCTTATCACTAACTTCTTTTGATAGATTTCGACCATAGTTTTCTTTCAAACTCAATAATTTACTCATTGGAATAGCGTGAATGTACTGTTCAACCAAAACGTCCCGTGAAGTAAAGTTCATAAATGGTTTCGGGAAATAAATATCTAATCTATTTTTAAAATTATACCTGAATTTTGCTAGATTTAGTCCTTCAATTCTTAAATCTAATTGTAGTCTCATTAATATTGAAAATTGTTCAACTTCATCTGGTAATGACAACCATTCCATAGTTGGAATGATATTAATAAAATCAGCAAATAATTTCATAATTTTCAAATCTCGATTAATTTTAACTTCAACATTTGGATGTAATACTTTAATAGCAACTTGCTGATTGGAGGTTAATGATTCACCGTGTTGTTCAGTTACAATTAATTTATCAAGAAATTGTTGATGCTCACCAGGAGCTGTTGAACTTTTACCTTCTTCATCACCTGGACTAGATAAGTCTAAATTCAAATTCTCTATTGAATTTTGACCTTTTGCTTGATCTAATGCTTTTTTGGATAATTTCGCAATATAAACTTGTGCAATTGCCCCAACACCAGCTGGGCTCTCATTAAATTCATCAAATATTTCATCAAAGGGCATACCAAAACTATCACTAACAATTTTTTTAGTCGCCTGTAGAGAATGGGCTTTAGCATTTGAATGTAAACAACTTAATTCTTCACACATTTCTTTTGAAAAAATATCAGTTCTTGATGCTGCCCATTGACCTAATTTGATAAATGAAGCACCAGCAGCTTCAAGTGACCATCTAAGATATCGATACCATAAGAGAGCACCAGATTTTACAGGGACATGTGATGAAGATTGTGATGAAGGCGTAGAAATTGTAGTTGAACTTGGATCAGACGGCGATTGAGTTGAATTCTCCTTCGAACTGGTAGAATTAGCCTTGAATGAAGTATTTCCGGACTTTTTCTGCTTCTTACCAAAGAAACAGATCGGAGCTGAGATTAAAACTGGTAAAAATATTGCCGATAATTCTATGATTCTAGTCAAAGTAATTATTGGATCTAATATATAATCATCAACAGCAAATTTAATTCTAAAGAATAAACGAAATAACCAATTGCCCTTGCTCACTTTTGATTTTCTATAATCATTAAATAGCTCAAGCTCTTCATTTCGAGAAGCTTGATATAGACCGTTCTCATAAGTATCAGCACTTTGTATTGGTCTTAAAATATGCTTATCACTATGGATAGGTCTCACGTCGTTCCATATAGTGGGCCTGGCAATGATCCCAGCCCCAATGATCAATCCTATCCCTAACCCACTGAATCTATTGGATGATGCCTTGAACTTAGAATCATTATGATACTGTCTATAATTTTTAAAATTCAACGTACCCAATGCTTCCCTTTGATTTCGTATGTGGACTTTTACCACATTGCATTTATGTGCTGCTAGAGGACGCTGCGATAGCCTGAACATGTTCCCAGTTTATAATAGATCAACCAATTCAAAAGTCCAATATTCTACCATCAACTATTGGCTGAAACCATTTGAAGCAACAGACATATTTCGTTTTATGTTTTTTTTCTCGCGAGTGTGCCGAAGGCAGCAACATAGGCCTGCACATGGTTTTGATAGTACTACACTTGATAATGAATAATCAGAAACTTCAAAGTATGTATTAGCATGAATTAAGCTTGGTAAAGAGTAGAGAAGACTACTAAGAATATGTTTGGAGTTTATATGCACGAGTTGGTTGTTAAATTTTGCTGTAGACTCACTTTTCGTAAGGCTGCAAAAAAACAACAAAGAAAAAACAAAATTTGAAAGGACAAACAAACAGAGAAAAAAAATGTAATGAAGACAGGTAAGAAATGAATAAAAACCTACTTGGTAGATTCTTTATCTGATTTGGTGAATATTCTTAAAAAGGAAATCCAAAAATAGATTGTGGTGGTGCCTTTTGGAGAAGTTCTTTCGCCTCTTCTTGCAACTATACCATCATGAGCATTAAAGGAATCTTGATAAACGGGTAGTTTTATCCAATCAATTTTATTTAAATTTTCAATGATGAATTTCTTATTATCCAGTAAATTTACTTTAGTATCTTTGTTGAAAAGCGGGTACTCATTGTAATTGATATTTTTCAAATGAGATAAGTGAGTAGCAGCAAGTTTATCATTTAAATCTTTATTAATATCAATAATTTTCTTTTTATGTTTACCAGTAATTACATTAAGTAAAGTAGGTTTTACCTCAGTAGGCTTAGAAGTATTAATTGAAGTAGAGATTGCGGTTGGTTTTGGAGTTGAATCATTCAGTTCATTACCAGAACCTTCTGAACTTTCATAATCACGACCTCTGTCAAAATCATCATCATCAGGATTAACATCAGAAAGTTTACCAGTAAATCTTTCTTCTGCGTATAAGATATTTTCCATAGTGTTTTCAGTAAGTTCTGAAGTATCACCTTTAAAAGATTCATGTTGAGATAATCGATCACGTTGATCACGTCTAGCTTGACCAGCTTTAAAATCATCTTCGTCAATTGGGCCACCTTGATAAACAGAATTTAAAACTCTTTGCCAATGTTTTTTAATATTCGGATGATTTAAAATACGAATTTTAACCATACTATAAATTGAAGCAATTAAACTACTAATTAAAACCAAAGGAATCCAAATTGGAATTAAGAATAAAGCACCAACAATAATTATAAGAAATTTGAAAACTTTATTTGATCTTAAAATAGAAGTAGCTTCTTGCATATTACCTTTAAAATCATCATCCGAAATTTCATCTAAAGAATTAGAAAGTTTTAAATCAATAACTTTTGGTTTAACATAATGATTACCAATTCTAGATTGGGGTAAATTAGATAAATATTCAATTTTAATTTTATTCCAATCTTCAAAAGGAGCATAATCAGTTATAAAAGAGGTGAAAAATGCCACCGTACGATCATTTTTAACGTTTGCTAATAAAAGATGTTTTTTAAATTTAAGTAAACCTTGATAATAAATTGAATTTGGATCAGCCATTTTGACTAAGAGATGTTCATGATCAGTAATGAAAATTTGTCTACCAGATTTACCAAATAAATATTGACCAAGAGCATTTGCAGTTTTATCGAAAAAATTATCATTTAAAAATTCCACTCCAACATGGGGAGTAGCAAAAGTTGTGAAAAAAACTGGTTCAATATAACTGAAAACACCAAGCTCATAAAATTTCCCAATAACGTATCTTGAAATTAATCCACCTAATGAGTATCCGATGATACTAATTTTATTAACATGATAATTTTGTTTTTCTTTTAAAGTCTCAATTTCGTATAAAATATCAGTCATAACTCTTTCAGCATTAACCTGAATCCCGTCGTAAGTTTTCCAAAATCTAAATGAAGAAGGCTTTAATGTAACAATCTTATCATCGGTAACTGTAGACAACCCATCAAGGATTGCTCGTTCAATGGTTGACATATGATTTGGACCACCCCATAACCCATGAACCAATACAAACAAATGTGCCGATTTAACCTCACCGTCACCCTTGGGTCTATTTTCCCCATCATCCCTCAATCTATCACTCTTCAGTCTATCATACGCGTCACCCTTAACTCTATCATCCACATCATCTTTAAGTCTATCAATGCGATCAGCCATGACTCAATGAAAAAAAACGTGGTTTAATCTATAATGAAAAATTGAGCTGTTCAATTAAACAAGTCCTGGTTTCAATATCTAATTCTAGACGAAGATAACTGGTCAAACCTCGCAAAATACTCAGCAAACAGTAGAGTATGTAAAAACTCAAGAATCGAAAAAGAATACACTAAAAAACTTCTGAGGAAAAAAAAAACGTAGTCGGAGTAATTTACAAAGATAACCTTAGATCTAAAATTGTATAGACTGAGATCCATCGGCTTATATAGAATAATTAATAAACGAACATGATAATTTCCCACAAGGAACCAAGTATTGTTAGCCTACTGGTAGAACGTCATGAAGAACAATTACATTGATGGATACTTTTACGCGGATATTATATTACTGGTAAGCAAATTCCTGGCTGGTTTGAATATTGTTTGGAGGGTTCCAGGACAATGAACTGGTTTTTTGTTTGTCAGATTGTTGTTTCCCTTTACTGTGAATATTAGAACACCTAAACAAACAATAAAGGCTTACCACAATAGTTGTGAACAATTGCAAATTCCCAACAGAAATACGTTTTTCGATGTCATAGAGAAGATCTGTTATCCAGGGATGGTGATAAAGATAAAATAAACACCCATGCACCAGGGGAAAAAAAAAGGCACGATCGGGTAACGCTCCAAATGAAAAAAACAAGCAAAAAAAAAAAATGAAAGAAAAAGAGAAAAATGAACTTTAGCAGTGGAAACCACCAACTTACTCAGACTCCCGGTTAAACATGGCTCTTTTCGGATCATCTGCTGCTGCTCCTGCTCCCAGCAAGTCACAAGAGATCAAGGATCAACTCCAATCTCAAATATCCCAGGAATTGGCGGTTCTTAATGCCACTGCGCTAGTTGATAAAATCACCGAAAACTGTTTTGAAAAATGTATTCATGATCCTCAAGCATCCATCAGTCCTCAACAAAGCGGCTGCGTCGACCAATGTTTGGGTAAGTACTTGAGATCCTGGAACGTTATTTCCAAATCCTACATCACCAGAATTCAACAATCGTCCTCAAATCCTTCAAACGGTATTTGAGTTTTGCATTCTCTGTTATATTAGTGTGTATATAGACCCCTTTTCTTTGTAAATATATATTTTTATTTTTGTTAGCATCTAGTAAACAGAGGTACGGGGGTGAGGTACGGGGGTGAGGTACGGGGGTTAGTGGTGGTGTTGATGGTACGTGCACCAACCCATCCAAACTCTTGAAAAGAAGTTTAGTGGCGACTAACTAGTATACCAACACTATCATTAACCAACTATCATATATATATCCATAGATCAATCCATAAATGAGTACAACCGTTGCATCAGAATACTCTGCAGAAAGACAGTCTGTGCCAATTGAACACAGGTTCAATCCATATAGTGATAATGGTGGTACCGTTTTAGGTATCGCTGGAGAAGATTTTGCCGTTTTAGCTGGAGATACTAGACAAGTTGTTGGCTACTCAATTAATTCTCGTTATGAACCAAAAATATTTGATGTTGGTGATGATATAGTTATGACTGCTAATGGGTTTGCTGCCGATGGTTCTGCTTTAATAGATCGTTTTAGAAATCAATTAAAATGGTATAAATTTGATAATAATAATAAAAAATTATCTTTAAAGAGTGCTGCTAGATATATTCAGCATTTATTATATGGTAAAAGATTCTTCCCTTATTATGTTAGTACGTTAATTGCTGGTTTAGATGAAGAAGGCAAAGGTGCAGTTTATTCTTATGATCCAGTTGGTTCTTATGAAAGAGAACAATGTAGAGCTGGTGGTGCTGCTGCTAGTTTAATTATGCCCTTTTTAGATAATCAAGTGAATTTTAAAAATCAATACATTCCTGGTACTGATGGGAAAGAGAAAAAACCTTTAAGATATTTATCTTTAGATGAAGTTTTGGAGTTGGTTAAAGATGCTTTTTCTTCTGCTACTGAAAGACATATTCAAGTTGGTGATGGTTTGGAAATTTACATTGTTACAAAAGATGGGGCTAGAGTTGAATATTATCCATTAAAGAGAGATTAATGTATAAAAAAGTGTATTTTCACAATAAAAAGAATGTAATTGTATGTTTTTTTTTTGTAATTCTCTTTAATAGATGGTTAGCGGGTTTATACTGGTAATTCAAATTTTTTACCATGTAATACTTTTTGATAGTAAATATAGAAGAAATCAGAGTAAACAATGGTTTGTAAAATACCGGCTAATACTGCAATGTAATCAAAATGGGATTCACTGATATATCTGTAAATCCAATTTGGAATATACAAAGCACGATAAAGTCCTAAAGCAAAAATATAATGAACAGTAATGTTTTCTGCTTCTCCAGTTCTTTGTAGTATGAATAATTGTGGTATAATGGCAACTGCTTCTAACCATAAAGAAAATGACCATAAGATTTCCCCAATCGAATATTTATAATTGAAAATTAACGATCCAATAAACGCTCCTCCAATCAAATATCTTACTGGGAAGGTATCAATATCTTCTTGAATTGATTTCTTATATTTATTAGTCATCAAATAAACAATATACCCAGTTGATCCAATGAAAAAAATCTTCATCAAGGTATTATATAAACTAATAAATTTGGTAAATAAATCAAGATACCTAGTAACAAATACTAAAACATAAAGCGATTGAGTCTTTAATGAAATACCATTAGTGGATCTGTGAGTTTCAATTGAATATAATAATATTAAAATACTGGCCAAATGAGAAAGGTCTCCGAAAAATCGAAAAATATTCATCCTAATAATCTTATTTAGATATCAATTCGTCAATTAAGGTCTAACTTAATGCAGGGACTGGTGATTATCAAGAGTGAAAGTTCATTACTGTTTTCTTTTTTTTGTTCCCGTTCTTCCAAATCGGTGAATGGTACACGCTGTACAAGCAATCGATCACGTGAGAACTGCAAAAATGTATATTCTATCTATAAATTGAGTTCATTCATAAGCTCATCATACTCGTTGTTGATATCGATGTTTTCACTTAGAGCTTCATGTTTCCCAAAGTTGAAACCATACATCTTCTGCTGTTTGAAGCCATCATAAGTAAAATCTTGGCTATCAATTGTTGTTTGTAAATCTTTTAAATTTTCATACCCTTCACCACTACTCTTATCATTTATAAAATTAATGACTTGATTTTCTTCGAGTCGGTCGTTGGTTAAGTGGTTTTGGGATAATGTCTGTAATGTTCTGATTCTACCTTCTCTATCTATGTAGATTATTGATGGGAAGTTACTAATACGAAATTTAGCAATTATACTATTAACATTAGGATGTTCAATATCTACAATTGCAAATTCCAAATTGTAATCTTCTTCCAAGCTTAATTTTTGGTAAAAATGTGAAGGATAGTTATGGTCAGACCAATCCCTGAAATAGTCCGCAATGAAAGCTATAATGGTATCTTTCCCATTATGTATGAGAGTACTGAGTGAATCTTCGCTGGTTATATAACACACATTAGTCTCCACATTGTCAAAGTTTGGTTCAACTCCTTCAACCTTTTCATTTATAAACTCAATTAAGCTTTCAATATTACGATCGGCCTTATTGTAATGAATGATCTCCTTTGTTTCGCGATTAAGCAATCTTAAACTAGGGTACATTTGAATTTTGAATAATTGATTCAATCTAGGGTTCTTCTTACCATTCGTCTTCAATACTTGAAATTTGGGTGACTTGATTGCTTTATCATTGTATAACATACTGAGAAAATTGAACTCTTGTTCAAACTCTCCACAATACTTACATCCATCCATATAAAAATAGATTAACGAATATTCACCTCTGGCTAAAGCAGTCTGGATAGAATCGTCTCCAAACTCAAGTATCGCTCTGCTTAATCGTTCTTCATGTTTCGGTTTACTAGCGGTGATTCCCTGAAGATAATAAAATATCAAGATGAAAAATAGTTTGATCAAAGATTTTTGGTGCATTATCTAGCCAACTTTTTTTTATTTTAGTCTAATTTTTGGCCAATATGCAAATTTCCAGGGTTACAAGGCGCAAGATGGGTATGATGCGGTAGCAGGAGCTAATTCGGTGACTTATTATTTGGATATTTCTAGAGTTAAAAGCTACAATAACTTTGAAATAAAGTTGATTCTTTGGCTCGCCTTGATTTTCCGAAGCGGTAGCTCAACCAGCGAACATCACGGCCTGACAATGGGCTGGTTAATGTACAGGATATTGAGAACTTTTTTTTTTTTTTTTACTGCGACACCCGCTCTATGTCAAATGGCTGGTTTTGATGCAAAAAAAGTGGTTCGCTTGTTGAAAATACAAATTGGGATCAAGTCACCTAATTTCATGAGCTATTAAAAGCATCAATAGTGGTGCTATGAACCCGTCATGGTATACGAGCAAGGTTAGCAGTGATGCTGATTGATTTCTTTCCTAATCGCTTACCTCGATCCAGCATTTTTTAAGAAATAAGCTGCAAATAATTGTATATGCAAAGAGGGTGCTTCAACTCATCGTTCAACACCAGCACACGCCGCAACAAAGCTTGATCAATGGAGACGATTGTGAAGACGTATATAATTGTCTCGTATTCCCCACTGAAGGTCGTAATTATACTTTGTTCTTTTTCTTTACTTATATTCTTTGATAAACTCTTATATATAAACTCTAGCATCTCACTAGTTTCAAATCATCTTAATTACATTTTTACCAATTACAACAAATAACATTCGATTAAAAATGAAAGGTTTTACTACTGGCCTTCTCTTCATAGCTTCCGCAGTCGCAGATTCAACCATACGATCCACCATCATATCAAGTACTTGTAGCGACTCGGCTGCTTGTTCTGCTTCCATAGTGGCTCCGTCTTCTTTCCATTACTCCAACACATCTGCTAGTATTACTGAAAATATTAAAGCTGCTCAAGCTACCTCTTCCCATAAAGGTACTACATTATATGCTTATGATACCGTTTCTGATGAAGAGATTGAAGATAAAACTTATACTGTTTGTGACGAAAATTCTTCTTGTTATGTCACCACTGATGTTCTGGGTTCTACAACTTTTACAACTACCGTTGATGGTATTTTAACCACTATTGTTACTGCAACTGCTGAAACCACCAATGCTACTGAAAAAACTGCTGAAACTGGTAAGAAAGCAGTTGCCACTCAAACCGACGCTGACTCTTCTAGCGCTTCTGCTTCTGATCCTTCTACTGCTTCTCCAGCTAAAGTTTCTAGTGCTGCTCATGCTAACAAGGCCGTTATCAGCGGTAAAGCCGCTATTACTGATTCCGCTAGTGATAAATCAACTGATTACTCATATGAAACTGACTATGCCAATAAAGTATTTGAAGCCACCATCACCTCATGCGAAGGTGTTTCAAACTGCCATACCACTGTTGAGTTACAATCATCAACTACTTATACGACAACTGTTGACGGTGTTTTAACTGTTGTCACCACTGTTTGTCCACTTTCTGGTGAAGCCTCTGCAACTGCCGAAGCCTCAACTACCGCAGGTGCCAACACTAAAGCTAAAGTTATTTCAGCTTCAACTGCAACCAATGTTGAAACCAATACCTCCCCAGAAATTACTCCAGGTATTAATACTGTTACTGATCTTAGTAGAACTATTGTAACCATCACTTCATGTTCTGATCACAAATGTTCAAAAGTTACTCAAACCACTGGATTGACCGCCTACACTGTCACTAAAGGTACTGAAATCACCGCCTACACCACTTTCTGTCCATTGTCAGATGAACAACCAACCACTAGTGGTGAAGTTGCAGCTGCTTCTCAAACTGAAACCAGCCCTGTTACTACTACCTCCACTGGTACACCAATTCCATCTAGTGGTGTAAACACAGCCGCTACCACTGGCACCGCAGAAACTTACTCAACAGTTAATGTCATTACCGATAATCTCCTTACCCAAACACCATCTACCGGAACCACCTTGGTTCAACAAGGCACTTCTGAATCATCAAGCCACGCTCAACCTAGTGATTCCATTTCCGTTTACCAGGGTGCTGCCAACTCCAAAGCTGTCAAATCGTCCGGTATCATTGGTTTGATCACAACCTTCTTCTTGATGATGCTTTGATCAACCAAATATGAAAAATTCAAAAAAAGTGAAAAAAATGAAATAAAGCAAAAATAAAAAAAAAAAAAAAATGAAAGACTAAAACAATAATGTACTTCTAAACCTGTATTCTAATATGTTCCTAAATCAATTTCTTCTATTCGGTATTTATCATAAGCAGGAATCTATCTTGTTTATTGAGTGTATATTAGTTGATATATAATAAATTATTAATTGTAAGAATTTAACCCACCCTTCTTGTAAAGCTTCTAACTTCCCAGTTCGTTATCGTCCGATCCGAACAATAGATGGTCGTAATAAAAATTATTAAATGATACAGGATAAGTTTTATATTCTCACATGAACCGACAACAAAAGTACGCTCTCCTCCATTATATATATATGCTGTCGCCCAACTGCTAATCAAAGATACCTTTTCCATCTACAGCTAGAGTCCCATTCAATTGAAAACATCCATCAATGGGCTAATATCATCACGTCTCCCATTAACTCGGGTTTCAAGTTGTAAAGTGTGCGTGTAAACCATCAAAAAAAAATCAGCGACACCTAATTAATCATTTATATCGGGAAAGACAAAGACAATAATGTCAATTCTTTGGTTAAATTTTGATTGTTGCCACTAATGTCCCATACAAAAGTTACTCAGAATTGAATAGGCTTTTATATGAAGCTATTTTGAAACTTAAAAGAAATAGTTTGAAAATTAATTTGTAAATGTCCGGATTTTAAATTTTTTTTAGGACTACATCTCAAACAGGTAATTGAATTTGGTGCTGATGACGAGGGAGCGGCCAAAGTCAAGCTAGAAAGCACTCTAACCTATCACACACTTTGATTTTAAGAGATGGAAGTGGTTTTCTAGGGGTAATAGGTTTGAAATTTTAGATTGGGGATATTGTTTCAGTCAGTTTCCAACTTCTAGTGCAGCTTTGATCAAGTAGCAATAAATGATGGTGATTAAAACAAGGTTAATTGCATGATAAGACTTGATTTTTGAGCTGAAAACCACCCCAATTTATACCGTAATAGCATACATCTACGCCATGGGCTGCTTTTGTAGTGCTTTAGATGCTAGAACCTCAAAGTGTTACATCTTAAAGCTTGTAGTAACACCACCTCTGTGATCCGTAAAAAACTTTTTTTTTTTTTTTTTTTTTTCTCTTTTACTGGTTCTCAATTTTCTCTACTGGAAGTCTTCAAAATTGAAAACAGTCAGAGACACTAGTTCAGCAACCTGAACGATACTCGAGCTTGTCTTCATTTTGGAAACACGTTTATTTGGTCTTTTGCTTTGTCACTGCTGGGTAAGTTGCGTGTTGTTCTGTTTCGATTACACCGGTCATCGCAGCAATGAACGCTTATAGAGAGTTTATTGAGCCATCTAGAGTCTCCAATTGTGTTGGTTGTAACTTTATATCACCTACGTCGAAACATTTAGTTGTGGCTAAATCAACCATCCTTCAGGTGTTCGAAGTTGTTAAGCCAGCACCGCAACTTAATAATAAGAATATTAAACTTGATGATAAGTCCAAGTTGAAACTAGTGGAACAATTCAAATTACATGGATTGGTTACTGATTTAAAACCAATAAGAACAATTGAAAGTCCTGACTTGGACTATTTGATTGTGTCAACCAAAGCTGCTAAGTTTTCCATCATTAAATGGGACCATTCTTCAAATTCGATTTCTACAGTATCATTACACTATTATGAACACGCGATTCAAAATTTAACTTTTGAAAAATTAGCTTCATCAGATTTATTAGTTGAACCAAATACATTTTCTTGTGCTTGTCTTCGATTCAAAAACTTGTTGACTTTTTTGCCATTTGAGGTTCCTGATGATGAAAATGAAGAAGAGGACGAAGATTTAAACCTATCCTCAAAGAAATCAAAAACGACTGAACTGGAAGCTAATGGTACCGTTTCTGGAGACTCTGATTTCTTTGATTCTAGTTTTATAATTGAAGCAACCACCCTCGATCCTAGCATTGGTACCATTATAGATATGCAATTCTTACATAATTATAAAGAACCTACAATTGCTATAATATCTCAAAAAAATCATACTTGGGCTGGTTTATTACCGAAAACTAAAGACGATATCAATTTCATTGTTTTGTCATTAGATTTAAATTCAAGAACATCCACCACTGTCCTAAAACTTGATAACTTACCCTATGATGTTGACCGTTTGATTCCCTTGCCTCATCCATTGAATGGTAGTTTGTTATTGGGTTGTAACGAAATTATTCATATTGATAATGGTGGTATCACTAGAAGAGTTGCCGTTAATGATTTCACTCCCTGGATCACTAGTAGTGTTAAAAATTATTTGGACCAAAGCGCCCTAGAATTAAAACTTGAACATTGTTCTATCATCCCACTACCTAATGATAATCGTGTATTGATGATTCTTGAAAATGGTCAATTCTATTATATCAATTTTGAAGTAGATGGTAAGACAATTAAAAAATTTTCTGTCGAATCCATAAGTAATGAGTTATACCCCGATATCTTACTTGAAAGACCAGATCAGGCAGCCGTTCTTGATGAAAATCTTATTGTTGTTTCAAGTAACTCTTGCAATACTGCTTTGATAAAAGTTGATTATAAATCTGAAACAAAAAATGGTACAAAACTGATAAAGAATAATGTTTCTCAAGGACCACTGAAGACTAATAATGAGAATGATGATGATGATGATGACGATGATGATTTATATGGAGATGAGGAGGTGAATGAAGATCATACTTTAAGAAGAAGTGAAGCCACTTTTGTCTTGCAGGATGAATTAGTCAATAATGGACCTGTCTCGAAATTTACTTATGGACATTATTCCACTCAAAAATATATTGCAAACTTAATTAATCCAAACTATAAAGAAATATCAATTATCAGTAATGGGGGAGAGAACTCCTCTAGTCATTTAAATATAATGACTCCTTCAGTCCAACCAAAGATTAGAACTTCTCTTACCTTTTCACAAATCAATAGAATGTGGAATATTAATAATAAATATCTTATTACTTCTGACGATATCAATAACAAGTCGGAGATTTTTCAGATCAATAAGTCTTTTGCAAGGTTGAGCTCTAAAAATTTTATTAACAACGAATTAACTATTGCAATGCATGAATTGAATAACGGGAAATTCATCTTACAAATTACACCTAAACATGTAATTTTATTTAACAATAAGTTTGTGCAATTGGTTTCATTGGATTCTGAGTTAGAAAATGATTTTAAAAATGATGATATCATAAATAGTACATTCAATGACGAATTCTTGATGCTCTTCTTCGCAAGTGGTGAAGTTATGATTTACTCAATTAACACTTACAATGAATCTTTCAATAAAATAAGCATTCCTAAAATTTTATCGGATACAATTATTACTTCTGGATACATTGCTAATTCTCACTTGTTAAACGTAGTTCTGAAGGACGTCAGTTTGTTAATCAACCGTGGACTTAAGAGAAAGAGAAATATGAGTAATCCCAGTGTCAAGGCTAAATCCCCTTTGCCTGATCGCAAGTCACTGGGCCCCAAGTCAAAAACTTTCATTTTAGTAACCGGTGATAACAGAATTGTTGCTTTCAGTCGTTTCCATAATGAAAAATGTTTCCAATTGAATGAAGTTGACAAATTCACTGATCAATTGACTTTGGGGTTTTTTGAACAAAAAGATACATATCCAGATCCGCTCATCAAACAGGTCTTATTCAATGAATTAGGTGATTTAGTTTCGAAGGATGAATATCTTACAATCTTGACCATTGGTGGTGAGATTATCATGTATAAGCTTTTCTTCGATGGAGAAAATTATTCTTTCATCAAGGAGAAAAATTTGGCTCTTACTGGTGCTCCTCATAATGCATACCCTCAAGGTACTTCAGTTGAAAGAAGATTGGTTTATTTACCAAATTTCAATGGCTATACTACCATTTTGGTGTCTGGGGTCTTACCATATATAATTATGAAGACTACATCATCTATTCCTAGAATTTATCAGTTTAGTAAAATTCCGATTGTTTCATTTGCAGCATATTCTGATAACGAAATCAGTAATGGTGTGATTTATTTGGATACAAAGAAGAATGCCCGTATCGTTGAATTACCGCAGGGGTTCATATATGATAATAATTGGCCTATTAGACAAATCCGTTTCGATGAAACAATTAAGTCTGTCACTTACCATGAAACTTCCAATACTTATATTCTATCAACTTTTAAAGAAATCGATTACGATTGTATAGATGAAGAGGGTAAGCCTATTGTCGGGACAGATTTCGAAAAGCCTAAAACTAAATCATTGAAGGGTCTGCTTAAATTGGTTTCTCCTTTGACTTGGACAGTTATTGACAGTATTGAATTGGCTGATAATGAGATTGGAATGAATGTGGAATCAATGATTCTTGATGTTGGAACTTCATCCAAACGATTCAAGAATAAAAAGGAATTTATCGTTCTTGGTACAGGGAAGTATAGAATAGAAGATTTAGGTGCTAATGGATCTTTCAAATTATACGAAATTATTGATATCATTCCTGAACCTGGAAGACCTGAAACTAATCATAAGTTCAAAGATTTTAATCAAGAAGATACCAGAGGTGCTGTAACTTCAATCTGCGAGATCAGTGGTAGATTTCTCGTGGCCCAAGGTCAGAAGATTATTATTCGTGATATTCAAGATAACGGGACCATCCCGGTGGCATTTTTAGATACATCTGTGTATGTATCTGAGGCTAAAAGCTTTGGTAACTTGCTACTTTTAGGGGATTCCCTAAAAAGTGTGTGGTTAGCAGGTTTCGATGCTGAACCTTTCAGAATGATTATGTTAGGTAAAGATCTACAACCTTTAGATGTAAATTGTGCCGATTTCTTAACAAATGATCAGGAAATCCATATCGTTATTGCAGATAACAACCACTCCCTTCATATTGTGCAATACAACCCTGAAGACCCTGGATCTTCGAATGGGCAAAGATTGTTGCATAAAACTGCATTTAACCTTAACCATTCTAGTACATGCATGAAAACTACTCCCAAGCATGAAGAAATCAACCCACAAACAAATGGGGCCCAAGATGTCACCTTCCAAACAGTTGGATCCACAGTTGATGGCTCGTTTTATACTGTTTTCCCGGTTAATGAAGCCACCTACAGAAGAATGTACATTTTACAACAACAATTGATTGACAAGGAGTATCATGCCTGTGGTTTGAACCCAAGACGTAACAGATTTGGGGGGTTGTCTCTCTCTGTTAATGATACTAATGCAAAACCATTATTAGATTATGATGTCATTAAGACATTTACTTCCTTGAATGAAGACAGAAAGAATAATTTAGCGCTGAAAGTTAGCAGGAATGTCTTACAGGATATCTGGAAGGACTTAATCGAATTCGAATGTGTTCTTAAGCATTTATAGGTGCCAGCTTTATTGTATATATTGATTCATCATCTTTTTTTTTTTTTTCCTCTAATTTCTACCTTTTAATTATAGACAATGTATTATTACTTCTTTGGAAAATTCGATGCAAGTAATTTGTTTATTGAAGTGCTGAAGCAGGATGGCTGCCAAAATGTCTTTAGTACCAAAAGCACTCGATACAATTGTTATATGTATATATATATATAATTCAGACAATCAATAAACTAGTAATCATATGGTACAATAAGCATGTAAAGTCTACTTTTACTCGGTTTGCAAGCTATTATCTGTTCTGCTACTTTGAAGCTATGTATTGCACAAGCAATGCATTGTACTCAAGTATATAATACTTCTGTATACCGGTTTCATACCTCCCCAATCCATAACTACGGGTCTCTCGCTAGGTGGACTCGGCTCAATTAAAAAAAGATTTTCTTACAAGACAATCCTAAGCTCTTAAGAATCTTTCCAGCATCTTGGTGAAGATTACTTACACTGCAAGACGTAGATCTTGATGTTAATAGACAGTAGAACGTGCTAATAAAAGCGATACCTGATTCAAAGTCATCACTGGTAAACTGATGTCTTTCTCTTAGGTATTTTTTGGTGCGTGGCCAACACGACAAAAAGTAAATAACCATCTTCAATTATTGAGTACTTCTAATACTAGCACACTTTCTTTGAAGTAGCTAAGCAAGCAATGCCCAAGTCCAAAACATCCAAGTCGGTATCGTTCCAGCACCTTGCGGAAGAAGATAGCACTCTGCTTAGCTCGGCTCAAGCTAATCAAGCTAGTTTTCCGGTAATTGAGTCTCCATTTTTAACGATTCCCTTTCATTATATTTTGGCATTAAGTGGAGCATTTTACTATGGTCTTACTTCTGACACTACAAGTGTAATGGTAAAAGGAATACCCACTCTTATAGCAATTCAATTCATCTATGGGTATATGATTACGTTGAATTCTCACCGGTACTTAGCTCCGATTAAAAAGAAGAATGCTACAAGCGGACCTACCCAGTCATCTACACCCATTGCAAATAAGAAAAAGACAAATCAAAACTCAACATTATTAGTGGGATCAAGCATTTTAGTTGCTTTGGTCTTGAGTATTCCGGTGTTTATGGTGGTTATATTATTTGGTGCGCCATTATCAAGTCACCTTCTTGAGACTTTCCTTCTTTCTGTTCATATTTCATTGGTCATGTTTTATCCATTGCTTGTTTTCTTCCAAATGGACACGGACTTGTTCTGTCAAATCTTCCAGCTCGAAAGAATTTATCGCATGATTTTCACCAACCAGATTTTGACAAGCAGTTTCATGGGAATAATAGGGTGTTGGTTGGGGGTGATTCCAATTCCTTTGGATTGGGATAGGCCTTGGCAAGCCTGGCCAATAACCTTACTAAGTGGGTTGTACATTGGAGCCTTTGTTGGTGGTTCTCTGAGTATCATTTTTTGCTATTTCTTGCAAGACGATTCCAAAGTCAACCAACGTCACAGTTCTTAATACTATATATATTCTAAATAAACGTCTCGGACAACGTATGGCCGTCTGAAGATCTCGTAGTTCAATAGACAATCTTCTGATATTTTAACCAATTACTATTGATTGCAAAATAATATTCGATCCTTTTTAAGGCCGCAAAAAGTTTGTCAGAGGTTAGCCATGGCTATTTGCTTTATGAAATCCTCCGCAATGAACTCTTGATACCCACTCTTGCAATCTATCCCAGCCATATGTACTTCAATCGTGGATTGTCGTGAGTAAGTCTCTTTGGATTTAGGCTGTTAAACTTTCTATAAGACTGGCGAAAAAAAAAAAAATAAAAAAAAAAAAAAATTAAAAATTAAAAACGCGTTAAAAACCAAACAAACTCAGTAGACCTTCTACATCACATATTTACAATACTGTTTACTTCGATAATACCCTAATGGTAGGATTTCCCAGAGCTCCTCAGGTACATGGGGACACGGACGATGAAGCTTCTATACACTTATACACTCAAGTGGGACGTGCAGAGCCACTCCCGAGTAGAAAACAAATACACACATCTAACTTGAACAAACAATTTGGCAAACAGGATACCATTGGAGAACATAAAAGACTAAGCCCGCATCATGAGAGACTTATACAGCATATCTTAGTAGGTAATGATGACTCAATTGTGAATGGAAATAATAGTCGAGCCAATTTAAAAGAAAATAATCTACATCGATTAAACGATGATTTCAATCAATTTGCAAATACGGGCACTCTTGACGTTAGCGACGAAGAATTTGATCCATCCGATAATGAACCTCCTGTTCGGGAGAAAGATATCTATGGTTCACCTTTCTATAATGCCCCTGTGGATAATGGTGATGAATCTCCAGTGGAAGACCAAGAAGAGCCTGATATTGCCAATCAGACTCAATACGAAAGTGATGAAGAAACAGTACATGAAAATGAAACGGATTCTGCAATGGAAAATAATGGAAAATCGGTATTCACCCAGCGAAGCTCGCCAATCCAGAGACCCAAAGCCAATCAAAGTCTCTTTCAGCAATTTGAAAGGGTTAGACAAAACGAAGAGCCCAGTGGAAGAAACAAGAAGAAACTAAGTAACTCATCTAATGAACAGACTAGCTCATCTTTAGGTTTTTTGAGCTTGGGTGGTAGTAATAATTACGTATACGTTAGAGTGTTGGTGGTATCGTTCTTATTTTCAATAATTCTACTATTTGTTACTTCATATCCTCAGAGCCCAAAAAATATCCTGATGAAGCCTCTTGAAAATTATAATGATATAACGTCCAGGTTTCAGAAAGTTGAGAGTCGAATGGATAAGCTTGATGAGGTCACACTTGGCTTATCTAACAAGCAAGACGTATATGAATCTAAATACGACTCTCTTACAAATAGCCTCAATAATCGATTCAACTTTATAAGTGCCAAGTTTGATGAATTTTCACAGACTTTGAGTTTGAACAATAATTCGAAATTCGAAAATTTGGTATCCGACTTTGCAGAATTAAAGACTAAATTCGATAATCTTGAAACTATATCATCCAATCCTGAAGCTCTAGAACCCAAGCTTAATGATATTTCTACTAAACTTAACCATTTATCACATATCAATAATGATATTGACGAGATCAAATCAGATATTTTGAATAAGTTAATCGAATCACTCCCGTCCCAGGTCCCTGTCTATATAAAAAATAATAAAATACATTATATTCCAGAGTTCCATAAGTATCTTTACAATTTTGTTGAAAATTACTATAACCAAAAATACGATACCCCTGCAAATACATCCACCATGGATTGGAATACATTCCTATCATCTAATGAAATTCAGTTAAAGAATTATATCAATTCTTCGCTTAATAAGAACAGCAATTATAAAGCTATAAATAAAGAAGTATTTGAGAGGCTTCTACAAAGAAAACTTAATGACAACAATCGATTAATGTGGCAGAAATTCAACAATTTAATTGATAATTTGAATATCAACTTAAACTCCACCAATATAGATATTTCAAAGTCAAGTAATAAGATCTTGTTGGATAATTTACTTGAAATTTTTGCTAAAGGATCTATTAAAATAAATTATGCTGACTACAAAGTAGGTTCTAGAATTTTAGGATTCTTAACGAATACTGGAGCTGATGTCAATCAAAACAAATCGATTGTTCGTAAGTTATTTTTGGGCTGGTATGATTATCTAAATTCAAATGGTTTGAAAAATCCAAAGAATTGGAAATTCAATGCTAATAATGTTTTGATTGACGGTGGGAACTACTGGCAATGTGAATCTAGCTATTGTACATTTGGGGTTAGATTATTCAATCCAGTTATTTTGACGGATCTTTTCTTGAACACCCCTTTGACTAATCTTCCGGATGATTTCCTGCCTCCTAATAGGGTATCAGTTTATATTAAACCAAAAAATCCAAGACAGGTTAATTCTTTAATCGAGTATATAAACAAATTCAAAATCAATTTCAAGAATAAGTCCAACACTAATAAGTATCTCACTAAGTTTGTGAAGGTAAAAGAAGTTGCCATTGATTCAAATAAAGCCATTAATCATATTAAATTTCCCATTAGTCTAATCAATCTAAGAATCCCGGTTAGAGATCTTTATATTGAAATAAGTTCAAAAGATGGTAGTAAAACTGGGTTGTACAGTTTCAAGGCTTATGGAATAAGTGAATATAACTCATATAAATATAATGAAGAGTTTGATTTATTACTCAATAAACTTTATGACCAAGAGCAGGAAGAAATTGATCGTGATCAAGAAGAATTTCTCTCTCATTTCGAGGATAACCCCAAAGTTGATTATAGCAGCTTTGAAGATGATTTTGATCAAGGTGATATTGTTTTAGGAGATGATGAAATAATATTCTAAGTTGTATAATTTCAAATAGAAAGCTACAATTGAATATTTGTATACTTTGTTATGCATTAAGAAAAGAGGAGAAAACCAGTTGAATTCATATAAATAAATCTAACTTGTCGAAATAAATGTAGAAAACAAGCCAGTGAGATAAAATAAAAATAAAAAAGAATAAACTGAATGGTTAATTTTTTGTTTATAAGTACAAGACGATACGTGAATCTGTATTGAGATATGGAATAAATGAGTTTGGGACATTTGTCAAATGGGGATATCCTTTAACAAAACAAGTTTGAATCACTATTATCTATAAGTGTGGAGTTTGAAGGATTATAATGTTTGATACGTTTGTTTAAAGAGATTATTCATCATCTTCATCTTCATCACCACCTTCGAGGAATTTACCTTTGACATCTTTCCACAATTTACCTCTGTTGTGGCCTTCGTACCATTTGGTAACAGCAACATCAAAGAAACCTTGGAAAGCAAAAGCACCACCAAAGATAGTAGCAACGTAAACAGAGTTTCTCTTGAATAATGAAGAAATAGATAACTAAAAAGAGTTAGTAAATAAAATCGTTATATTATACAATCACTGGATCTGTACACATTGAGCCCTCGTTATACCTCATAAAACATTGTTATACCTCATAAAACATTGTTATACCTCATAGAACATTGTTATACCTCATAGAACATTGTTATACCTCATAAAACATCGTTATACCTCATAAAACACACGGTTTTTGGGAATAGGCTAACTCTTATTTAAACATCAATTCGAATCTATGTCGATCTTCTATTCTGATTTACCCCATATATACCATATTATTCAGTCTGAACACATTCAGAACCAGTGACTCGTCTACCCAATAAGCTGATCACCACATACCATTGTGTTTTAGTCTGTTTTGTCTATCGAAATTAGAAAACTAATGGAAGATTTATCAATGTTTTAAAATTCAACCTGAAAAAAAAGAAAAACTTGATTACTTTCTCAATTTTTCAAACGCTAATGATTGGCTCAATGCTGATTATGTAATCCAAAATTTGTAGGTATTATTTGGTGTACGGGTTCATTATATGCTGCAGCATATAGATATGCCTGGCATTTCCTTATACACATAATTGGTTGGTGATTGTACTGAAAAGTGCCAGGGTTTCTTCCTCTGTAAGAAAATCATCTCTCAAGGGCCCGATATAGCTGTTTAGTGGTGAAAAAAGCTTACTTAAACGCAGCTAAAATGAAATTTGATTAATTAATGTGAAGATATAAATATTCTAACTAGGGAGTGTATTGTATTTTGGTTTAGAAGTAACTGCTGGCTGTTTGGTTGTTTGTATTGTTCTTTGCAACAAGTGTTACGATTATTGGAGGATCATTTGCGTAAAATTTGTGGGAGTTTTGTAAAATTTGCAGCAAAAATATAACCAAATGCAGAGTTTGGTCCAAGTCATTTTTCGAAGAAACCTACAAGGAACAAAGCTTATTGTATACAATAATTCGTAACTATAAAAAACCACAACCTCTATATAATTTAATTAAGTTTGGTCTGATCTAAAGCTTCGGTAGCTTTTTCAACAGATGCATCGGAAGAAGCAGGTGCTTTATCGGAACCGGGGTATCTGGTACCTTTATTTTTAACTTTTTTAACCTTCTTTTCTTCTTTTGGTTTTTCCACTGGGTAACCTTTTTCACCAAATTCTTGGAATTCCTTGTTACTATTGAATTTTTCTTTAATTGGAGCTAATAATTCATTGATTTTATCAGCCATACCGGATTTTAAATCAACTGGGGACAATTTTTCTGATTCAAAATCTGATTTTAATTGATCAAGAGATTCATAAGTGATTGGACCACCATATTTATCTGGTCTATCAATGAAGAAATTAAAAGTTTCTTTACCTGCTTTTAAAGATTGTATTGGTTGAATAACGTGTTCAAGGAAAGCAAGTAAACCATTATCTTTAATATCACCAGGTGCACAATAAGCACTATTAATTTTCTTTTTAACGATTTTAGGTTCTTCTAAAATATCGATTTTAGAATTTGGATCCGAAGCACTCATCTTACCACCTTGACCTAAACCTGGAATCATTATGTTCATTAAATGTGCTCTCTTTTTATAACCAATACTTTGTAAATTTTCTTCAGCAAGAACAAAAATTTTTCTTTGATCAACACCACCAAATTGAACATCGACATCTAAATATTGTTCATCTAAAGCTTGCATTAAAGGATAAATCAAACCTGATAATAAAGGATTGGCAACTTGTTTGACAACATCAGCACCAGCTCTCTTAGCATCATTTTGTCCAACTTTATTAGATAATTTAAAAAGATCCATAGTATATTCTGGATTTAATTGATAATCGGATCCGAGAACAAATTTCAATTTTTCAATTGGTACATTAATTGAAGTTAAAATAGCCTTAACAACATTTTCATAATAACCTGCACGATATTTAACAACTTCTAATGGTGCCTTCATATTATCCAAGTAAGCATGTAAATCTGCTACCAAAACAGTAACTTCACAACCTGCTTTTAAAAAATGAGCCAATTTAATCATAGGAACAAAGTACCCACAATGTGGTTTCCCAGTTGGAGCTGTACCCCAGTAAAGCTTCAATGGTCTTTTTTCATTCTCCAATACATTCTTGATGATTTGTGGGTTCAAAACTTCTTGCAACCCTTTGGTAATTAATTCGTACTGTTCAACTGGATCAGACAATGTGTCGGTCATGCTCAATATAGTCCTATCTGCTGTATAGAGGTGCCTAAAGCCTTGATCTTTCAATGGTTTCCACCAGAATCGAAAAGTTTTTCAAAAATTTTAAAAAAATTTTTTTGTGAGTCAAACACAAATCAAGGGCTAGAGCCGTACACTCCGTACACCAGGTAAATCATCATCAACATTTAGTACCGTTTGACTAATTGTACCGTGGGAGTACAGCTGTAGAGGTATACGGGAAGCCAGACCGGTCGAGGGTGGAAATAAGCAGCAGAATCCCGGCCAGCGATGGTTATTGCAGCAGTTTTCGGTTCTTCTAGTGGTGTAGTCCTACAGATAACGCAGCCATGGAACTTTCCATCGCACATTTGCACTATTTTGTTACACACGATTAGTTTGACTAATTCATCAGTGATCAAATAAAAATCTTGTTACAGTATATGATTGAATATACATTAGTAATAAGTATTCAAAGAAAAAGAATTCAATAATTGTTTGACGTTGAGTACTGAATTGAAATTAGTGACTTGAATTCGATATTTGGAATCAAGACTTAACGTAGAAACATTTTTGTCACCAATTTTTTTGAATCGTGGTGCTTTTTCAAGTCGAAGAAGCAATTACTAAGATGATATATGACGATCTAAAGGGTTTTTTGGTGGATCTACCATCCAGGTTAGACTACACCCATGTTCGTCCGATCCAACAGAATTTGTTCAAAGCACTTTATTATTCTGTTACTAACAGGGGAGAGTATCTTGATAGATTATTCACTGTATCAGATATTGAAAAAGAACGTTTAGAAAATTTTGGATTCCCAATTACCATTGCACTCGAACGTAAACCCTTTTACAGACAAAAAGGTAAAGAAGCAGTGGGTCATCCAGTAGGTAAAGCATGCTCTCGTGCTTTTAAGAAAGGAGAATTGGTATATAGATGTGAAGAATGTGGTTACGAGGAAAGTTGTGTTATTTGTCAATATTGCTTCAACAAAGATGATCATATTGGCCATAACGTGACTTGTTACTCCTCGGCTGGTACTAGTGGTGGTATTTGTGATTGCGGTGATCCAGAAGCTTTTGTTAACGAATTACATTGTTTGACTCAAAAGTCGAACTATACTGGTGACGAATCTTTTGAAATCGAAGAAGATTTCAAAAACGGTATCAAGGAAACATTACAAATTTGTCTTGATTACATTTTGGATGTTATGAATTTTTCTATCCATACGTTACCTCTTATCCATCAAAATATTAATGGAAGAGGTGATCTTGCATTCTCAACAAAACACATATCCGATTATTCTTCATTACCTCACACTGCTTATGGCTTACTGGATTCTAATTCAGATGATCTTTGGTACTTGATTTTATGGAATGATGAAGTCCATGACTATAATGAAGCCAAATCAGGTATAAGAAAAGCCACTAATTGTGATCTTCAACAGGCTGAGAAAATTGCATTCGAAATAAATAATAATGGTAGATGCATACTTAAGGAAGCTAGAGATTATACGGATTTATTAGCTTCTCAAAAGCTGGCTGAATCAGATGGTTTGGTTTCTACCATTATGAGTGCTAGGGATTTCATGAGAGAAATGATTGTCCATCAATTAATAAATTGGCTCATTGATGTTACCGAATTTTCTTCTTCAATCTCTTTCCGTGAAAACTGCAAAGAAATACTAGCAGAGCTTTTATTACAACCAGGTTTCGAATTCTCCAAATTATTCCCAATGGAATTTTTGAGAGAAACTAAAATTGATATTAAAAGAGCTTGTTTTACTAATGGGTTTTTATATGATGGCCAAATATTGGACCTTGGAGCTACTTCAGTTAAACCTGGTCTTGATTTAACATCATTGCAAGGACCTACTAATAAGTTATTGACAAATGAAAATAAAGCAGGTCCAATTGTACACTCAAGGTTACAGTTTTTACTTTGTTTTGATATTAGGTTCACTGCTTTAATCAGAAAAAAATTACCAAAATTACTAATTTCTTTATTAGTATCTGATCCCGAAAAGAAAGCAAGGTTTGCCCATCAATTTATCGCTATTTATCCTAATCTTATGAATATATTTGCTTTATCTGACCGTGAAGAAGGTCTAAATTTATTAAATGAAATAACAGTTCAACTATTCACTTGCCAAAAAACAGTTCTGAATATTTTATCGAATAACTTAGTTGGTAATATTATAGGTCCAATTACTCAGCTTATAGAAGAACAATCGACCAAGCTTGATCCTTCAAGTGGATACCCTAATTTTATCGAACTTGTTCATGACCTTGGAAGTAAGCGAAGAAACATTTCCAAAAAAGTCGCAATCTCGAAAGGAATTCGTGATATCACCCATCTTGTTAATAAATCTATATCTGGTCATAATAAATTAGACGTCTTCTTGATTAGAGAAAATTTGACAATGCTTATTCTTTTTTTGAGGAACTTTCAAGGGTTTTGGCCAATTATTAAAAAGTATGGAGATCATGTTGAAGTGGAACTTTTAGATTTCACCGTACATCTCGAATATTCGTCCCCAATTCTATCCATTGTGCAAAGCATAACAGAATTTCCAACATCCAATATCGAACTCGTGCGTGATGCTATCAAATATTTGACAGACTTTTTAAGCTTACGAAAAATTCGAAAGAATGCCCCTGAGATAGCTGACTTCAAAGTTAGTAAAGAACCGGTATCTTTTATTAACCCGCTCAACTCGTTGTTGTCTTTTCTCATTCAGATTAATGGGTTCAAAAATGTCGAGGACATATTGGTGTCTCCATCGAATCCTTCTTTCTTGCCTATATCCGACATTTCATTAAGAAGCATTGTTTTAGCTTACCAAGTTAAAACTGGATTTTGGATTAGAAATGGTATATCTGTTTCGAAACAGGCTTCCCTCTATATGGGATCCTTGTTGCGTGACGTAGCTTTCTTTCGTGATCAGTTCTTAATGCAAGTTGCCTCGGTGGTACATGAACCAAATACATTCTTTTACAATGTATTAGATCGTTGGGAATTACTAGATTGGTTCAATAATAAAGTACCACACGACAAAACTGTTTACGATCATAGATTCGTTTCCATAATCGAATGCTTAGTAATTTTCTTTTATAATATGATCACCGATAGATATGATTTACGTGTGATAACTCCAGCAGAAAAAAACAGACATAAACTAAAGAATGCAATTTGTTATTCCTTATGTGACACACCTAAGGCTTATTCCAACATCAAGCCAATTTTTGCTATTGAGTCAGGTGAATCTTCTGATTATGATGAAATTTTACAAGAGTGCGCTGACTATCAAGAACCCACAGGTTATTTTGGTACTGGTTTGTACAGGCTCAAACCATCTATGTACAATAGAATTGACCCATTAAGCTTGTATCTAGATGCCAGCCAGCTGTATCAATCAGTTGCTGAATCTTTGATGAAGAACACTGCAAACGAGAAAAAAGTAGAAGAAAAGAGTGTTGTATTGGAGCCCGAAATAATCACTTCGGACTCTACCATCGTCAACGAGAAAGTTGGAGCTTTCATGAAAACTAAGCATTTTGCTAAACTCATCTATAAGTTGCTTCAAGTAGCTATAGATACTTCTGATGAAACCTATTTACCCCAATTATTGCATTTATTCCATGCTATACTTAAAGACGATGAGTTACTACATGGCGACAATTACTTGAATGAATTCTTTGTGACGATTCCAATCAGTGACTTATTGCTTACAATTGTAGAGTCTCCAATGTCAAGTCATGTTGTATTCAAGGCAGACCATTTAATGGATATGCTCATGAAGAAAGATGAGAGGATTGTTAGCTCTTTAATTGACTGCTTTGGTGAAGACCATGTTCAAAGCTACAAGAGGAGAAAGGCTGCTGCATCTGAGGCTGAAGCTGAGAAAAGGAAAGAAAAATCGGATAGGCGAAAAGCAAAAATCATGAAGAGATTTGCAAAACAACGTGAAAAATTTTTAGAAAATAATATGGATATCGATATCGGAAATGATGAAAGTAAGGATTCCGAAATTAGTGAAAATCATGATATGCGAGTATGTGTCTCGTGCGGTGATTCGGAGTCGTTAGATAATCCTTTTGGTATGTTCGTAAATATATCGAAAGCGTCAGTGTTTTTGAAAGTGCCCGAATCTTCTGAAGATGAGGCTCAACTTGCGTTTATTCAACTACACGATGACTTAAATAATGATCTTTCTAATTACCCATATCTTGATATGAGGAAAGACATAACTGATTTTGTTGCACATCTGTGTGGCCATGGGATGCATATTTCTTGTTACCTTCAATCTAACGTAAAGGCGAGACCTTGTCCCTTATGTCATGCTCTTCTGTTCCTGTTGATCCCTAGTCTTCTAGTACCACCTTCAGGAGGATCCTTTCCTCAAAATTCAATCACTGGACAGAGAATCCATGATAGATATAATAAGATAATCGAGTCTTGCGGGGAAAGTTCCGATCCCGAAGTTATGAATAGTGTCATTGATCCTCGAGTTAGCCCTCTGTCTCGTGAAGAGGCATCTAATCTTTTGCAAAGGCAATTTGTGAAGTCATTGTCAGATCCAAAAGCTCCTGTTACTCAAGATAAAGAAGAATTCATTAGTATGATAGACATGTCATCATTAATTGCAAATACTATTAGAGCAAATGAAATATCTAGTAGATTTGAGAGTAAAATTCACCTTGGGTCATTTGTTGATGATATAACACCAGCAACAAAAGCGTTGTTGAGAAGTTTAATTCAATCTAGAATGTTGCTTCAAGAATCATATGGTGGATCCAGTAGTAATTATTCTTCTCAAATCGCTTCATTTTGGCTGAACATTAATTGTCTTCCTGACGTGTTCAATGAAATGGTGCAATTATTTTTTCAGACAGATGAGTCTTTCTCAACTCTTGCATACATTTCCTATATCAAAATGGTTTCCATGATAATTTATTATTTGGATCGTGTTCTTGATCATAAGGTCGATTTGACTAAAGTGCCATTTAAATTCGACGAAGAAGATGAAGCTGCAGTAATACTTGCAGTAGAGACATTATGCTTCACCCACGAAGGAGACCTCGCAAGTATGAGAGAACCCTCAGAAGTATTCTTTGCCATTCAAAGATTGACCTTACCCTTGTTAAGACGTATGTGGATTTTTAAGTGCTTATTAACTTCCAAAGATAAAGGTGGTAATGTCTATGCACTAGAATCAGGATCTGAATCTTTTGATTTAGAATGTGAAGATAAGAATGAAACAGCCGATAGTTTATGTTCGGCAATTGGAATACCCAAATTAAGTACTTTATTAAGAGATATGTTTGAGCCTGAGAGAAGTTCCTTTGAGCATAGAATGTTCGATATGTTGTTTTCTGCTAAATTACCATTGAATAATATCCTTATAGATTACCCAGGTCTTGTTAAGTTGGTAGACCTACCATCTGATTACGGTGAATGTATTGTTAATTATGTTACTAGTCATCATTTTGCTGGTCCGTCAGTTTGCTTACATTGCAATCTGACTACTAGTGTCCGTGATTCTCATTCGAAGACTTGTGTGAACGAAACTCCTATTTTCTTCGAACCTAATTCGAATACTTATATAGTCAATATTGATATTGGAGTTACATGTTCCGAAAGGTTGCCTGGTCATTATTTAACCAAACATGGTGAGCAAAGGAAACAGAGATCAACTGAAAAGGCATTTCTTCATAGGGGAAGATATACTCAACTCAACAAAATGTGGCTTACCCAAGAAGTCCATGAATTGATAACTAGAAGAATTTTCGGTTTGACCAGAAGACCGACTACTTTGGCAAATGATATGGCTCGATTTACAAATCTTGAAGACATGCTCGAAATAAATCAAGATGAAGAAGACTCTGAATTTGTCCCGTCGGAGGATGAAATAGAAGATGGGTTTATGTTTTAAAATTCTGTAACAAAGTTTCTTTTATATAGCTACATGTTTATTCAATTAATCATCAATTTCAATGCATTTCTAAATATAAGTCTTACTAAAAAGTGCCATCAAAGAGTATCCCAGCCACCTGCATCCATTACACTATCCAACTTACGCACAATGTAATTAGATACATTATGCTGGAGCCATACTTTTCGTATGAATTCATCATATCTTGGTTTCATAAGATAAAGCGTTTTGCCTTTTTTCGACTCACCAGGTAATTCACCATGCTGGTCCAAATATGGAGCTTCATAAAAAGAACCGCCGTTTTTATGTAGTAATAAAATACTTCTATCTTTAGGCAACAAAAAAATACCCACATCATTGGAACATTCTTTTAGAAAATGAGTGGTGCACTGACCTTCTTTGCAGCCAATAGCCGATTTTTGCACATCCACAACTTGGCTGCAAAATAAACAAATGGCCGGATCTTCAATAGTCATATTAGGGTTATTATACTTATCCGAGTAATAGTACTTAGTAAAGAAGAAATCAAGGCGCTCAGGCAAATCAGTGAGCTTCACTATCCCAGGATATTCTAAGGATTTTCTCACATCTGTATCTTCTGAAAAGGTCCTTTGAGGCAAGGTGAATATATGCTCAACAAAATTAGTAAAAAGCTTAGCTTCGAAGGGAGTAGAATTATCAATATTAGACATCTTGCGCATAATTTCTGACAATGAATCGATATTCAACAAAGCACACAATTTATCTGATTCAAAATTCATGTGTGAGAATTTTCCAAAATCGATTGTATCCATTTGGGCGCAGGCAACATAAGCAAAAATGGCTGCTCGCCTCAAAAATGGTGTAACCGATTTAAGTAGCATTGAATAGATAGCATAACCAAACTTTGGATCATTAATTACCGCAGACTCATCGGAAGTAACATCACGTTGTATAAGTTTTCCGAATAGTTTTACAGCGAGCGACGCATCATCTCCAGTAATATGGCTTGAAAATGGGATATCAAGGATTGTGTAATCCTGGTTCACGTAAAAATCGTGCTTCTTGATTTCAGTTGAAATAATATACAATGATTGCATCATATGACCAACAAAGCAAGTCTTTAGAATATTATGAAACAGAAAACCAGATCTTGGAAGTGGGAACGTGTTCACTAAGAGCTCGAAAAAGTCACGCTCAAGGACCGAAGAAGAGAAGGAAGAGGGGGATAACGTTAATAGACCAGCCAACATTTTAACATGAGCATCTGCTTTCGGGTTTGCAGCCTGAATCCAGTTATTAATTTTCATCAATAAGCTCGTATTCCTGAACTCATTCAAAGTACGTAAGTTAACCAATGTATTGTTCGAAAGCTGCCCAAGAATGAGAGTTTCAGGTGCATCTATACCCCTTAGGCTAAGCTCAGCAGACTTGATGCTATTCACAAGCACATGGACAGAGTCAGCTTTGAAAATTTGAGGGAATGTCAAAAGGGAAAGAATCTGAAACATATTAGAAAGTAACATTCGAAAGTGTTGTTGGTTGACTGTTGCATTGGCAGTGGAGCTCGAGCCTATCATTTCAACAGCAGATGGTGATAAAATGTTCGCTTCTTGGATATCTAAATTGGAAGCTTCAGTGAACTTTTTTACCCAGTCGGGGTCATGAATATCAGATTTTTTGAAAGTTTCAAGGGGGTTGAATTTAATAGACAGATAAGGACTAACAAATTGCTTGAGAGATTTATTATTATTAAACCAAAGGATAGGGATAAACATATTATTGATAGCTTTACATAATGGACAAAGAAACTCCCTATGTTCGATATTTTCTGGGGAATTCCGAGTTATTTGACCCAGTGGGCTCCTATTGCTATTAACAAAATTAATATAGCATTGAAAGTGCATACCATGTCCACATGTCAGCGATACCAACTTATTATCAACATTATTGTGATGAAAAAAACCAGGTCCGACGACATTATTTTCCCTTATTTTATGCATATATGATAGCCATGAGGAGCTGTGATGTTCAGAAGACATACAATCTTCACTCTTGTCTAAATTTGATGGGTCAGAAAAGGATTTCAAAAACCAGTATTTGTCATCAAATGGAATGTCCCGAAACTCAGACGACTTCGATATATAAGTAATGATACCAAATGGGCCTGACTCCTCGGAGGCATTTTGACATAATATACAGTGGGCTTCTGGAAATTTCCAACCAACTTCTTCTTCAAAGTCTTCCATTTCAGTATCGCTGTAGTCAAGATCCTGTCCTGCATTGTTATTTTTCAAGAAAGAGCTTTGCTGTTTCTTAAATTTAGCCATCAATTTTGCTTGTCTTTCCTTGGCTATTCTCTTTTTACATTCAAATTCATTCTCTAAGTTTGAATCAGAAGTATTAAATTCTAGTTTAACTAAATCGAAACTTTCAATTTGGTCTTCTAAAATATCAGCAATATTGTGATACTTGCTTTCAAAAACTTTGAAAATCGAGCGAACTTTTGAATGGTGATTAGAAAATGCCTCATTTACCAAGACTTCGTAAAATAACTTAGCTATAGAAGTACCCTCAGAATTCCAAACAGTCACAAATTTCTCGTAAAATGTTCCATACTTTTTATAATCAACTAATTGCTCCAAGGAGCAGATATGAATCAAATGTAATATAGTCTCCAATAAACCATCCATTTTATCCACTCCCTCATTAAAAACAAATTTTAAGGTTTTGAGAAGAAAGAGGGAAAAGTACTCAGAAGTTGAAAAGTTACCAATATGTTTGTAGATTCCCAATTCCTCTGGCTTACTTTCCTTTGGTGTGATTACCACTTCTGGAGTAGGTATCCGACTCTTCTTGTTAATTCTTTCTTTAACAAATTTTATTGCATCATCTTTGGTATTAGCTGTGTAGTTGAAATAATAGGGGTTTACTTGGTCAAGATATTCTTCTTTCAAACGGTATACACCTGTATCTTTCAGTCCAGTAGGAGGTGAAAAAACTGACATGTCTTCTAAAATCAAATCAAATCTTTTCTCGCTAGTAATATGATCAGGAATATGCGAACTGAGTTTTGAATAGTTGATTGGACCAAAGCATAAACTATGTATGATTTCGTTTCTGATCCGAAGCTCATTCATTTCCTCGTTTGAATATCCTTTCAAATAGAGGTCTTCAGTTAATAAATGAATGAAAAAGTTGAGACATTCTTCCACCATATAAGGAAATGTATTTTGGTCATAAGCAAGAGATGATTCAGCAAGTTCTCCGGATGATGTATTTGTGGAAATCCATCCATCGTAAAGAAGCCATCTATTGAATAAAAAATAGCAAAACGTATCTGGGTTATAGCAATTGACAAATATCTGTAAAAGAAACAAGTCCCTGAGGTAACCACTTTCTCGAAGTCCTGTGTTTCGGTACAATTGTAATTGCGTTCTAACACTAAATCCATTTCTGACCCAAAAGCCCGATTTAATTTGTGACATAAGAACGATAGTTCGGATTGGGTATTCGAAAATTGTTGTTAGAGTATCACTTTTGAGATCTGATTTAGAAGGATTTGAACGTGCAGACTGATGTAACACCTTCTTCAAATCATCTATGGATTCAAAGTTAGAGAGTTCAATCAACCAAGATAAGAAAGAATGAATAGGGTGGAGAAAGCTTACTTTCCCCTTGTCAATCCTATAGTCTCGTATTGCAGTTTTATGTTTAGGTTCTGTGATAACCTTTGTTTCTCCACTCAAGTCTATATCAACACACTCATCCAGTAAGCAAGGGTACTCGTTTAATTCTAGTCTTAGCAAAAATTGAATCACGTAATTTATGGCGTTTGAAGATAATGTTATCCTTGGCGAGTTATCCTTGACACCATTGAGGCACTGAGCGATGTATTCTCCGAATTGATATATGACCAGTATCGCGTGGAAAAAAGCAGTATAATCGGGGCTTTCATATTCGACATGATTTTTACTCTCTCTGCGTAAGACAGGCCTACCTTGAAATAATGCCAATATATCACAAGCCATCGGAATAATATTACACGAAAGAATCTTATGTGAGTCACAGCTTCGACTTAGAATATAACCAATATCAAAAAAGATTTGACCCCATCTTCTATTTTTGAGGCTCATCATGTCGATTTCATGAGATACATCAACCGTACAAGGTGCTTCAATTCGTCCGGTTGATAAAAAGCCATAAATAGAGGCAAAAATTCTCGATATATCACCATGTTGAATAATAGAGGTTGAATTTGATGGGCAAGTAAATAATTGTGTCGATAGAGTTGACATAATATTTAGTTCTGGTTCTCTATCGAGGGTTAGAAACATGTCAGCTATTGTTGGATATATATCAACATATTGACAGCAAATAATTTTTTTATATTTTAGGTTTGTAATCAACGAAGTAGAATACATATCATGTATGACTATTCTAATAGATTTCCAAAATCGAATATCAAAGTAAACTAAATATTGAAATCTGGAGCCATGGTGACTTGTGAAAAGATCATAATCTTCGTCAGTGGTGTTGTAGTCACAATCCTCACATAAGGATTCAGGTAGATTCCAACGAGAGGGACTAAAATACCAATGTGAACCAGAAGGATTTTGTCCATTTATGGACCGAATTTTAGGAATATCAAAGTTAGAATCGAGTTTACCCAGTGAGTATTGTGATTTGGGGAATGAATTGTTGAAAGATCTAATACCTTTATTCCATTTACCACAAAATGCTTTACAAAATAAATTTTTTGCATTATTATTAATTTTAAACAATTCACTTTCAGTAAAGTCTTTTATGAATAGAAGGATTTCATCACACATTTCTTCTCGGAAGATATCTCTATGGCTTCGAATACATGAGGCCAAACCAGTTGAGCTTATTATTTGACGTCTTTCTTCCAAAAGTGACAAGTCACTTGAGCTTATAACTTTAGCTTTACCAAAAGACTGGACTTTTTCAGCAACCATTACGGCAAAAGGAGTAACTTTTTTACTTGCTAAATGAATTCTTTGAACAGCATCCCTAAAGTGTCTTATTTGATCATTATAAACCACTAGAAAGTACTTATCGCTGTTTGGGTCTTTGGCAGCATCATTTGAGTAACCATATTTAGTGGGATCTAGAGAACATGCGTCGGAAAAATCTTTAAGGGAAGTGACAGAATGATGATCGGGATAAAGCTGTAAGTCGGCATGACTCATGACATCAATTATATAATCAAGAAGGATTTCAATCGTTGATAAGAAAGATTTTTCAAATTCCAAAGGCATTGGTTTATTACGTAATTTCAAATCTTGATCATCGGCAGAAGCATAAGGACAAGTGAAATCATTGACCCAAGCTTCAGGGTCACCACAATCACAAACACCTCCATTTTCTCTTTGACAAATGGTGATATGAACTTTATGACCTTCATGGAATTCAGGTTGATAACAATGAGAGCAGAGTGCACAAGTATCGTCGTAACCACAAGTCAAACATCTATAAATTGGCTCACCTTTTCTGAATATCCTGCTACAAGGCAGGTTAGAATGAAATGCATGATGATCGTAACTATTATACTTTGGGTCTCTTATTTGGATGTTTTTCTTATAATATTTACTGAATAGCCAATCAAACTCTTTATCAATTTTCTCTGCTACTAATTCATTTTGCTGATTCGGGAAATGATTGGTAAAAGATTTGGGATATAGCCAATCCAAATAACACCCACCACTAGATATGGATAAGAATATAGATCTTCTTATATCTTTTCTTACTGATTGATCAAATTTAAAGTTTGACTTGGAGGGGAGATCAAGAAGATATCTTCGAAGAGAATCAGCGCTCGTCCATTCTGACATCATCAAAGTATACTCAAACCAAAAGCACAGTTATAAACTATTCAATAACAGTATTTGAGGTTGGTCTCGATTAGAATTGATCGTACTTATAAGTAAATAACTATATTTCGCCGCCACCGCCGCTGCCGCCACCAATCTCTATGTTTTCTTCTTTCGCTTTCACATCTTCGCGAACTCGCTCATCCATCATCAAGAGGTACGGGTCCATCATCATCCTCCGGCAGAATATTTCGAATGGAGTTACTTCCACTGCTGATAACCGCAGTTTCTTTATTGACCAAGGCTGGAGTCTAGATACAATTGTGGAGTGAACGATGAGTGAAAGTGAAGTCATATACTACTTGCCCAGTATCGAATCCAACAAGAAGAAGCTTCAGCATATCCACGATGTGATGTCGTTGGCCTTGGGGGTAGGTGCTGGGGTGCTAACCTTGGAATCATTATACGGTTTTTTATTCTATGTGGTTGGGTTAAGCATATCCAATGCTGCCTTTTTCGTAATATGCTGTCGGAGTGAACCATCTAGGTTTTTCGGTAGCCCTTTGCAAGATATTTTCATTTCGAGTTTGGTTGGAAATGTTGCGGGATACGTCATGATGTGGTGTATGGTTTATGCTCTAGTTAAATAGACTTGCCCAAACCGTAGTGGGATATGTATATTAGTTAAATAGTTTTAATGGAATGGCTTGAATCAAAGTGTCGGTGACTCGAAGCAATGGATTAACGTCGATGATTTGGCCCAAAATGGCTTAAATCGATGATTTCCTAAACCTTGTTGTAGTAATCTCTACTAATTTTTGAACCACTTACAAATAGCACGAATGAGGCGTTCAATGAGCCAATTGACCAACTCAACAGTCGCCAGAAGGTATACCTCTGATAATAAGAATGGTCATTTTTCAGTGACTACTACAGAATAACAGCGAGGCAAACGCACGGAAGAGAAAAACACATTTCGTATATTCGCATTGAAATTCCTTTTGAACAAACTGCTTAAATCAAAAGAAGCTTGCTTTTCCAACAACTTCATCGGTTAACAATATCAATTGATCGAATATATTATAAGGATTGAGGTGAAATCATGGAGAAAATCGATTTATTTACCAACTCAAGGTCTGTTCAAGGTGCATATGACAAGATTGTAAGAGGTGAACCATCAACGACATACGTTGTGTATTCAGTTGATAAAAACGGTGCTTTGGAAGTTACTGAAACCGGAGATGGTTCTTTAGAAGAGTTTGTGGAGAACTTCGATGATGGGAAGATTCAATTTGGTTTATGCAGGGTTACTGTTCCTGGTTCCGATGTTTCCAAAATATTATCATTAGGTTGGTGTCCTGATAATGCTCCTTCTAAATCTCGTTTATCATTTGCTTCTAATTTCGCTGAAGTATCGAAAGTATTGAGTGGATATCATATCCAGATTACTGCTAGGGATCAAGACGACTTGGACGTTGATGATTTCTTACAAAGAGTCGGTGCTGCCCTGGGTGCCAGATACTCTATTCAAACTGCTGGTGGGGCAACATTTAGTAAAAAACCTGCTCCTGTCAAACCAATACAATCTAAACAGCTGAGTGCTTCTGCTTCAAAGCCTTCATTCATTCCAAAATCTACCGGGAAACCAATTGTTCCAAAACCTTTTGGTCTTGGATCGAATTCAAAACCTTCCCAAGATGATGACGATGAATGGGGTGGTGAAAAGGAAATCGAGGAAAGAGACTTGACTCAAAAACCATTGGAAAATGTTCCTTCGGCTTACAAACCAACTAAAGTTGATATCAACGAATTAAGAAAACAAAAATCCGATACCGTTTCCTCGAAAGCAAAACCTTCTATCCCCAAAGATGAACCTGTTTCAAAGCCCGAACCAGAAGTAGACTCCGAACCAAAATCTATGGCTGATAGAATGAAGAATTATAAGTCCAATGACTCTCCTTCCTCAATTGGAGGGTCTGATGGTAGATTGACTTCATTACCAAAGCCCAAAGTAAACAATTCAGTTGCATCTCGTTTCACTGCTGCTGCTAACTCTGAGTCATCTGGTGCACCAGCTTTTGGTGCTAAACCAAACTTTGGCAATCAAAACTCTTCTAAAAAAGATGTTGTTGGTGGTGCTTCCAGAAATTTTGCCAATCTGGGTGGTAAGAGTCCTGCTCAACTTTGGGCTGAAAAGAGAGGCCAATATAAAACAGTTGAGTCGGAAGATGAACCAGTTAAGCCTACTACGTCTGGAAGTAACGAATTAGCTGAAAAATTCAACAAATTGAATGTTGATAAAGAAGAGGAAGAAGAAGAAGAAGAAGAAGAAGAAGAAGAAGAACCTGCTCCTGCCCCTACTCCTTCGTTACCTGCTCGTAACTTGCCTCCTCCTCCTGTAAGACAAGTTCCTGCTTCACCACCTGCACAAGAGCATGAAGAGGAAGAAGAGGAAGAGGAAGAAAAGACACCAGCTGCTCCTTCATTACCAACCCGTAACTTACCCCCTCCTCCAGTTAGACAAGTTCCTGCTGCTCCAGCAGAGCCAGAAGAAGAAGACGAAGAAGAAGACGAAGACGAACCGATCCCAGCACCAGCCGCTCCTTCGTTACCTTCTAGATCTACTGCTGCACCAGAAAAAACCGGTGAAACTGCAATTGCAGAATACGACTATGAAAAAGATGAAGATAATGAAATTGGATTTGCAGAAGGTGACTTGATCATTGATATCGAATTTGTTGACGAAGATTGGTGGTCCGGTAAGCATTCTGCTTCTGGAGAGGTCGGTTTATTCCCTGCTTCTTACGTTTCATTACAAAAAGGAGAATCGACTACTTCTAATACTAGTGCTGCTGCTCCTCCTGCACCATCTTCTGCACCAACTGAATCTTCTGGTCAATCTGGACCACAAGCAATTGCCGAATATGATTATGAAAAAGATGAAGACAACGAAATTGGATTTGCAGAAGGTGATATAATCATCGATATCGAGTTTGTTGATGAGGATTGGTGGTCTGGTAAACACTCCAAATCTGGGGAAATTGGTTTATTCCCAGCAAACTACGTCAAATTGAACAATTAAGCAGACAATTTTATCTCTGGCCGCTACATCATCTCGATGTAGAAAAATATATACTTTTCTTGCTTTTATTTTTATTTAGACAAAAAAAAAAACAAATTCTTCAATGTATGATTTATATTAATAGATTTTATAAGATAGAGAAGTAAGCGAAAAGATAAACTCACTAAGACTGGAGGTAATCTTTAACAGCCGTACCCCAGTAGTGTCTATTTTTATAGAAGGCCAAATTTTCAGGTAGATTATCTATGGCAAAGGCCAAATCTTTACCCAAACCTTCACTTTTTATTTGATACATAGGAGTCAAATATGTTCTAACCAGGAAAATGATTGCTCTTGAGTTTGGCAATCTGGAGAAAATTTGTCTTTCAGACCTAGTGAAAGAGGAGTGATCCCAATCAACTTCCTCCATTGACAAAGGAGGCTTAACTTCTTCTGGTCTACCGTGATTTTCTTTCAAAGAAAAGAGGTTCGGATGCATTTGAATTGACCAGTTAACTCTCATCCATAAGTCTTTTGGTTCTAATCTATTGAAGAATCGATGCATTCCCAATTTCAATCTGCTTTGATAATCGGGAACCGGTCCATGGATAGATGAAATTGGTTTATTGAACCCTTTCGAAGGGTCAAATCCCAGAGGGTGAGCAAAAATGCCCGCTTTTTCAATATACTCTTCATCGTGATCATCAGGGTTATTTTTCAAGAGAAATAAGAAATCTTCTTCGAGGTTTTCAGTAATGTGTTTCAACAACGTTCTTGGGGCAATGTCAGAAGCGTATCTTGGGAAGGTTTCGCCATTGATAGTGTTATATATTTTGGAATCATCTAAAGGGCTGATAGTGAAAATCTGCGGATAACGTGAACACATAAAGTCCATGATTGTATTATAACCCTCTCTAACAGCAAGGGCAACACGGGGATTGTCATCTTCGCAATAGAGGGTTTTATCACCATGGTTTTTGATTATCTCTTTACGCTCAACTACTCTGTCAAGATAAGTGTCTTCAATTAATAACCAATTCTGGAACTGGTCAGCTATGTTCTGAATTCCCATTTGAACCTTAAAGTTTTTCTTACCAACATAAGGTCGATACGCAATTGGAGTTGCTTCCTTCCAATTAAATTCTGCTGGAACTGGAGTAACTAGAGTCTTTCCACCCTTGTTTTCGAAAGGAATCTTACTATTTTTAAGTTTTGACTCAATGATTTTCAATCCAATAAAGATCCCCAAGCCAATCAAGGCTATTAGACCGAGTTGTTTAGTTAGTTCTTGCATTGTTGAAGAAGATAATTCAAGACAGACCCTTGTTAAAGAACATGGGATGAATCTTTTATAATGCCATATTCCGTCCTCAAGCGATTTTTGCAGTTGGCTTTGATAAGAAGACCGACTAAAACGGTAGTAGCGCCCGCGCAAAGAAGAGGAAATTACCCGCTAGCACCAAAACGATTGCAAATTTTGGAGCCAAACGGGAGAAAAACCCATACCGCTGACCGGCAACCCAAATTGGAAGTTACATGGCTACAGTTTAAATCGAAATGCCAAATATCAAATAAACCAAAAGAAGTAAAGCTAAACAATCATATCATTCATTAATAACGAACTAAAGCTAGTGAGTTCGATTCTCTCCACATTTGGAAAGTTACGCATTATACAGTGTAGTGGGTAGACTTTTTCGCCAGCCAATTGGATGTCGTCAATAAAGATGCCTCGAATTCTATCCACCATAAAGTTAATTTTCTTCAAGATATCATTAGCAATGGTGACCATGGTGTTGAAGAGATTAGCGTCGTTAAGTAGGTCGGTTGGGGTGGTATTTGAAGTGAAAGAAATAGTTGAATCAAAGTAAAAATAAGCATTTGATAAATTTTGATGATTTGAGTTATTTGCAACTTGAATTGAGTAGTCAATCAAGTCAGACAAAATATCTTGAATGAATTCAACTCCGTTGAAAAACATAAACACAACTTTCCCTTTGAATTTAATTTCGTCAATATCTGGATGGTGATTATTTGAATCATTTGAGACTAACTTACTATTCTTAGTAGTGTGTTGCTTTAAGAAATCCAATAACTCTTTGAAATTATCAAGGTACGTAAAATTTGAATGGAGAGGAATTTCATTATTAGTTTTCTCGTTGATTTCAATCAATTTAGACTCGATTTGTTCGATAGTACCGTTGGTAACAATAGCGACATCGTATTCCGATGTTGGGACGCAGGTGTATCTTTGAATCATTGTAATAATAAAAATATTAATAATGCAACTGAAGAATTATCGCAAGCGAAATGCTAAAACTAATCTAATTTTACGATCGAGATAAGGATCTTGCAGCCAAATAAGAATCAGTGAAGGGCAATTTGAATTTGAAGGAATAGAAAAATGATGCTTTAAGAGAAAACTATTGGTCTGTGATAAGAATTGGTTTGATATATATACTATTTATTTCTGGGGGTTAAAGGGCAAAAACTGAGCAGAATAGTGGGGATTCTGGTAAAATGCCTTACAAGACGGCCCGGGGGCCCATTTTTCAACTCCAACGCTACTCGTGTTTCTCAATGCATGCTTGATGGGTTGATGATGTCTTTGTTTTGTTTGATCTTCTTGACGTATGCAGAGTTAAAGCTGTCCAATGGTGGTATATAGTCTTTGTGGGGTAATGGGTTCCGAAAAAACTACCATTTTCCTCTTAGAGGGTAACTACAAATGAAGGGCCACGCGAATGTACAAGTAGTGTTTAATACGAATTAGTAGAAGTGAAATGAATTATACAAAAAGTTGAAAAGAACCCGGGTAGAATTGAAAGAGAAAGAAGAAAAGTACAAAAGGGGCAACGGACAAGTATCGCAATCAATTCACAAACAGTAAATGTACGTTTTGAATTCAAAATTGGATAGTGCTGTCGGTAGAGTTTGAATCATTGGAATGCGAATTTGATTCTTGTGCTTCTTCTGAAGGTCCAAGATGAGGTTCGTCTTCTTCTTCACTATTATAGGAAGGGGGTTTATTTGGAGGCAATAAACTATTGAGAGTAATTCGTTCATCATTGGAGTTAACTTCGCTATAGGCATTATAACTAAATTTATCATGAGCTAATAGACCACTGCTATCGTTATCATCATCGTATTCATCATTATTTGAGTCCAGTGGATGAATTTCCCAAAAATTAGGGGGGAAGTCATCTTCTCTTTCCAGTAGATCGTTATTTTCATCATCGATTTCCAGTCGTTCTAATAAAATATCGGAATTAAACTTATTATAGGCTGGAGGTGCTGGCCCATTACCTTCTAAAGGAGCAAACCCCCATTTTTTAACGTTCCCTTCGATGAAAACATAACCCATTTGACCTAGATTAACATGGATTGAACATAAGTTATTAGCACCAATGATTGGATATATTTGGCCATGATTTGGGATTTTAAAATTCTTGATATGACCTCCTAATTTCAGTTCACTAACCTTTTTACCATTTCTTGTGAAAAAAACCGTTCCACTTCTAACTCTGTAACCAACTCCAATAACATCACCTTCAATGAGCTTGGGGAAAGGGGGGTCAGTTTCAAACTTGAAAGGTTGGTTGAATCTTCTATACCCATTACTATCATAACTTATTGAATGATGATGTCTACCGGGTAATCTAAACCAAGGATACGGTTTAATTCCTAATCCAATAGATATTAAGGTATTAGTGTCATCTGGTAATGAATAGATTTTACTTTCAAAATAATAAACGTCGTTTTGCATGGGTATTGGTAAATTGGTAGTTACTGAACATTCAAATTTTTTGAAAAAATTGATTTCTGTTTTATTAAGAATCATGACATCGTTATTAGTTAGCATCGAATCTTTAATGAATTCCCATGCTTTAATTCCCTTTTCCTGAATACTTAAATTTTGTGAAAAAGTCAATTCATCTCTTAAGTATGGGTTATTTATTAAGTAATCTTTGCTTTGGAAAAATAGTTCTTGTTCTTCCAGATTTAATTCCATATATGCTTGATTTTCTTCTTCTCTTGCTAACTCATCCTCACTTAATCTAATTCGAGTTCTATAAATGAATATCAAACATAAACCAATAATAATCGTTAATATTGTGGTAACTCCAAATCCAATGAAAAAACTGGCTCGCTCACTTATCCCATTTGATGATCTTGGGGGATAAGGCTGATTCAAATTGGGATTCTTGGGCCCTTCTTCAGTTGGATCATCATCTATCAAAGAATATATTGGTAATGGGGTTGCTTGGGTCTTCAATACCGTTATCGAAAACCATAATGTATACGCTAGCAAATGCATCATCTCATGCACAAGTTTGAAAAACTGGAATATATGATGAACTCTTCTACTACTGTAAGCCTCCCTATGCAAATATATAAGAGGGAACTTAATGACAATCAAAAACGCAAACGATGAAAATACGAAAAGATCTCTTTTAGAAAAACAGTCTAGGGAAAGTAAATACAGCCTGCTTTTATGACGATATCTCTATTATTATCTGGCTTGTTATGAGTTGGTGTATCTGCTGTAGTCTAGAAAGCTGCTGTGTTTATGGAGTTGTTGTGTTTATGGAGTTGTTGTGTTTATGGAGTTGTTGTTTCAAAAAGCTTTGATTAATTTCAAGTCACAGTTTTTTCTTTTATCTTTTGGTTTCCCTTAATTAAAGTGGCTGATCTTTCCATCTCCCCATACTAAAAGTTTTCTCAAAAACACTCCGCTTATGTAATGGCTATCTTTTTGCCCTTCCCCTTTTGTGTCATTTGGTCTCTACTTTCTGATTATGTAATGCTTAGGTAATGATTATGTAATGATTATGTAATGATTATATAAGAGTTGGGTGGTATGGTTGGCGCACTACGTTACTTTAAGCCTGCTGCAAAAGCCCATTTACCGGGACTTGGGGTGATTGAATGGTATATTAATGGGTTGGCTATAGGTTTGCTTATACGTATGGTGCTGTGTTAATGGTACTCAGAGTGAGCAGGTGCCTGGCCGTGGGCTGAACCTGCTGAAAGTAGATAAGCGGTGACATATCACATTCCTGGAGTTGTCAAGACGTCTGGCTGATTTGATATTTCAACATTTTCACTGGCCCATACGCTTTCAAAATAATTTTTCAACATTCAGTGGGCTAGATGGCACACGGTGGGCCCATGTTTCTCTCCCAGCAATAATGAGGGTAATTTCGGTGTGCATCAATCCATTCTTCACAATACGGTCATAATGCTTTCTTGATGGTTTATTGAAATACCTTTTTCTTGAAGCCGTCAGGTTGCAAGTACTCAATTACAAGCTATACGCATTGGATACCCTCAAGTTGGAATACTTTCCCTTTTGAGTTGCAACAGCCAGCATTCTTGATCGCAAAACGATTTTCGCAATTTTGCGACCTCCAATCTCTTTTTTTCAACCAATTTAGCCAGCCCTTTCATTTCACGTTGTGCATTTCAATTATGCTTAATTTCATTTTTTGATTTATCGATGGTTTGATCCGTTTAGTTTCATTATCTTGTTCATCTTTCCGTGCTTTGTGTTTCGTATTTCCGTCCCTTCAAGTACTATCATTAGCGTGTGATTGAGCTTCCTTTATGCATAAGACAAAGTAGTTATATTGTTTTAATCTCGAATCTTCACCAAAGAGTACTTTGTCTAGCCAACTTCTCCTTCAGCGAGCTTACAATGACAGATTGCCCTTAGGTATGTAGTTCGATACTCCTCTATCACGGATCGGTTGGGTATTCAATATCCTGCTTGATTCGTCAAAGAAGCAGCACACTTGGTTAATTTTAGAAGTCTTATATCGCCTCCATTGGAGTATCTTTTGATTATAAAACATGAATCACATCCAATAAATTTTGGTAATTTTTCAATCAAATAACGAAAAAGATTAATAATTTGCATTTAAATGAACATTTTTGCATATATACTAATAGCATCATTTTATCTCCAGCTAACTCAATGTACTGCTACTTGTAACCCACTCAAGGAATCAAACTGTCCGGCGGATCCCGCGCTTGGTAAGTCTATAAGTGATAAGTTCCACTCAAAGTCGGACTATTTTAAAGAAATTAGCTCAGGTGGGGTTTCATATACTGATGACGGTTTAAAATTAAGCTTGAAAAACAAAGGAGATAATCCAACTTTGAAATCAGATTTTTATATAATGTTTGGTAGAATCGAAGTCGTTATGAAAGCTGCAGTAGGAAATGGAATAATTTCTTCTTTTTATCTTCAGAGTGATGATTTAGATGAAATAGATATTGAATTATTTGGTGGTAATGGATACCAATTTGCATCAAACTATTTTTCCAAAGGTGACACTAGCACTTTTAACAGAGGTGAATATCATTCGACTGGTTCGAATCCTTTGGAAAACTTTCACACTTATACTTTAGATTGGACTAAAAATGGTTTGGTTTGGGCCATTGATGGTAAAGTGGTTAGAGCTTTATTGCCTAATGCAAAACAAGGTTATCCCCAACTGCCTATGTATATTATGATGGGATTATGGGCTGGTGGTGATAAATCTAACCCTGAGGGTACTATAAAATGGGCCGGTGGCCTAACTGATTACGATGATGCTCCATTCAATATGTACATAAGATCAATCATTGTATGTGATTACTCCACTGGTGATGAGTATTCATATGATGATAAACTGGGTAAAATGGAAAGTATAAAAGCTAAAAACGGTGAGATTTATGGTCGTCATTCCCAAGCCAAAAAAGATTATTTCAAATTAGAAAAAAAAGTAGGAACCACTTTCACTGTTTCAGATACTGGTGATAGTGAAGATTCCACTCCTACAACTAAGAACGCCGCTACCACTACAAAATATCAACCCACAACAATTACTCAAACTGTCACAACAAGAGTTACTGATAATGCTGGTAATTACGTGACGGTTACAACTGAAATCGCGGGCACAACTGATAATACTGGTTCTTCTCCAACTTCAAAATCTTATAATAATGGGTTGTGGACAGAAGATGGTGATTCTTATATTACCTCGCTGATTGACTCCAACGAACAAGCATCCTTTTCTTATAGTTATAGTTATACAAATGGAATGATTGGACATAAAACAAGCTTCACCTCTCATCATGGTAGTGGTGCCTCTGGAGACTATAGTCTGTCTGACAATGGCTCTAATAAAAATGGTGTTCCCTTTATGGGTTTAATAATTCTTTTGGCTAACTTTGTTTTCTAAATCTCTTTTGCTTTATTTTAATCTTCAATGTATATTAGTTTCAACTTTTTTAAATTGTAGTTTCGAGGGATTTAGATTATTAGAAATGTATTGGAGCCCACCAAAAAGTCTAAGCATCCATTGCCAATATTCGTAAGTATTCATTGAAGGGGCTTGAAGAAGCTGCAAAAAAAATAAACGACCTCGGAGAGGCTCGAACTCTCGATCTTGAGATTAACAGTCTCACGCCTTAGCCAACTTGGCCACGAAGTCGCTTGTTGAAAAATATTTTTTGTGGTTTTTAATACCAGTGCACTTTTGCAAGGCTAAAAATTCGAAGGTAAAAAAAAGCGTTTCAGGACTTTCGACTATCGCAGAAGCAGGAGTCAGAAAGACTTCCTGCGTTACGCAGAAAGGCTGCGAAAAAATTGGTATCTTATTATATTTCGGCACTCAATCTATAAATTAAACTAAGTAGTTCCTCTGGGAACTCAACTCAACCAGCACCAACTATTTCTATCACATCACTTAATTCAACATGGGTTTTCTTGTCTAAACATAGTCTTTCCCACTCTAGGTATATATTAGTAAATAACTATTAAATATATATTCTTATAAGTCAAAAAAAAGCTATACAAATACAAATACAAATACAAATAAAAAATGCCTGCTACTCATATTGCCAGAACTTCTTTCCGTTCTTAGATTACCTGCATTGGCCGTCTGGGCCTCTGCTTTAGATTCTTAGGATGGCCTCATCTTGCTGCTGGTTTATCCAACAAGAGCCATCACGTTCCAAAAATTAACAAATCTTATATCTAATATCTACATAATACGACTTAAGATTACTTCAGTAAATAAACATTTAATATATTTAATACATTCAATAGTAAAAAAAAAAAATCGAGCTTTTTCTTACCCTATTGTATTACCTGAGTCGTGAGAAAACATATCAATCAACTATTTCTTTGTTTTGGGTGGTTGGGCACATTTTTAGCGAGGTAAAACAAAAGTATTTTCTCTATTCCGAGAGAATTATTTCAAGAATGCACTTAGCACTAACCCATTATAATATTGTGACTCCATGACTAAATTTTCTTCAAAAGTTTTATTATCTTGAGTTAAGTCATTGAATATTTGAAACTGAATTTTTTTGTGAATAAAGTTCAAAAAAAGAAAGACTCTAATTACAATAAAATAATACCGACTAATTTTACCCAACAATCTATATATGATTGAAACCGAAACGATAAGAACAGACAGATAAATACTAAACACTAGGGCCATCTTGTTATCAGTTATTTTTGGAGTGCTATAAAAAATTGTGTAAATTTACTGGGTAATTCACCAGGATTTCTCAAATTTAGTTGCAAATTCGGTAAAATTAATTACTTGAGAATATGTATCAATTCTATCAGCAATATTTTTAAATGTCAAGAGACAGCTTCTGGAGATGATCTACCGAAGTTACAAGGTAATGTGAAACTACGCGGCACCGGCCTTAGGTACAGAAGAAGTAAACTTAAAGATCAGTGGCCACTCAAAATTACCAACTTAAACAATTTTGTAACAGATTTTGTATTTCGTAACTTATATTAATAAATTTTGATCTAATATATATACATGAGAGCCAGCTTTAACGCGAAAACGACACCCAAGGGGATGGAAATATAATAGAGGTAAAAAAAAAAAGAAGAACTTAGAAAAGAAGCTAATGTGAAAAGAAAAAAATGAAGTAAATGAGAATTGTTGAACGTTAAATGTTTGTTGCTAAACTTAAAATACAGGTTGCCTTCATTAGAGCAAATAGAGTAATGACTCTGGGGATTTACTCAGAATTAGCTTGCATGTTATGCAGAGTGAGTGGATAGTAAAACTGGTTGGAGGAATTATTCTAAAGAACCAACTTCCTTAACAACTTCATCGAAACCTTCTCTATATTCATCGGTCTTATCAGCATTCTTCTTTGATTTTCCACCACCTGGAACAACAAAAACGCAAGATGTTGGTCTCTTAGTAGCACCTGCGGAACCCAAATCTTCTTTAGATGGAATGAAAACATATGGAACTGATGAATCTTCACATAAGACTGGAAGATGGGAAACAACATCAGGTGGTGAAATATCACCAGCAATGATAACCAAACCCTTTTCACCTTTTCTTAAAGCTTTGACAACTTCTTTAACACCTCTTTTGACATGTTTAGCTTTAGAGGCCTTTTTAACGGTTTTTAAAACTTTCTTGTTTAATTTTTTAGGAGCTAAAGGATGAGCAAATGGTAAAACAGCAGACATTCTTTTTTCATAGTTATCTTCGCCGACCTCTTCAGTCTTGCTAACTTTTTCTTTCTTAGCCATTTTTAATCTATATTTCAAATAGAGATGGAATGGAAATATTCTTGATGATCGAACTAATGTATAGAGAAAAAAAATTTCAATTCTGTAAGGAAGCGATGCCTGGCTCAGAGAAAAAAAAAAAAAAATCTCAGGAAAAGACAATAATTTGCCAATTAACACGCCCTCAATCTGATGGTATCAAAGATGGAGGGTAGAGCCAAAACAAGGACTAAATGTTTCCAATTGTAAGGTTTAAGCAGAAATATCGTTCAAATGTCATATCACAACTCATGGTCAAGCTACAGGCCCTCTAATTATCCGAGGAAAAGAGTTTATCATGAGAACCTGTCTTACGGAGTTCCCAATAAGCACTTTCTTTCTATAGAGAATGTCAATCCTGTTACTTACGAAAATCAGGTTGAAGATTCAAAAGTATTGAATAGTATCAAGAGGTTCAATGCAAAGAACAAACCGGAGGTCAGTAAAAGAAATAGCAATATATCTATGATTGTTGCTGAGATCGAGGCAAACTATTTCGAGGAAAATTTCCAAAAGTATCTTGATGAACTCAGGGAATCCTTTCAGATTAGCGACTTGATAATATCAAGAGAATCATATAATATTGCTGATAAGCTTATAACTGTTTACGGAGACATAGAGTCAGTCTCAAAAGCAGCTTTATACATAACCTTTGTACTAAACAGTAAGTTGAATAATGTTATCAATAGTGACTTGTATACGTTGAAATCAGGTAATTATTCTGCATATTTTCTAACTCAACTGGATAAACTAAGTCTTGCACTCCAGTCAAGTGGAATATATAATTTTGATGTTGCGCATGGCTTTAGCGGATTAGAGTCATTTCACGTAATACTGGTGAAGTCAGATTTCAATTCAATATTCAATTTTCTCGTACATCTTCAGGAAAATACCAAAGAGAGTGATCATGACTACATAAATGATTTAAAGGATGTACATACAGTAAGTCTAGATCAGAATGCTTCAGGCTTATATAAACAACCGGAAGACAGAAAGCAAAATTTCCAGACACAGGCAAAAAAGGCTTTGAGATATGTTTATCCTGAATCATTTTCTACATCCTAAGAGCATTTTACAATGTATAATACATATTTTATGACATAATACGAACTAAAAATTATTTTTATTTTTAAGAAGTACAGTAAGTTGAGTAGATACTTTCTCTAGTTAATAGGACTTTAAATGAAGAATTTAAACTTTAGTGACTGGTGCCTTCTTTGTTTTACGAGAGATAGAAGCAACTCTATCACCCAAAGACAAAGCCAAACCTTGACCCTTAGATCTAATTCTAACATGACCGATGATAGGGCCATTCGTTTGTTTTTCAATACATAAATTGGCCAATGCATCTTCTCCAAATGATGAGCGAGAATATAAGTTTGCAGATAAAAATTGACATTCTTCACCAATAATGGCCCCAGGCGTTAAACAGTTCATGTTTGTACCTTTCATGAGCTCGTCAAGGTATTCTTTCAAAGAATCCATTTGTGATTTAATAGTTATCTTGTTTTCCCATTCGAATTCATTCCACATCTTACGGAACGAGCTTTCGGTACAAGTGGCTGGTTTAATATAATCCATGATGTCAACATGAACATCGTTTAGTATAACAATAGTTGATTCATCTGAATGCTGACCATCATAAACGATATTACCAAAGATAACACCAGTATCCGCTGAAGTAACTTTGATAGTAGTTTGAATTTTATAGAATCCATGTGGACCAATGTTGGCTGTGGCAGGTTTATCAACAACTTTCAAATCACCCAATGTAGCAAATTCAACGGATAAGTTACGCAAAGTATTGGTTGTTTGATTTACCAATAAAACGTCCAACACAACATCGTATTGATGAACCTTAACAAAGGCTTCAGCATATATAGGGTCTGAAAAACCAGTCAATTGTAAGATTCTCTTTAATTTGGATGATAAATCTTCTTTCTTCAAGTCACTTCCGGCAGCTAAAGTAACATCATCGACAGCTGCTTTGCCCAGACCAGAACCGTCTTTATCAAATTGCCTGAAAACTATGGAATCGTCAACTTGTTCAGCATTGTCATGGAAATCTTTAGCTTCTGCTCTTGCTTTATTGCTTTCTTCAGTTTCAATTTGTGCTTTGAATGCATCTTTAGTATCATCTAAGAAACCACTTTCAATCAATTCAACATCTTCATCATTAGTTAAAAATTTGATACAACTGAAAATCCTATCAGCAGAATCCTCATCAATTTTCTTGCTAACAAACGACGATTCACCAACGCGTAAAATGGAAACCATAATTAACAATGCTTCTGCTTTCAAAGCATTGAGAATCTTTTCTTGGGTTTTAATACGATGTAATCTTAAAACAAGCTTAACTAAGGTAGAAGCCAAAACAGAACCTAAGTAAAAATCACCGGCTAATACAAGCTTACGGATTGTGAAAGAATCATCGTCATCATTTTCAGTAGAAACCTCTGCGGTAAAAGCATTTTCAGTAGCGTAAGTTCCATCTGGTAAAACCACAGGACCCTTCTTAACATTCTTAGAGTCATGTAAATCATCGCTTTCACCAGAAGCATCCTTTTTATTTTCCAAAGCCCTTTTTTCACTAGTTAAAATTGGGACCTCACCAATGCTAGATCTAATAAATTTCCATGCATCTTGAACTAATTTTTCCTCTAAGGAATATTCACCAATAATCCATAAGGAGCCACGGAATACTTTACCACTTTTGATAGATGGAAGAGTTTGAATTAAACGGGACAAAATTGGTTGTCTTAAATCTGGGAATTTTTCAACAACTTCCTTAACGAAAGTGATAACATCGTAAGCGGCAGATGTATTCAAGTCAGTAATAGATTCTAATAATAAGTCAATTACGTTAGCTGCAACCTCGACGAATTTGATAGCTAATTGATGAATAGCATTAATCAATAATTGTCTATATTCAGAATTTTTATCTTCATTAATTGTAGAAGTTCTTTGTAATTCTTTTTTCAATAATTTGACAACATCCTCAACATTTCTACTAGTAATAAACTGTAAAGTAACATCCAAGGCTTTTTTACGAACGTCTAAATCTTGAGTAGTTAAAACCCTCAAGATTTCCAAGGATAAATCTTGTAATATACCCGGGTGTTGCTTATGAAGGTCATCAATTCTCTCCAATGTAATAATTTTCACATTATTATCAGCTTCCTTGGTGGCTAATTCGACAAACTTGTTACCAGCCAACAAGATTGATTGAGAACTTGAGGATAAAACAGTCAAAGTAATAGCTGCTTCATAAATAACAACATTTGATGAACTTTCAATGATTTCAGTGATCAATTGAGCATATTGTTGTTTCAAATTAGGATGAGTAACAGAATCTTTCCTGATAAACTCGATAAACGCCAATTGTAACAAAGGATCCAAGGTTTCAATAAGAGCCACATTATCTTGAATATATTGTAAAGCTGCAACTCTGTTCAAGTCACTTAAGCAAACAAAAGCATTTCTTTTACAAACAGAATCAGTCTCATCATATAAGAATCTGTAAATCAATTCATCTGCATCTGGAACCAAATGATCAGAAACTTTGTAGATAGAATAAAGGGCAAAGACGGCATTTTTTCTAACGTAAGCATGACGATGGTCGAGACATTGACGAACATTTGGAACTAAAGTTTCCAACAAATCTGGTTCTTTTAATTTACATAAAAATCTCAAAGTATTACCTCTAATATACTCATTTGGATGCTGCAAATCATGTTGAATAGCATTACAAACAAGAATCATTTCTTGTCTCATTTTTCCATGGTCATCTAATTTAGGACAAACTTCCCAGTAAAAATACAACAATTTTTTCAATTCTTTATTTTTAGATGGCATAACAAATCTGATGATGTGCATCAATAAGTCAGGTAAAGGATCACCATTGAGAATGGTGATTAAAATTCTTTTCATAGCATCAATTTTGACTTCATCTTTCCCTTTCTCTAATAATGATCTGAACTCACTTATGGAGGTCTTACTGGCCGTGTTCGGCTCGTAGATCAAGGTATATCCAATGTCAGACATTTATTAATGATCACTCTAATACGTTGCCGAAATTTCCAACAATTGATAATCTTGTTTGAGATAAGTCTGGGTTTGGAACTGAATTGTTTTTATCAAGGCTATTGAGAAAGCACTCGACGTGTTGATTTTCTTTTTCGACCCAAACAAATTTGATAGTGCGATCTGAAAAATTTCAAAGGAACCATATTGGTACGGACACTCCGCTACACGTGATCATTCATGTCTTCAAACCCATTTGCAGCCTACAAATCCTAAGGATATAAACATTAATATGAAATTGAAAGAAGAGGTAGATATTAAAAAAGGTCATTAAGAAGATTAGTGATAAATATATATATATATATGCGAAGAAAAGAAGTAAATTTATTGTCGATCTTAATACGCTAGGATTTCCATCAATTACTATCACTTGAATAGTCGGGATTGGCAAGTACCAACCTTGGCTTATCATCGTAATCATCATAGTCATTGACCACCACTGTATTGTCGCCATTAGAAGCACCATTGCCATATTTATCGGTTGGGCCAATCGAATCAAGATCTGCAGCATCTTGATCAACATTGAGATCATTGTCATCATCATACCTGTAGCCTGGATGTTGATAATAACCTCCAATTTCAAGATTAGAGTCAGATAAGCTGCCGCTTGAGGAAGATGAAATAGAATTAGTTCTTTTAGATGAGCTGAAGTTAGTTGATGCTGATGATTCACGACCCGTTGTAACACTTTCATTCCCTGTGGCTACAGACCCCATAGTTGCAGTACGAGCAAGAGAGCTATTACGGGAGAGGGATGCACTTGTATTTCCTCCAATGATACTGGAACTTGAAGACTTGAACCCATTAATCCCATTTGAATTACTAACACTGTTACTTCCACCTATCGAGTTAGTAAGTGAAGATCTTGAAGTTGGAGCCTTAGGACGAGAACCCATTCCATTTTCTCCCAAATCATTAACCTCAGTGGCAAGCAAACGAGGTTGCAAATGACCATGCTTTAATTCAACACCACTCACTTTCTTTGCGCGACCTTGAGTATGTGCTTGTCCTAATCTCATATATCTTCCATTAGATCCTACGTATGTAGTTGCATTCTTATCAATCGGTTGAATACCGGTAGGTAATTTCCACTTACCAGGACCGGTCTCATTAAGTGCTGTACCCAGACTTCGACGAAGAGTCAAAACATAATTAGAACGTTCACCTTCACCAGGCTGTAAGTTTAAAGTTTTCTTCAAAGCAGCTAAATTGACATTTTTAGAGGAGTTAGAGCTGAATAACGAGCTAATTGAGCTGGATTTTCGATGACTGAACAGTCCATGATTAGAACTATGATTTTGACCGCCGGAAAGACGACTTGATGTAGAAATACTGCGGGGGAATGAATCAAAAGTCAGTGAGGTATCAATTTGCTTTAAAGGAACTCGACCAGAAGAGCTTGCATTGGTAGGGTAAGTTGCTCCAGTGCTAGATGTAGCATTAGTAGCTAATGAACCACCTCTTACAATCGTTGCAGAGGAGGGCAGTCCAATACTTGCAGGAACTGGACGGGAACTGATTGAGCTATTACTTTTAACTGTTTGGATTACTTGGCCCGGAAGCGAATTGACAGTGGAATCATTATTTTGGATATTATTTAATTTCTTAGTATTAGAAATATTTTGAGTGAAGCCAAGATCTGTTTGATTTGGTGAATATATTGATGATTTAGAGCTCAGCAGTAATTTCTGACCAACGGTCAATGGTCCCGGAGGTTGTCCTAGGACTTCCGAGAAACCATTAGGATTTGAATTATTAGACCCAGATATATAATAATTGATTGGAGATTCAGGAGGAGCTATATTACTACTTGCATCACTTGAAATACTATTATTTCTACCAAGATCGGACTGTTGGCTGAAATTAGGATGATTGAGATCATCAAAGGTAATATCTGGATTGAAATTTTGACTTATAGGAGAAGGAACCACTGGGGAATCAATTGGATAAGGAACCCCTGTGTAAGAGCCATCACTCAGGCGAGTGTCATTTTTATCAAGACCATGAGGGAGAATGGGTGGTTGAATTAAGGATTCTATATCTGATTCATCGGTAGTATTATAATCAGAAAGTTGGGTGTTTCCTTGAGATCTAGTTATACGAACTGGGTCCGCAGTATTAGTATTAAAATCAATTGATTTAGTAGGGGAGTCAAATAGAAACGATTGTGGTTCAGGTAATGGGGAAGTTTCGTCTTTTGGCTTTTGTTTTTGAGGAGAATCATTAACCGAAAGTTGATCTTTGTGAATACTATTTCTATTCATCATTGAGCCAATTTCCAGTTCCAAAGTACCAATTATATCATTCAAATCATCGTGGACCGCTTTATTTGAAGCCGGCAAAGAAGGTTGATTCAATCTACTTAAAGAAGGCAATTTTTCCAATTCCTGTCTTGCATTTCTATTTGGTTCATCCAACATTGGAGGAGGAGGTTTTCTTCTTGGAGATTTAGGCATTTCATGAAGGGAATCCGGCGAGGCTTGATTCTTGATGGTATCATTTGATGGCCCTTGTAAAGAAGTGGATGGTGAAGTAACATTAATATTTATTTGGGCTGGATTCACTTGTTTATTGATATCATTAGAACCAACTCTGGAAGAATTATTATGATTATGTTGATTGAGATTAGTGGAACTATGGGATCTTGAGTCGAAAACAAACGAGCTCGATTTCAGATCAATTGATGCATTAGAACGATTATGAAGATAATTGGAAAATGGTCCTCGTGACAATGGTTTCAAAGAGTTACTTGAATTCTTCAGCTTTATCGATCGATTAGAACCGTCATTAGCAGATTGCGACGATTGGTGTGCTTGTCTCTGGGGATTAAGGTGTTCTTGACTGGAGTTCCCATGTGAACTGAATATAGAGGATATTCTTGTTCCAAAAAGCTTTGAAGGGCGTTTTTCCCTTTCTCTTTCCTTGTCCAACGACATTTATTGGGAGTATTACTGATTGAACAAGACAGGTGTATATCCTTTTATTTTGACTATCCTTAAAAATGATATTCAATGTGCCATAAAGCTAAAAAAACCTAATAAACAGACTGAATAATTAAACGAATGGACCTAATTACTGATTATTAACAATAACAATAAGAGAAAAAAAGTTCGACACTTGGTCAACCACGATTAGGTTTTGCTATCACAATTTCACTAGGAGATTATATGAACCAGTACACTGCACGTCAACAACAGCGTATGAATAAATGTGATTAGATAGGTAGTAATTGGTTGACTGATTAAAACAGATATAAGATCTGAAATGAACGTCACCTAGGTGCAGTTAGCTTTTTTTTTCTCTTTGATCTAGGCAAAAAAAAAATACAAAATTAGTTAACGAACGAAACGGTTAACAAACAAGTAATTAAAGTACAACTGCTTGCAAATGAAAACACTCCGAATGCTCAAGACTTTCAATTGTAAGTTAGATATCAACAAGACGGTGTTTGCCCCGGTCTTTGAATATAAAAACTCTAAATTTTTTTTTTTTTTTTTTTTTTTTTTTTTTTTTCACTTTTTTTTTCATCTTTAACTTAAAATTTCCGATTTTTCATGTTCTTTGTCTTTTGAATGGATTATCTACAGAGCCAATGATTGATGACTACAACCGTCGGAATACCCTAGGGAACGGATGCTATACGTAAATCCTACAGACAGCGAACATAAACCATAGTAAACCAATTTGTAAATTGGGTTGTAAGGCTGTCGTCGTTTTTGACGTGGACCAACTTAAGCAACTTTATTGGCGCAGACCGAACCACCGGAAAAAGAGTTGGCCGGAAACAGATGAGACTGCCCATCAAGACATTCGTCTATTTGCTCTGGCCACTAGAATGTCGTTGAAATGGCACTAATCTGGGGCCATGGGCTCCAGTTGGTTCCAGACCGTACCACCCTGTCGGTCCAACCATGGGGAAGTGAGAGGAAACACCCAAACATCCTCATCAAGCAACCAAAAAATGTCACCAACTTGTCAGTTTGAACCTCTACACTATATAAAATTTTTTTTGTATTAAGCTTCTTTTAGATCCAATTGACCTTTTTACTTGAAAGTTATCAAAATTAATAAATATGTCTAATAACGCAGGTATGTGATCTCAATTGGAGGAAATGGATGTCTTGAGTTCTGGCATTCCTTTTTATATATTCCTGTGGACATGGGAAGGAGGCTAAATTTTGCATTTTACTAACAGAGGTTAATTTTAGTTCAATCAAACACTAATAAAACCCCAGATATTACAGTTGCTAACACTGATGTTGTTACCAAATATAAGACTGCAGGTGACATTGCTAACCGTGTTTTAGCTGAAGTGAGAAAGGCTGCCAAAGATCAATCTACTACTTGGGATCTTTGTAACTTAGGTGATAAACTCTTAGAAGAAGAATTATCTAAGATTTATAATTCAAAAAAGACTTCGAAGATCAGCAAAGGTATTGCTTTCCCAACATGTATCAATCCTAATAACATTCCTGCCCATTTATCTCCAGTTAATCAGGAAGATGAGGCCAATATTACCTTACAAAATGGTGATGTTGTTAACGTTATGTTGGGTGCTCAAATTGATGGTTACCCATCTATAATTGGTGAAACTTTCATCATTGGTGAAGAAGTCACAAGTGGTAGAAAGGCTGATTTGATCACTTCTGCATGGTATGCTTCAGAAGCAGCTTTAAGAACTTTTAAACCTGGTAACAGAAATTGGGACGTTACCAACATTGTTGATAAAGTTGCCAAATTTTACGAAACTACCGCTTTAGAAAGTATGTTAACCCATAATCAGGAAAAAAATGTCTTGTACGGTCCAAAAGAAATCATTTTAAATCCAACTAAAGAAAATAAAAATCAAATGGATACTTTTAGATTTGAAGAAAATGAAGTTTATGGTTTAGATATCTTGATTTCTACTTCTGAAGAAGGAAAAGTGAAAAAGGCTAACTTCAACACTTCTCTATTCAAACTTACCGGTAATAATTATGCTTTAAAATTAAAATCTTCTCATCAAGTTTTAGGTGAATTTAAATCAAAATCCTCTGGTCTTTTCCCAATGAATATTAAAAAATGTGATGAACCAAGAAAAGCTCGTGTTGGTTTGATCGAATGTGTTAACCACCAAGTCATCCTTCCTTACGATGTCATGGCTGACAAACAAGGTGAATACGTTGCTCAATTCTTTACTACTTTCGCTATAACTAAAAATGGTGTTCTTAAATTCACCGATCCTTCTTTCAATCAAGATTTATATAAAACTGAAAAATCTATCAAGGATGAAGAAATTAACACCTTACTTACTCAACCTTTGAAAGCTGAATCTAATGCTGCTAAAAAGAAGAAGGCTAAGAAAGCTGCTGCTGCTGCTGAAGCTGGTTCTGCTAATTAAGTCTCGTTCAAGTCTATTACTCACTTAAATTGACTTTTTTAACCACCCAAATTTTAAAACAATCATCTTCATAACTCAAAACTTACCACTGTAGCCATAAAGATCAACCGACAACAGGAATCTCGAAACATTTGTAGCAAATTTGTGTTAACCCACAAAGAAAAAAATTCAAAAAAAAAGTACATACAAAGCACGACGAAAAATTAGAGAAAAAAAAAAAATATATATATATATATTTCAAACTATCAACAGCAATATCAAAATACTTTATAAGCCATATAAGTCCTAATTTTGAGTTCCCTGTTTGCTGCTAAGGTTGATCTGCATTAACAGTGTTACATTAAGCTGCTATTTTCCAAGTCTCGAATCCCTGGTTTCTATTATTCACTTCCAAGAAACATAGCTTTAGCTAAACGATATCTCTAAAGAAAATATTACGACTTAGCAGGTTCAACTTGCCTTCCACTTACTAGCGAATTCATGGCCGTGGTCGCTTCATTTATCTGAAATTTATTCTAACTACCCTTTTAAAAGGACTGTTAAAAAGTGATTTGAAACTAATTGTTGGCAAAATATGTCTTCCTCTTTCACGCAACCCGAACCCCCCACCGCTAGGTCAAGTCGCCGGTCGAGGTCAGCTTCGTCATCCATAGCGCGCCTGTCTGGGTCTTCTACTCCCAAACTGAATCCTACAGATAATGACATAGAGACCCTCCTGCTGGTTGAAGTTGATGTATCAGGGTCACCAAATAAAGCGAGAGCGAAGAAACCTTCGAATTCAAAAGTAAACACACCTTCTCGTTATTCTTTGCAAACCTCACCCGATAAAGACGGCCGTGATATTCTTTCAATGTTGAATGGCCAAGCTAGACGTTCCAACGATTCTAGTCCTAATAAAGAACCCACTAATAACATGAAAAAGCGTAAGCTGCCATCAACTCCCGCACTTCCTTCCCAGCCTTCTAGAAAATCTTCTCGACTATCCGAAAAAACAGTTGACTTCAGCAATAATGGGCTTCAATTAAAAAAGAGTCCTCATATAATAGAAACCCCTTCAAGAAAGACAAGGTTGAAGGGCCTTGGAACTTTGCAAAGTGGTGGTGTGAAATCATTTGAGGAACCCGAATTAGCAGCACCTCAGCCTATATATACTGGTCTTCCGTTGGAATCCTTCCCAACTGCCAAAATCAAAAAAGAATCACTATGGCCACTGAACAAAAAAATTAATGGTAACGGAATTAACAAAAAGTCGAGATCTGCAAGTTATAATAATTCACGTAATTCGTCCGTTACTCCACCAGATGACATTACCTCTATTGACGGGGTTGAACATGATTACAAACGAAATCTTAAAACATCAAAATCGGAAGACATATCTTCAGTCAGTGAAATCAGAGAACCTGGACTTCCTAAGAAAAAACCAGGTAAAAAGACAGAAGGGTTGAAGCTCATTATCCGTACTCCGAAGAAAATTAAGTCAAATCAAACATCATCTAAAGCTACTGCGACTACCTCAAACAAAGTTAAGGTTATCTCGCCTAAAAAACCAAATAATACAAATCTTGCTCCTATTAACAGAAACGTAAATGAGCAAGATACCCATTCGGAAGGTGATCCGGCTGAAGAAAATGAAGATTTTTGTAATACGTGTGGTGGTTCAGGTGTCTTCATTTGTTGTGATTCATGTCCAAAATCTTTCCACTTTACATGTTGTGAACCTCCTCTTGAAGACTGCCCTGAAGATAATTGGCATTGTAGAGAGTGTGATTTAAAACAGAACAATCAACCAAAAGAAAACTGGAATTTCATTGGCCTTTTTGGGCCTTTATTGAATGATACTCAGGGCAGAAATCCGATTGAATTTTGTTTACCAAGGAAATTTAGGGATTCAACTTTTCACAATGTGTCCTCTGATTCTTTTAATCATTACAAAGATGACCTGATGAAACCAGAAATATCATATAGCAAGGCAAACGGATCTCAAATTTCTGGCTGTAATAAAGATGACGATCTTGAGATTGAATCTTTATACGATTCCAAAGGAAGACCATTTCTTTGCCATAAATGTGGTGATTCGGGTTTGAACAAACGTTTTCTTATCCATTGTGACTATTGTCCATTAATTTGGCATTTAGACTGTCTTGATAACATTATGTGCTCCACCAAGACGTTAGGTAGCAAATGGAAATGCCCGAATCATGTTGATAATTTATTACCTACATCACTTTTCAATAAAAGAAACTTTAAGGATAGTAGTGTGGTTGAGGTTTCCCTTCACAATCATTTTTTACAAATAGCATCTATGAATAATCTTTTCATAAAATATAATGACCAGCCTTATTTCAAGGATGGTGCAGTCCCTTCATTTCAAGATTATGCTCAGTTTGAGCATGAAAGTTTCATTAGAAATAGTGAGTCTTCCTTTAAAGCTGAGGATCAAAGAGAATCCATGGATGATTCCAATTTTGATATTCATCCCAACTTTAAGCTTCCGGCATACTTTGATTCAACAACAAATTCTGATGATAAGGTTGTAGCGAAGGCATCCAATAACCTCTCGAAATTACTAGTAATCACTGATAAATCACAAGACACAGGGGTGACGAATAAAGGGTTTGTTTATCGAGTACCCGAAGAATCTATTATTTTGAGTTTTATGGCCAAGTCAAAAGAATTACGTAACACTAATCCAGAAACTGTCCGTACTAAAAAGGCAACTATTATGGAAGAAATTAGCGATTACGAAAATAGAAGCCGTTTGGAATCAAACTCAGATGAATTAGAGCTTGTTGATGGCCTTTCGCAATTAAAACAAAGTCCCATAGTACATCATCCTTCCAACAAAATTGATTTTGATGAGCTTGTTAAAATAGCTCTAGAGAGCGAGGGTTCAACTCCATACACAGAAAATAAAGATGTTAAGGATTCCATTTCACTGGAGGAGATTGACGACTTATTGAAAATCAAAAAACTTATTGAAGCAAAAGGGAGAGAATCCCTAATAGATTTTTTAAAGTCAAATCCGAAACATTAATCTACATCAAAGAAGCATATATAACTAATTAATAAACTCTAAAATTTTTTTTTTTTTTTTTTTTTTTTTTTGCTTTTTTTTTTTGCTTACTTTTTGCAATTCCATTTTACTCTTTCATTTCGATCTTTCATTTCGATCTTTCACTTTAACTCTTCCTATATTTTGGCTTACAAAGAGAGCTCAGATCTTAAAACGTATACTAATATATATTAAAATGGAGTTGGGATTATTTACAAGATGGTTCAAACTAATGTTGATTAGGGAATTCTAGACGAGGTATTTCAGAATCTGCAACTTTTTCGGCATTAGTGAGTTGGACAAGTTTGCGAAGAATATTAGATGCATGTTTTCCCTTGCAGTCTATTTCTGACTTGTTGCCGGAAGCATCATGAACGATTATCTTATTTGGAATTGCACAGATATCTTGGTGTGAATCTGAATTAGGTCTTACTCTAGTAACGACAAAGTTAACATCTTCATTATGGAACTTTAATGCTGGCAAGTTTTCTCTCCAAAACTTTTTCAACCCAGCAGCTGGACCATAAACAGATTTCAGTGCTAACATCAATTCGACGGTTTTATATTTGGAGGAGTCAAGCTTGTAAGCTTTTGTTGAGGCACCCGATATAAGATTGAGTCTGTATATTTGTTTTAATAAAGGCTTGCTGGGAGCACCCTTGAACATACTAGCAACACTGGACATCCTTGCTTCGTTTTATAAAAGATACCCTTAACTTGATGAATTCGGTCTTTTCACTTTAATTTTTTTTTTTTCACTAAACTTTTCATGTTTTCCTTCCTCACTCTTCTGATTTGTACAATTTTCCACGACCACTCTTAACTATGGATGCTTCCCTAATTGTTTTCCAAAAAGCACTGAACGATCAGGATATGTACTTGAAAAGGAGTTACTTGTGTGAAGAGAAAGTTTGGGTCTCCTTGGTATACTCGATTTTACGAGTTTTGTCTATTAATTAGAGCACAATCGCTCAAAATATCAATACTTAGATGATTTTTGATCCAAATAGGGTAACCGTCTAAGTAAGCGCGGTATGACTAACTTTTTTCATAGAAGTGAAAAATTCCTCAACGGTATAAAAGATAAGAATTGGCATCATTTGTGAAAACAGACCAGAAAGACTATTCTTGAACAGCAATTCAGATATTGACAATGGCTCTTTCAAGAAACTCTATTCGTTTTCTTTCTGATAAAGCAGCAAGATTTGTTCCAAAAACCGGGACATACCCAAAAGGGTTCCTAGTGGGTGGAATCCATTGTGGAGTAAAGAAAGATGGGAAATCTTTGGATTTGGCCATGTTGAGTAACGAACATAGTAACGAAGCTGTTGCTGCCGGTGTTTTCACCAAGAACAAATTCAAGGCTGCACCTGTCCAAGTCTCTTCCAGGATTTTGAAAGAGAAGAAAGGAGAAGGTATAAACTCATTGATCATTAATAGTGGGAACGCCAATGCCGTTACTGGCTCTCAAGGTATTAAGGATGCTAATGATATGGTTACCGTAACGGACTCTGTGCTCAAGAACCCCCACAACTCTTCTCTTGTTATGTCTACTGGGGTTATTGGTAATAACTTACCAATTGATAACATTCTTGGAGGTATTCCAAAATTAGCATTGGACAATTTGGGTAACACCCACGATCATTGGATCAAATGTGCTGAAGCCATTTGTACGACTGATACTTTCCCTAAGTTAGTGAGCAAACAGTTTGAAATAAATGGTGTCACTTATCGTTTGGCTGGTTTAGCAAAAGGTGCTGGTATGATTTGTCCTAATATGGCTACCCTTTTAGGATTTTTCGTCACCGATGCTCCTGTCACATCTTCAGCATTGAATCAGATTGTCAAGTATGCCGTTGATCGCTCATTTAATAGTATTTCTGTTGATGGTGATATGTCTACTAATGATACTATAGTAGCAATTGCAAATGGGGCTGCCGGTGGTGAAGTCATTGATAATTCATCATCAAGTGCTGAATCATTTGTCATTTTACAAAATGAAATCACTTCTTTCGCTCAACAATTGGCCCAGTTAGTTGTCCGCGATGGAGAAGGAGCAACTAAATTCATTACTATCAAAGTTAAGGATGCCTTATCTTATAATGACGGTAAGAAAATTGCATCGTCTATCGCTAATTCATCGTTGTTTAAGACTGCCATGTATGGTAAAGACGCTAATTGGGGACGTATCTTATGTGCAATTGGTTATTCAAACGTTGCTTCTGATCACTCCATCAACCCCAATAAAACTAGTGTTTCCTTCATTCCTAGCGATGGTTCTGAAAAGTTAAACTTATTGGTTGAGGGAGAACCAGAAACCGTTGATGAACAAAGAGCATCTGAAATTTTACAGCATGAAGATTTAGAAATCGAAGTAAATTTAGGTACTGGTGGCGGCCAAGAAGCCACTTTCTGGACTTGTGATTTAACACATGAATACGTCACTATCAACGGTGATTATAGATCTTAAGGTAATGTCCAATTCTGTTCTAAAAGTATATTTGGTGTGTATAGTACAATTTGAGTTTTTTCAACCGTTACGCGTTTAGTTTTTCTGATTTGTATTTGATATCATTTTCAGCTCTCCAGTGTTGATAACCCGTTTAGTTTGTTTCCAAACACCTCTAATGAGGATCAAAGACCTAAATGCACTGAATATTGGACCTCCGGGGTCCAAGAATGACTTTTTTTGTATAGGGATAGTTTTAGCTAATGGTGCTCCAATAATTAAAATGCTAGTAACTGATTTTACTAGTAACCACACCCAGAACTTTAAATTAGATCGACCAGACAGATCTATCGCCAGAGAAGTCGAGAAAATGGGACTATCTAGAAATGATGTTATTCAACTCGAAATTTCCTCGAATTTATTTGAAAAATTGGCCAAAGAATATGAAGATACTCTTGGTCTTAAACTACTCGATTTGAAATATGAGCTGTCAGGAAGCACATTTCGTCCTTTAGCTAGAAAATTTTGTATGATTGCGGCTAAAACTTACTTCAGTTATAAGAGAAATCTCTCAGAACCGGTTGTTACTGGATCTATTAACAAAGTTTCCTTAATCTTCACGAATGAAAAGAAGCTTGAGAGTAATACCGATCTTTTGGATAATTGTCTCGAATCACCTTTATTCAAAATCCATAGAATACCTGATACAAATATTTTGACTCGTTGGCTTAAAAGAAAAGGCTTGGTGCTGAAAGTTACCCTGCTTCTTAAAAATGAAGAGGTAAAAACCTTATTGCAATATGATTCTGAGAGCGTAAATTCAAATCGGGAATCAGAACCAGAATACCATATTAAAAAAGAAGAGTTACCACTGATACAAGAGTCGGTTATTGATGATAGTCAATCTAATCCTGGTTCAAATCAGAATATCAACGTCATTTCGGAGTCCCAATCCTCAAAGGCAATTTCACCTAGGCTACCGGCCTCAATAGAGATACAACTGCAAGCTGCCGCTGAAGCTGGCATTTTGAATACATTGCCAGTGTCAGATAATTCTCAGATCCCAGCTTTGGATATAGCAAGCTCAACTCAATTGATATCAATTGAAGACGCAAATAAAAATCTCGAACGGATTTCGATAGGATACAACTTCAAGGTAAGAGCGTATATATCTGGGTGGTCACCTCATAATTTGACTCATATTTGTTCCAAGACATACTTCCCTACAGGGGAATTAGGAGATCCTACTTTGATTCCATTGGAATTCTACTTGACTTCAGTTCCACCTTCTTGTAACGGACCTCCTACAATTCTTGATGAGAGCAACCTACTCGTTGCCCGAATTGATGAAGAATCTATTCTTGACTTTTTCAACGCAGAGTCCATAGAGCGGTTATATATCAATTTGAATATGATCCAATTGCAACCTAATAACATCGAAATGTTCGAACTCATAATAAAGAAAAGAAGTTTGGGGAATACTACAGGTCTACCAGCTTATTGGACAATTGAAAATTTAAATATTAATGATATTAAGCTAGATCGTTAGCACGATCAATTAACCAAATAAATTTTTATTTCATAAAATCTTTTATATGCAGACATACTAGTTTGAACACTTCATCATTCTCCATGAATAGAGCATGTTTAGCTTTTGAGATGGTTACATATTCTTTTCTAGAGACTTTCAAGTTGTTGAAAAAGTTCTTGGATTTTATATGACTGGAAATGAAGTCATCTTTCGAATGAAATATCAAGATATTAATTGATGATGGAAACTGACTAGCGGATAGCAATTCCGTGATTTCTTGGGCACGATCTAATATGAATTTGAGTTGACTTAAAGTGGAAATATTACATTCATCGGCTTCTGCCTCCAAATACTCTTTCCATTGAGGATCAGAAGTCACTGCATCCTTCGATTTTGATAACTGATATCGTTGATACGGGAACCAATCACAAATTTTACTTAAAATGGCGTATTTGATTGATGAAAGTTCTAGGTTAGGAGGGTAGTCGATAAGAGGGGCGGAAGTGATGATGTTGTTTATTTTATTGCGATACTTACCTTTGAATCCATAGCCAAGTGCTATTGTACCACCCATTGAATGGCCCACGAGGGAATATGTCAAGCTTTCCTTATTATGGTGAAGACAGGAGTCACTAAAATCAAACGCAATTTCTATCAACTTATCCAAATCCTTATAGGCAACATCTTTATTTCTTCCCGATCTTCCCTTATATTTACCCTTTGAGGTTTCACCTGTACCTCGCTGATCATAAATCCAACATTCGTATCCTAACGAAGTAAAAAATTCCATTATCCTGTAATATAAAGAACTATGTTCAGACCAGCCATGAAGAAATAAAATCTTTCCTCTTATAGGGCCATCTTCATCTATTAATGGTACCTGGGTTACTCTAAACTGTATTCCATCATGCTCGTGGTCTTGAATATGGATAGGTCTATTAGGATAGGCAGAAATGTACGGTAGAGCATGATTGGATGACATTCTAGAAATTCAATATTGCAATAATTCAATTCAGATGAATGGATATAGTCAACACTTTATACTTCAACTCTATATGCAGTCTATGTTGTCGGATATTTGGACTTTTAAATTGCAACGAAAGCAATAAAAGACCTTTCGAACACTATTCGATTTTACAAGCTCCTTAAGGAGTCATCGACGACGCTTTTACTCTATTTCCAAAGTGTCTTGCTCTCTTTTTCATTTTGCATCGATTTCTCCGATTGATTCATACCGTTGACCTGCAGTGCGCCGGGGAGTCTCGCGCAATGCACTTTGTTTCCGGTTATTGTCGGCACCGTCCGCGATTTGCCGGTTGAAATGAAGCATTAAGGGTTATACTATTCCTTTTAGACCCGAAATCTGTACCTTTCGGAACTGGTGGCAGCAGTTTGACAGCTGGACATGACAGCACTTACTCCGATCAACCATGTTAGTACCTCCAACCAGAATGCTCTGCTTAAAGAAAGTTGTTGGAGATATCGGGGCATGGTATACTGTTTAACTTTAAACAAACCAAGATTTAAGGTATGTCTCGGTAAGTACTGTTGTAAGTGGTGGTGTTTTAACCTTATTAAGATTGTGCATATGTAACCCACTCGTATTTTCTAGACTTACAATTTTACATTCCGTATTCAATATAAATCATTTAGCAAATTTTAAGTACATTTAATCAAGATCTGAAGATTAGCGGATGAATTGCTTATACGTTGCATGGTTGGAAATCAGTAACTGATGGGGAATGGTTTGTTGAGTTAGTCTTGGAATTTGTTTTGCTTACAACTTTGCTTAGAGTATCTTTGAAAGACTTCATGCTCTGATCTATGCCCGAATAATATCTAGCCACCTCCACTATTGGCCAAGGGACTGCTCTAAACACGGGTAAAATATTTCCATAAAAAGGTAATTTGATTTCTCCTCTTCGACCTAACTCTACTGCTTTCAAAACATTTTTAGCCACATAGCTTGGGTCTAATTCTGGAGCCAAGAGGGATGAGGGAGTTTGGACACCACGAAACATTCTGGTTTTCAACTGCCCTGGACATATTAATAAGGTTTTAACACCAGTAGGGTTAATCGATGGAGGCCCCAATTCATAAGTTAAGGACTCATGCAAAGCTATCAAGCCGGATTTGGATGCCCCATATGCACTCAACCTTGATGGAGACATATACCCTAGTACTGAAGCAATGGTTATGATGTATCCACGATGAAGTTCCAACATATCAGGAAGAAAGATTTTGATTGTGTAGAAACTCGATAGTAAGTTGACTTTTAGAGTGCGTTCTATTTCTTCATAACTCAAATGTAATAGTGATTTTCCTGTAGTGATTCCTGCATTATTAATCAAAATGGTAACCTTCCCAATCTCTTGTACGATTTGTCTTTGGCACTTTATCACTTGATCTCGATCACTAACGTCACATTGATAATAATGGACATTAGCAATCTGTTCCGATTCTTCAGGAACTACCACATCCAAAACAACTACTTTTGCATTCCTAGCTACAAACCTGGATACAATCTCTTTCCCAAGACCTGATCCACCCCCTGTAATCAAAACAATATCTCTATCCGGCTGAAAGTAGTTCCCAATAATGAGCTGCGAAATATTCATGTATTGTTTATTAAGATGATAGAATAAAACCATCAATGACATTGGTCCGGTCATGTTTAGCAATTGTTGGGTACTTCTGAAATAACTTGTAAGCTTGGTGTAGCTAACTTTTTTTGTGGTTTTGGTAAAATTACTGCAAAATTTAGTTTTATTCCGTAAATCGCAAAAGAAACGTACGTATGAACAAATTTACACAAAAGCATTAAACCCCAGATTAAGAACCTCCAGCTAGTTTAAGATAGACTTTACTTTAAATCACTTGAGGAGCCATACGTATTGATAATATAGGATATCATGTATTTAAAAAAAACAATATATACAAAGAAAAAGTAAAATACCGGATAAAACCATATACAGAATAAACAAGGTTAGCTAGAAACAAAAGAAAGATATGCAACGAATGTTCAATGAAGGATGGAAAGCCAAAATAAACAGGTATTGAAATATCAAAGGAGTGAAATGAAAAAAATGCAACATTAAGAAATAAAAATGAATGAATGCTGAGAAAGAAATAAAATGGATCAGATCAACTGAAAATGCAAAAGCCTCGATGTTTAGTTATTAAAGGGATTCATACTGTAAATTCTAATAAAGTCATGCTTTCCTTGTCATCCACCAAATTAACAGAATGAAAACAACGACCAGTTCAAGATATGAGTCATTGCCAAGGCAAATGTTTAAGATGAGCCATGCTCAATCTCTAGGGAACTTCTTCAAAGTGGTGTTATAGATCTTCTTACCATATACATGGTTCATCAATACAGAGTTAGTCTTTTGGCTACTCATCGTTCCAGCAGCTTTCGATCCACCGGAGGAACACTTGGATGCAACAAAATCAGCAGCGACCAACATGACTGGTGCTAAAAGGTATAATCCTGAATGTGATCCGAAATTCTTCATCTTTGAATCAAGTCTTTCTTTTTTTCTATAGATGAATCAATAAGTTTGAATATAAGGTTTGAATGTGTTTGTGTATAGACTTTATGATCTCTTTACTCAAATAGTCATTCAACGTACTTGAAAATGAAATTGAAACACAAGTCTTGTCTAAAGACTATTCTTCTAGTGATTAATCTAGAGAAGTTTATGAATGGGATGCTGGGAAACAAGTCGAATGCAAAAAAGGAATTGTAAATACATATATAAAAAAAAAATTTTCATATTTTCGTGAGCAAAGAGCAATCCCTTTTTTTTTTCTTTTCTTTTTTTTTTTTTTGTTTTTTTACCGCAAAATTTGATTGGTGCCTGCGAATAGAATACCGATTTCACAGCCAAACTTAAGTTACAACTACATTATGTCTAATAATTAAATAAAAACTAATTTAAAAAGCGGAACATTATGTTCAAAGGAAAAAGCAGTTTAAAGAAACAGAAGTCTAATATAAATGTATAGCAGGACTGGCCAACAGAAAAGGAAAAAGAAATCAAAATGGTTTTAAAATACTAGTACAGTCATAAAATTGAAAGCAAACGAAGAGAGAAACAAAATTATAAATTCATTTGGTAGCAAAGAAGCATGAGCTTAGAAGATATCGGCACAACCTTCCAATTTTTGATCTCTTCTAGTTGGCCAATACTTTTCATTGTATTCCCAAAAATTGTCACCAGTAATTGGGTGTGTTTTCTTGACGAACCAATTAGGTTTGTATGTTTCACGATTGATCTCACGTTCTTTTCTAGCAGCTCTTTGCTTCTGCTCGACTCTATGTTTTTCATCAGCAGCTTCATCGTATCTACCATCTTCCATAGCTCTTTGATCAGGTCTTAAACGAGTATCAGAAGGTGGCAACCAAGGTTTCAAAGAATTATCAATACCGTTTAATGTTACTGCAAAAGCAGTTAAGTTAAATGGAACCTTTGGTCTTGGAGCAGCTTCCCAAACCAAGAACTTTTGACCACTGTAAGGATCACTAGAATCTTTTGATTTGGCAGTTTCGTTATAATCAACCAAAGAATCACGTCTACCACTATCATCATTCACCTTTTTAGCAAAAATCTTAGAGTTCCAATGGCCTCCAATAGCCCAGTGAGTCTTCCCTTTAGGGTCCACAACGTGTCCCGATAATTGGTAAGCAGATGACGCTTTCCAACCTCTTTGTTTCATGTCGACAATGATAGAATCACCAGTAGTATGATTAGTAACCAACATCTTACCATAATTATCAACAGTTGGATTACCCATGATAATACCAACAACTGAGGTGTTGACTTTTTTCCAACTATAAGTTTCTGATTCAACTTTGTTACCGTCTTTATCAATAACTCCTTTATCAGGTCTAATAACACAAAACATTTTACCTAAATGGGTGAAATCAAATGACCTACCTTTAAATTGAGAGTCGACAGCGTTTTCACCGTAATAGTCCCATTTGATAGATTGGGCATTACAAGCACTAATAGGAGGATGATGGCTGACCTGTTCAGTGATCAATCTATAATTTTTATCAGGACGACAATATTCAAAAGTTTCCCCTAACAATGGGTTGAAAGGTTTAGCAATTCTGTTGATAGTAGATGCATATTCAGAAGCTGCAAATGCAGCCACATAAACAGTACGCAATGTTGAATCTTCGTAAGAAGCTGCAGTATCTAATAAATGGTTGTATTCGATATCTTCCGCCAATCTTTGTAACAAAGACGTACACTCATTAAAGGAAACTGGTAATGTCATCCTGGTCATATCTTTACCAATCATTGATTTCAAAATACCCCATAAACCAACTTTTGGTCTGTCATCCTCATCCATTGCCAATTTTGTTCTTGGTGGATTTTCGTAACCAAGGAAACTGCCCTCTTCATTAAGGGCAACCTTCATTCTTTCTTGTGCTTCAGTAGCAGCATCGATACCAGATCTGGATTGTCTGATTTCTTCAGACCTTTCCTCTGGGTTCTCAACATTAACTACTGGGACATGTGTCTTTGCACCAGACTCATTTGGTTTCTCGGTGGAATGATTTTCTTTAGAAGTTGGAACAGCATCATCAGTACTGACAGCGGTAGCGGCATCATCTAATTCTGATTTAGAATCCACATCAGCGCCTTCGCTTTCCTTAGTTGGGCGGTTGGAACCGACACCACTAGCCCCAATAGCACCGACAGCACCGACAGCACCAGCGGCACCAGCAAGAGCACCAGCGGCAGAAGCACCAATAGAAGCAGCTTTATCTTTCAAGCCAGAGGATTGTTGCTCGGGTTCATTATCGTCATCATCATCATCAAAGTCACCAGCATCAAAGAATTCATCATCGGAATCATCTTCCAAAATTTTTTGGAGAACTTCGTCTTGATTTATGTTGAGATTTTGAGTATTTTGAGGAGATAAATCGGATCTCAAAGGGTCTTCAGGTAAAGTTCCAACAGTAGGAATTTTATCGCGGCTTGAAGAGTTCGGAGGAACAGATGAAGGTGTTGAAGCACCAGATTTTGCACCACCGCCGGATAAGTACTTTCTTAATTGTTTCTTTTTACCTTCATATTCAGCTAATTTATCTTCACGATCCGTGATTTCAGACTCTAATTGACGTATAGATTGCTCCCATAATTTATTAACTTCTCCTTGTCTTTCTAATTTTCTAATTAATTTTTGATTTCTAGTGGAAACCAAATTGTTATATTTAGCGTATAAGTCTTGAATACCTTTCAAAGTTTTGGTACCCACAGTATAAACTTCGGTATTACCTTGATCTTCAGATTTGGAAACTAAACTAAATAAGTCTAGTAATGACGTAATTTCAACATCCAAAGCACGCTTAACGGTAGAAACTTGATCAACCAATGGATCAGATAAGTCATCAAGAGAAGATTTAGGATTATAAGATTCGCTTTCGCTATCTTCATCTTCAATATCGTAATCAAAATCTTCAGTAGCTGCATTACTCAGAATACTCAAATCTTCACCTTTAGGGGGAAGTAAAGAGTCACCAGGGTATTTAGCCAAGTTAGTTCTAGTATGATCATTTGACTCTCTCGAGAAGGTATTTGATCTAGATAAGGAACCGGAACCTGTTTCACTAATTTCATCGACATCTGAAACTGTAGAATTACTTTTCTTGTGTTTACTTCTACGAGGAAGATGTAATAGTCTATGTTTTGATTTTCCTTCAGTAGTGGTAACTGATTCATCAACACTTGTTCTGGTATTACTTCTTGAAATACCATCAACATCCGATTCATTTCCATTTGTAGTTGATTCGACATCAGAAACACGATTTGAAGCAACTGGAGGAGAAGAGTTTTTCTTTTTTATGTTATCTTTAGCAATTGTGATTGCATTTTGTAAAGTCCAAACCCATCTATTAGTTTCGATTGGATGATTTGCTTTTAAGTGCCATCTAATACCATTTTTACCAATTATTTCAAATTTTAATTTTTCTGAAGAGTCTAAATGTAAAGTAGCAAAACCAAGATTTATTGAGCCTCTACAAGCGTTATTGGTATCATCTTGATTTGAATAATACGATAAAATACCATATTGATCCAAAACAAAATATCTCAATTTATAACCAGAAGCAAAATTAGTCCATTTTCTTAAATAACCTTTATAGGTTGGGGCTCCACCGGTTTTGATTGCATTATTAGTATTGATGACTGGATCCATTATTGTTTGATCTTTAGAGGCAGTTTTCAATAATTTCCTTAACGGGTCATTTTTAGACAGGATTAAATCAATTGGTAAACGGCCCTTTTTATCTCTTTTAAAAGGATCCCCACCATGCTTTAAGATCCAGTCACACATTTGGATATCATCTTTCATGATGAATTCATGTAAAACCGTGTTACCAGATTCAGGGTCAGCACCATTAATATCCAATAATTCAGAAGCTCTTGGGTTTGAAACCAATAAATGTTCCAATTGATCAAAATCACGATTACTAAAGAACTGACGTAAGTCACAAGCCAGTTTTTCAACAAACTTAGCCCTTTCAAATTGCATTAATTGAGCAATATTCAAATCTTTACATAATTCAACCGGTTGTTTTTTTTTCAAATTGACAATTGTATCATTAATATTCGGTAAAGACAATAAGTATTTCACCACTTCTAATCTAGATGCGGCAGCAGCTAGATGTAATGGAGTATTACCGTCGGGGTCTTGAGAATTTATATCAAGATTATATTTTTCCGATGACTGAACCAAATGTTGAAGAGTTGAAAGCGGAGAAACTTGAACTGCATAGTGTAAGATAGTTTCCTTCAAATGGATCAAGTCAGTGGTCTGGGTGGTGGCTTTAGTTGATGATAAGTCTTCAATTAAAGAATCAATCTTCCAATTATCGCCACTTCTTAAAGCATCAAGAAGTTTAAGTCTTAGCAAAGACGCATTGAGTTGAATAGACATTATCACTCAAACTTCTTTCCCAATTGACAAATTTGTAGCAACGGATATACAGCAATAACCTGGAAAGCAAGACTTCAAAGTTACTTTGAGATTGGAGTAATTCTTAAATTGAACAGCGGTTACTTCAATCTTAGGAGCTATGAGCGCACAATCACTCGTACAAAGCGGTAAAAAAATTCAGATAAACGACAAGTTGGTCAACACAAGAACTTTCTCTAACCTCTCAATTCGAATCAATTGACAACAAGGTATCAAAGAAAAGTTGTAATGTTAAATATCAACTCGGAAAGAAACAAGTAGTGAAGGCATCCTGGAGTTTTTAAATTTGCTGCGCTACTCTTGAATCATGACGTTTTTGTTCTCCTAACAAACCAAAAAAAAAAAAAAAAAAACTCTCCTTACAAAACAAAAAAACACTAAAAAAGGCATCGTCGGTCGTCGGTCAATTACAGTCATGGCTTTGATCGGGGGCTACAGTTACTAAAAGCACAGGCTCCTTAGCAGATAGGCATAGTGAGGTAGAAGCAGTTGTTGCAATTACCAGAGCATCTCGATTAACTTTAGGAGCCATTGCCCCCATTTCAGGTTGCCAACTTGAGCTTTGTGACAATTGGGACAAAAAGTTGAAAATTTCGTCTTTCACGGTGGTAACTTTGAGTGGAGAGTCTCAGGAAAGCGAAAAGGAGACCATCTGGTTAGGGTTGGCCAATTGTGTCAATGGCCTTGCGATATAGTAGAATAATCTAGCAAAGAAGAATCATTTGCTTAGGGTTAGCTCAGCCTGTTTCATATATGGTGTTCAAATTTGCTGTTTAAGTATATTTTATAAGTGTTTATGGCCGGGGTCAGCGATGATGCAATGGGTTGTGTACCAGTGGCTATTAGAAGAAGAGGTTATCGGTCCGTATTTCGAGTTGTAGTCTTGAGCTCATGGTATTATCAGTGTTTTAGTATGTTATCTCGATTGATGATCATGTTTGCAGTTGCAGTTGCAGCTACTTTGAAATTGGCGGTGGGGAGGTGAGAGTGGGTGTACGGGTGTACACTGCATTGCTTTTTTCTTTCATCAACAAGCATTGGAATGAAAAAGTGCCTGGAGGATGCAAGAAGTAGAGGATTGAATGAACTAGTTTGAGTATACCCAATGTCAACGAAGAAAAGAGCGGCATCGGAGGCTTTAGAGCCACAAGCAAAGGAAATTGAGCAAGTGACTGCTGCTTCGCAGGGTAGTAAATCGAGAATCTCGAGCTCATCTCTTCCGGCTAAACCAACCTCCAGTATAAGCCAAACCCTTTATATCAAAAACCTTAACGATAAAGTACACCATGACTTGATCAAACATAGCTTATACCTTTTGTTCTCCAGTTATGGGGACGTGATAGATATTGTCATCAAACCACACGATAGAAAGATGAGGGGACAAGCTCATATAATCTTGAATAGTAATCATAATGCTACTGTTGCTTTGAAAAATCTACAGAATCTGGAGTTCTTTGGTAAACCGTTAAACATTGCATTTTCCAATCATAAATCAAAAGTGATCCAGAGAGCAGAGGGCGATGAAAACTATGAACTGGACGATCAGGATACTCCGTCTTATGTATGATTGAAATTTATTTAATATAAATATATGATAATCTATACAAGTTTTAATGCATCTTCCATCCCGTTCAAAACACAATCAGGAACCCCGACACCCTTGCCAAAACACATACCACCCAAAGATAACCGGCCTTGGAATTCGCCAGATAAAAGGGTTTTCACTTTTTCATCCAAATCGGAATATCCCACATTGAACTGTGGTATACAGTTTTTATGAATGTCGTATGAAATAAGTAAATCATTCGAGTTGAGTGTGGGGATCTTCTTATCCTCTATTGCAGCCTCATCTCGGATAATTACATTATAATTTTGCATATTAACATTAAGATATTTCAGCAAAACCGATTCAATTGACTTAAGGAGGCTTGCTGGTGAAGGAATGGCTGTTTTGTTATAAAAATGGCCTCCCATCATTATTGTGATCTTTTCATAGTCTGTCTTCTTATTGTCTAACTTATAATCATTAAATAAACCTTTAACATTTTGTTCATTATCAGAATCGTAGATAACCCCTAGTAATTTTTCGGGATTCTCCTTCAGTAAAGGCACAAGGAAGCCAAACCCATTCCCTTCTTTTGGTATCAAAACATTTGTTTTAGATACATAGACGTTCGCTAAAAATATACTGACATACTCCATTTTTGATAATTCTTTTGATAAATTAGAGCCTTGCAAAATATTCGCAAATTGATGAGTGTTGATGGTTGATCTAATATGATCAAATTTATATTCTTTTTCGCCATTCTTCAATAGTCCAGCTTTAGGATCGACAAGTCTTATGTTACTCTCATACTCGATCGTTACCTTCGGGTTGGACTTCGTTAAGTATGATGCTAACTTTATTGGAAATTGTTGTAATCCATTTTGTAATTTGATAATGGGAAATGGTTTCAATTTGGTCTTCAATGCTAATAAGTCCGCCTTAGGTGATATTAATGATTCATAAGCTTTTAAACTCTTATCCATATTTAAAGGCTCTGGTTTCAGAAATGAACTCCTAATCATCCCTTTGATAATAGATCCGCTCTCTTCAAGTTTTACTAATCTCGGGAATAAACTTCGTACGCTAAGCTTTCCAACATCTCCAGCATAAATACCATGAACTATAGCACTTAATATGTTGTCACATAGTAATGTACTACCGAATCTTCTCTTGAAAAATTCCCTTATGCTCTGGTCTTCATTCTGTCCTAACTTCGTTCTAACAAATGGCTCACGTAGGATACTCTTAAAACCTCCTTTGAAAATGTCATTTTGGAAAAACTTGACAGCAGATTTGAAATTAGATGGTACTCTTACTAACTTGTGATCTTTCCCGGCTAAATACTTCCTATTGCCTATAGAACTAGACTCCATAACTTCGATTTCATTAGTAGACTTAATGTTTTTAAGTATATCAATAATAAGTAAAGTTCCATCACTGACACCTCTTAATGTTCTGGGGCCCTTTTCTAAAAGTACTTTTTCATTTGTTTCTTGTTGCAAATTGATAGTCTTGATCCATCCCCCAGGCTGTTTTTGAGATTCAAATATAGTGATTTTAATATCAGGCCTAAGTTTGGTTAAAAAATAACTGAAAGAAAGACCTGATACTCCAGCTCCTATTACTGCAACGCTCCCATTACGTGGTATTTTCGATAGACTCATTGGCGATATAGCTGACAATTCAGCTACTTCCTTTTTAATAGTGAGTGGGACTTAACAATATATAAGTGAAAAAAAATCATACTACCTTGTCGTAAAAACGCAGTTTATCAGTTGATGAACTACGCAACCGAAAAAATTGAAAAAAGATGAAGGCCGCGAAAAACAGAAAAAAACCAACAGAATAAGATGGACGGTCAAGACATAACTTTACAATAAATATACGGTTCTGATAGTATCAGTAATTGCAAAAAAAAAAAATATGAAATATTAGATTAGTGGAATTGAAAGAAAACCGTGAAACTGAATAAAAATAATCATGAAAAACCAATATTCCAAAACGAGAAAAAAAATCTATATACAACTTGTTTTATAATCAAAAACGATGATTAATATCTTGCGCTTGATGATGATCTGCTTCTGTTACGACGGACAAATTATCGGTCAGCTGCTTCATGATCCCTCTTGGGTTGCGTGAAGCATCATTATTCACAAGTGTAGAATTCAGGTAATTCTTAGCTCCAAGGCTGGATACAGACCTTTGCAAACTATCATCGAAACTTTGATGTTGTAATAAGGGAAGTCTTTGATCGAAGCTGGTTTCTTGTGTTTCTTGAGTGAATAAACTAGCCAATTCATCATCTTGATTAGACTTTTGTGTCTGTACAGCATTTAAAGAGTCAACCGATGAAGTAGGATCAAATTTATTGTTGTTGTCTTTAAGCACTTTACTGAGTTTATCTCCATGAATCCGCGATATACTTTCATCTTGAATTATATTAAGACCTGCACTAGGAACTGAGTCGCTGGTATCTATGGTGTTTTGGCTTGTAACTTTGTCTTTTGCATTAGCTAATTCTTGTGCCTTTTTGGCCTCATGATCCATTACAGTAGAAACCGCTGCATCAACGCTCCTTATCGGAGCTACTTCAGACTCAGTAGCTCTGGAAGCCTCTTCATTCGGCATTTTTGGAACATCAACATTGTGAGTCGAGTGAGGTTGAGGGATATTGGTATTAGAGTTATTAAGACAAAGAGACGATTCATCAGACTTTGATGAGGTTGAAATTGAATCTTCAGATGGAACAGATGAGTTTAGCCCATTTGATGAAGATGTTGCAATAGAAGACAGTGCATTATCAGGTGAATAATCAGTGTTCTCGGAAAGGGTGGAATTTCTAGCAGCCAAGCTCAGGGACACACTTTGGGATGTATTGGATGGTGCTTGGGACGAAAGGTTGCTACTCGTAGGGGCAAAAGAGTTCAGTAATGACGATCTAATACGAGATTGTCTTGCATTACTAGCATTTGTTCCACAATTCTTATGAACTAATTCATCAATATTCACAGGTTCATGGGACTCTTTAGGACTTGCTGAAGGTGACAAAGACAATTCGTAAGCAGGAGCAGGTTCTTTAGGAATGATAGACGGGATTCTGCTCAAAGGATCATCCCCTAAAGATATTGATCTTGTAATTGGGGATGATGGGGCGGAAATCGCTTCTTCAAAAGAAGGTAATTGCTCCCCTTCATCTTGTACCAAAGGCTTTATTGAGACACCATTATGTTCAAAATTAGGCGTCCTAAATGAAATGGAACCTTGATTATTTGTATTTTGTTGATTAAATTGAGGCTGTGGTGAATCTATTTCATCATATTTAGGTAATTGGATTGAATCATCATTACACTTAGCACTTAGTAATATCAAAGGAGTATCCACAACCACTTCATAATGATGCATTTTGTAGTCATCTTTTGGATCAGGCTTCGAAATCCGGAAACAAACTTGTAAACGATGATGTATTTGAATATGACGGAAATTCGAGTCAGGACTCAATGCTTTAGAAACTGTAGTATAGCCTTGCTGGATATTCTCCTTTAATAAGTTATGAGATTCTTCAGCCATTAACGAAGAAACATCAGGCTTGAATTCTTCATCTGTATGAGAAGAAAGTTTGTGGGCTTTTCCAATGTCAGGATTACCATGACTGATACTTGTTTCTAGTGCACCAATCACTGGGGATGAAGGATTAAAGTTTTGATGCGGGACGTCGGCGCTTGCAATGCTTGCTCTATTATTTGGGTTTATTGAAGCCTTTCTTGAAGAGGAGCTGCTAAGAGGGTTAACAAATGCATTATCATTGTCATCATCTTGGTTGTTGAGACTTGAAGTCATGATTGTTTTATCAGATCTAGTTGTTAAAAACGGTAAAGCAATATTAATATCTAAAGGAGAAGCTATCATGAAATCATTTTTGGTTTTACTTAATGGGTCATCGTCTTTTGGAGAGTCATTATCGTTTTCAGGTTCGTAACATGAGAATAGTAAGTTATTATCAGGGCATTTAATTATTTCTTCTTTATAAGGGTCAGTTTTATTACCATTTGTAGATTTATTTTTAGTTTTCAATTCACAAACAGGCACTACACGTTCCCTTGTTTTATTATCACCCGTTAAAGGTCTTAAATAGTATGGATCATCACCATCATAATCATATTCTCTTGATAGATCTTTGCACACATAAGTAATTCTTTCCAATACATTGAATTTGATTCTTTTGATAATGACATCCTTAACCAAAGGAACCAATTTAACGTTTATCAGATGCTCCGAGCCTAATGATACATATTTCTTGGGGAAAGTGATTATATAATGTAAAGCATCATTCCAGACACGATTTACGTAAATCGGCTTATCAGCAATTGAGTTTGCAAAAGAAGGAGGAATTCTCACCATAGGTAAATTATAAGAGGCACACACTTTCGATTTTCTACTCAATTTAACACTTGTCTTATTAAAATTTACTGATAAGTTATGAATTAACGAACCATTAATTGAAGATATTGTTGGAGGAATGTGTTCTGGTAATAAAATTGGTAATAGGAATACATAGAGACCAGGTTTACTCATATCAGCTGAGTTCGTGGTATTACTAGTACTTGGAGATTGGATTGGATTCGAAGGTTCCTTTTCTAGGTGAATTGATGATCTGGAAGAAAAACTACTTGGGTAGTTACCATCGGCCAAGTCCTTAACTTTTGTTAATTTATACTCTCTAGTTCTCTTGGCTAAGTCCAATGTAGTGATATTTTTCAGTTTGACATCATTAGAATTTGAAATGTTTATATAAAAATCAGCATCATCTAAACTAGTTTTCCATTCCATATGACCAATATTAAACTTTTCTTTGACAAAAGTTTTATTATAGGGATCACTTGAGGGCCATAGGATATTTGTCAAAGATTGAAATTCAATGTTGACATCTCTTACTGAAATTTCTTTATCTAATTCAATGATAACAGCAAAAGTATGAGGAATTGGAGTATCAGAATCTATTTTAGTACATAAATAGTTTGGAGAATTGAAAGATTGCATTTTACGACGTAGTCTTTTTGGAATGGATTTCAAATTTGGATGATTATTTTGGGATATGTTGGAAGAGTTGGCTCTTGAACGAGTTGGTGGCGACAATAAGCCATCATCATAATCATCATCATCATCGTCTGATAACACTGCTGACTCATTATTATTGATGCGCAATGAAGTAGACAGAGGCGAACCGTTCAAATCACCATCTTCAGCCACATGGTCATACTCATCATCATCATCGTCGTCGTCATCATCATTATCCATTAAATCTTGATTACTTCTGCCTTGAGGAATTCCTCCATTTTCAACATCTTCATAAGTGAAACTTGCAGAAGAAGCCGGAGCCAAATAGATACAATCATTAGTATTAGCAACATAGACTTTGGCAGTTTTGGAACTAGGTCCATTGATATTACCATTTGTAGTTTTAAGGGGAATGGGTTGCTGTAAACCCAAATCCAGTAGAACATGGAGTAGTTTTTTCGAGATAACTTGAGCAGTTTCCTGTTTTATAAGCTCTTTAGTTTGTTTTTTACTAACACTTCTTGAGCGTGACCTGGAATTGCCATTATTAAGTGATAAAGACTGAGCTCTAAAGCGACCACCAGAATTTGATGTCGAACTCGAGATATTCATATTAGAAGATGAATGTTTCTTCTTCTCTAGGGATTCTGATATAATGATCATGGGATTGGATATACTGTTTCGACGATCAGCTGATTTGGCACTAGCAATCTCAAGTATAGAAGATTCAGACGATCTTCTACCACCACCGCTCACCTTACTCTTAATTTTATCAAAACTAAAATTACGAGGATGCATCATTGGATCAGACTCATAAAGCGATAACAAAAAGGAAAAGAAGTTAATTAAAAAAAACTTATCAAGATTCAATAAGCTGTTAGGACAAGAATTTAAACAACAATCTGGGGAAAGCGACAAATAGATTGGTTTATCACACTAACAGAACAGAAAAAATTGTTAGACTTTGGTAGGAAATTCACTCCCTCACTCACTCACCTACTCCTAAGGAAAAAAAATGAAGCAATAAACTAGAAGAGAGGGTCTAGTTTCAGGCACTTATCCTTTAACAAAAATGTAAAAGGGAAAACTAGTTGATAAAAACAGCTAATAAGAATAATTAGTTGGCGGCTACAAGTAGTTGATAAATTTCTAAAATTCTAAATTTTTTTTTTGATTACTTTTTTTTTTTTGTCTTTGCTTATTGTAAAATGTAATAGTAAGCCTAGTTGGCCCGATTTAAGCGTATCTCCTTTTGATTACGAAAAAGAGTTAGGAAAAATGCACAATGCCCTCACAAAAGAGAAAAAAGAAAATTACATGTACCAAGTTAAGAAAGCATAAGCCCTTTGGTTGGATGACGTCTTCACTGATTGCACGTATCCTAGTTAGACGAATCGAGGGTTGAGGGAGTTGTAGTGTGAACATATCTAAATACTATATGAATGAGGGCCGGTTCCCAATAAGGTATTTGCAGGTTCATATGCCTATTGTTGGTGGGACGAGAGCGATTGAATGAAATAAAATTTCAAGTGGACTAATTTATTACAAATACCAATAATAGACCCCTGGTTGTGAAGCTGCATACTTTAAGTGAAATGTACCTTGAATGTTAACGGGATTAGGTGAATCGTCACCAGCCGTAGCGAAGCGAGCAAGGTACTAATGCTTTGGCAACTATATTGAAGTAAATCCATTTTACTATAGTTGCTTCGATTTTTGATAGTTTTGTGTAGAGCAACCTATTATAACATTACTGTAAGCTTGAATTCATAGGCTTAAATATATATATAGGTTGGCTTCATGCTGCTATCTTTGGTAAAGCAGTCCGAGCTGCCTCTCCCGTACACCGCATCAGTAGCAGCACCGGTATCTGGTGATGCATTTTTGTGATAATGTTGTTTTCGGTTATTTGATTGCAAATACAACGAAATTCAAAGAAAGAAAGAATATATTCTCTATAAACAAGCTAAATTGAATCATCCAAGTCGGTAAAACAAGTGTCCACAAACATTCCATTTTGGAGTAATCCAGTCATGATCCCCGGTAATACTTCAACTTGGAAAGGTTCAATTGGGAAATTTTCCCCATCGATGGAAATATAATGATTTCTAGTTCGTTTTAAACGAGGGACTAATCTATAACCACGAATTTTAAAATGGTCAACTTTTTCATGCAAAACATGTGAGCCTTTATCAATATTCAAAAGAAATTTAGTAGTATCTAATAAACTAGTATTAGAATCCGTCATTATTAAATCCATATTTCCATCGTTTGGTAAAGCCGCTGGGAAAAATTGAGTATCACTAGATATATATGGCATTTTACCAACGTAAACGATATTTAGTTGATCACTTTTGGATTCTTCTAATTTAATCCAATTCGATGGGGGAGGTTGATCTAATTTTGGATACTTTAATTTAAAATTCTCAATATTAGTTGGTTCAGTATCTTTATTATTCACTTTAGTAAATTTTTGAAAATGTTTTGATATTTCATCTTTTGTTCTTGTTTGATAATCAATATAAAGATCACATGGATATTTTGATCCTTGCATTATTCTTTGAATAACTCCAATCTCAAATCTAACCGATCCCATCCATCTTAAATGTTCGGTACCAATATCACTATCAGCAATAATACCATAACATTGACTTAAGAATGATAATATAGTTTTCTCTTCACTACCAATTCCTTGAGTTACCGCCATTAAATCTAATTTTGCTCTTTCAGCTTTCAACATCTTAAATGTAGCCAAACTTGCATTCGTTGTTCCATGAGTACTTAAAGAAAGAGCATTCCCACTACCACAAGGTAATTGTGTGATTGCTACTTTATTAAAAGCATCAATTCCATAATCTTTCCTTTGGTAAAATCCATTTATAACTTCATAGGGTATTCCATCTCCTGAACAACATACAATCACGTCGTAATCCTCAATTAATAACTCCCTAGCTATATCAATAGCATGTCCACTGTATTGAGTCTCAAATAACGTCACCTTGGCGTTGGATGCCTTCAAAATCGGTTCTATTTCTTGATGATATATTCTGAGTGCATGTCCTTGACCCCCAAATGGATTGATCAAAATAAGTAACGATGGTTTAATGAGTTTGTTAGTATAAGCCTTACTCAAAATCTCATTGGTTAATTCACCAGTTGTTTCCAATCCCATTGGGGAATCAATTTCAACCTGAAGTTTCAATGGTTTTACCTTCTCGTCTCTTCTGTGAGAATATAAATAAGTGACTTGAACAACCTTCAGCTTAGAATTAACATCATTGGCAAGAAGATTGTCTTGCAGGGATTGTTCATGTACATGGGAATCATTGGTAACCGGTTCACACCAGATTATATTCTGGTATGGAATATGGGATTTTTTGGTCCAATCTTCTTCTTCCTCTCCAAAATAGAAGCATGGGCTGAATCCTGATTCTTTCTCATCATCATTTGCATGTAATGCAACTAAATTTTGATCAGATATCTTAATACCTAAATCGTCAAGTGTTCCTTTAACCAACATAGTTTTAATCGTAGCTTAACAGCGTCGTAGAAAGAAAAGAATGTGAAGGGAAAAAAGAGCGAATAGCACTGGTATTATTTAAATCCACAAAATGATAACACGGGACGGACTGCTAGTATAGTTAATAGATAGTTCTTTAGACAATAAAAGGAGGAAAAAAAATATATAAATATTTTCACATAAGTTTAATAAATAGAGTCCGAACGCGCAACTTGCAAAAAGATAGACTAAATCGCAGTTAAACAATTGATAAGGTATATACTGGTATTGTCAGAACTTGTATCATTCGTTGCAAAGGGCCAGCTGGGTCTGTTCTAGTTAGCGGAATAGCCACCGTTTCTGGATTTAGGCTTTTAATCTCCCTAATGGCATTTTTTAATTTTGCTGTTTATTCTTGTTGAAACCTTGTCTCTTCACGTTCTTGAACCTAACTGAGCCAGCAGTTCGCCTTAGTTGAGTTAAGTAATCCCTAAGATCCATCTTTAAACAATTGGAGCTTACTAGTACAATGGGATACAAGTGTGGTTGCCATATACTCGTGTCCTTTGTTGTTTGAGTTTAACAAGGCCGGCCTAGACTATACAAATAATGATCCAAGTCTCGTGGGCTCTATTGATGGGACTTCGATAGCTTTATGTCCTTGATGGGAACGGATTGATTATAGATTTCCATAAACGGGAAGTGTGTCGCGAATGCTCACGACAAAGCATCACAAATGTGATGGAAAAAGCGACAGGAAAATTAAAGAAGAGAGAAAAAAAAATATCAACCTACCGTTAAACATATGCTATCGAAACCCTGATGAACCAGAACGATGGTGCTTCCATGAAGGAGGCAGAGAACCAAACTACTAGCGAGCAGATTCTTCAGGATGCCTTTTCTATGAAAGATTTGCCGTTGCAGAGGCCTAAACAATCCATCCAAGACCTAGATGAGCTCAGATCTTATCAATTGACTAAACGAAAAGAATATGAACAACAATTGAATAAGAATAGACTAAACTTTGGTCAGTGGCTTAGATATGCCAGATGGGAAGTTGAACATAATCATGACTTTGCTCGTGCAAGATCGATTTATGAGAGAGCCTTAGAGGTGAATATCCAACATATCCCATTCTGGACTCATTATATTCAGTTTGAATTGTCACATAAAAATATAAACCACGCTCGTAACATACTAGACCGCGGTGTGACAACTTTGCCTAGGGTTGACAAGCTATGGTTCTTGTATGTCCAGACTGAAGAAGCCTTGGGAAATTATCAAATGGTGAGAAATATCTTTGAGCGATGGATTACTTGGAAACCAAATCCGAAAGTTTGGGATTCATATATAAATTTTGAAAAGAGGTACGATGAATTTGAATACACTAGAAATATATATGTTCGCTATGTTCAAAATTATGGAACCAGCAATATATGGTTGAAGTGGATTGATTTCGAATTGAACGAAATGCCAAATAATCGTGTGCAAATAATTAGGAACGTGTTTGAATTAGCAGCCGATAACCTTTTGAAGAATATAACTGGCAACTCGTCCGATGACCTACTCCCGGTTATAATAAGCAAGTGGTCACAATGGGAGTCGTCGGTAAATGAATACGATCGGGCTAGGGCAATTTATCAAATTCTATTATCAGGCAAAATTCATATCCCGGAAAACCTTCGGGAATCCATTTATCAAAAATATACAGAGTTTGAAAAAACACATGGAGACAAGAACTCAATTGAATCAAGTATTACTTTGAAAAGACAATTAAAATACGAAAACGAGGTTGCATCAAATCCTCACGATTATGATTCTTGGTGGGCTCTTCTTAATTTGCTCGAGAAGTCTTCTGACTCGGACAAAATACGATCAACTTACCAAAATGCATTGGAGCCACCCCTTGATAATTATAAATCATTTGTTTGGAAAAGGTACATTTTCCTATGGATAAGATATGCATTATGGCTAGAATTCGAATTAAAAGACATAGACGGTGCACGCGAAGCATGGAGATCATGTGTAAAGACCCTTCCCCATCAATCTTTTTCATTCGGCAAAGTTTGGATCCATTTTGCTAATTTTGAAATTAGAAATGGCAATGACGAAGGTCTATCGAATGGAAGAAAAATACTTGGTAGAGCTATAGGTCAAACAAGTAATAAACCTAAAAGGAAGATTTTTGATTATTATATTAGCTTGGAGAAAAAATTAGGTGAATGGGATAGATGTCGAACCTTATATGAAAGATGGGTAGAGGTGTTGATTTTGAGTAACCAGAAGGCGTCTGATGTTCTAAGCCAGTACATAGAATTCGAAAAATCTTTGAATGAATCTGACAGGGTCATTGCTCTCTACCAGTTTGGAATATCAAGTACAGAGAATCTAGACCTCCAGCTAAAAGTTAAGAATGAGCTTGAATTGGGTTTGATCGAATTTTATAAAGAAGAATTTAGATACGACGAGGCCCGTGAGTTATACAAAGACTTAATCGAAAAGTCAAATGAATCACAGCTATGGATATCGTTTGCTTTATTTGAATCATCTATCTTAACAACTGATCAACTAGAAGTTTTAGAACAATCAGATGAATCAAATGAGTTGGAATTCGTTATAAATGATACCCATAAAGAAAATACTCGGAAGATCTTTCAACAAGCATTGGATCACCCTGATCAACTGAATGAAAATAAAATTAGTATATTAGAAGAATGGCAACGTTATGAAGCTGCCCACGGGGATGACAATTCTCTCAAATCGGTAGAAGACAAAATGCCTACCATTGTGAAGAGAAGAAGGCTTATAGATGGTAATGAAACAGAGTATCTAGATTTCATCTTCCCAGAAGTAAAACCTAAAACTCCTGGGTTGAGTAAATTTTTAGAAAATGCCAAAAAATGGGCAATTCAGAATAAATAAAAAAAGTGTATATTAATAAATCAACTATTACATATTTACAAACTTTGATGATGTTTCATCCTTATCATTTGCTGTTCTCCAAGTAGATCTTGATAGAAACTAGTCCCGTCAATTACTCGAGATATGTCAATTCCTGGGTCGATCACTAGGCTAAATCCCGAATCAATTATTTCCATAAATTGTCCTTCAAAACAACATTTATAGTCCTAATATCCACCTCTCAAGGTAAGAACCAAATGCAATGAGCAGCCTGCAGTGATGTTTGATTCATTAACAGTACTTTCATCTGCTAATTGCGATCCATTGAAAATCAAACGTTGTTGCGCTGGTGGTATACCTTCTTTCTCTTCCATCATTTCTTTGATGCGAATAATCTTATCAGATGGTTCGATATCGACAGGAATATCTCTTCCAGTTAAAGTTTTCACCTTGACTTGCATTTTTGGCCTTGAATTAATCTAAGAAAGACTTCTATAATGTCCTCCAACTGAGTTTTGCTTCGTTCTCATTTGATTTTGAGATTTCCCTCTTTTTTTTTTTGTTCTTTTTTGATGTTTGCATCAGTGCACTTCTGTAGCTTCACATACAATTACAGATAGATTCATACTGTGTTGGAGCAAAGATGTTTGACACCCCTATAACAAACATCGACTATGACAAGGTATACGAACCTGCAGAGGACTCTTTCTTGCTACTAGACTGCTTTGAGCAGGAATATCGATCCATCCAACAAAGGTTCACTGGCCGAGTCCCAGTAGTAACTGAGATTGGTACTGGATCAGGTATAGTTACATGCTTCATAAAACAAAACATTTTACCACATTCGATATTCTTTGCAACTGATATAAATCCAACGTCGTGCAGTACTGCTGCTGAGACTGTCAAACTTAATGATACCCATGAAACCCATCCGTTCTCGTTCACTGCAATGCAGATGAATCTAACGAGTGCCATACGTAGCAATAAAATTGACTTACTTGTGTTCAATCCACCATATGTCCCTGCAGAAAATGTTCCAGAAATACCGAAAGACCTGGAGGACAGCTCTTGGTTAGATCTTGCTTTGTTGGGAGGTCAAGATGGTATGGTGACTACATGGGAAGTCCTCAACAACTTAGAAAACATTCTTACTCCAGAATTCGGGATTGCATACATTTTGTTCTGTGCTAGAAACAAACCTGACCAAGTTGCAGAAACTATGAAGGCAAGAGGATGGAAAGTTGATGTTGTCATACATCGAAAGGCCGGATGGGAAGTCCTTAGCATTCTACTGTTCCAGAAGTAGCTACATTATAGTTAGCCTCACAATAAGTATTACCGTCTTATTCAAAAAGTTATTTTAATGATAGAGATATATAGATGACATATAGATAACATTGTATAGTAATTAAATTTAAATAGTTTAACAGAAGTGAAAAATCTGATATTGCACCTGCATAGGGTAATTTTTTGTAATTTTTTTTTTTTTTTTTGTCTTTCATCCTTCGTTTTAAGACATCATTATTCTTCACTACATTTTATTTATATCATAGATACAGGGATCCAATGAATTACACAGGTGGCATGCCGGATAGAGGAAGACCGATTGCAAGAAATGCAGTGGCTCCTACCAGGACTAAATGGGCTGGGGCTTCCTCCAGATACAAGCAAATTGGTAATAATAAATTAGACACCATCATCACTGGGCATTTGACCCAAGAACAAGCCGAAGCTTACCAGCAATATTTCCGTATAGAGGAAATATCTCACCTTTTAAGAAGTGCCAATCAACAAAAGAGAGATGTCATAAGTTTGCTACCGTCTGGTAACTTGGGAGAAAATCCTAATTTTCAAAGAGATCCATCTCCTCCTCCCAAATATAATAGCGATGGGAGCAGGTCAAATACCCGGGAAGCTAGAACTAAAACAATACTCGAAAAAGAAAGACATTATTTGGTTGAGCTCACTGCGGGTTCGATTAAAAATTACGTTCCTCCTAATGACTACCGTAAGCCCAATAAAACATACGAGAAGATATATATACCGGTTAAAGACTACCCAGAGATTAATTTTGTTGGTTTACTTCTTGGGCCAAGAGGTAACACCTTAAGACAACTTCAAGAAGAAAGTGGAGCTAGACTTGCCATACGAGGAAAAGGATCGGTGAAGGATGGGAAATCTACATCTAATAACGACGATGATGATTCTAACAATCCGTTATCTTCTACTTCATTTTCAAATCCAAACTTGAACTCCAATGCCGACGATTTGCATGTGGTGATTACTTCGGATACCCAATCAAAGATTGCGAAAGCCATCAAGTTGACTAACGAAGTGATCGAGAAAGCTATAAGCTCACCCATTGGTCAGAACGATTTAAAGAGAGGACAGTTACGTGAATTGGCTGTGCTTAATGGTACCTTAAGGGAAACTAAACCTTATGTTCAGGATAGCTTTAAAGAAAAACGTAAACCTGCATTCGATATCTCGACAATCGTTTGTAGTAACTGTAAAAAAATCGGTCATTTTGCAAGAGATTGTAAACTTCCTCCAGCTATTGATGAATCCGGAGCTACCACTGGCCAAATTGAGAAAAGAGAAATAGAGTCTGAAGAATCCACACAGTCTAAGAAAAGGAAACCAAATGTTCCATTACCACCCTGGCAAAGAGCCACACCTCCTCCACCTCCTCCTGCACCATCGATCAATGTGGGACATCCTTTGAAGTTTCCACCACCGCCACCAACCTCATCTTTGGCTTCTTCAAAAGTAATGGCACCACCACCTCCTCCTTCATCGAATGTCCGTCCGCCACCTCCACCTCTGACGAATCCAAGCGTTCCTCCTCCACCACCTCCGTCGACTTCAAACGGTCCACCTCCACCACCTCCACCATCGACCTCAAGCGTTCCACCTCCACCTCCACCTTCTCTGAAATCTACAAAGCCACAAGTACCTCCCCCACCACCACCTCCTGCATCTTCTTGATGTTAGATATAAATCATATTTTCTACAAGCAATGTAATTTATATTACAGTTTTTTAATCAGTCTTTTTTTTTTATTTTAGTGTATAGTAAACGAATTAAATAAAGTCAGTTCGATTGCTGAACCATGCATATTCCATTGAGGCCAGTAAAAAAAAAAAGACAAATAGAAAAAAGATATGAAGAAGTGAAAAGATATATATATATATATATAAATATAGTATCATTTTTTAGCAGTTATTAATTTTGTTGTATGAACATTTGTGCACTATCACTTATAAGATTGGCCATAAGGTTCATTTCATGCTGGGCCCTACCCCAGTCGTTTTGTAAAATATAATCCCTAATAGCAGGAAAAGTATTCCATTCATATTTGTGATCATCCGCTGGGGGGGCGTCGAAAGCTGGTCCGAATAATATATTAGTATAACCTGAACGTTTTGGTTGAACATCTTGAATTAAAAACTTCGAGTTAAATATTAGCATGTTGTCATTCCAGTTCCACCTATTCATAGCAAGTAATGAAGGCTCAATCTCAGCCGATTCAGCAACAAATTTCTTCCAATTTTCAACCCACTCGTGGAAACTTTTACCAGCTGCTTTTAGATTGTCGATTGCTCTTCTCAAGCCTTCGTAGTGAATTTGAGGAATGTTTGGCTGAGTAAGGGTAGCAATTCTATCATTGACAAATTTTTCCAAGTCGTTTACATATTCACCCAACTTGAGGCCAAAATCATTGAAATTATAAGGTATGATTGGTTCTTCTGCCAAAGTTAAAATAATTCTTGAAAGTAATTCGACTAATTGTTTATGTTTAAACATAGATGGATCAATTCTCGACTTTTCAAAATTTGTAAAGTCATCGTAGCAGGAATTCTTAGGATATTTGCCTCCAGTAAATTTAATTTCCATTGATGGAATATTGACTGTATTAATGAATGGTACGTAATTTTTTTGCTCAATCATATTATTAGGAATTGCATCATTTCCATTATTTATGTTTCTATAGTAATCAAATAAGGATATGTGTTCTTTGGATTCTTTTTCATCTGGTTTATCTACTTTCGCTAAAGCGTCTTTTATAATAGAGTGGAAGAATGGATTTGAAGAAATTTTTAATTCATCACCGGAAACAGCATCACTTAAATCAATGTATGCATAACCTTGTTGCTTTAATTCTTCCTTTTTATTTTCAATCCATTCTTCAGATCCAGCTAAGTTATATTCAGTGGCGTCAAAAGATACAAAGTAGATTGTTCTTGCTGGGGACCAATTGTATCTACGTTGTAAAGAAGTGAAAACTTTCACAATTTCGAGTAAAACAGTGGAACCAGTACCTGATGATAAGGTACCATAACAAGTTGAATCTCTACTGGCACCAATTATAACCCCTTTCTCTGATTGCTCACGCCCAGGGATGGAGCCAACTATGTTCCATATTTGATGCATAGGTCTCTCTTCATTTTTAATTCTAATTTTAAGTTTATGTTCATCTGATTTAGTTCCAGAGTATAAGTCGTCATCAAACTTGACTCCGTTTGAGCCCAACTTTTTAATAAACTCGGATGCATCTTTCCAAGAGATGGGGATGCAAGGGATTTTAGGGGTGATTGGAGATTTTGACCAAGGAAGTCTAGCAACAAAACCATCTTGTGCCGGCCACCCAGGTGTAAGTACATCACCAGGACTCATTCTCGTAAGGCCCATGTTTTCCTTTATGATAACGTCATCATAACTCACCCCGTTGATATCATACTTTGGAGTAACAAATACAACAGCCTTAGCCCCATGTTGCTGAGCAATTTGTATCTTATTCGGTTCTGGGATAGAACCACCATATTTTACCAAAAATATGGCACCATTTAGTTTAATGTGGGAATCTTTTAATTTTCTATAGTCCTCTTGGGTCCCATAATTAGCGTATATATAAAAGCTTTCAATTTCATCATTCATTTTCAAAGAGTTTGGGTTATATGCCAAATATTCCATATCATGATTTTTACGCTCAAAAAGAGTTGCCTCGTAGGAATTATCTGATAATTTGACGTAATTTTCTTTTGGTTCGAAAACCGGATAATTTGTAAAACTTTGAAGTTCATTGAAATCAATGACATTAATACCATTATTCATCATATGACCTTCAATGAATTTACTTAATGCAAGATCCCCTTTCGAACCAGCAATGTGGGGCATTGATGAAAGATACTCTAGATTTAGTTTCATAGTCCGTGGATCAATAAAATCTTTCAAAGATTCACTCAACTTGTTAATATCATAAAATTTCCCGGACAGAAAGGCACCGCCACTGGCACCATTCACACCATCGCTGACATTGTATTTAGTAATAATAAATATAAAACACATCACGAAAAATACATAGAGGAGTCTCTTTACCACTAGAGGGTTTCCGAGTTTTAGAATAGATCTTTCGTATTGCAGTTGGAAATACTTATAGCCTTCGTATATCGGATCAATTATCTTTGTCACTGGGCGAATAACACTGCTATTGAAGTTATAAGCAAATTTCTTTGTTATAAGCGATGCCCGTACTAGAAAACCCTCTCTTTGTAACGGTTCAAACGTCTCGTCGTCATCAATTTCAAACTCCTCTATGGGAACATGCGAGGTGTTTCTACTCTGTCCTTGACTGAATGTATCATCTGCATTCAAATCATCATAATTTGGAGGGTTTATTGGCATATTATTATCGGACGTAGCTAAACGTTCGTATGGTTGGTTTTGTCCCGCCATTCTAAACTTAAACTTCTATTCTTTTCCTATGCCAGATTCACTTAGTGATCAGATCTGAGGGTTCTGCCGTTTATATGCTGCTAAAAGAATAAGAAGAAGTCCCAGATACTAACAACTTAGTTTTCATTCATCTAAATGGTTTCTTGGGCTATTTTTTTCTCTCGTTTTTCCTATCTGTTATTTTTGGCACACTATCGTATGTATATTAGTAAAGTATTTCCCGGTTGTTTTTCTTGGGATAAACTGCGGTTGGCGGTCTGCACGGGTCTTTGCCCCGGTCCGTACACCACGCATCAGCAAAAACTCCCCTGTGGGCCATCAAATCTCCAGATGAATATATATCATTGAAGGTTCTTCTAAATCAAGGCAAACCAAGGGGTGTATGAACACGGAATTGTGAATTCATATACATCAGCTTGCCTGCACGATACAGAATCAATACCCTTTCGTTGTTGTTTGGTATACAATTGTTGGATTCGCATTAAAACCCTTCGGTATTAGGTGGATAGATCCGTTTATGACTAATCTATGATTACAATGTCAAAAGATCCTAATAGTCCTAGTTACACTAACGGCCAAACCTTCACTCTGAATAATAGGAGCGAGAATTACTCTCGTGCCAATCATACCGTATCAGACCGTTCTAAAGGTCAGCATATTGCATCGCAGAAACAACATCAAAAGATGAAGGCCAGACCCAAAGAAAAATCAGGAGGGTCTTTGGTATCGAATAAAAAAGGAGCAAGTCCGCAGGCTTCCAATAAGGGTAGCAATCTAGGAGGAGATGAGCTGGAGCAGTACTCGGAACCTTCTGGTATACAGAGTAAAAAATTCGGCAAGGCAAGAAAGAATCAAATATCACTTGATCACTTGCTTGATTTCCAGTCTTACAAAGATCTGGAAGTGTATCAACAGAATCATAATAAATCCAAGGCAAGAAGGAACAGTGACCATTCCAAAAAGTCAAGATCCAATGTTTCCAAAGTCCATTTACACGGAATGAGCTTCATCAATGTTAATTACAAATTTATCGTGGATTACAGAGACGATTATAAAATTCAACAATTGGATCCTAATGTTCCGGTGGAAACGTCTAGTATATTGAGAATTGTGGTTCCAAAGGGTAATTCGTGTCCAATTTGTTTGTCCGAAGAACCAATCGCTCCTCGTATGATTACGTCTTGTGGTCATATTCTTTGCTTAACATGTCTCTTGTCGTTACTTGAAAGTGAGATCCCTACATCCAAAAAGCGTGAGAGCCTGGTTATAGTGGAGAAGTATCGTGACTGTCCATTATGTGCTTCGATTATTAGAACCAAGGAAGTCAAACCGGTATTGATAGATCTGGTGGATGAAAGATTTGAAGTTCCTAAGATCCATGACGAAGCTATTTTGACCTTGATGGCAAGACCTCAAGATAAAATCCTACCTTTACCTAGTGCACTCGATGAATTAAGCTTAACTATAGATAATTTTCCTTGGGTTAGTCAATCTGATAATTTACCAGACCTAACGCCATACCTGCGTCTTTTGAAAGCGGATTTTGCATACTTAATAGCTATGTATGAGAAAGAAAAGAAAGATATCATGACTGCCTATGAGAACGAAAAGCATTTGTACAACGATGATGGGAAATTCATTAAATTGGCAATTGAAAATATAAATAAAGACATTGAAGAATGGTCTGCCAAGTTTCTGCAACAAAGCCTTGCTCCGGCTAACAAAGATACCCAAAGGCTTCATTCAAATCCATTCTTTTATTATCAAACTGGATTCAGGGCGAACTCCACTTACGTTTTATCGCCATTGGATATGAAAGTATTGAAAACTGCGTATAATGGAGACTATACTCGACTTCCATCTTCAGTTATTGCCAAAATTGAAAATATACGCTACGAAGACCTTTCACCTGAAGTGGTGACAACCAAATATAAATATTTATCGCATTTACCATTAGGAAGTTCAATTGGATTTTTAGAATGTAATTGGCTGAATAATGAATATATTGACCAAGAGACTTGGAAAATATTCAAGAATGATTTAACTAAACGTACGAAAGCGTCCGAAAGGAAGCTTCGTAAAGAAGACAAGAATAAAAAATTGGCTCTTGATGCTGAAGAACTCAGAACCCGAATTTTTTTCGAAAGAGAGAATAATCCTGAACTAGCTAACAATGATGACTATACCTATGATTATTATCCTGCAAATTTCGGCAGTTTGACTATAAATGATTATAGAGAGTTACCACCTTTATCATCGCTGGCAAACAATGCTAGCTCAAGCTCTCAAGCCGAGAACACTAATGATGATACCCATTCCGACTCTTCTCTGGATCAAAATACATTTCAAACAACCATATGGGGTACCAAGATACCCAAATCAGAAGTTCAACCCTCACTCCACGATGATGATGATGACCCTTATGATTGGGATCCTGAAGAGATGATTAGGAGAGCAAAAGAGGAAATGGAAAAGGAACAACAAGCACAAGGAAATTCCAAAGGAAAGAAGAAGAAGAAGAAGCTTGTTCTTCTCTCTTCAAATTCCAACTGGTGAGGTAAAAAGGCATACATAGACACTTAGCAGGAACAATATAGATATAAAATCATAAGTACATAATCATGAATACTGTAGAGTTTAAATGTAATTAAATAAAAAAAAAAAAAGAAATTTTTTTAAAAAGTCTATCTAGTATAATTAACGTTCTTTTTTCGAATTGTCTAAATCTTTAATTTTATCGTCCATTTCAGACATCTTCCTACAAAAATCTTGTAAGAAAATTGGAAGTACTCGAATAGCTGGTAAAAAATTTGCATAGAAAGGCTCACATATGACACCTTTTTCTCCATCGTTTATGCTTTTGACGATGTTTTTTGCAAACTTGATATGATTTACTAAAGGAGCAAAAAATAATTTTGAAGGCATAACATCTTCAAACATCTTTGTCGTCAATTGGCCTGAAGTGATGAGAAGTAAACGTACACTTGGATATTCAGAAAGCTCTTTCAGTAAAGATTCATAAATTTGAATAATAGCGGCTTTCGATGCAGAATAAGCGGAAAGATTCTTAGGTCCTAACGTTCCCAAGATTGAAGATACAAAGACCACCGAAAGTCTTGCATTGGGATCTCTCGGTAAAATTCTTTCAATGTGATTACTCAATACCAGTTTCAAGATCCATATTTGAGAAAAGGTGTTAACATTGAACACGTTGAAAATCTTTTCTCTTGATAAATTGAGGAATGATTCACTATGTCTAATAGCTGCATTGTTGATTAGAATACTTATATGCTGGTCCTTTGTCTCTAAATGATCTATTATGGCTGTCAATGTATTGTTTAGCTCTTCTTCATTTCCAATGTCACATTCATGGTACTCCACCTTCTCATTCATCTGAGCCATATGTGGGTGTTCCACATCGAGCACTATTACTCTACCAATATCGGTACTTTCAAGTAAGTCTTTTACTATTTCTTCTCCCAATCCATTACTTCCGCCTGTTATTAATGCAACATCACCATCACTGATTTGCTGCCATTTACTGGAATCGGGATACTTATAATTCTTGGAGTAATCATAAATAAGGTGGCCAACACAAAGCGATACGTATGCTGCCACCCAAACAACATTGAATCTTGTAATCAAACTGAAAAATCGTTAGTAAATCGGATAACCGAGTAAGTAAACGTCAAAAACATACCATAGTATAAAAAGTACCCAATAAACATAGATGATATGCTCCTTCAATATCGCCAAAATTGAATCTATACTAACCGTCATACTTATTATATCATCCTTAACTCTATAGATTGTAATCCTCGAAAGCTAAACTAAAGTCCATAATTTTTATCCAGATGGGCCTTTCTCGAGATCGCTAACTAGGTACAAAAAAGTTACCATACTGGGCCGAACAATAGAAAATGAGACTGACATAACGAATACATAACTAAAAAAAAAAAACAATAACAAAGTTATTTCCAGTTCGGTTGCAACTTTTACGATTCAGTTTAATATATTTACAGAAATAAATACAAGTCTATATAATCCGATCATTTGTGAGTCTCTCTGTCAAAATCATAGCCTCTGGCCACACCCCCTCTACCTTCCTCTACTCTTGCACCTTCTTCTGACGCGTCTTCATCACTATCACCATTTTGCCAATCACTTCCGAGACCTGTCCAGTGTCTATTTTGTAAATGCATAGCAGAGGTAGAAACAGTATTCTTTATTGCCACTGCACTGGAGAATTTCTTCACCAAGCTCTTGTCGCTGTCTTTGTCATCGTTATTTTCAGTCTGGTTATCTTCTTGTGACGTTATTTGCAAATGTTGTAAGCGTCTCAATGGTCTAGCGTTGCTCACGAATTGACCAGTGACAGGATTGAATTCTGGTGCCTCATCTTCGTAATCATCGGTTGATGTTCCCTTATCGTTTTGAACCTGGTTTTCATTTTCATTTTCGTGTTCAGTTTCTTCCTCTTCATTCATTTCTTGTAAGATATTTCTAAAGTCGGTCACCCACTTGCCTGTCCAAGAAAGTTCGTAATTCAATGCTAGCATAAGTTCGTATGGGGTCACAATTGGCTTGAAGTATTCATTGTTCTGATCAATAATTATCCCTTGATGATCACAGCCTAAGATACACCAAATATCAACATTTTCAAAATTGGCCAACTTAGCAACATTGGGTTTACCGACAACGAATATGTAGTGTTTTTTTCCAGCCTCCTTGAGCTTCTTCGCCATGGTATTGATAAGTTTCTTGGTATTGGCCAAAGATAAAGTATTCACCAATAGCCCAACAGTACCCGCAGATCTTGCCATGTGCATATATCTGTATCTACGCATCAAGTTTGGATAAGGGCCTTGTGAAATAGTATGCTTCAGAGGATCGTATGTGCTTACTGATTGGAATCTAGTGGTTAATTGCAATAATCTGGGTGTTTCAGGTATGGTTATATGGAATAAGTCATATTGGGAAAGAGTGGCATCTATATCTTCCTCATCAATGAGCTCATCTTCTAAGTGTAGAAGGGTTCTATTCAAAACATGAACGGCGTCTTTCTCGAGAACTTCTGGCTCATACCCTATGATTGAAGCCTTGGAAGACGGGTCGATGTATACATCCGCATAAGCCAAGTTGGGATACTGGGGTTTTAACATTTTATATAATGGCTTAAGGATTGTTGTGTGTGGTGCATCAGCCATTAATAATATACTCAGCTGGCTTTCAGATTCAAGGGGGTATCTTTCTTGGAATTTTTCAACCAATTCGTGAAGATCGACTCTAGGTGATCCAAACACATAAATAGCTGGCAACTTGTCAACAGGGTTGAGACATGCATCACCAAAATGAACTACCAAGTCACTTTGGACATGTTCAGCTGCAACTTCATCAATACAACAAGCAGAGTATGAGGTGTCAGCTAATATCCAAATCTTCCTTGTTTGTGGCTCTGGATGTGATGTTTCACTCTTGTTGGCACAGGCTCCTCCGCCTGAGCTACAACAACCATTAGAATCATTGCAGGCATCATTTTTTGTTCCTTCATCATTTGAAACAAATCCTTCGTATGATAACCCCAACTTTTTCTGCAATTCATGAACAATACTAGCTGAGTCGCATACTAGCGAGTCTGGGAATTGCAATGTTATTCTTTTAAAATCATTATTATCCTCATTTTCCCCTTTGAGAAACTTGACAATCTCGTCTATTGAATAGTATTCATTAATTCTAGTTATGTAGTCTTCACTTTCTTGCAACCCGAGGTGGCTTCTATTTTTCTCCAGGTCTAACACTTTGTCAAATTGAAAAGTATCTTCATCCTGATAAGTGGATAAAGCTGGCGCTACGACACCTTCACTCGGTCCAGATACTTCTTCGGTTGCTTGAGGCATGATTTGGGTGTCTGAGTTAATCCAATCTCATCGAGATGCCATTATGCCTTTTTTTTTTCTGTTTGATTTTTGAAAAAAAAAATAATGGTCGCTATCTTCTTTAGTGAGCTACAAGATCGATAAAAAATGTATATTATGTCTTATTGAGTTAGCTATTTTTTTTCTGCCCATGAAACTGGAACAGGTCTATAAGCGGCGATAGATCCTGAAGTGATATCCCTGATTGTATAGGATCCTTGGCAAACCTTTCTTACGCCACCAACATTTTGCTCAAGTACAATGAGCTTGTCACCAGTATTTTCCACTACGATTGCAGTATGATCTGGTGCTCCGGCAAACAGGGTAGAGCCGGAAGCCTTATTTTCAAATTTGGCTGCAAAGAACTGTAAGACATCACCTCTACGAACCTCGTCAAATGTTTCAGTAAGGAGTTGTAATCCTGCTGGTGAGCCTTGGATGTTTAAGATTGGGAAACCATGATGGGTGTATGTTGAAACAAAGGCATGCTTACCGCAACCTTTCAATAATGCTTCATGGGCTAGATCCCAGCACTCACCGGAACCAACTTGTTGATTTAGTTTATGTTCGGCCCAAGAGGCAACATATTCGCTGAATTGATTGTGGTATTCCAATAGTTGAGATTTCGTTGGAATATTATGAGAGATTGGAGATGGCGTAAAGTTTTTCAATTCAACATTCACATTATCTATCTTGTCATTTTCCCACGTAAACTCGTATTCAGCTCTCGACAAATCTTTGAATTGAATGTTAACTCCTCTTGTGTAAGATGTTACAGTACCAATTGGTGAGGACCGAGTACTATATCTAATGTTAGTCGAATAGTTGAGACCATTTAATGAGCTAGGGAGTTGAAGAGGGCCACTAGTATTAGCAAACCAGCCACTAGGAAGTTCGAGGTCAATCTGTGGAGGTTGATTGCTAACTTCAGGTGTCACTGCCTTACTTCTGTTATAATTTCTAGAAGGTGGTGGTGGAGGAGCCTGTGTTGTCTGTTGAGGAGTAGTCGAATTACTACGAGGTGGCGGTGGTGGTGGAGCACTTCTTGAAGGAGACACATTTCTAGAAGGGGAGCTTGAAGCGGTTGGTACTATGGATGGCTTAGGTTTTATCTGGGGTTTAGGTTTAGTCACCGGTGGAGCTTTCTTTGGCTCTTCACTTTTCGTGATGTCATGCTCAGAAACTTCATTCTGCAGAGGTTCGTTCTTCGGTAAGTCAACTTTCTTAAGTTTGTCTCTTAAAGAAGCAACATTCAATTCAGCTGTTTCGGTATTGGTGTTCTGATCAAATCCAAACAATTTGGGCTTAGGCTTGGGTGCTGGTTTTGCCGGTGTTTTTTTCAAATCAGATGGTTTTGAAGGAAGAACCACGGTTTCGTTTTCCGGTTCAGGAGAAGCTTTATTCACTTTTCTTAATGATATTTCTTCGGCGAAATTGTGGGAGGTAGGTTGACTAAAGCTCGATGGTCTTAAAGGAGTTGGAACATTTTCACCGTTATCTTCTTCTGTGTATGGAGGTGGGTTGCTTTGGGCAAGCTTTATTGGTTTCTTAACTGGTTTGGCAGGAGGTGCTTTTTTCGGTTTATTAAGCGATTGATTAGTGTCAATCAGTGAGTTGCTGGGACGAGTAGGTAATCGGGGAGTAGACTCCCTAGGCACTGTAGAATCAGACCTTCTAGATGGCAAAGGAGGAGGAGTTTCTGCCAGACCTACAGATGGTCTTGAAGGCATGGTTGGAGGAGGAGAAGAGGCAATATGTGAGGATGAAGGCCTTGGTTTGTTTTCGTTTGACTTCAAAGCTGGGCCATTATACTTAGGTGGAGGTGGGCCAGCTTTGGACAAGTCAATACCAGTAACTTTAAGTGGCTTTCTCCCGGACTCCTCAGCAACAAATTCAGATGGAGCCGAAGGTTGATTAGAGCTGGTCGCATCAGGTGCGGGCATCAGATAACCTGGTGAAGGTCTTATCTGGGAGACATTAGAGTTCTGTCTACTGATCTGGCTCGGTGAACTGGATCCGGAACCTCTATCTTTGTGAATAGGCGGTGGAGCAAAACTATTCAAACTCTCTTTGGATAAGGGAGTGGTTTGTCTCGGTGGTGGGGATACGGTACCAGTACTGGGAGGAACTGCCTGGCTGGCAATTGGCTGAGCTGGATATGACGGTTGTTCTGGGGCTGACTGAGGAGCGGTTGGTGGCAAGGGAGCTGGGGCCCTTCTATATCCACCTGAAGGTACTGGTGGTTCTGGTTCAGCTACTGGTGTATAGGCAGGTGCTGGCTCGGGCTCTGAAGTTTGAGGAGGAGCATTCGACCTAGGAGGAAGAACAGGTTGTGCAGGAATTGACTGGGTTGAAGCCGGCTGTTGAACAGGTTGTGCAGTAATTGACTGGGTTGGAGCCGGCTGTTGAACAGGTTGAATATTCGTCTGTTGTGGAGGTGATCTATAGTTACCGCTACCTGGACCGAATGTACCAACATTTCTCTTTGGAGGAGGAGCATAAGCTCCCAAATCAACATTGTCATTTCTCGGGAGAGGCTTTGAGTAACTTTTTCTTTCGGAACTATCATCGTTATCAGCGCTTCCACCACTGCTTTCATGAGTTGGTGGAGGTAATCCTTTTCTTTTGGCCTCATGGTTTTTGTAGGTACGCACCCCTGCTTTTCCAATGGCTTTCGATCCTGATCCGATACCTTTGGCAGTTGCAATACCTGCATTTTTAATTGAACCCTTGTTATTTTCCCAGAAAGATGACATCTTTATTGGTTTAATTGACTAAACTGAGAATTCAAGAAGAAATGATGTAAGTAAGAATTTAACGATCATATTAAGATCCTTGCGCACTCTTTAACTAACTACGAATTTTACAAGGTAAAAATGACTTTCTGGGGCTATAATATGTTTTGTGCAATAAAATGGACTAATCTATCAATAATACTAAAAGGTAGCTTAGAATACTACCAAAAGCTAAGCCAGTACTGAGGAACACAGTTGTAAAGCCTCCGGCTGCTTCTTTCTCGTCATCATCATCACAGAAACTACCAACAATCATGAAGCAAGATGTACTTAGTTGACCATTGGATAAACCGAAAAGTAATTGTAGGAAAATGTACCATAAATCGGAATTAACCAAGGCACTGGATTCATCTGCAGAAGTGTAGGGATGGATATTACAAGTTAAAAATAAAGGAATGAATATCAACCTCGAGAGTGAGTAAATGAAGAGAACTTTGGGATTTTTAATAAGAAGAATTGAATTCTTCCAGCCACAGATAACTCGAGCTAATAGATCACCCAAATTCCACATCAAGAAAATAAAAGGGATGAATATTTTATCTTGGAAAAATACATGGTTGGATGAAGCAGCATTTGTCAGTTTGACGTTAGAAGCAAAGACGGGAAAAATTAGAGTGATACTGAATGTAAGAAAGATTGTCAGTACAATTAACTTCAATTTGGACCATAAAACCCAGAAGGAAACAAACTTTGTTTGAGTAATTTCCGGGGTTTCTTCTGGGGGGTCTTCAGCATCTAAAGGCAGATCAACCATTTGATTCAATGTGCTGTAGGCTGATTCGGTACGATAATGATTAGTTAAATAAAGCAATGCCATGCAAACTATGGATATTAAAGTTGCTGTGATATAGTATACAAAGACACCAAAGTTCTTATCGACATATTCATAATCATCTATAATTGCTTTTGGTTTATCGCCAATTAGGAGAATTGAAACTATTAATGCAACAGATGGTAATACACCAGCAATAGCTTGACCAACCATCACTCCATTGGCGTATATTGGGCCCATAACATTCACTATTGCCATGGTTCCATTCTGAGCAAAACAGGTGGCGATTGCTGATATCAAGACCAAGGTAATCAAGGTTACAAAGAAAATCTGATCCTTCATTTTGATGAAGAAATCGCTAACACATGAAACAGCCATAATAAGAAATACAATGATCGTCAAAATCAATCCTGAGTTCAATCTCAAATTATAGTTAACCCCCTGCTGAGATTGTGATAAGTAAAAATTGAAAAGTGTAGAAATAATACTGGACACCGTCATTATAGTGGATGATAACATCTTGACCAAAGATGGACTATGGGCAAACCTTTCGGCATAATAGGCCGAAGCTGATAAAAAACAATTCCACGGCCATAAGAGCGCAACACCTATAAGTGTGAAGGTAAAGTACTTCAACTGTGATAGCTTGATTTTCAACTTATCAGTTGCCTTAAAGATGATTGGGTCATATGTAAACTGTTCTTCGTCTGGAGGCCTAGCTTGAGTCATATTTTCAAGCTCAATAGAATTAGATTCAACCAAAACAAATTGTCATAAAATAGAATCAAGGGAAAAGACTTTATACGTATATATATATATATGTTATAAATAGTTCTAATTAGAAGAAGAGGAGTATTGTTGGTTACTCGTTGATACTATATCGCGTTTTCTTTCTTATCTTCAAGTTGTGTTGAGATTTTGTTCAACGCGCACTATCGTTGCAAAAAAAGTTAGTGGATATTTTAGACTAGGAATTTGCAATTTTATTTAATTTTATTTTGGTGGAATCTGGAAATTGCATTATCTAGATCTAGTTTCTGAAGGAAAGTCAAATATTCAATTTCACTCTCAAGAAGAGCTTCAACGTCGTGTTCGAGCTTGATGAATAGTTTGATGATTAGGTAGTTTGGTTCTTTCAATGGTAATCTGAGAGGAGATTTGTCGCTGAGCCAAAAATACGGATTTGGCCAATTCAATTCTTCTTTTGAACCTGGTGGAGAGCTTTTGGTGTCTGAAAACTCATCTGTTACACTTGGTAGAGGTTTTGACAAAATATAATATAATTTGGCCCACAGCTCGTGGTCATATGCTTTTGATGGAGTTTCAATAGAATCAGTGATGAGAATTTTTAGCTCCTGTAAATGTGAAAGTAATTTCGAAAATGCTTCTTTATGGATTGAAACTTCTCTCATTTTGTTTTCGTGAATGCTCGTAAAGATATTGTTCGTGCCAGGCGCCTTTTTGAACGGATTTTCAAAGTGTTTCCTGATATCCTCTAAGCTTCTGTTGATCTCTTCGTCTTCCAATGCTTCTTCTGTGTCTTCCTCCACAACTTCGTCGAGTTGTTTTGGTTTTCGTTTATGTCTCAAGACATTTTTATATGAACGGAAGATGAAAATTTTTGAGGTGTAAAAACTGAATTTATCGGCCCAATCATAAATTTTGTCACCAAAGCTGGAGATTAAAATAGTCATTATTGGAATGGCTGCAATTGCCCAGCAAACGAAAAAGGCCCTACCAAAACTAGTTATGGGGGCAAAATCACCATAACCTATGGTGATTAAACATAGGAAACAAAAATAAATTGCTTCAAAATACGACCAATGTTCAACAAAATAGAAAACTAGGCCACCAATGAGCCAAAACAACATAAATACAATAAAAGATATAATAAAACTCGTATTTTTCTGTCTCAATTTTGCTTTCTTTCTAATTAACCTCATTCTATGAAATACTTCTTCTTGGCTATAATTTTCACTTGAATTTGTTATTTCGTTCAACTCTCTTCTTCTATCCTTTTCAATTTGATGCCAAAATATAGTTGGCCCAGCAGATGATATCACCACCAGACGTATCATTGCAATTATAAGACCCATAATCAAGACTCCGATTACAGAAAAAATCAATACAAATATCCTAGAGCCCACAGTCTTTGGAAGAATATCACCCAATCCAATGGTAAGAAGGGATACAGTGCAGTAATATAGGGCCTCTCCATAGCTGATATTTTTGATCAAATGGGCAAAAGATACAGTTCCAATAACTTGCCAAATTATGAAAACAATAGTATAAAACATAAGTGTTCGTTGCTTGTTGTCTAAATTAAACCTTGCAGGATATTTTTTCAATTTATAACCAATAAAGTTTAGGCTAAGTACCATTGCACACATCGAATAAAAGAAAATAGTCATAACTGCAAACCAAAATCCTTCGGACCTTCCAAACAGATGGTGTTCGTCGTAAAAGTCTTCATTTGTAAGTAGAACATCAATTAACAATAAGATTGCTGCAACTATCCAGCAAAAAATGGAGATACATTGACTGATCAAGTATTCAACCGCTTGGGAAAAGTTCAATAGTAAAAAAATGTTACCTATAATTCCAAAGATAAAGCTTAATGCATTCAATGCTGTACGATACGGCTCATCCGGAATAGTTTCTCCAGTAGTTTTATCTACTCTCCAGTGTTCAATTAGACATGTTATCAGTATTAAATTCCCTATTGGTGATAAATAAGCTGCTGATATTAGAGGAGAATAAGATGACATCATGTACCAAAAAATGAAAAACTTCTCCCCGGGCTTGGAGTTTAAATTCCTCACTGAGTCTACTGGAACTGACAACGCATGGTTAATTTCCCAAGGTTCTTGGGTTGTTCGATCCTCTTTCAAGGGAAACCCATTGATGTCCGAGTTCATTTCAAAAAGTTGGAAGCTTATAGGACTCTTCTTTCCATTTCTGATATTTTTTCGTAGTAGAGCCTTCAGAAACTGGTTTTTCCTCTGTCTTAAGAGCCTGGGACCCATGATATTTCATTAGTGGGTGAGTTGAAGTTTTGAATCGGCCAAGTTCAAAATACTGTTTATAGTTGCAAACTAATTTGAGGGTTTTCTATCAGAAAAAAAAAAAAATAAAAAAGCTCAAATTACGTCAAAGGCTCGTGCTCTCAAGCTGATTGTATAGTCCTGATAACTTATATAACTTACAAAACATTATGAATCGAGTTCGAATATTGTAATTATCGATAGGGGTGCTATTTACATAAGAATAAAGAAGGTCTAATTGAGGGCTAAACCTTCAATAGAAACAGGACAATTATTATTTGGGTTCAAAATATACTTTCTTAAGATGTTCTTTTGAATTTCATTTTTTTTGGAAGAAACACCTAATTCTTTCAATATACTTTCACGTTCATTTTTATAACCATCACTCATTAATTTGTTTAATATTTGACCTATGGCAGCCAATCTTCTCTCTTCAATGGATGCTTCTTTATCAAGTTTGGTAAGATCAAGTTCTAAGACTGGTTCAGTAGCCGGCCAGGATTTTATGTTATATTTTTCTTTAATTTTATTGATTTCACTTAAAAGGAATTCTCTGTCTGCAGTTGCATCTGATTTGAAACTATTGGTGACTTGGTCTAACTTTTTCAAATCTTCTATTTGAGTTATAGTATTCGAGAGCTTTTCTCTTTGAGCAATGAATTCTCCAATTTTTTGTTCTTGTTCTAAAGAAATTTTTTCTTTGGCTAAAGTTTCGTATAATGCAAATTGTTGACCTTTATTGGCCTTGATTTCAGCAATAGCAAAGTATTTTCTGGCTGACATTTTAGGTATGGATTCGATTCTTACTAAATCTCCTTCTTTACATATATTACCTTCATCGTGAACTAAGTAATCTTTTCTTCTGAGAACTTCTTTATGGACTTTCTTGTCGTAAAGTTTGGTTTGCACCCTAACTTTGACTGTTTTAGCCATTTTCCCTTGGGAAACGACCAACCCCACTAAGTTTTGTCTTGCCATTATTGCGTTTTGAGATGATAGTTGTCTATGGCTTCCAGTATAAGTTTTCATCTACTTTCCAGCTGAGTTTTTACTATGAGAAAAATGAAAAATTTCGCTCGAAATACGTGTGCGGGTAACTTTTATTGATCTAGTATGGGAAAAAGGTACGGGTGTAGAGAATAAGTATAATAGTAAATTATATATATTTCTAGAGTTCAGATAAACATTTTTTGAATTTTTCAATTAATGTTTTATTTTCTTCAGCAGTACCAACCGACACTCTTAAAGCCCCAGTGAAATTGAGTTCCTTACCTCTAAATCTGACAACCACGCTGTTGTGAACTGCTAAATTGTTGTATAATTTATTTGCAACTTCGTTTGAAGGATTACCATCCTTGTCTAGGATTTCAACAGCAATAAAATTAGCGTCTAACCCACCGATGTTTCTGCCAACCCGGTCAAGTTCTTGTAAATTTTCCAATAGAACTTTCCGTTGTTGAATAATTTCCTTAACGTAATTTTTCATTGTACTCAATCCGGTATTTGGATTAGTAGCTCTTAATGCAACACTTGAGGTTAAGGACGAAATGTTATAAGGGTACTTCATTGAGTTCAAATAATAGGAAAGGTCAGAACTACTGTAAGTGATACCTAATCTAATACCAGCCAACCCGAAAGATTTAGATAATGTTTGGAGAACAACTAAGTTTGGATATTGGTTTACTAATGTAGACATTGATTGACTAGTTTTTTCTGACGAATCATCGGTAAAGTCAATATATGCTTCATCAACTATGATTAAACCGTTCCAATTTTTGTAGGCAGCTTCCAATAATTTAATGATTCCAGAAACATTAATCAATTTAGCTGTTGGATTACCTGGAGAAGTCAAATATATCAATTTTATTGAGGCGTCTTTAGTTATAGTGTTCAAAACTTGTTCGTAATCAAGATCGAATTCTGGATATGTTAATGGAACCTTAACCAATTCAACATCGTTTACAGTAGCACAGATGGAGTACATACCGTAGGTAGGAGGACAAACCAACATCTTATCCCTGGCTGGAGTGCAAACACAACGAATAAGCATATCGATGCTCTCATCGGATCCAACTCCTAAACATAAATTATCGGTTCTTAGCTTATCCTGACTGATATTTTTCAAATACTCATTTGGCTTTTCATTACGGAAATCAACTAATTGTTTCTTCAAGTCTATCTGGTGGGGGTCTGGATATCTATTCAACTCTAAAGTTTCTTCAAATTCAGAAACTTTGGATAAAGCGGGTCCATGAGTATTCTCATTGGCATCTAATAAAATACCAGTTTTGAAATCGTCTCTTGCACACCGATATGGCTCAAGACCTAGAATATTTGGTCTGATGAGTTTCTTCAATTCAAATTCTGCTGTCATTTGGGATCACCTAATTGAATAATTATTCTTTATTAGAAGTATAAGATTTATGTGCTCCAATTCATACTTTTTTTTTTGTTAAACTTTCCGCTTAGATTTTGTGAGATTTGTTCAACTTTGACTCATAAAGTTGTTTGACTCATTTTCAGCTGTTTGATTTTGCAATTAAAATTTTGCAATCACAATTGCAAATGAGTTAACCTGTATTCTACTTGTATATCTAGTTGTATATCTAGTTGTATATCTAGTTGTATATCTAGTTGTATATCTAGTTGTATATTTGTATATTCGAGTTTTATATTATATTTTACGTAAGCTGGCTTGGTAAGAATAATCCATCCTCATCCTTTGAGTTGACGACATTGATGAAACCATCGATACCAGTGGATTTTTGAATTGGATCAAAGTTGAAATTGGAATTGTCATTTGTAAGCTCTGCTAAATCGTCGTATTGAAGGTTTATTTGATCCAACCGATTTCTGGGAGACGAAAATCTGACGTGCAAACTTAGCAGTCGGTCTCTGCCCAGGCTTCTGTTAGCAGGGTTTGACAGAAGAGACTCCGATAAAACGGTGTCACTGGCAGATCTTTTCAATGTAATGGGGTCATCTTGGATGCTATCTGAGTTTTTACTAATTTTGTCAAATTTGTAGTGGAAAATGCGTGATAATGATCGAGATCTCCGAGCTTTTTTCAAGTAAGGTGAATTTATCTTCTTAGGTAACGAACTACACCCACTATAACAAACACTCGAGTCCGGAGGAACTCCACTATTGGCTGTGAAAGGCGTAATGTTCGGCAAGGCCCTTCTCATGATATTATTCCAAAACCTTCTTTGCTTCCCATCTTCCACGTCTTGAATCAAAGGAATATCTCCGTAACTTGGGCTGTGAGTGTTGGGGGAAAACACCCGGTTATTCAAGTAATCACTTTCCTTCTTTTTAGTGTTGACTTCAAACATGCGAGAGAACTTTCTACTTGAGGCGGCTGGAATCGCTGCTTCATCACAAGGCACAGTCGTTTTAGTTTTAGAGAAAGTTGCAAAACGGGTGAAAATAGAGTTGGATTGTGGGATAGCTTCTTCTTTCGACAAGCAATCTTTGAAAGCTTTGGCAGCAGAGAAATCATAATCCACCTGCTGCTTCTCATCGAGCTCTTTAGTTTCGTTATCAGAACCAAACATTTTTAGAGTTCTTATGCTGGAAAAATTGAAAAACTCCGCTTTCGGGAAAATATCTTTGGTTTCAATCTCAACCTCATTAGCAATCACTTGTGTCTCTTGTTCTTTTTTGACTTGAGGAAAGAGTTTTTTGACAAACATTGTTATTAGCTTCGGTTTCTTCGCAGTAACCGGCGAAATCCCCCTATCTTCATCCTCCAGCAACTCGATGCTGCCGCTTGGGAATTCTTGAGGAACAAACTGTGCCATGAGGGTTTCCACTGCTGAATCTTCGCTAGTCTTTTTCCTGGGGAGGTTACCCAACGGTCTCTGCGTGACTAGAAGTTGGCTGCGGAAGTCTTCAAGTGAGTTGAAATAGTCTACCAAATGGGCGACACTAGCAAGAGTATATAACTGTATATTGTTGGAGATAAAAGAAACCTGGTCTTCAAATACAAAACTCATTTCCAATTCGCTTTTATGAGAAACAAAATCTGCCTTTATCTTTTTGCACCCTAAACCTTTATCTGTGTCCAAAAATGGAACCATTTGTCGCAAAAATTGTATACAAAGTCACATTATTACATAATCGCTTTTTTTTTTTTTTTTTTTTTTTT